CCAAGTCAAGTGCATAATCAATATGAGATCAAGGAAAAAAGACATGTTCGGTCATGACATACCCGCGCATGCTCGGTGTAACAACGATTTCCTTCACGTTCACAATGTTGGGATGCTTAGCCAAAAGCAATGTATGAATTTCTCTCAATGATGTGACGGGGAAACCGTTATTTTCATTTTCCAGCTTCAGTTTCTTGAGTGCAACAATTTCTCCGGTCTGCCTATCCCGTGCTCTGTACACAACCCCGTAAGCACCTTCCTCTATTCGATTCAGTTTTTCATAGTTATCCACATTGCGGCAGGAGACAAGAGGAGGGCCAATCAGTCTGGTACGACGCGGTGGGGCAATGGGTGGGATGAATTCTGCCTCCATTGGAGCTTGAGTGCCGTCTGATGCATCATTTACTGATATCGGTCCCACAGATGTTCGGTCGTTAGAGCTATGTGATGGGGAAGGTTGATACTGCGGTGTTTTATCTGCATCATCCTGTGACGCAGCCTCAGCCGCTTCAGGTCTCTGTCTCTTGAGTGAAGGCTGGTCAACTTCTGGTGTCTCTTCGTCAGAGGCTGGCACGCCACGCTTTCGGTGCAAAAGGTCCGCAGCTCCCTCAACCTTCTTCGTTGCCTCCTCCTTCCCCTTCTTTCGACTAGATGCCTTCCTACCGTCCCTCTTTTTGGTAGCATTTTCGTCCGAGTCTTCTTCCGATTCCCACTTTGACTTTTGCTTGGCCTTCTTTCGCACCTGCAACGGAGATTCCCCAACGGAACTGTGTAGGGTGTTGGGTGCAACATTGTCCAACAGAGTTGAAGCATCCGTCATATGGGATGGTCCACTCGATTCAGGTGATGTGATGACTTTGGCTGCATTGCTCTCCGTCCGCTCAATGTCTACCATTGTTTCAAGCTGACCATTCTGAGCGTGTATGCCAACGTCAGATACATTTGCCTGCAGCTCGCCCTCCTCAAGATTATCAGTGGTTGCCGAGACGTCTTGCGCTTGATTTCCTGGTTGCGCCATTTATCGTTCAATGTTGGTCATGGAGTCACGGCGAGCGTCGGTTGAATCTACAAGAACCTATAATGTTGCTACTGAAGAGCGAGTGTAATTTCTGGTGATCTCGATCCCTGGTCAGGTGACCATATCACCAAGCGGGGGTCGTCATGGTTGATGTTCGATCACTCTGCAGGCCTGTGGACGGGCGCAACACACAACCTTGACTTGATACCACAAATTGATGGAGGCATGTTCTGCGAATGGCACACGCACGCATCTTGCAAACACTGTTATCGGCCATCAGATCGAGCAGTTTGTGAATATCTGATGTTTCTACCAAGCAAATTCAGCTTGAGGCACAACTGCCTTTGAAAGTGTGGAAAATATATTGGATAGGCTATATGGCAATACGGGTTGAAACTGACAAAACTCGAACAACACTATAAAAAGCGTTGATCAACTCTGCAAAGAGATGAGCAAAAGCCGTATGTCCGTGCTCTCGGATGCATGATGAACAAAGATTACATTGCAATCAAAAGCTAAAACCCATTCAAACCAATTCATGATGACGAGACAGTTCGCCTCCCAAACAAGAAAAAAAAAATAGACAAAAAAAAAGAAAAAACAGTCCTTCTGGAAAGGGCAAGAAATCCAAACTCTTTATTTACGCCCTGGCCATACGCCAAATGTCACAAAACTCCTAGAGTTGTTCAGTTGCTAAAAGAGATATCATTCCCTCTCAACAACAACAACAAAATGCCCTTTTCTCCTACGCCCTTTTTCTTCTTCAACAAACAAATCGCAGTAGGGAAAGCAAACTGAAAGTTGAATTGCCCCCCGCCTTCATTCCTCTCTTTCTTCCCACACGACGCGCTTTTCATAAACAGAAAAAAAAAAAACTTTGGTCTCTTGAAAAAAAAAATATTTTTTTTTGTTAGCAAACTGTTTAGAAGGAAGGAACTTGGTGTATTTGAACCGTTCTCCTTTTTTTTTTTTTTCTATTTTACAAGGGCCTTGTTGGCTCCTCCCCCCCTCAGCCTTTTTTTTATTTTTGTACATACCACCAACAGTCCCGTTTGCACATATGCCTGTAGAAATGCCCGGTCATCCCATGCACCACCATCACGATTTTGCGTCAGAGCTGCAACGCATGTCACAGGTAATTAGCAACTCACTGTGTCGCAGAGTTGACAATGGCCATATTCAAAATGTCCCCGTGCAGCCATCCCGCGATGCCTTTGTCCAAAATGCCCCTTACCCGTACTATTGGAAGCGGGAGGCCCCACCACCACAACCTGGCTTTCCTATGGAAGGTGGACAGCAAAAGCGACGAAAGATAGACCTCGAGCATACCATCGATCAAACGTGTCGGGAACACACCAAACACGATTACGCTCAGGCTCAAGCGAAAGCATATCATCAATCACAGCAACACTATCACGAGCAACAGCAACAGCAGTATCAGCAGCAACAACAACAGCAACAGCGACTTCAACAACAACAGCAGCAGCAACAGCAACAGCAACAGCAACAGCAACAGCAACAGCGACAGCAACAGCGACTTCAACAACAACAACAACAACAACAACAACAACAACAACAACAGCAGCAGCAGCAGCAACGCCAGCGCGAAGCCAACTTTCAGCAAAATGCCGATCTACGAAGAGACCTGTCTCCCAAGGCCATGCGTGTCCAGAGTTTGGTCATTGAAGACGGCAGCAAGCGCAACATTGCTGATGATCGCTCTGAACCGCTCTCCCCCTATCCCATCGGCGCATCCCCAGATTCAGATCCCGACGGAAAACCTTTTCACTGCGACCACCCTGGATGTGACAAAAAGTACAAGAAACTTAATGGTCTAATCTACCACCGCCAGACCGCCCATTCTCCTGTGGGACTAAACGACCCTAAACCTTTTAAATGCACAATGCCGGGTTGCGACAAGGCATATCGAAATTCAAATGGACTAGGTGAGCAATGTTTGATGGAAAGCAATCGCAAATCTGGTGGATATTGACCTTGTGTCGCTGTATAGCCTATCACTTGGAGAAGGGTCATGGCAGTGGCGTAGGAAATGGTTCTACCACCCCGCGGACAAGAGAAGCTGTCGAAAAGCCGTACGTGTGTCCTTACAAAGGATGCGGCAAGGCATACAAGAATCCCAACGGTCTAGGTAAAAATTGTTACAACACAAAAGAGATTGAATCAATATCGCTTATCATATACCTTTGCGGAATAGCCTACCATTTGCAAAAAGGCAAAGCCACGGGCCACAATATCGAGGTGGAGTCACCAAATGGAATCAGGACATACGTTTGTGCAGGTACGTAGTTTATCTTTGGAGGATGTTGAACGATGCATGTTTTAATACTCATTTTTATTGAGCAGTTCCTGGATGTGGAAAAACCTACAAAAGCCCCCAAGGACTAGCCGACCATATCGAAAGAGCGCACGCCGATATGGACCCTTTGGTGAGTCCCTCCGACGCCCCCGCCAGTCGTATCCTCGAATGTCCATCGTGCATGAGACAATTCCGAAGTCTCAACAGGTTCGTATCTCTACAGCTCGGTCGACATTTTAACAGCTCGTATTGATGCGTTGATTTTCTTATTAGCTTGGAATACCACACATCGACAGTCCACAACCATAATTCCCGGGTGAACTCAAAATCACGCCCAGATCCCGCCGCCGCCCACATTGCCGCCAACACAACTGTGAAACGTAATCACTTGCAACACCAACAAGGTTTTGACGAACGTCAACCGCATCATGCTGGCCATTATCAAGCGTTTCATCCATTTTATGATCAGGAGGATGAGGAGGACTTTTCGGATGATGAAAGCACCTCAGAAGCGGACCAAACTTCTACGCTCATGGACCGCCGGTTGGAAGTTGTTGCAGCATGATAGTGTCCTATACCCTTTCACTATTTGTATCCCATACATACTTGCAAAACAGCTATCGTACAACCCTACAGCCCCTTTCTATGATATTTTATATTGTCTGGAATATCACAGTCGCTTTTTACTATTGAGGAACACAGGGCTACTGGGATCCAAAACGGTCTCCTTGGACATGAGAAGCTCCAACTGGATCCTTGTTTGGAACTGCTCGAAAACCCTCCCAAAGTCCATGACTGTGATCATGGGTTGTGCCGCCCAATACTTTCCAAACTCATCGAACATGTAACCTAGAGAAAACTCAAATGTGAGTGACGGCGCAAATGGAAAGCGTCTTGACGAACTTGCAAAACATACAATAAAACTCATTAAACATTGTAGTGGTAGTTCCAAATGTGTACAAAAAATGTTGTAACTGTCGTGTTCTCACAAGCTGCACAGCAAAGTCCGTGATGTTGATGCCAACAATCGCCATAGAAAACCTGATTATGGCAACGATATTAAATTAATCCTCTCTTCGGATGTCTCTAATACGCCCACACGCGGTAACTTACCAAGCGGTAGGATGATGAGACGTCTGTAGGACCCGCTGAACAGAATGTGGATGGTGCTTCGCATAGTAGTGCAAATTATCTAATCCGAGCATTCCTAAAAAGCGATATGGGAGTGTCAATATTGAAATAATTCCGATTAATTGTCTTCCACTGCAACTCTTGCACGCGCGTACCCATTCCCCGAAAATCAGTTGCAGGATCCTTTCCCTGAAATCCTGTCCAAAAACAAGTTCACATACACCATGTAAGCCCACGGGATGACACTTGACAATTTACGCATGTTACATACCAATCTTTTGCCACTGATCCGAAAATCTAGATGTCAGCTTCTCGTCTGGCATCATAAGATCCCATAACTACGGATGGAGGGTATTTCAGTTAACCCATAGTGGCAACATAAGGTACACATTTTTCGTCGACCTCAAGCAGTTTCCGTTCATGTGATCGATTTGTCGGATCATATTTTGTAGCGGCTCGCGCATTCAACTGAACAGAGTGAGTTTAGGTCTCACGAACCCTCTTATATCCCTCATTAGCTCAATACCTCGTGAACCAGCTTGTACGAGGACATGATAATAGTGATGCATTGACGGAGGATTAACGCTTGCGGACTGCTCTCAGCAACATAAACAAACCGGTCAGTTCGCTGATATGGGTAAATGCGACAAAGTATACTTGCGTTTTTGGATTGCCATTACCCGGAAATCCCTTTTTGACGAGGATGATGGCGAAAGGTTCTTCTAAAGTACTATATGGTGACTCTAGTTGTCGTCGTACTTCCTATGAATCAATGAGTTCACATGTGGATCGACATAATCTGATTATTATGGAATTTCAATACTGACTGTCAATGTAGTCGAGTACAGTAACGCTCGATCTGGAGTGGAATGTCATGAAGCGGTTTATTCGCGAGCAAATTCATTACCGATCTCGTCATCCACACAATAGTACCTATGCGATACACCGCGGCCGGCCCAACATAGGCGGAAAGAGACTTTGAGTTGACAAACTTGACCTTTCGGCCAGACTTTTCTGCCTTCTCATCCCCCTCCTTGGCCTCCAGGGTTTGCAACTCCGTTTCTTCCTTGGAACGGGCAGATTCCGCGGCTTGGACGGCTCCGTCGCATATACGGTAGAGTTCAGATGTGCCGGTAAGCAGTCGATAGCATGACTTGAAGATTTTATATATCCAAAATAAGAAGGAAGACTGATATATTTGGGTCATGACTGGTTTTGACAGCATACAAGACACCGTGAGAAAAGACCTAGTTCCTGACAAAGGACTTTTGCAAAGGTTGAAATGGGTTTCAACGCACCAACTGTTCCAGCACCGTGTGCATAGTCAATAAAGAGGGGTAAATACACCGGCCTCCCGAATAACCAGTCAAGTATCATCTTGGAGTTCTTGAATGTGCGCAAAATGAGGTCCAGCAAAGTAGCAGTTTGTTTGAGTTTGTTCGTAGGCCATTTTGACTTTGATGATCATGTTGATGGAGTAAGCATCACATGTGTCTCCGAACCCACGTGGACAGACTGACCAAGACGAGCAATCTGTCACCAAGTTGAGAACGACAAAAGCATCAGAGCAAGCAACCAACAGAAATGGCAACCACAACGGCTGCGTTCAAAGCTACCGATTATGACTACGTGGACGAGATTAACCAAAATCTCTTATGTCCTATATGTTATTGTCCGTTTATTACCCCAGGTACGTGTTCAAGTTCGTGGAATTCCTGACCTTCTTTGCTCACTTGCGACACCAGTTTCGTCCCCATGTGGTCATACCTTCTGCCAAGACTGTATAACGTTTGCTCTAGCTTCAACACCCACACCATCTTGCCCCATTGACCGCACCCCCCTTTCCCTGACACAAGTGACACCCGCTGCGAAACTGATATCGAGCCTTCTCGATGAGCTGCAAGTGTTTTGCCCGAATCGCAAAGACGGGTGTACGTGGATTGGACAGCGGCAATCCTTAAATTCGCATTTGTCTGTGCATTGTCTGTATGCACAGGTAGGATGTGAGTTGGACGGGTGTCAGGAAGGTGTCCGGCGAAGTGAGCTTGAGAGCCACATGCGGGAGTGCAGTTACCGAGCAGAGGCATGTACTCGATGTAACCGGACGATTAGAAAGAGGGATTTTGCGGTAAGCACTCTAGTATTTATAACCTGTCCTTTCTCTTTGACGGTTGTTGACATCCGTCTATCAGGTGCATGTCAGCGAGTGTTCAGCAGGCACCGCGTCCTGCATGCACTGCAAACGAGATATCCTTCGATCAGACTTGGCAGGGCACATAAATGATTGCCCAGAAGCAATAGTTTCTTGCACTCATGTCCGACATGGGTGCTCATGGGAGGGCCACCGCAAATTGTTGAATGAGCAGCACCTCATCACGTGTCCCTTTGAGGCCATAAAGGGGTTCTTTAGGATCCACGATCAACGCCAGCAAGCAGTGGAAGAAGAAAATAGGGAGCTCCGTCGCCAACTTGCAGATCTACAACAGCAAGTTGAAGCGCTTCGCGAGCGTCCGCTGGTGATATCACCGCCAGAAGCTGCGATGGTACCACCCATCGTTGGCGAAACAGCGGACAGGATTGGTCAACTACTGGCTGAGACAGACCAGTTGCGCTCAGATTTGGTCAATCTGAGCGCTGGATTTTCAGCAATGGAAATGAGGCAGGACATGGCACTGCTCTGCGAAACATCTCGATTGCGGGAAGAAATGCATTCTGTGCGGGCTTTATGTCAAGCTGTACAATCGCAACTCATTAATTTTGCGTTGGATCGGCGAAAGGAGGCATCTGCCTCATCATCCACTAGCAAGTCGGTCCTTAGCTCGGCTATCAGTGCGCTCGCAGGAGGGTCATCGGAAGGGGCATCCGCGAGTAGGGGCAGTCATAGAGATGACACGGATCGGTCTCGAACCATGATATCCCAGTTTCGCCAGGATGGGAGCACGAAACTTTGAGTGGATGATATAATACCAATAATGTACATATATGCTGGATACTAAGCCGTTCCTGCGCAGTTTCAAAAGCTAATCACCATCGGGCCATGTCGCACGAGGTTTTTCCTCCTTGAGCAATTCCCCTCGGATAACCTTCAGTACCACACCGTCTTCTTGTTGATCAGTCTTTTTAGCTGAGCGCCACTATCCTTGTACCACTGGCGCAGATAGGCATCCAGCAAAATATGGTTCATCGTAGCCAGATCCTGATCCAATCCTTCTGTTGTTTTTGCCTTCTGGACCACCGCTTCTGCAGCAACGACAGCAGCAGCTCTAAGACGGAGATCCCACTGCTCAGTTGTTGTCCCCAAATCATCGCCCCTTTCTAGCATTGCGGCAAGGTCGGGTGAGACTTTGAGGACGCCCAAATGAATCCAAAGCGATGGTAAAATATCATCCGCCAAAACTGTCAGCATGCTCATGTCCGAGAACTGAAAGCGAGCTGGGTCAGCATCTCTGAAATATCGATACAGATTCAGAGCCATAAGCTGTGGTCGTCGGAAAATGTACACGTCTGAAGCCGAGCATTAGAAAATGACCGTCCTGCTATAGGCTGGCATCACACCTACCGACTCCATTGCATCGGCCCATATCCCTCATTGAAGGTAAGGTGCTCGCCAGCGCCGCTACCAAATTCTCTGCTGATGGATATCCACTTCCATTGGCTCCAGGTTTGGTGACGTCAAGTAAGAAGTGCGCCAAATTGCGATAATCCTTCTGCTGCAAAATGGCGCCCGTCTCGTTCATCACATCTGTGATTTTCTGGGCGAATTCGCGTAATGGATGCGGTTCAGTCAGAGTCAGCGGTAGAGTTTCATGGGGAACGTCTCGGGTGACAGGGATGTTGAACAACGTAGCCACCTTTTGGAGAGACTATTTTGTAGCTCCGTGGAGGGACTCAAACCAAGAATTTACTGCGTACCTCGCCCAAGGTGATTTCTCGCATGTACTTTGCAGATACATCCACGGAGGAGATGTGTAGAGACATGACGCCTGATGATGAGGTTGATTATCTGTCTTAATGTAACCCGGAAATCTCAAGCAATAATCTTAGAAGTGACGCACCGAAACGAAGGGTATCATAGGCTCCCTAAAAGATGGCGGTGACGCTAAATATTATAAACTCCATGAAATGCAGGCATGAAACTTACTCTTCCCACAGCTTCCTTGAGTTGCGACCTCCACCCACTACCGAAAGTCAACAGATCAATCAAGGCAATAATGTTCAGCTCTTGTTCCAGCGTGTCAAACTTTAGCGGCATCCGCGTCGCTTCTTTTTGAGCTTCCCGCCATTTGCTTGGATCTATTCGGGAAATGAAGTCTTGGACCGCAATTTCATCCACCTTCCTGTGAATTAGCCCATCCAGTCAGGTTTCACTGATGTAACAATGTTGGAGAGCACATACAGTAATATCAGGAGACAACGTTTGACTCAAAGCGTTACATGAGTTGCGTACAGCATCTAGATAAGCTCCGCTGGGAAGCTGGCAGGTTGTTGATTGCAAGATGGCTGGCATCATGAACTGAACGTCCAAAACTACGGTTCGTAGTTTGCGTGACTTTCTTTGCAAAAGTCGTCAAGGATAACGGACAAGGATAACTGCGTTGTGGTGTTCAAGATGATAGGCTTGTGGATAAGTGAGTTGCTGAACGATCGGGGTGCGTCAGCGTGGGAAACCCATTCGAGCCGATTAATGATTTTTGTTGCTGCGCCACGACCACTCGCGTTCCATCTCTGCTCGCTGCTCTTCCTTCACCCTGCAACCATTCTAACACCGACGTTTTTGCGGCGGTTTACCTGGTTTTAGGCCGTCACCCCGCGCAAGACCATTAAGTCTGGCTGTGCACACTTCCTGGTGAGCTAATTCGGTCTATTATACCGGTTGCTTTGGGGCATATCCCTACGATATGCTAGCAAAGATCTTCTATAAATTGACATATTATCACGACCTTAGAGTGCCTCACTGCTAGCGTATCTATATCATGTCACCTGTCAACGTATTGCTTGTTGGATCTGGTGGACGGGAGCACGCCATTGCTTGGGCCTTGGCAAAGTCGCAGCGGGTAGCCACCATATTTGTTGCTCCTGGTGAGTTCTGCTCTGTTTCGAGCGGAAAGCATTTTGCATTGCTTACTGAGAGCTGGGTGATTGTCACAAATTAGGAAACGGCGGTACGGAAACGGCTGGACCAAAGGTGAAGAACGTTTCAGTAGACGCCGGGAACAACTTTGAGGGCCTCGTTCGCTTTGCCTGCGAGAACAATGTAGCGCTCGTTATCCCTGGTCCGGAACAGCCCTTGGTTGATGGCATTCAGGCTGCTTTCAAAAAGGTCGGAATTCCTTGCTTCGGACCATCAAAGGAAGCAGCTCAGCTCGAAGGATCGAAAGCGTTTTCCAAAGACTTCATGAAGAAGCATCAGATTCCGACTGCCGCATACGAGGTCTTCACGGATTTCAACAAAGCCAAATCTTACATTGAAAACTTCGGTGGGCAGCTGGTAATCAAGGCCTCAGGACTTGCGGCTGGAAAGGGTGTGCTGCTACCTGAAACCAAAGAAGAAGCGATTGAGGGCCTGAAATCTATTATGGTGGATTCCGTGTTCGGAGACGCTGGCAGTGAAGTTGTTATCGAAGAACGTCTTACCGGAGAGGAAGTTAGTGTGCTGGCATTCTCAGACGGTTATACAGTCATCCCAATGCCTGCGGCGCAAGACCACAAACGGGCTTTTGAGGGAGATAAGGGACCGAATACTGGAGGAATGGGCGCATATGCTCCCGCCCCCATCTTTACACCTGAGCTTGCCGCTGAGGTGAAGCGGACCGTCTTGCAACCTACCGTCGATGGAATGCGCCGGGACGGCCATCCTTTTGTGGGTGTCCTTTACGCAGGTCTGATGCTGACACCTTCTGGGCCAAAAGTGCTCGAATTCAACGCACGGTTCGGAGACCCAGAAACCCAAGTGGTACTTCCCCTGTTGGATGACGGATGTGATCTTTTTGAGATCACTCTTGCCGCAGCCGAAGGGCGCTTAGATTCCGTAAAAGTAAACTTCAAGTCATCCTCTGCTGCAACGGTTGTGATTGCTGCTCAAGGCTACCCTGGATCATACGAAAAGGGCAAAGAAATCAAGATTGCCTCGGTACCTCCAAGTAAGAAACGATGCGATAATTACCGCCTTTGTTTTGGATATGTAATAATCATGTTAATACTCCTGCAGATGTTACTGTTTTCCATGCTGGGACAAAGTTGGACGGAGGAAGATTGACGACCTCAGGAGGACGTGTACTCGCCGTAACCGCTGTGGCTGGCGACCTTCAAGAGGCGTTGAAGCTAGCAAATTCCAGCGTTCTTCTGGTCCAGTTTGACGGAGCTCAGTTCCGTCGTGACATTGGTCACAGGGCCTTGGCTTTGCTCGGAAGCAAGAAAACATCTGGTGCCACTTACGCACAGGCCGGAGTAAACATTGACGCCGGCAATTTGCTGGTGGAGAAGCTGAAGCCGCTTGTTAAGGCAACCAGAAGACCTGGTGCAGATGCGGATCTTGGTGGTTTTGGAGGACTTTTCGATCTACAGGCAGCTGGCTACAAAGACCCTGTACTCGTGTCCGGAACTGACGGTGTGGGAACGAAGCTCAAGATTGCTCAAGCTATTCGGAAGCATGATACAATTGGTACAGTCTCACCATGCAGGTCTCGAAAGCGATTGATATCAAATCCTAAGTTGGAATCTTATTAGGTATCGATCTCGTGGCTATGAATGTCAATGACGTTATCGTTCAGGGCGCAGAGCCTCTATTCTTCCTCGATTACTATGCGAGCAGTAAGCTGGAGGTAGACGTTGCCCGCGACGTGATTGCGGGCATTGCAGCTGGATGTAGCGACGCTGGATGTGCGCTTGTAGGTGGTGAAACGGCGGAAATGCCGGGTATTTATCAACATGGTAAGATGCACATCTCAGCCTAGGTTATAGTGGAATGAAGCTGACAGGTACTTTCTCATGTGTACAGGCGACTACGATCTGGCTGGTTTTGTTGTTGGGGCGGTTGATCGCAATGAGGTTCTTCCTAAATTTGACGCTATATCAGAGGGCGATGTCGTGCTGGGTCTACCATCATCTGGCGTGCATTCAAACGGCTTTTCGCTTGTTCGTCATGTTGTTGCCCGTGCAAATCTCGATTACTCGTCTCCATGTCCTTTCGCATCGCCTGAAGTCGGCCAAACACTCGGAGAAGCCCTTCTCACCCCCACCCGCATCTACGTCAGACAGCTTCTTCCTGCCGTGAGGAAAGGATTGATCAAGGCAATGGCTCATATCACAGGTGGAGGTTTCCCAGACAATATCCCTAGGGCCTTGCCGGACACCATTGGAGTGCAAATTGATGCACGAACATGGCCTTTACTTCCCGTTTTCCAATGGGTCAAGCGCACTGGTGGAATTGCAGATGGTATGAAAAACATTCTCCCCTTCTCCTGGTTCGCTTGGTCATCGTTTAACATATGAAACCCTGTCTAGCCGAACTCGCACGAACATTTAACTGTGGTATCGGTATGATCCTGATCGTTAGCCGGGACAATGTCCCCGAGGTGAACCGCTTACTACGAGACGCTGGTGAAGAAGTGTATGAGATCGGAAAGGTTGTGAAGCGGACTAGTGGTGAACAGGTAGAGCTCATCGGCACAGAAACCGCCTGGGCTTAGATGTATGAGGTAGAAGGGAGTATGCATTTTTTTCATTCGCAAAAAGGGTGGGTGTAATGTACAGTACGTAGACGAAGGTTCCACATATATAAACATATTGGCAAATAGCGTAGCCGCCAAACCATTGTATGAACGGTTCATCCTGCAGCATTTAATTGGCGCACCAGTTTCTGGACGTTAGCATCGAAAAGATCAATGCGTATTGGCATCTCCGGATTGTAAAAGGGGTTCTTCATGACAAAGTCAGCGTAAAGTTCGTACACACGTCTTGATGGTACATCCACGTTAGCTTGCGACGGATCGGTGATTAAAAGGAACTTCACCCCTGTGAAGCGGTTCAGCTACGTTTCCCAGTCGCAGTCCCCAATAGCATATTTGCTCGAACCTGTGAGGGTTTGAAAGCAGAAGATTTTGAAGGTGTCTGTTTCTAGGACTTCCATGCCTGAAGAAGGGGACACTGGGGATATTCTCGAGGTGATTGCGTGGACCCTGTTCACGAAATGTTATAGGACCTTGGGTGTAGCGACGTCCTCGACCGCTGAAACGCACCCATGAAATGTGCCAGCCATCACAAGATACTCATTGCTTGTTAACTTCGCCAGGCCTTCCGTAAAGTCTCGGTTGTATATGAGACCACCAGCCTTATTTATAATTAGGATTGCGTGAAGCATCGTGAACCTGCGATCACTGTTCGGTGACAGCCCGGGGGAGGGGATTCGCGCTTGACCGTGTTGAATGGATCCATCCAGGCCACGTGATTTGCTTGCAAGCGGCATGGAGCTCCCACGCAACCAAAGATGCCTGCAGAGGAACTACCTGTCCAAGATTTCTCCTTTGTGCCTTTTTGCTTCGCTCCATCATCTGCGACCCCCATTTGGCTTTATCTGGCTCTGTGTATTTGTCTGGTCCTCCTCCACAGTGGCCTTCTCGGCCCTGCGATCTCCAGCAAATTGTCCAATTCCACCTGAGTGCACGCTGTTGACTGGATAGGACGGAGCCAAAGGGCATTCGGCTCAGCTCTGCACTATTGGTCCAGGCCGCAAGATATCTTGAAGCTGAAACATTGGTTGTTCTCTGGGATAAGCGTGGTAGGCGGGTTTTGCAAGATTGTCGCTTTTTTATGGCCATTTGATGGCGCCACCCGCGGGCATTTAATGGCTGACGCGAATCGTTATATCTAACTTATCGTCGCCCGTACTGTCAGTAGTTCCTCGAGACTTGGACCTTCACGTAGACGTCTTAAAGCTTGCTTGAGCCGTCAAAAGCCTTAATGGCCCAACCCATGCAGCATGCGCGACAGAATTCAATGCAGGGCAGTGAGGGCAATACCGGTGTCATGTCGCCAGAATTATACGGTTCGCCATATGGAGGGAGCGGCGACCCAGTTCCTCCAATGTCGTTGAATCAGCAGGATTCACGAGACGATTTAGAGAGAGTTATGGAGACCAGTCCAAATGCAAGATATGCAAAGGTGCAGAATCCCTCTTATTTTCGGGGTTGTGCGATTGATGATGGGCATTGAGCGGGCCGCTCGCAGAGGGTCCGCTTTCTTGATATCAAGTACTTATTTTGCAATATGTCGCATTACTGCAGCTCAATCAACTGCTAGGAAAGGGCGCGTACAAGGTTGTATATAAGGCGATTGATAGGGAGGAGGGCTACGAAGTCGCGTGGAATACGTGCCAGGTAGGTGATTCAGGTCAATTGCCAGGCTTTCATAACCTTAAATACTCTGTTATAATATTAAAGACTACCAAAGCGGAGTTTATGGAGTTGAGCGAGGAGATTGAGATCCTGAAACGAGTGCGGCATCCGAATATCATACAATTCCATGATTGCTGGTACAATAATATGGAGTTCGTTTTTATTACGGAGCTGATGACTTCTGGAACACTGCGAGAGTAAGTTGTATGAACGGCGTATTTCGGCATGGGAAGCTGATGGATGTTCTTCGCGTAGGTATATTCGCAAACTTCAGATTCCAAATTTGAAGATTGTAAAGCGATGGGCACGACAAATACTAAAGGGTCTATCATATCTTCACTCACACGATCCACCAATTATCCATCGCGATATTAAGGTAGGTTCGAAAAAGCTAAGAATTTTGAAGTACGGGTTGATCGTATGTGTTATTTACTTGGAAACCTAGTGCGATAACATTTTCATAAACGGTGCACACGGAGAGGTGAAGATAGGGGATATGGGAACGGCAAAGATGAAGCTTGGGAAGAAGTACACAGTCATAGGGACGCCGGAATTCATGGCACCGGTACGTACTGGATTGTGTTAAGTCCAGCTGGGATAGTTATAAAGAATTAGGTATTATAGGAAATGTATGAGGAAAAGGGGTACAGCGAGAAAGTTGATATATATGCATTCGGAATGGCGTTGTTGGAAATGGTAAGTGCAATATGTTATTCAGGACATGATGTTTTGACGGCTTATATATTGTTGTCTTGACATCAGGTCACTGGAGAATATCCATATAACGAGTGCAAAAACGCGGCGCAAATCTACAAGAAAGTCACGCAGGTACGTTCGGGTGTTCCACACCTTTTCTCGATTTGGTTTGATAAAAGGGTTAGCGTTCGGACGGACACTTTGGGTCGAAGGGAGCAAAGATCTTGTCAAAGACTCACTGAACCCTTTTTTTTTCAGGGCATTAAACCTGAATGCCTATCGCGAGTCACCGATCCAGAAGTTCTGGATCTGATCAATAACTGCATAGGAAATGAGCATGACCGACTAAGCGCACAGGAAATTATCGAGCATCCTTTCCTCGCCTTGGAGCCTGAAGTAGTGCTCGTAATGACAGAGAACAAAACTCACTTGACCATGCAAGTAGTCTTCAAGGGCATGGACAAGCTGTCGGTGAAATTTGAGTTCAACGGTATAGTCGTTTCTCATCAAGTTTCAGTGCCTCCGGCGATGGTAAAATTCTGATTTCGGTTTGTTTATATGTCGCCAGTGGACACAGATACCGCGGAAGAGGTGGTGAATGAGATGGTAGGGCGCTATCTGACCATACCGTGCACATGGGAGTGGTGATTTGACGTACGTTTAGATCCAAGAGCAGGTGCTTCCAGCCAAGTATCAGCACCTGATAACCGGGGAGATTAATCGCATTCTGCGAGAGATGAACAAACCATCGCCAGATGAGGACAAAAACAGAGAGGAGTCACGGCAAGGGTGGGCTACACGAAGTAACAGCATGTCACAAAACACGCCGCAGGACGCAGAGCCTGGAACACGGCCACCTCAGCAAGCGGATGACGGAACTCCAAGCAGCGAATCAGCGCCACTCCTGCGGAAAGTGTCACTACAAGAAGCCCGTAGCGAAGATTTTGTTGATTTCCCACATAAAGGTGACTTCCGAGTTGGCCTAATTCAATTACATGGGATAGCGCATACTCACCGGAATGTTTTTCAGAATATGCTGATGACCGACCTATTGAAGAGATGGTCATGGACACGGCAATAGCCACCAACCGAGGAGTGGAGAAAGCGAACGAGTGGTTGGCCAAGCTGAAAGCCCAAGACATTATGACTGTAGGCGACATGCGGGAGTTACATGACGAGGATTGGTCGAGCCTGTACGTTGAAGAGCGCTAGGATAGCTGATTTTACCTGGCTTCTACTGACCCAGACGCTGCCGTCCATTCTGTAGGGGCCTTACGGTGTTCGCAAGTCGCGCTTTGAAGAACGTTTTGTATGGTAAACCTGCTCGACCTGCGCCCACCAATAGGGAATCGTAAATACATGTAGACTAATGAGGCGCCGGGAGGGGGTGTGACTGATGCGAAGAAAATGACTCTTTTGGTTTGTTGCTAGAAGATACCCTCTGGTTCAAATTGAAACCGTTATGCATCTCATTGCACCTGTTGAACTGAAGATAGAGACTGAATTTTGTATCTACGATTGACTTAATGACTTCACAAGACATATCGCAATTAGCGAAGCATTCCTCGTAATATGTCAGCATTATCTGATATGAAAGCCACCACCTCTGGGAGGTTGTCATCCAAAGCACTACCAGAAGAACCTTGTTGACTGTTCCTTGCCCTACATGCTGACAAGTCGAGTTCCAGCACACAATCCAAATCTTTCAGGAACTGAGAGAAACGATTAACCGCCTATTTGGGGTTTAAACATTTCAAAATCTCCGTCGTAGCGGCTGCATTCAGGTGAGATGTACATACCTCGCTCAGAGTATCATATCCATCAGCTTGTTTCCTCTTTTTTGCTTCACTAGCACTGAGTCCAAAGAAACCCTCGATCAGCTGAAGTGATACAATGTTATCAGAAAAACCTCGCGCGAAACAGAAGCTGATTTGGCTACGCACATGGTTCGCTAGGCCTGCTCGCACTAGACTTGTTCCATCATCAATCACCACAATCAACGAATATCCGGATCGCTGGAGTCGTAGTGTTTCCCAGTTGTCGATGTGTGCCTGTAAGGCCAGTTGCCAAATAAGTGACATGTTCACCTATCAGACAGGTGTGCTGGAAACTGAACCTTAACATGTATCCGAGTGTGAGACCTACTAGCTACTATTGTTTCAATATTGCACAAGTACCCTAGACGCGGTGGTGCTGTCGCGGGCTGTATCAGGTTCGGACGATTCGGAGAGGAGAGCCGCGGTTTTTTGGCTGGCGACGAGGACTCGTTATCGCCAAGCTGATTCGGTGGGGATTGTAACTCATGAGGATGTGACAATCGCTGTCGTGTCGATAGCTCTTTGAATACAGAAAAGCCTGATGGGGAGGAATGTGATGAATTGAGTCGTCCTTCTTGTTTCATCTCAATCGCTCCAACACTCGTTGGTGCGATACTCGCGGGTTTCAAATCTGTGCGAGTCTGTGCCGGCACACCACTATCATTTTGCCTATTGGAGATTGGTGGTATCGCCCCATCGGATGTCAGGTCAATCAACTGAGGGAACTTTTCGTCCTTAATGCTGCAGAGAGAAAGCACATTTGAATTGCTCTGGATTGCAGAATAGCCAGCCTCTTCTTGCAGCAAAACGTCAACGTCTCCCAGATCGAAATCAAAAGCATCCAAGTCGAAATCATCGTCGTCGAAGGGGAAGTCCTCCAGTTTAGCATCCTCGTCCTTGGCCGAGTGAGCAGTAACACCTGGGTGTGCAATACTTGCATCAGGCCGAAGCGACTGGGCGCCCTCTGTTGATTGACCCCGGGGATGCCGATTGTCCACGGAAGATAGGATTCGATACGATTCCGATCCCGCAACTGTTGCTTCGCCCTGGCGATCTGGTGCAGATCCATCATTTCGGGTGGGTATCGAGTCTGTGCGTTGTGGCGCTTCATATTCAATGCTGTTATTGAACGTCGGTTACTTTCACTTCCGGTATTTTGTTCGTTACTCACAGTTAACATACTTCAAAAATGCCTTGCATTTTTTCTCCAACCTCACTAACGGCTCGTCAACGTTCATGCTTGCCACATAGCCGCCAAGGATCGAGAAGTTCTGCGGCTCAAGCATAATGACGCCTTGGCGAATTGTTGCATTTGTTACGACAACCTACTGAATACTTGATGAGATGAATTTTCCGGACACAATCATCAATCTGACACTAAGGAATTCACCTTAACGCCTAACATGCTCTCCACCGATATTCCTGGGAGTAAAGCGCATTCCATGGCTGGGACCTCCTGCACGCCGTCCGTTAACTGTAAGCGAAGCATTTTCCTTGGAATTTGAAGGCTGCTGTGCTGTGGTCGTGGTGGCTCTCCTTTCTTTGGCTTGAAGTCCAAGATAAGCTCGAGCATGGAGTTTGCTGAGACGCCGACCTCATGCACATCAATGACTTGCAAGACAATGCCCTTAGGTCGACCCACCACAACTTTATGCGCCTCTGTTATCCTTGGAGGCAGAACGGGCAGTCCAACCTCGCGCAAATCTGTGTGAAGATACTGTTCGAGGATACCGTCCACTAGATCACTGTCGGTTAGGGATATTGGAGATCTTGTTCGAAGGTAGTTGATGCACTGCTCAGTCCAGTGGGGATGAATCTGAATGTTCTTGGCCGCCAAGCGCTGCTGGACAGTTGAGGGGATGATGGGTGAAGGCTGCAACATTGCACGCCAAACTTCTGCAAGTGATGGGCAAGTTTCTACCAGGACCGGAATCTGCGGTGGCTGGCTAGTCAATACTAGGTTCATTCCAATGCGCCTTAACCGGCAAAATAAAAAACGAATGAATTCGTAGCCAACAGCGAATTTGATGCAAATACACAATCATCCGGATTATTGCGGCTGAACCATGTTTTGATTTTTGTATGCGACGATGACATCCATCATACTCCGATCCGTCTGTGTATCGGTTTTTGGGACAATTTTCGACATGCCGAAAGCAACGAGAAAAAAGAAGCTCAAAGCGGAGGATTTCAGAGTAAGTAGACGAAGATCTGACGATATCTTTTTCCTTACCTCGATTTCGATTATTGCTATGCCCAGATCACTCATGACTTCGTAACAGAAAACCAAGCTCAAGGTCGGGAAAAAGAAACCTCCCGCCACAAACCAAACTGATGTTTCCTTTCGCTCGCAAGGTACAGCTCCACATTGTATGAACATTTTTAATCTCCCTCATTCACCCCTTTCGTATGCCTTAAGCCATTGTCGTTCCCTCTCAAAGTATTATCGACGAGAAGGCTTCCTCTGACCTTGTTAACAGTCGCAAACAAAGCCTCAAAGATATTATAGTGCAATTAAAACATTACAATGCACAAACGCGGAAAGGTCTGTCCAATGGGTTTAGCATATGGGGTTACCGAGTAAATTGTGGGGATGCTGAGAACCGAAATTGACTACCAGATGCGTTGGTGGGGATTAAGGACCTTCATAACAGACATCCCGAGGCGCTACATGCCCATCTTAGCACACTTCTTGATGCTCTTTCCAAGCTTCTTGTTGATGATGTGAGTCTCAATGTAATCGCAATCCTAACAGTTATTGTTATTTACTTTTCGTTTAGGATGGAAACGTTCGAAAGACGCTGCTTTCCTTTTTGAAGGATTTGATGCCTACTATACCAAAGGTTATTTCCTAATAATTTGGCCAGCGGTTGCATGTCGTGACCTCCAACTAATACCATTGTTTATGTAGGGTCACTTTCGACCGTTCATGTCACTTTTGATGGCGTACACCTGCTCTGCTATGACACACATATCGGAAGATATTAGGCTAGACGGATTGAGGTTCTTAAGAATATGGCAGGATAATTACCCGGATTTAATCGCTACCTATGCAGACAAGGTCAGATTTTGCCTCCCTTATGTGTCTCCATTCAGTGCTCATGATGAACTGCAGGTTATTCCAAATTTCCTTTCAATGTTGTCAACCGGCGGTAAATCCCAGAGCTCATCTTCCATCGGTAACTACCCATGTAGTTCATCATAATGTGGTGTGGTGTAGCTTTAAACTTCTCTTAACAGGCACGGGTTCGTCTTTACTCGTGAATCCCCGCAGTCAACTTGGCAGCGCAAAGGTGAAAAGAACGATGAAATTCTTTTTTCTCATTCAAAATGCTGGACTTACGGTTTTTTTATTGATGATTATAGTCTAGAGTGGACGTTCTGGACAGTCTTCACAGGTTTCTGCAGCTGGTCCTGGAAACTGGAAACGATACGTAAGTCATTCATCCAAGCGGAAGATAGTACTATTAAAGGGTGAACATTTGTAAATATTACCCACAGCTGGTGGTTTCTGGCCATGTCCACCAGGTCCGAAGACTCGGCTAGCACCGATCAAGCGCCAGAATTTGTTGCTTATCAACCGGTATGTAACACATTACGTAGTAAAGAGAGGCTGGGATGCTAAAAGACTTGTCACGCTGTAGCGCGGTTTAGTTATCCACGGTTGGAGTGAGGTGCTAGGCAGGCCTCACCATGCTCGTAGCAGCCTTCGTGAAAGCGACCACCTAGATTTGTTTACCGCAACAAGCACATCCGCACCACATGATCGTTTAGTGATAGATCATGGTGGTAAGGGTGAGAATGTAGTGCGCAATCTGTACGACTTAGCAGAGTTTGACCAGTTGAAGGTATGTGTTATTGAATGCGGATTGTTTTGAGACGTTTGTATGGCGAAAGATTTTCCGATATCGTCTTACCGACGCCTTCAGGCTTTCACGGATGTCATCATGCCGGTCCTTGTTGATATATGGTTGGAGGCCTCACCGACGGCATTTTCTGCGGGGTCCATAACTCTATCACCCGCTCTTTCCGTCATGCATACTGTTTTGAGAATGACAAACTTGATTTGGAGGGCTTTACTATTCACTGAGAAGGTATGTATAACTGTTCCGGGGAACAGAGTAGCGATATACCCGCTAAACTTTAGGTCTGCAGAAGCGAGCAGACAGTGGTTGGGTCGACTCGTGGTTAACGACAATCTCCAAGCATTTTGCGGTTCACTTTCCCTTCGGAAGCAGCAACTTCTCCCTCCGGGAAAAGCAGGTATTGATATAGCGTATCGAAAGGATCAAGACGTCTGTATTGAATGGTCTTACAGGTGGATACAGTTTTACAAGATATGAATATCCTCTTTTGCGAGATTCTGTCCCATTTCCTTTTGGGAGGGCAGTCGAGTAAGCCGGAAGGAGCGTTCCACTGGCGGGACCGAATGTTTGAATATGTTCTGGAGTTGTTTGATGGCAAGGTATTTTTTGGGAATGGTGCTGCAACGCTCCCCCTTAGCTAATTCGATGGTCAAGAAAACGATGGATCGTTCTCCAAGAACGCCTGCGACAATCGTAAGCCTCACTAACCAGCAATTAGAAGCCACCTATCCTGTGCTATGGACGTTACTCAATACATTGGATAGCGGCGAATGTGCGGATCTAATGCGCGTAAGTACAGCGTACATTTTGTTTACTGAATTTACTAACGTCCATATTGGTAGGCTTTCTTACGAAATGCTCAGTTGTTAACTGACCTCCGATCTGCGAGACGCTCCTTCACCTTCATATGTAAAATACTAAAGGTATGCTATGATTGGGAAAGATCAAACTCTGGTTATCTCGACTGTGCCTTACAAGTTCCTCCTCCTTGTCTGCGACAGCTACAGGACCGGCGTCAGTATATTGGCAAGTTTAAAGTATCTGCAAATGAGCAGCTGTATGACATTATACAGAAATGGCTTTTGGGGTTGCCAAAAAAACTGTGGCAGCTAAAAATATCTGATCAAGCATTCAGCAAGGTACATTTGGGTACATTTTCACTCGCCGCAAGCTAGTACCACCGGTCATTGATGTCATCCATGCTGTTAGGATATCATTGACATGCTGGCATATACCCTCAGAAATGACCTTTGCGGATTTGCTTCCGACAAAGTATGGACATTGCCATATTGCATTATGATATGGATGCATCTTATTAGTGATTGACCTGCTTTCTTCCGTAGGCATTCACATCCGGTCTGCAGACCGCGATCATTCCATTTTTCCAGGTCACCACAGCAAAAGGTCCACTATTTGGTCCTTTCGTGGACTCTTCTCCCACCGTTCAACATGCTGCCGTAGCGTTGCTCTATTATCTGCCAGCGTGGCCCGATAAGCTGATTCGTGGAGTCGCCACCTGTGTGACAAGTAAGCGCTTGAGGTGCTGAGGAGTCTGCTCCTCTGTATGTCGTACTCACGTCATGCCGTCTTGCAGACTTTTCGGTATCAGCTGATATCGTCGGTCAGACACTTGAGATACTTGGGCGCCGACAAAATCAACCGGCAACGTGTCTGCCTCTTGAAGTCTACGCGAGCATTTTGATAACCGTAGGCATCGTGGGACATGTGACCTCGGAGATGGCTGCTTTGCAAACGCAGGACGTATCGAAACACCCGTCGGGGCGAATGATGATCATTCGCGGGAGGAATGAGGTCATCGAGGCGAAATTGAGAAAGAAGGAGATCAACGCCGATGATTTCTGGAAACGGCGACTGGCGATTACGCAGGTATGCCCATCGCTCGACGTGGTATCACGTATGGTCATGTTTGTTGATGGATCACACTCCATTGTGTCATAGCGAGCTCTCACTTTGTTGTCACATCCGTCTATCGATGGAGCATTGTTTGTACCTGCTTTGCAGGAATTGATGGTAAGCTGAAAGGAACTTAAATTGAGTCTCATCATATTAAAACCTATGTTGATCGTGTATCGTGTACCCAGCAGATGCAAGCACTACCAGTAGATACCTACTACGGAATCGCAAGTGCCATACATTGCATCGCCAAGTCTGCGGCATTGTCAAATTTGGTATCCGTGCAAATTACGGCAGATATCTCTCGCGCATTGATTGCCACAATGGAAATGAATTATGTCAGTGGGGATTTTCATCAGGTTAGCACTCTCAGTGCATGATTCTCGGGCATGCCAGCTGACGTCGGAGTGTTAGAATCGTGAGACTTTCGTTCATTGTTTCCAAATTTCATCGCTCCTGCTACTCCAATTACCGGATCTGGCGAGTTCGGTCATCAAGATGGTCTCGACGAACATTCAGGGTATGGTTTTCTTTGGTACCATGTCCACGGACCTTCTGCTGATAGCCCCCGCGGGATAGAACGTACTAGGGTTTCTGCCGATCAACCATCTGCCAATGAGATATGTGCGACATTCAAAGTGATGACAAGGTTGATCCTAGGAAATGAGCAATTGAGAGACCAAGTTATGGGTGGTGTCGACTCCCTCAAAGAATTACGCCTGATGGCGACCACATTGAAGGTATGATCCTCGCTAAGTGGCATGTATGTGACAGTTAGACAAATTTCTCATATACACATAGGACCTTGCGAAGCGCAGTGAGAAAGTAGGAACTGAGATGCTGAAGGAGGAAATTGAGATGCTTTGCCGGCTTTTGGGTTTGTAAAGAGTATGATGAAGGGGAGTGTAGTACAGATGAAATCCTGTTTAAGAGTCCCTTTTTATGTAGAGCTTAGAGTTAGATGGTTCTGTATATAATTTGTAGAATGGCTTTCCCGACTGCTGACATTTCTACTCTGTGTCATCTACTTCTTCCAAATATGAATTCACCTTTGCCGCCGCTATTTCTCGCGTGGAAGCCCAGCCTGGGAAGCCGGTAGTTGTTGGGTTTGCTGCTGCCCAGTCAACACTAATCTCCTCGAGTTCTGGAATTGCATCATCATCGTCAACGTCATCGCCGTGCCTTACAGGTAACTCTTCAATGAGAGGTCCCACTGTTGGTTTGGCCCACGGTGTTCGGAATTGGAATTGGTCGTTTTGGCTGTCGTTGTCCTCGACATCTGCTTCCTCTATTACTATTCTTTTTCCAGAAGTCGATAGCTCGGTGAAAGATCGAATGGGAGCTGCATTTCGTTCACCAATTTCTGCACATTTTGTTAATGTTGGCTCGTCAGCTTCTTTCGGACGCTCCTCTGGTTCCTTTATTTTGTCCAACATTTCATCCCGCAATTTCTCAACCTCGGGTGAAAAGACAGGCTCTTCCTCCTCGCCATATCTTTCACGTCGACGTGCTCGGGCGTCATCCTGAAGCTTTCTCAATGCTGCGTAGAGTTTGGTGGGTTCGTAACTAACTTTTCCCAGAGAAACCGCTGGCGGTACACACCTTCAAAGCTCCTTTCGTGCTCCTTCTTTTCCTCATCTTTTTGTCGTTGTCTTTCCTCTCTCTCGGCTTCTATCCCTCCGCGTGCCCTATCGACATTTTTCAAATAAAATTAAATGAAATCGAAACGTGCGATTATTGTAAGCTCCACGAAGACGCACCACGCTTCGACGGCCAGTCTCTCTTTATCAAAGACGGGTCGATCATCCAAGTATGTCAGCGTTCTGATGCGGGAGATCAATGTCCTTCTGTAGTTTGGAATTTTAGACGTCACCGGGTTAGACATGAGATTCAGAACAGCCTATGAATGGGAATACGAATGAGATAATGCTCTTCATGAAGCCAAGTGTGCAGTTTGAATCCCCACCAGATTAGGCATCAGTTCAAAAATTTCCACAATTTCCGGATCCTCAATTTTATTGTGGGATAAATCCAGGACAGTAATTGACTCGCACTCGGCCAGGTGAGAAATGTCCTCTTTTGATTTCAGGAAGTTGTGGGTGAGCTGTAACGTCGTGAGATTCTTCAACGAGGCCAAGTTGTCTATCTTCTTGAGAAGGTTATTGTTCAAACTGAGTGTATCGAGATGAATGAGCTCGTCTAGATTCTCGATGGTTTCGATGCAATTTTGCGCCAGGTAGAGACATCTGAGCTCGGTGAGAGCGGATAGACCCTCAATGGTGGATATCCCGTTTCCTTCCAGCCAGAGTGCTTTGACACCAGTGTACGCTTCTAGATTCTCAATCTTGGCAAACCCTACCGACAGTTTATCAGCTCTAATGCTTCTTAATAGTGGGTCCAAGACCAATTTGGTGCCCATGGCCACTAACTGCACCTTTGAAATGAAGATAGAGCTTATCATTCAGTTCCGGCGTTTGGTAAAGTTTCTGCTCTCGGCACAGCTGCTGGATATATTTTGCGGTCATGCGAGTGTTGCTGTTGGGCAGGCATGAGATTCTTGGCAGCGCATAACTGATGTCAGCAGTCTTACCCTTGGCCATCCAGTTCTTTCGCATCTCGCCTTGAGGGCCATGGCCGGGCCCCCGCGGTCACAGTTCTGTCTGCAAGAAGCATTGTGTGTCCACAGGTGTTAAACGTTAAACGTAATACACTGGTATTAGGTGGAAAGTACTCTTTAGACCAACCTGTGGCAGTTTACCAGGATCACGTTAGCTAATCAAGACGCGAGACTACGCGTTGCTGCGCTTCTCACATCGAGTAGAAACGCTCGCTCAACCCCACATCCAGGTCACCTTATCCAATGGCCACGACAGCGTCAGAGAGTCATACCGCTAATCCCGAGACCCGCCAAAACAGCAGTGAAGAATGGCTTCTCCTTCGAATCGGGGCGATACCACGCAACTCGCTTGGATGGTTTCGGTGTGGCGTGGGGTTTTATAACAAGAAGGATTATTCAAAGGCAATAGAGTGCTTTGAAAAAGCTGTGGAATTAGATCCCATGAATGTACGAATTATGAGGTGTCAGACCGTATCATGATGCATAAATGGTGTGCTGATCATTTCTCATTTATGATGTACAGTACAATGCGTTCCAAATAATGGCAAGAGCTTGCATAGCAGTCAATCGTAAGGCCCTGCTGAATCCGATATTCTATACTTGGAAGGATTAAGCTGATTTATGACATGCAGGAAAAGACGATGCCATAGCCGCATTAAAGCAATCTGTGATGCTCGACAATCCCTCAGATTGGTAGGCGCAACAATGTTTCCTATGTGCGAGATATGTTCGTCTGACTCTAAAACGTTTCCTCTTCTGCGTAGGCAACTGCTAATAGAGCTCACTTCAAACAAAGAGTGACCACCAGTCCAAGAACTGTCGTTAACAGACGGTTCGCCAGCAAACGGATTGCTGTCTATCATGGGTGACTGTTTTACGTTACTTAAAATGACATACTTGTTTAATCTTTACGTACGCACGGTGCTAAATACAAGAAAAAAAAAAATAGAACTACTATACAAGACAACTATATATCAGTATATCAGTGTCAAATTAAACGACTATTACGTATGTCGACTCATATTCCGTTAGCCGCCTGGGAATACTTTGCAAGATCTAAAGCAGGACAGCAAATCAGTATATGTGCATCACACATGTGCGAAGGTTCTAGTTACGTACATTCTGCCAGTTTTGGTGACATCGTGCGGGGAGATATCGTTGCTACCTCCTTGTTTGACTTTGACCCAATCGGTATCGGCTTTGAGGGTGGGCTTAGTGATAACCCAGGATGTAGATTTTCTTTCTTTGCCAGATTATCATTAGATTCAACAGGAACAGCAGCCATCTGTTGACCTCGCCTTAAAGTACGACTGAGTGTGGATGTCTTGGGGTCTGCATCTACGTATCAAAAAACATTGTAAGTTGCGGCTCAGATGCGTAATGCAAACACCAAGTGTGTGATATGTACCTCCCAGGAATCCGTCCCCAAAGTCGAAATCGATATCCAAGAAGTTGTTTTCTGTTCCGACGATTGTTGACAGTTGAGAAGTGGCGGAAAACCTCGCAGAGGGTCTTGCCTCGGCAGCCGGCGCGAGATGATTGGCGGAGGTAGTCGTTTGCTGCTGTTTCGGCTCGGGTAGCGGTTTCGGGTCACGACCGAGTTTGGAGACATAGTTTACAGGTCTTGGCTTTAAAGGCGGTGACATTGTTCGATATTGAATTGGAATCTTGTCGTCGTCAGTAAAGTTTCTCGCGGCGGCAAGATCTGGAATGGAGGGTAATGGCCTGGGAGTGCGACCAGTTGGGCTGCTGGGCGCCGCGTTCTGGGATGGTGGTGGTTCATAGAAACTGGGTTCCGGGAGAGCCCTTCTACCATGAAGTACGGGGCTTGGAAGCGACAACGGATCAGGAGAATTGCCATGAGTAGCCCACTGCTGAGGCGATGTCGGGGTCTCCGTTTGTTGATTGGGACTTGATGGGATGTCCAGAAGCATAGACGATCTCGACAAGTACTTGCTTCGTTCGACAGCGGGAACATAGGAGATTGGACCGGTTGGACCTGTGTGGCAGATGGTGTCGATTTAGCGAAAATCCCATTTTAACATGAACGATAATCATCTACCAATTGGGGGCGATTTGGCAATGTTTCCCTTCGTGGCGATACCTCGCATGGTCGCCGAAGCAGGGGAATTTGGAACCAGTTCCCGAAGGAAGCCTCCAGCAGGGGGAGAATGGTCTTCTGGGGGCGGCGTGTCCATAGCGGCATTGCTCTTTCGAGCTCTCCTTCGTGCCACAAAGTCGGCAACGTCCCCCTCATCATCTGACCATGGAAGTGCGCGTCTTCCTTTTGGAGGACTCAGCGCCATTGCTCCGCGAACTGTCCGTGGTGGTGAAGCGGAACGCGCTCGCAATGTTGCTTTCCAGTTTTTATCACGTTTACGGACGGTTGGAGCCACCTCCTCCGCAGGGTCATCGGAAATTACATTGTAGTGTTGCGGGTGCAAGTTAGCCATCATGTTAACCGTGGGTGGGGGTAGGATGGAAGCTGAATGGCAAACATTGATGGGAAGCTCAATCACCAGGTCCTTACTGCATGAATAATATCAGAATATGCTACTATAGCAGTAGAGATTATGACTTGGGTTCTCCACTCACTTGAACGTCCCCATATTAAGCGCAATGATTACTCGGCACGCTACCTCTGCCAAAGCGGTGTTGCGTACTGTACGAACAAAACGCTACAAAACGAACCGGACCACGGTGAGACTACTTGCGACGATACCTGCTTCTTAGAAAACTGCTTTACCGGAATGTGGATATTAAGGATGTTCGCCCTCTCCTCTCCAGGATCAAAAATGAAATCCTTCTCTTTGAAAGTTGTTTCGGATACCGACTCACTAAACATCTTCACATCGTTTAGTGGATCTTGAGCAGATGTTCCTTCCCGTAGCATCATCAACTTGCGAATTAATGATAACTTGATTCCTTGAACCTGTTCAATAAAGGACAAAATAAATCAGAAGTAAGTTAGACGGATCACAACCGACATTTTTGCTGCAAATGACACGTACTCGTCTCTTTGAGTCGTTTTTTACGCGAAGCTCCACATACACGTCATTCCCCGAACAAAAGAAGGATTTTTGAATGGTACCCTCAAGCTGAACTTCTCCGGCACCTCCAAACCAGACTTTCCGATGATTTTTTGCCCTTATTGGCTCATCTGTGATGTCCATATGATTGGCTTTCCAGTTTTCCACCACGAACGCCTCCTTTGATCTGAATAAACTGTCGCTTCGTCCATTTTGCTTATATTGAACCACCCTATGGTTGACGGCAGTCCACGTATATGAGAATCTCTGAGTGTGGTGCCGATTTGGGATGTCACTCTTACCCTGTGACGACATATCGTAAGCTAGAGATATTCTGGTACGCATAAGAGCTCGGTGCGTCATTTGGAAGGCGGAAAGCAAATGGGAAAGTTGTTTTGCCCTTATTTGCTTGCCAGAATCCATTCTCTCCCGGACCGCGGACTGCGTTTGAGGGAGGCATACGCTCTCCTTGAAAAACAATGCGAGCGGAAAGGAAGGCCTGACTTCGCTCGTAATCTTTATCGCTGACCTCTAATGTATAAATTATATAGTGAGTAGGTTTGCTAGCATCTTCCTAGCGATGGGCCTTAGTCTTACCTTCAAAACCATTGAGTTCAACAGATATCTCTCCTAATTTCAAGCTTTTGTTGGTGGACGATATAATTTCCATTCTTCCGTGTAGGTTTCCTCCAGCGACATATATCGTCGAGTCAAGCAATACGTTGACTTTTAACTTGGAACATTTTCCGGGGGTCGTTGGAACAGGGTTGAAAGCCATATTCGAGGTCGGCTTAAGTGCGCTATGTGCGCCTGGAGAGGCCTTTGGTGGACTTGTACCATACGAGCCATCGGACAAATTGCCGAAGGAAGAAGTGCTGATTTTGTGGTGCAGTTCTCTCTGCCCATGTGTCAAGCTGGCTATATTACCCACAAACGCCATGCCTAGAGTTATCTATGTAGGTGAGTCTAACGCGTGTGTGTGCTTTCGCACATCATCTGCAGAAGGATGCTCGTACCTATTTCCCTTAAAGTTTATTCGTTTACGAGATACGGTATTTGCCTATTCTGAGGTAGCCAAGATGGGAGTCAGGTGTGGGAAACCAATATCATCTGCGCATCGACTTGCGTACCCAACTATGAGATGAGATGATATACAAAAAGCTGCGCAACACACGCAAGTGAATGAGGAATGAGCCCAAAGCTTTATTAAAATAGGACAAACTCCTGCATTGGGTAGCGCATTACGTCCTGCCGGAAAAGTTGACAGCGCCGAAGTCCCCAAAGATCTGCCCACGCAAACTTGGACAGTTGCGGTTGCAAGGCATTCTAATGTGGTTGCACATTTCATTAATACACTGTGCAAAGACTTGGATTGTATTTGGCTCCTGCTTCAATAGAAAGAGTCGGAAATCCGTTCTACCCATGTTGCTCTGAGCATAAAAAGCAAGGTCGAAACGGTGATGAAGCGCCAGAACAACATCAAGGCAATGCCTTCTTGCGTATATCTAATGGCCAACCATTGTTTGTTTTTATTGATTCAACCCAAGTGGATAAGCCAACTGGAATGCATCAAGTGGTAAATACGAGCGCGTCGCGAAGATTACGCGTTTGCTTTCTTGTTCATTTGCAATTTGTCCTTTGTGTTCCGCTGTTACTTTTTACCCTTCAAGGCTCGGCACTTTTTGCTGGTGCAAACCACAAATCCCCAACAAAGTAGGCTGTGTAAAGGAGTTATAAATGAGCAATTCAGATATGTCACTTGAATATGTCACTTGAACAAGATCCTTCAACATGTGATAGATCTTGGATTGCCATGTGGGGAAGACATGCCAAAGGCACAGATTAAAATCGAGGACGGCGCGTCCCTGCACTTTGTGACCCAACAAACCAGACTATTGCTGTAGGAACAAAAGATGAGCCACATTGGAAGTTGAGGACGAAAAGTTATTCTTGATGATGAACATGATCTCATGTTCTGTGCATGCGCTAACGTAGGTGGAAGTTGCATTGCAATTATATTGATTAGGTAACAGATTAATTTAATATCGCTGTCAATTATACTAGAATATATCTCTTTATACTTGATAGCATCCAGTCATTACATAGCCTATAACGAGTGTTTAGTAGTGAGTATTATGACTGTGAAGCTCACTATCTAGTGTTCAATATATCCGCATAATATCAGACAACTTTATCTCATCCAAATGCGCTCTTCATGATACCTTAGAGTTGCATTCCATTGGTGGTAACCCTTCGTAGTGCGTTGGCATTAAAAGTCTCGTGAATAACAGGTTTGCGGGAGAGTCACGCCGATCGTGTGACTGTGCCAATGGCCTTTCCACAAGCAACTGACCTAACTCGGAAGGCCTTCAGTGCAAGATCTCATCGACACGTCAACAAAAGCTGCCATCTTTGCAACAGTGCGCACATAGGAGAGGTTCGACTGTGGCAAAAGATTAACTTTGTAACTGTTCGTCTCCAATCTGGGTTTTAGATGGTAGTAAAATTGGGGCTAGGTAGTATGAGGAATTATGGCTGATAATATGCGCCTTTCGTAGTGTTTGTGAGATTACCAACTGCCGAGAAAATGAGCTCTTTAAACAATCCTCCTTTGCCTGGGACAAAGAGATACACACTTCGGTCGTCTCTACCGCAAACATCAATAGCACATCATGTAATGAAATTCCAGACCCAGAAGTTTGATCTCGAATCGCTAGTACCGCCGGTCCGCATGGTCCGTGAGGTACCAAAACCACGAAAACCTGTAGAAGAGCCTACAAGCACCGAACCATCAGAAGCAGCTAACAAAGAGAAGATGGACCCTACCAAGGTTGCACCTTTCGGGAATGCGGTTAAAAATCGCCAGAACTTATTCAAGAAGAAGACAAAGAGTTACATATATGCGCGAGACCCCGATGATGATAATTCACCCAGGAGGCCGAGAAGAGATCCAGATAGATTTCCTTGGATTCTCTCGGATTTCGATGGTTCCCAGCAGTATACGGGGAATGTGGAGGGCATGCCAGAATCGAGTTACCTGATGCTTGCTGTGAGGGTATGCCGCTCAATTGGCTGAACGTACATTGACGCACACTATCTTACTTGAGTTTGGCTAGGGGGGATAGCCTTAAAGTTGTACCTGTTTCCAAATGGTACAAATTCATGCCGAAGCCTAAATATCGCACATTAACCGCGGAGGAAGCAGATGAAATGATGAAACTGCAGAGCCGTAAGCGGCTAGACACGTGGCTGATGCATAAAGCTCCGAAGGAGGTTAGTACTTTTAACCAAGATGTGTTTGTAATTGCACATATCCTCAAGAACCTGCCCATTCAAAGGAAGACGCGGCCATAGCCCCTGATTCACAGCCAAAGGAGGAGAAAGGCTGGATTAAAAAAATCCTGGAAGGGGAAGGTGACGAAAAGAACGGTCGGGCAAGGCGGCCGCGTTCGCAACGCGATGATGACGCAGGAGAGCTCGACTATGAGGAAGAATTTGCTGATGATGAGGAGCTGCTTTTCGGAATTGAGGATGAGGAGGAAGCCAAGGAAGCCATTAAGCGCCAGTACGGAAAACACGGGAAGCGATCGGGATTCTTGGACGATGAGGATGATGAGGATGAGGAGGAACATGATACCAGAAAAAAGAAAGGTGTTGGGAAGGTACGCTAGAGTTCGGAATGACATTTGTTGTAGCAGGAACTTCGACACGCCTTATTTTTCCAGGATTTGAGAAAGGCATTACGGAAAGCGGACCAAGCGGATGATGTTTATCACTCGGATGAAGCAAATCCTTACCTTAGCGATGAGGTAACAGCGTCTTGTTTTGCAGCATCTAACCAGGGTCCTTATGATTTCCCCCTCCTTGGTCCCCCGTAGGAGGAGAGTGACGAAGAAGAAGCCAACTCAGAGGATGTGGAGGTAAAAACGGAGCCAGGAACTGAGGATGCAGCTAAACAGAAGAAGCGGAAAGATGGTGAATCCCATGGGATTGCAGTTGGACTAGGAAAGAAGATCAAGAGGGAGGATTCTATCTCGCCTAGCGCATCTCCAGAGCATATCCTGATGGACAAGAAAAAAGCCAAGAGTTCAGCCAAATCGCCATCGCATCTGGGTAGCAGTGGGCGGGCGACAAGTTCTGTTGGAAGAGCCGCGAGTACATCTCCACTACATGGTAGCAGTCCGGCAGGTGCAGGCAGGTCCGTTACTGGCAAGAAAAGAAAAGGACCGGGTTCGGATGATGAGAAAGTTGAGAAGGTCAATTATCCTACAATTAGATCGTTCTACTTCCTTCGTGAAGTTTGTGAACTAAATTTCTTATGTCTACAGAAGCCTAGAACCGAATTCGCGCCTGTCACTTCCAGTTCAGCGTCAGAAATCTTGAAGCAGCTCGCCGGATCTGCTAGCCCACCACACCTTGGATCTTCCCGTCCTCCGTCTGTGCGTTCAAAAGCTCCGACTGGTCGCCCAAAAGCCGGCAGTGCACGGAATACCCCAATGACAGATAGCGCCGCTGCCGGTGGACCATCGGCGCAAGCTACAGCACGCAGTACGCCCCTTACCGAGGGTGGCGCACGCGGTACACCAGGGTCGGGCAGTGGAACTGGCAAGCGCAAGGTGAAGAAAGGCACTCCTGGTGGTACCCCAAGGACTAGCCCTACCACCGGCGGTAGTAGCAAACAAGGCTCGACTCGTAAGTAGATCTATTTAGGCCGCTCTTTGGTTCTTTTCTAATGCATACTCTCTCCCGAATGAAGGACGAGCGAACGCCTCGGACATTATCGATGTGTTTAGGAGAGAGAAAAAGGATGCGATGCAATTGGGAGAACTGGTTCGCGGATTATCACATATCATGGGGAAATTGAGTAAAGAGGAGCAACGCAATATCGTTCGTGGATTGATTAAGAACGTTTGCAATGTTACCAAGACGGATAGTGCAGCAAAAAGCAGCGGAGTGGTTCTTTCTGTCAAGCCGGAATTCAAGGATTGGTAGCCTAGCCGGTCCGGTCGTGGTGTGGTATTGCTATCAAAGTGGACATGTATATACTTGACATCGTGCAATACACGCTCAGAAACGAAACGGCAAAGGAATCTTCTTATCCAATCAATATGTACAAACAGACTTTGTAGGCCCTTCAAGTGGCAAATCTATACTACGATGTTTAACGTTGCGCATATCCATGCTGCTTGCGACTCGACGATCCATCAATGACTGTGTATATTATCAGCAGAAATAACGCAATGACTGGTAAGATAAATTTCCGGGGTCTCCTAAAAACATGATCGTCAACAAACATTGCACCTTTGAAAGACATTTTTCCCGTCTTAAACAATAAAGTTCTTACAGCTCGAGAGGGAAAAGGTCCCAGAATGAATTGATGTCCTCCATGTAAGGATAGCCTTTCACAGCACTAGTCCATGTGGCCTTCACCTCCTTAGGTCGCGCTAATTCTGCCGAGTACTGTTGAATCAATGTCGTTTCTTTCTGAATCTCAGCTTTTAGCTCCTTGGACCGTCTTCCTGCATTTTCCGTCTGTACAAGCAAGCTCGTCAGTAATCTCAACTCGACAAAGTCAGAGAGTTTGAGCCCACCTTGACTTTAAGGGTCCCAAATCTTGCCTGATAATCCTTGAACTCCACTAAATACTGCCTAGCTATCTCCGGGTCTTCTGCTTGTTTGAGGAGCTCCCTGCAGGTTACAGAATTAGAGCATGTCCTACTTTGACGATGCATACCGCGACCTTACCTCATTTGCAGCAAGTATTGACGATGCGCGTCAAACTCGGATTTCTTGGCTGCAAACACTCCCGCCGGATCCTCTAATACTGCTTCCTCTAGTGACATCGGAGGCCGATGTGCGGACGGTGTGGTTGTGCTCGACGTCTGCTGGTCATTGGAACTTGGTGAGGTAGGTGGTATAAAGTTGGATAGTTGACGGAGTGTTTGCAGTGTGGGATCGACGATTTGAGAGTTTGTTGACTGTCTCTCCTTTGTTGTGCTTTCCTGATCCTCCTTTTGCAGGTCCATCGTAACGGTCTTGGTCTGATCTGGTTCCAAATTGTCCTCTCCTGAGTGCGCGAGCCCTTGGATCCATGATCGCACGCGTGACTCACACAGGACAAGTGTCAACAGATGCGGCTGCGTTTGTCGTTTGTTGACGACTTGGCGAGTGGTTTTCCTTCCCACGCTCCATCTTCAATATTCTCCGCTCAGCCATGCCACCGCAAAGCGAGCCGTCACCCTTTACACCTCAAATTGTTCGTGGACTTAGCGACAAGCTTTACGAAAAGCGGAAGGCAGCTGCTTTGGAAGTCGAACGGTTCGTTTACTTTTGCATTCTGTAGCACATGTAGGATGGGCGGCGGCTAGACAGACCGTTAGATGGTGCAGCATGTAATATGGCGAACAACTGCCGCGATCTGCATAGGACAGCAAAGTCCCACGTTGCAGTCATAATCGTGATGCGGAAATACGATTGAGATATGCGGAATGTGGACAAACCAGAATAGTGGCAGGCTGCACATTGAAGACTAACAAGTTATTATTCACCAAACTAATGACCCTTGGTTCAGCCTCATACGTGACGCACTCACGACCAGCGATCACACACGCATTTCCGCAATTCTTCGAACCCTCATTGACGATTTTGCTTATTCATCCCTACCCAATGCACGAAATGGAGGATTGATTGCGCTCGCCGCTGCCGCAATCGCCCTTGGTATCGCAGACCTCTCTCGACATCTCGACGCGATTGTTCCGCCAATCCTATCCTGTTTCTCTGATCAGGACTCACGAGTGCGATATTATGCGTGTGAGAGCATGTATAACGTCGCAAAAGTCGCTAGAGGTGATATATTGAAGCATTTTAACGAGATTTTTGATGCGCTGAGTAAGGTAAGACAAAAGCGGTATCCTTTTGTGACGCAGAACCTAGTGTGATTGGCCGAATGCTGTGCGCTACCACTCGGCAATATCTTGAAGTATTCACCGCATCCTTCTCACATTCTACAGCTCTCTTCGGACGCTGAGCCATCCGTTAAAAATGGAGCGGAATTACTCGATCGCTTAATGAAAGATATTGTATCTGAGCGAGCTGTATACTGGGCCCCTACACAGTTGGAAGAAGGCCCTGAATCATTACGAAAGGCCGCAGAACAACCGACGTCACCGACCGTGGGCTCGCCATCCGCAAACCCGGTTCAACCAGCGGTTCCGCCATTGCCGGGCACTGTTCCTCTTTTACCAGGCATGAAACCAAATCAATTCAACCTTCCTCGTTTCATCCCACTTCTTGCCGAGCGCATTCACACTCTCGCCCCGTTTACACGAACCTTCCTCGTGCAATGGATATCTGTCCTGGACTCTGTGCCAGATTTAGAGCTAATTGCATACCTCCCAGACTTTCTGGATGGCTTGTTCAACTATCTTAGTGATCCGAATATTGATGTGCGGGTGGCAACCCTGAATGTTTTGGCAGAATTCTTAAAAGAGATTCGTGACGTAGTGGAGACTCAACGAAGTCGAGGAGCCTTAAAAATTCGTGGCAAGGTTACCAAACCGTCGAATGGCCGTACACATCGTCGAGCGTGGTCTGATGCCGGTCCCCCTCCACCATATTCTGTCGGTGGCATTCACGACGATGACATGAATGAAAAAGCAAGTGTGAAATCGTTGACGATATCCAGTGGTCCCGAACCTGTGGAGTCACCCATTGTAAGCAACGACGACCAGATACCAGCAGCGCATGATACAGGCCGAGAAGATGCGAAAATGGCATCAGACCTTTCGGAAAAACCACGGAATGAAGCGGTTGACGGAAGTCAGCCTTATGTTCCAGGACTAAGTGTTGTACTAGATATAGGACGCATGACAGAAATCTTGATTCCGCATCTGATGAGCACGGGTACGTCCGAATCCATACGTGAATTAAACTGCTGAAAGAGACTCAAATGCTGGGTATCCGACAGATGAAGAAACCCAGGCAACTGCGCTCCGTTGGATAAACGAGTTTATTATTCTGGCCCGAGAGGTCATGCTCCCTTATACGCCAATGCTCTTGAACGCCATCTTACCAAGCTCGGCGCACTCTGTGAATGATATCCTTTTGCATAGTTGTTGGCGCGCCCACTCGTATTTAAGATGGCCATTCCTTAACTCAAAACTATACCCATTAGAAACGTAGCTGTCGAGACAAATTCAAATCTTTATAAGCTTATTCTGGACCTTCCCACCAGTTCGCTTCCATCAGGAGAATCCCAAGTGCCCGTTGATGCAGCACAGGGAGGACCAAGAGCGATAACTGTGACGCCGCCATCGGAAGAGACCACATACGCAACGCCTGCATCTCACAACAATGGAGCCCAGTTAGATTCTATTGATTTGCATGCAACGGTGGACACACTCACCTTGCAATTTCAAGATGAACGGGAAGAAACCAGAGTGGCAGCCTTGGAATGGCTATTGATGTTGCATAAGAAGGCACCTCGACGGGTAATTAGGACCTATTTGGCAACCGACCTTGCTAGTATATTGACTGACAGAAACATATGCATGACCAAGGTTCTTAATTCGGATGACGCGACCTTTCAAGCCTTGTTGCGAACACTATCTGACTCTTCCGAAGAGGTGAGCTAGTCTTCTGCTCATCTGTGCTCGCAAGACAGGATGTCTTAAACATATGTTGCACTTGAAAGGTGGTCAAACGCGATCTTCAATTGCTGGCTCAGGTGTCGCAGCATTCCGATGATGAATATTTCAGTAGATTTATGGTCAACTTGCTCTCCCTATTTTCGACGGACCGGCGACTCCTGGAAACTCGCGGAAGTTTGATCATTCGACAGCTGTGTTTAAGTCTGAATCCGGAGAGGATGTATAGAACTTTTGCAGAGATTTTGGAAAGGGAGGAGGTATGGGTTTACCTCTTTTTCATTGCTATGGTCAAGGTGATATGCAACTAGTGGTTATACAGGACCTCGAATTTGCGAGCACAATGATCCAGAATCTCAATTTCATCCTCATCACTGCACCCGAATTAGCAGATCTGAGACGACGCTTGAAAAATCTGGACTCGAGAGTATGTTCGTACTTCTGTAATATAAAACTGATGCAACTTATTCACTGGCGACGAGAGCAGGACGGCATTCTACTGTTTACTGCTCTATATCGTTCGTGGTGCCACAACGCTGTTGCAGTCTTCTCTTTATGTCTTTTGGCACAAGCCTACGAACACGCATCAGCGTTACTAACACTATTTGCTGATCTTGAAATAACTGTGAATTTGCTGATTCAAATCGATAAACTGGTGCAGCTACTTGAGAGTCCCGTGTTCACATACCTGAGGCTGCAGTTACTGGAGCCCGATAGGTACCCACATCTATTCAAGTGCCTGTACGGGATCTTGATGCTATTGCCGCAGAGTTCAGCATTTGCAACGTTGAGAAATCGCTTGAACTCAGTGAGCTCGATGGTGTTTATGTTTTCGGGCGGGGCTGGCATGTCGGCTGGGTTGCCAGCTTCCACGGTTTCCGATTCGTCACCAAGAGGAAGTGTATCCGCATTAGGAAATCGAACGTGGGTCTACTCAGCACGCTTTGGTCGAATACTGCGCTAATAACTGGTTTTTAGTGGCAGCCGGCCGAAGGCCGGAGAAGCTTCTCCACCGCCGCAAGTACGATGGAATGAGCTACTTCAACAATTCCGTTCTGTCCAAGCACGCCATGAGCGTAGTCGACGACTAGGTCTGCAGTGTTGCATCAAGACAACGTATATCAAATGCTCAATGGCGTTTCCTGGTTTCAGGCGGACGAGGCAGCTTGCCGTCGCTGGATCGAAGTGGCAATTCTAAGCGGCGAGTACGGTCCTCTCGCGCGGATGAAATAAACGGGGGTGATGATTCGTCCTCGCTTCCGCATCTCTCAGCAGGGCATGGGAGCGGTGATCACAGTCGAACGATGAACCCGACGATCACAAGAGAACGATCAGGAAGTTTTGCATCTTCAAGCGGGGGACGTTATTCGAGAGTCGGTAGCGGAAATCCTGGTGGGAGTCCTGGGAGGTCCAGTAGTGAGAGTTCCCGCGTAGTACGGAAGACGACTGCTCCTGGGTTTGGTGTAAGACGAGCCCAATGAGTTGAGAGTTTAATGTGAGCAACTTTGATCTAGTTTGCATAGATAGCAGTATTTTATTGTATAGGTAGTAGCCAGCTTATAGGTATAGCAGAGGGAATGTTGACATGCTTGTCCGTCGCATTACAAGTCAGAGATATGGTCTTTTATCCGGAGGCTGTGCATTAGTTTGTGCACATGCCGACAGAATAACAGCAGAGCCATTTTGACACAGCCAAAGCAGCCTTCTTCGCAAAAGTCAATGTTCTCTTGCCTACGACACGAACTTGACTATACCTATCATGGTTTCAACCTAAACATCATTTTGGCCGAGCCATGTGGTTATTATAAGCACGAAACAGAAACAAAGCACAGTTATTATCTTCCACCAACCAGCTCCCTGTTGCGACCCCACCAGTTTCTTCCCATCATCAAGGAGCTGAACAAGGGAATATTGAAGGTCATCTAACCACTACAGTTTTTTGTGCACTTCCTACCAGCAACTACCGTATCTTCATTACGTCGATCTTTATTAATAAATGCCATTTTCCACTTACCTCCTTGCTCAACACATTCTAGATATAGGTAACTTTCTTCCTTCTCTATTGTCATCTATTAGAGCCCGCCAATTTAACTCTGGGGCTTTCAGTTAGACAAACAATCATGAAGTAATCTTTGGGAGTCACAAAGGTCACTAGTGCTACATGGCGAAATATCAAGCTTTGGGGTGGAGGTCAAGGAGAATGGAGAAGATGATGATCGGTCTGACAAAGTGTTACCAGCATATCAAGATGCTGGTGGTTCGGTTGAGGAAATAGTACTTCTACTACAGGCAATTCACATTTAACTGCCAAAACAACCATCTGCACTACAGTGAATGCACTAGAGTCAAGTCTATTGACGCTACATCTATACATGCCGTGTGACTACCAGAAAATAGCCCATTGCACAGATGTCTGCCTTACTTCAATTCGGGAAGGTTGTAATATAATTTGAGTGATTCCGGGTTGGCCAGCGTACCACTAGGGATCAAAGTCTCTCCCGAAATGATCCTTTTCACAGCCACTTCAACTTTTTTGCCATTGACAGTGTACTGCAAGCGGCAAAGTTCAATAAGATCTCTCCTGCTGGTTGAAGAGCATGTGTCATCTTACCGGGATGTCAGCGATGGGTAATATAACGGCTGGTACATGGCTGATGACAGAAGAGATCAGACAACTGGACAAGTGGTAACCATTTGCGCAATACTAACCGTGCTGAGAGAAGGCCCTTTATGGTGGATTTGATAGACTCTACAAATTCGGGGGTAAACTGGTGTCCGTCCGCCATCTTACAGAATAGGATAACTCTTTCGTCGGCTCCGCGCTTTTGCCCGACCTGGGACGATACGATAATGGAGTTAAATCGGCTGTGGTATATCAATCAGGACTCATGTAGATCTACCAACCACAAGCGTGTCAGCAAGCTGTGGGAACTGGTCCACTAGATACCAACAGGTAGGTTTAATATAGAGCCCAATAGATCACTGCTAAAAGAACATACAGATGTTGTAAAGTTCAGCACTGCCGAATCTGGGAGGCGTTGTCAGTAAGGCTAAAGGATGATAAAGGATCTGATGCGCCGAAATATACCTGACACCTCCCGGATTTAGGGTACCATCGCTGGACGGCGGCAAGTGACGTTTGTACTTTGAGTGCAGCTGCAGACGATCACCAGCAAAGCCAAGGTCTCACCTGCGACCAAGCATGTGAAATCCGCCAGTTTTTGAGTTAATGAGTACAAAGTCTCCATGGTACCAGACACCCTCAAACCGAGAAAAGTATGCGGCTCTGTACTTTTCATTCTCTGGGTCATTCCAGAAGTATACAGGCATAACAGGGAATGGCTCTGAAAGAATAGCACATTCCCTTCTTAGCAACGAGCTGATGAGTAGAAAGACGTAAAAGGCTAGACGCACTGGTACAGATCAGGTCTCCAGGTTCATCGTACACCGGCTTGCCTATAAAGATGCAAATCAGTTAGTCAACAAAGCGAAACTACGTGTAAAGACGTGTACTTACCCGCGTCGTCCCACGCTTCCACGCTCATCCCCAGACCTCGACACTGGATCTCCCCACGATAGACAGGTAACGCAGCATTATGACCCGCAAATAGAGATACAATATCGGTGCCACCTGCGATAACCAGAAGAAATTCCAGAGAAATTTCCAATCCACTATGAAAAACGCCGCCCACCTGTAATTGAGCCGAGTAACACGTCCTCCTTGATTTGTGTATATACATAGTCGAAGCTTTCAGGCTTCAATGGAGATCCGGTGGAGTAAATGGTTCGCAGGGTACTCAGGTTGTGGGACTTGACTGAGCATGAAAGCAGGACAACTTAAGGATTGTTTCATTGATTGTCGCATACTGCTTCCACTTACTTGGAGTCACCTTGGCCTCTTGTAAGCTCTGAATGTACTTGGCAGACGTGCCGAAAACAGTAATCCTATGGTGTGTCTTCATAAACACCTGACAGTCCCAACAACAACTGCTAATCAATATGCGCTTACTTTAATTCATCAATCAAGTCCAATAATCGCGCCGGAGTGGGCTTGAAAGGGCTGCCATCGTACAAAACCTAGGAATGATTGGTTAGCCGTCAACCGGGTGTTATGCAGACAGCATCCAGGCCGCCTTACCAGAGTCGCTCCAGCTAAAACATGTGATTGTCTAAGATAAGTCGAACGCATTCAAATTTGGCTCTGAAAACATGCCTTACTCACCCACCAAACCGCTGACAAGCCAATTCCACATCATCCAGCCAGTCTGTCGGAAGACGTCAAACATCGGTGTGCCATTGGCGACAATGCAGATTAACCCACAGTTGTATAGTAAAAGAATACATCGTCTTCTGACAAGTCCCCATGAATGACATGCTCTTTGAGATGCTGAATGAGGATGCCCTACGATGCCCGGACTTCAATCCTAACTGCGAAAGCTCGAGTATGAACACCAGGGACGTTGGCTTACCCCTGCGGAATGGACAATACACTTCGGTTTTCCTAATTTTTCCAAACATGCGTAAGCATAGGATCAAAAGGGCCGCTTGTAGCCGCAGATACTACTTACCTGTGGTCCCAGAGCTGTACAGAATAACCAAGGGATGGTAAAACGGGAGCTGCTCAAAGATGATGTCCCTGCCATCATCAGTGATCAGGAAGTCCTTATACGTCTCTCTGCAGTGGATCAATTAGTATCACAGCCAAGTCTAAGCCATACCAATATGTTCTCAAACCAACCCCTTCGGGATCATCGTTGCATCGAAGGGCTGCTCAACGAAGGGTATAATGATCACTTTCTCTAATGATTCTAAACCTTCCGCAACCTCCCTCAATTTTCCTAGGTGATCATGAGCTTTGCCGTTGTACATCACCGCGTTGACGGAAAACAGGATCTTTGGCTTCACTTGAGAAAATCTCTCCAGAACTCCGGTTACGCCAAAGTCGGGAGATGTTGATGACCAGATAGCGCCAAGACTGGTAACGGCCAAAAACACAATGACCTATAAAAATAACCTCTCAGCAAGGGACAGACATCCTCCTTGTCAGGTCCAATTTACCGTTTCGGGGCAGTTGGGAAGGTAACCCGCGATACGATCGCCTGCCCGAACACCATGTCTGCGAAGCGCTGCAGCACATGCCCGAACGCGCTCATACGTTTGCTTGTATGTGTATTGGACATATAGGTGTCCTTCACCTAAGTATATGCATGTAAGAGCGGATTCGCATTGCTATAGTGGTCCGAAGATTACTCGCCAGCGCCAATGAGGGCAATATGATCATCGCGTCTAGCCAAAAGGTTTTCCGCAAAGTTTAATCGAGCTCCCTATGTCCGAATATGCCGTTAGAGAGATAGGACATACAGCTGTCACGTTTCTCCGGCCAGCCGCCTTACCTTGAACCACTTGGGTATATTGTCCATGGAGACGTCGCGTTCAACCACCTACCCCATAATCAGAATTGTCGACCCCATAAGACTCGAAATAAAAGTCCCAGAACCCACCTCTGTATAGGGAACTGAGGCTTTAACTCCACAGTACTCCCAAACAGACGCCCAAAATTCCGGATAGTTTTCCACCGACCATTTCCATAATGCATCGTAATTTGCTTTTATCACACATAACATCGCAAGTATTAGACACTTCCAGGGTACTTTGGCATTTCAAAAGGACTAAAAACACACCAAGCTTTAAATGATATCTCCTTTCAATGAATGACTTGAACTTTGCCATTTGAGTCTCCTCGGGACGCGAGGGCTTCCACAGTAGCTTTGGTTGCTGAAATCCGTTCGTCATGGTGCAATCAAGAATAATAAAGGGGAGCGTTTGAGACCAAGTACGCAGCAGATTCCTGAGATCACACTTGCTTGGGCTTTGCGAAACCCCGGCAGAACGGGCATCCTCCTCCAAGAGTTGTAGACAGTTGTATTGTGAGACCACAGTGGCTTAGTCGCGTGCGCGCCCCCGTGACTCGGGCTTGGAAGGGGTTCGAATCACGTCGACAGACGAGGCATTCAATACGATGGTCGGTCTGGAGATACATTATTCATCTCCATCTCCAGCAGTTGTTAAAAGCGAATGGTCCAGTGCGGTGGAGAATTCTGTTCATTCATCTGGCATTGAAGTGCGTCGCTTGCCATACTCTCGAGTCATTGCACAATTGTCTATCGGCATGGCCCCCCTCTCTGGGTTGACTTCTTCATGTGCCTGCCACGGATGTGTCAACGGTAGTACATATCTCAGTGGTATAGTAGGTCGTACTGTAGCATGGAGCTAGGGATGTATTTGACAACGTAGCGCCAGCTTTTGTTAACAGTAGATGACACCCTGGGCATCGTTGCAAAGATCCCGACCTAGCGATGGTTTCTTTGGAGCTTTCGTGCAAGCAGAATATCTTTCTCGTTGATGTTGAATGTGGAGATTGGAAAGACTCTGCGCAGAATAGCTGTTCAATCCGCTATTGGGTGGCATTAACCGGTCCGACCAACTAGTTTACAGCCGAACCAGACCAACTCGACATGGTGATTTTTTTTTTATTTCCGAGGGCTATACAAAAGCATTGCATCATCGTCATCGTCGTCCTCATTCAGTGCGAGTGCAAAAAGTCGATGCATTCGTCTTGATACGAAGACCACAACTGAGGAGTGTGCTGCGCGTATGCTGAAGCAACGTGTTCCATTATTCACGGGAGTCTGGTCACACAGGCAGGGTGAACTGTCAGCCAAGTTGGAGGGCGGAGCCATCCATTACATTCCACCACACGTTGCCCCTTCCTCTGCTTCTTCCTACTCAAATCTCACTCGTCTACGTCTTCACCTGTCAATCTCTTGTCCATGCGACCCACCCCATCCCTGTAGCTGCAATTGCTGACGGATCACACTGTAGACTTCACCTTGGTCCGCGAAGGAATCTGACACTGGCTCCGAACTGTGGTTACAGGAGCGCACCGTCACAGTCGCTCTGTGGTCACATCATCTTGGCCCTCTGCATGAGGTTGCGTTTTAGAAGAATTGGGAGCCCCCTTCTATGAAGTTTGAGGGGATCAACCGATCTGAGCCCAAAATGCTCTATTCTTCTGCGCCAGAGCAAGCCAGCGCAAAAACGACCGAGGAAGATGAAAGCAGCCAGCCTTCGGTTATTAATATCAACGTTCACCCAGACGATGCAAAGTGTGCAGTATTAATGGCTGTTAGTGTTTCTGGCTGTCGTAAGTCACTCTGCGGCTCATCACTAACTCAGCAATTCCACGTAGTGCATGAAGGCCCTCATTATGCTCGGCAATCGGCCGTGTTCTCCAAAGGAACTTGCTGCATTCATTCTAAAGCACAAACTTGCTACCCTCGGGTATGTTCGTACATATGTTTTCTCAGCTTGTGCGTTTACCAAACATAACTTTTAGTGGTCAAACACCATATGCAACGGTATCGTCGCGAATTTCACAACATTTTAAGCGATGTGCGGAAGGTGTCCGTCGACCTCTTCTCGGCAAAAAGGCGGTCGTGGAATCCAACAGACGAACAAATGTGGGAATGCCACGTAAATGGCGATATTATGTTGACCAAGCAGGTGTGCCGGTTGCCGACGATAGTGAACCCATCGAGGATATTGAACCTCTCTTGGGCATGACGGGAACTGATATCGAGCAGTGGAGGAAAAAGCATGGTAGCGAAAAGGATGGCTCGTCTTCAAAGTCGGGAAGCGGATCCCGTGAAAGCTCCAAGGCGACTTCCGGTAGGAAGCGATCGGCGGGTGATCATCCGCGTAAGACTCTCAAAGCGGACGGAACACCCGTAAAAAGAGACCCACACTCTCCACCTCTATCCGCACAGACTTCGGCCAAGGGAAGCCCGGAGGCCTTTGAAACACCTTCAGGTAAGAGGGAACGACCTCCGCAGCAAGAAGCCAGTCCAAATGAGGAAGGATCTTCAGGCGACGAACCATCGTTAACTCCAACATCTGAGCCATACGAGGAAATAGTCAAACGTAAGGATCTTTTCGCTGCCGATGCAATGGAGACGTCCCATGAGGTTGCTTGCAAGATGCTGCAACATCATCGCACGGAACTGCAGGACGACTTCCCGGTGAAGATGAAGCGGATCCGGGCCGATTCGTGAGCATAGAGAACTCGGCTGTAGATTTTGATCGTGCGCATATGCGGGTGGTGTATTCAGGGCTGCCCGCCTTTTGGTATTCTGTTTCAAACCATATACAAATAGCATTTCCCTATGGATGGAAAGCTCCTTCTGTGTCAAAACAAGAGAAAACGAAAATCAGATCATTTGCTTTTTCTGCGTGTATTACAATCTCATTCCACTGGCTCCACCGCAGTCTACAAAGATCTATAACGGTCCTTATGCGCGTAAACCGTTCAGACAGGCCTCTTGAACCAGATGAGGCCAAATATAATCAAATTCTTGAATTCTTGCATGTGATCGTACACTTTTTGCCAAGGTCGTTTGAGTAAACTTCTTCGCAAAGGATTTCCAATGGCTGAGACGATTGTGTGCGGTTATCCTTGACTGGCTGAGCAACTCATGACAGCATCGCTCATCGTACTCCCGCGTATCTAGGCCCATGTTTAGCACGAAAGGAAGGACACTTTCCGGTGTCCTACTTAATGTGTATGAAGATAACTGTCCAACCGTCCGTTGCAGTGCACCTGAAACACATGATAGTTAATGCGGACGTTTTTCTCCCTTTCGATTTGCAACTTACCGAAATGACCATTAGCATCCTCTAATTCTTCAATCGTAACAACCTCATTACATATCTTTTTTATTGAAAGATGACACAATCGAGATAGGACGTAATAACGGAAGAACGGAAGCGTTACCGCCGGGTTTTCATCGGCCATAAAGTCTAGATGAGACACCTCTGGCAGCAAGGCGAGGTGGTTGATCTACAGAACGTGATCAACGGATTGCTATAGTGTATGTCAAATGACAAAATACGAACCTGTTTAAGCCTAGTCAAATTATTGTTGGAGAAGGCCACCGTGTGCAAGTTTGTGAAGCGTCTAAGTTTCAATAGAAAGTGCGCGATCTTTGGGAAACTAACGTAGGTAAATCGAACCGTGTGCACGCTACTAGGATCTATTTTGTCGATCATGTTAATTGCGTCGCCGTATCTAAGTAGGAGTAATGAGGTTTTTGATCAAATCAGCGGGCTGAGTGAGGAAAGTACTCACATTGCAAGTCGACCATTGGTGAGCTCAATGTATCCATTTTCGCCATTGAAGATTTTCACTGAACGTTCATCAATGATCTTTACACTGCAATTCCGGATACCAGAATGTTAAACCGAGACTTACCTTCCTCCACCAACAATGCTTTGGAACTCCTTGTTCTGGCTGCACTGCTTGCTCTCGAAATAGGTTTCGATAGGCTGGAGCGACTTGCTAGCCATGGCACATCTGGTGGTTGAGGCCGTGACTTTCTGTCGTTTGCATCATTCACGGAACGCTGTTCCAATCGCACTTCTATGCTCCAATTACGCTGAATGTAGGCGATCACACGTTCTCTACGTTATAATTAACTCAGTAAGCAGAAATATGTTCCCTCGAATTTCACCACCATACCTCTCCTCTCTTTGCAAGTTCATTCTCTCAGACTCCTTCCGGCGCTCGCTCTCTCTTCTGGCAATTTTTGTTGCAGCTCTTCGTTCTTCATCATTAATTCTCTTTCCATCCAAGGTTTTGAGCGAACGAATGCGGTTTATGACAAATGCCCGGTGGAAACCATCCTTGCATATTGGGTTGCTGTCTATGGCGAGGTCTAGGTCATGATACTCCGTCAGCGCATATGCGATATCTGATAGTCTCAAAAGGGCCTGAATGACAACTTTACCATTCAAATGGGGCAAGCGCAACACATCTGAAATATCATCGAATGAGGTGATTTCATTGTGATTGAGCATGAGCCTTCGCAGACTGTCGAGCTCCGTGATGTCTTTTACGACGGATATCTATTAGATGACAGCTGAGTGCTGGGAAGCCAAGCTTGACGACAATACAAGAATAGGGGTAAAAACCTTATTCCGCTTCAAATTGACCTCGGCAATGGATCGGAGCCCCTCTAACTGGGATACGTCCTTGATACAATTGTCCTCTAGATTCAACACTCGGAGCTCTGAAAGATGACCAAGATTCTCTGATGATACAAAAGGTCAGCACGCGAGATTGCAGCTGGAAATACGCGAGATGATACTCACCAATAAGCTCGATCTGATTACTATGCAAATCCAGCACATCTAGTTTGCTCAGATTTTCCAATCCCTCAATTTTGTGTATGCTGTTTCGACCCAGCATCAAAACCCGCAGATTTTGCAGAGATTTCAGGCCACTAATGCGCTACAGCTGTTAATCAGAAAAAGATCACAGGATATCGCTCATCAAAGTGATGGTCTCACTTCGAGATGATTGTTGTAAAAATCGAGGAAAACCAAGTTGACAAGGTGATCGAGATGTTCAATCTTCGTTATGAAATTATTTTGGTAGTTTAATAGGCGCAGGCGGGTCTCGTTTGGAAGAGTGAGGCATGTCTGAGAACACAGACCTGGTCAAACCGCTAACAGGAAAAATGGACAGACCAGTAACTACGCACGTATAGGTTTTGTCGATTTAGATTTAGACGTTCCTTTCCGCCTTCCTGCTCCTCTGATGTGCGATGTAGCTAGACACAAAACTACGGTCAATAAGTACCATTCAACACCACATTCGGTATGTAGGTGCCAAAAATGCGTTTATACTACCCACTTCTTGATTGATTGGCGCTACTTGCCCAATATTCCCTACTTCAGCGTCTCCTGCTTTCGTAGCCCAAGTACTCACAGGTTGATATGGAACACCACTTGGCTCACACGCATGTGCAATAGGGCAAAGCTGTGAGACTGAGGATGCGCGGGAGGCTTGTGACCATCGGTCGCATGATCCACTACGAACGGCGGGCGGTTTAGGAACCATGTCGGCTATGGAGTTCGCCGACACGAGCGTTGTTGCGGAAGAGTTGATTGATGCTGGGTTGGAATGTTTAACGGCGGTTGGAGACAGTTGCTGTGGTTTGCGTGGAATGGATAAGCAACGCGGCGAACACATCTTTCATTACTCTCTTATACGCGCACCCCTATAAATAAGCACGGGGAGGGAGACCACGCATGCTTCGTTCCTGGTAAACGTTTAGCATTTCGTTCAAACGCTCGATTGGGAAGGAAAGCAGGTGCTCACCAGCTGATGCAGATGCAGGTCGATTTTGACTCTGTCTTTTCCTAGACTCGCACAAGGTCGCCAGCTAACCAATCCATGTCATTAAGTCGCGGACCAATGCAAGATCCTTACAAGTGACCACGTACTAGTCTCTCTCCACTTGGTTTGATAACTGCCAGACCGCCCATATATCGCATAGTGACTTCTGATATTGTAGCCCGCCTACCGTTCCCAGTATGTAAGCATCTTAAAGTACATGGTATGTGTAGTCACATTTCATTCATAGATACCCCATATTAGAAGCGGTAGACGGTCTGGTATCCCCACCATTTTTGCCCTGTTGTGAGCCTGCCCTGCCCTTGGGCGCGGGTGCAGATTGGGGCCTTTGGCGGCCGTCTTGTTGAAGCAGAAGGGGGGCTGGTAGAGATGCAGGGGACACTCGGTTCGTCCTTTTTGAGGATTTATTGGAACTTGCGGACGATGCACGTAGCATTGTTCGAGGGATTATGATCGTCCCACAACCGATAGCGATCGGCTTGGCTGGGAAAGACCGCGCTGCGCCACTGACTATTGCTTACGTGAAGCGCGTCTTAATGACTCTGCTGCTTTATTCCACGACCACTATCCCGTCTAAATCTTGCCAAAGGCGTAGCTTAGTCTTTCTATTAGCTGTCCTATGAGGCTATCCTACTCTACAAAGACCTCATAATTCCGTTTGGCGCTTACAATCTGGTACGCGGGACAAGTCAATCGACAAAGACTTGTTCGTCCACGACTGCAAATTCTTCAAAAAATGACTGCAAAGATTACAAGTCAGGAACCGGCAAATTCAAGATGGATCGGCGCTCGGCTTGATAGACAACCAACCTCAAACAAAGCCACAGCGTGCTTCACATCCTCCACTCCAGCCGTCTCCCGGATAGAGTGCATACTGAGTTGTGGGTTTCCGACGTCTTGACGAAGATTTCATTGTATTAGCGTATATCCTTACGGCCATGGGCTATAGTTCCTTACCAATCGTTCGTAATCCCAACTTAGCACTCAGCATTGGCCCAATAGTGCTACCACATGGAGAATCGTTCCTGACCACAAATTCCTGAAGAGGGACGTTCCTCTTTCGTGCCACTTCCCGGACGATAGCCGTACTAACAGCAGTGGTTGCATATCGCTGATTCGCATTCTGCTTGATGACGACTCCCTTGTTCATAGCAGGGCGGTGGTTTTCTTCGTGTTTTTCGAGGTAGTTAGGGTGTAGTGCATGTGCCATGTCCGCCGAGATGAGAAGAGATCGAGTCATTGCGCGCTCAAAGCTTGACTGATAAGGGTCAAGGGAAGGGTGCAGAGAAGGGCAGGATGACTTTAACACTAAAATCCAATCCGACATCTTAGCGGCAAATTTCCCGCCAAACGTATTGCCTCTGTCGGGGAACGAAGGGAACCGTATTGACGGAACAAGACCCACCTCTGCCTTGTCTCCTGTTTCCACTTCCGCAGCAAGACGTCTCAACGTGATCTCCAATAAATTCGATCCAGCACCATAGGATGAGACGGAGCCCACTTCCTCATTATCGAAAAGCACAACGACTCGGATGTTAGGGTCTTTTTGCAAACTGTCACCCTTTGTACTGTTGACCAAAGCCTGAGTTTGGTCCAAGGTTAGTTCATCAATAACGGTCACGAATGCACTCAGAATTGTGTTTATGGAGACGCACCGTTATGGAACAGTAAGACATCATCAAATTGTCCAATCGGGCAGAAAAGATGTATTCATTCTGAGCACCACCAATAGTTGAAGGCTGCGTGTCATACAAACACAGCTCAAAATCACCCAGTTGGTCCCCTAAAGTACTTTTAGTCATGGCGCTCAATGAGAAATGGTCAGCGAGACTCTTACCATCAAGCTTCAATTCATCAGCCAGGATCTTGAGAAGTAAAGGGGCGTGCTTATCTTCATTGGGCGCCTGGTGGACCGCATTCTTCTGTTCGGCGTCGGCATTCAACCTACGTCATATTTGTGAGTGATGAAGTGTACAGTACAATAGCTTCTAATATCAAAATCAAACATTTTGGTAGCCGCTGAAGCTAAAATGGGAGTGAGCTGGACCTCATTGTTGAACTTGAAGCCTTCAGAGACGCCGCGATCCAAGTGAATAGCTAGCGTCGGGATGCGCAAAATTGGGCTACAGGTTATTAACATAAGAGAAAATCAATATCCCTCTCACTGAGACAAATACGTTAGAAGACAATCATAACTTCCAGAACATACCGGTCGACGCGCACCAAGCGATGGTCAAGCTTCCCCTCTGCTGTTCTTACCAAGACACGGCCCGCAATCCTGAAAAGTTTACAGACATATTAGCTGGACTCGCCAGCATGAGTGAACATAGAGCTTGATTGCCAACCCTAGGTCTCGATCAAACCACGTATGCCTTATTTGATAATGAGCTCATCTGCAGGAATTCGCCAACGAGAAGAGCAGGAAACAGGCTTACCAGAGGCCTCCCCCGTAAAGTTGCACGCCGACTTGAGTGTAGCCGCCTTTCTCTTTCTTTGAGTGTGGTTTAACCTACAAACAGTGGAGGCCCTAAATCTATCCTGCCTCAAAGAATAATAACAGATAAGAACGACCCCTTTTGATTGACATACCTTCAAACATGGAGAGTCTGTATGCGCCCCAACCACAGAGAATCCATTTCCGCTGACGTATTTTCCACCAACAGCAAACGCCGTGATCGAGCTCTTGTTCCTGGTGAAGAAGTACTTCCCTTCCCGACGGAGTTTTCCGCTCCAAGTATCGCGTTCGCGGATTTCCTCAAATCCAGCGGCAAGGAGACGCTGCCGAGACGTTTCAACAGCGTGAAACGGTGAAGGAGACGAGTTGACAAAGTCGATGAAGTCTGAAGCGGACTGCGTGGCAAGTGTTGACGGAGTGGAGGTTGTGAAATGAACGGTTGGGCGATGCGACGTGTGCAAAAGGCAAGTAGAAGGTCGACCGTAGGTTAGAAATCGCTATTTGAGAGTCAACAAAGCATCAATTCCGACAGACTGCCGACAATCATGTCTCCCCTTACCATGGTTTTTGTAGGATTCAAGATCGGATTGCGCAAACCAAAACACACCCCAAACTCGAGTGCGCGTCCAGTTGGATCTTGTAACACGTGACCTTCTTCGAATATTCACGGGGCAGCGGTGGCTAACGAGGACTTAACCCTCTGGCTGCATTCTTTCATCTTGCCATCTCTGCGCCTACCTTCCTCCCTGCGCCTCCCGGACGCTTATGCCGCAAAGTGGTGAAGCCCTTGGAACTGCCACAAAGCCGTAGGCTGCCGACATATTTATAGATATATGAAGCAGCTGGACCATTTCGACTCAACTTGTTTTGGACACCAAGTTCGTACTGTTTCTCTAAACCCACATACAGCAAGTCAACGACCCACGACTATCGAATTCACTAGAATACCTCATCCCTTCAACCTCGAATCATGTCCGCGCCTGCTCCTGCTACTCCTTCTCGTCGAGCACGACCACGACCTGTGCGACTGGGTGTGTCGCCAATAAATCTCAATGGCCTGCCACCACATCAAGAACTCGAGTCTCCTTCAGGCGCTCTTGTTCCACAGCTAGCTGAGCTTTCCCTCCCACAAGAAACAAAGCTAGATCTGAAGAATGAAGATATTGACATCTTGAGCGAGCTGGGTGCAGGCAACGGAGGTACTGTTCACAAAGTCAAACATGTGCCAACTGGTACTATCATGGCCAGAAAGGTAAGACTCAGATGCATATCTAGTATCATGCTGCTGTATGGATTCTCAATGGCCTTGTCACAAAACAGGTCATTCACGTTGAAGCCAAGAACAGTGTTCGGCGGCAGATTGTACGGGAACTTCAAATTATGCACAAGTGCAATTCTCCATACATCGTATCATTTTACGGCGCTTTCCTAAATGAAGGAGACATTTCGATTTGCATGGAATATATGAACTTGGGATCCTTGGACAACATCTATAAGAAGATTGGTCCGATTCCAGAGGATGTCGTCGGAAAAGTGACACATGCAGTACTAGCAGGTTTGGTATATTTATACATGCAACATCGCATAATTCACAGAGGTATGGTTTGCCTAGGCGTTCATTTTCAGCTCACCCGTCTTCCTCTTGCTCACAAACACACGATTTTGGGAAACAATAGATGTCAAGCCCAGTAATATCTTGCTGGACTCAGCCGGTCACATCAAGATTGCTGATTTCGGCGTCAGTGGGCAGCTGATCAATTCAGTGGCAAACACGTTTGTTGGAACCAGCGCGTATATGTCGGTAGGTATCACATTTTTGGAAGTTACTCTTCCCAAAGTGTATGTCAAACTAAAGTCGACATATTGCAGCCAGAACGTATACAAGGGGGGAAATATTCGGTGCAATCGGACGTTTGGAGTTTGGGGATAACATTAATGGAGTTGGCCCTAGGGAAGTTCCCGTTCCCACCCGAGGGAAAACCCCTTTCGGTGTTTGAATTACTCGAATATATTGTAAATGAGCCTGTACCAACGCTACCCGCCGGACAATTTTCTGAAGAACTCGAAGGATTCATTGGACGATGGTACGTCGGTCTTAAACCGGTTTCGTTCGACGAAAACTAAATGCAGCGCGCCCTCTCTCTTAACAGCCTAATCAAGGATCCCGCAGCACGCCCAACCCCTTCAGAACTTCTGAAAGATCCATATTGCCGACAAGCGGCAGAAAAGCCAGTGGATGTGAAGGAGTGGGCAAAGATTTTGCAGGATGTAAACAAGGGGTGATGATTGTACATGTGACACAAATATCACGATATTTTATGGGAATTCGGCTGCGCATATATTGCTCTGCCTTTCGCTCTCAAATCTTGGCCATTTCTTCAAGGGCTCGCTCTAATTGGGCTATCTGTAAGCCGAACTTCTCCATCTCTCTTGTTGACCGCTTTGTTTCGTTCCAAATGAAGGTTGGCGTCTCGTCACTAGATATTCGTCCCCGCCCGCTTTTGTCGACTGCAGAGAAGAACACGTTCTTCTCCTCCAGCGGTTTCATCACCTCAATTCGTCCCTCGTGTACCAATTTCAATTCCTCCCTAAGTCGTAGTTTTTCTGCATTCAACCGCCGCAAGTTAGCAGCTCCTTCTTTGACCTCCGTGCATTTTCGCTTTAATTGCACACACATGTCCTTAAGTCGAACATTCTCCCTTCGGATCCGATCTGCCTGGAGCGCAGAAGCTCTGGCTAAAATGCAAGCAAGTCTGTTACTATGAGGTCAGTATGGTCGAGAACGGGTAACCCACCTTCGTTTACCAAATTTGAGATTCGCTTATTTAACGCATCCACACCACGTTCTTTCTCATTTAACTGCGCTGCCAGCTGCTCTCGCGCCTCATAGCTCGCGCTTAATTTATCATTAAGGATGTCGCGATCATTTTCGAGATCGCTCATATTTCTGATTACTTCACGGACTTTGTTTTCCAATATAGCGTTACGTTCTCGCTCTTCCTCAAGCTCTCGTCGTAAGGCATATTGTCGCTGCCGGGCCTTCTCCAATCGTGTGATCTGCTCAGTAAGATCAGCGACGAAGCTTTGCTGTGCGGCGCGGAGCGTAATGGAATTTGAAGTTGACTGGGCGAGGAGAGTGCTTATTTTCTAGTAAATCTGTAAGTTCGCGATACTGTGGCAAAAGGTTTTGTAGGCAACTTGCTACGAACCAGCAGCTCACCTACAAAGCACGGTGATCGGTCGCGTTAGACTGTGGACATGCGTACGTCAAAGGAACTTATTACTTTTCAGACGACTATTCTCTTGAACGAGGAGATTCTCTTGAGTCTCCATATATAAAACGAAAATCAAAAAGGGAGAGTAACTATCAAGTTGTTCTCGTCGGGCACAGTGGCAGCTAAATGACAGCTGGGGCTTAGCCATTTATCTGCTGCGCAACAACGATTCCGCTGTTGTCGTTGTTCTGGCAATTCCTTTAGCGATGGCGTTGAGCAGGTTCGACAGAAAGCTTGCGTATGTGCAAGCGGGCTCCGGTCTAGCATTTTCAACCTTCTCTTGTTTACATCTGGCTGGACATTTGTCCGCGAATATACGCTTTTCTCTGGCAGATTCTGCCCTAATCGCCTTCAGAGAATGTACGTTGTGTTGCCGCTCTCTGAGTTGTTCCACTATCGAGCTACAAGTGCCTTCTCGCTATTATAAGATTACCAGCACCCTTTTATAGAGCCTTTTCTTATCGGTGTCTCCCTCGTTGCACACATCGGCTCGAGTGTCGCCAGAGTCTACATCAGGCGTGCAGCCAAAGCTCAGAGAACAAGCAAGAAAGTTGTAATCGAGGAGAAAGCACAAGATGGTGGAGCAGCTGCCTGGCCGACCATGGCCACGGCCCTTCGTGAATTGAATTGGCATCGATACACCGGATATATCCTCACGAGTTTCATCGGCGTACATGTCTGGGCCACACGAATAACACCGTTAAAAAGTATGGTTTGGATGCCATTCTTAGGCCTACATTATCTAAAACATGCTTTACTGTCTAGTATTTCCCGATCCTTCAATCGTAGATATGAGTTGGTTGACAAGCACTCTACGCAATGTACCTTTCCTCTTCCCGCCCTACTACTTTGCACTTGGAACAGCGGGCATCTATCATACTTTATACGGTGTCCACCGAGCTCTTTGCACGCTGCAATTGCTCCCGCGTTCCCGGCGTATTGAACCCGGCAGGTGGACCGCCGTCATGTATGTTTCGGCCGCGCTTATGGTTTCCACCATTATGGCGATCGCGGGTGTTTATGAGACAGTTCCTATTCCGCTTGCCGCAAAATGGGAGCAGCTGGACAAAGCTATCATGGGTGTCTATTTGAAAAGCCTCTAACACGAAGCATCGGCCATAGATCTAAACTATTGACATTTAATACACTCGTACACTATGTGCAGTTCGTGGGCTTTGTATGTTTTCCTCTTCCTCTGCTACGGTTGCCGGTGCCCGTACCACTAATTTGAAACCTGGAGCTTTCGCTGCAAGTGACCTCTGAACTGCCGGCGATGGCAGCTCAGCAGGCTTGAAGTCCTTCACTTCTGGAGCATCGATAGTTACCAGGTCTGCCTCTCCGGGTAACATTGTTGAGATTTCTTTTAATCTTCCATATTCTGACTGCAGTCCTTTGGCCACCTCCGCCAGCAGGCGATCACGCATTCGCAAGGCTCCCAGCCGCTCCATCTCTCTCTCTGCCTCTCGACGGTCTAATTTCGCATGCATACGTTCAAACTCGAGGCGGACTTTTCGTTCTGAATGGAGAGACTGCCGGATATCGTGTAAGGTAGTCTCGAGATGCTCTCGTTGGCCTGTTTCCTTTGAGAGCGTTTGCTTGGTGTCGGTCAGTTCTACTTCGAGCTTATCGACAAGCCTCTTGAGTTTCTTGGTCAACTTGTCCAGTCGCGCAACCTCTTCATGGGCGTCGTAGGAATCTTTGCTAAGCTTTGCGATTTGAGAGTCCTTCTCTTTGACAGTTGTACGGTGCTCCCTTTCAAGATTGCTGATAGTTCTGCTAAGTTCATCCACTTTCACGAGAACGGACTCCAAGTGTGCACCGATGTCTTTTTTCTCCGTTGTCACCTGCTGCAGTTCGGCAGTAACACGTTCGTTTTCCACCTTGATTACCTCCATTGCAGCCTGTGTGTGACGTTCTCGGGCTTCCATTTCCCCTTGTCGCTTCTGTATATCAGACTGTTTGCTTTCTAGATCAGCCTTTGTTGATGTGATAGCCACGTATCTTTCTTCCAAGTCAGTATGCTCCTTTTCCAACGTCTGGTGTACTGAGCGGATTTCGGCGAGCTCCTTCCGTAACTGTGTTTCCACTGATGTGGCCTGCTCACGGTGCTGGGCGAATTCAACCTTGATTTCTGCCAATTCCTGCTCCCGCTGCTGCAGTTCAGAGCGGGTCAGTTTGAACTTCTCCGTCACCTGGCGCTTGTCATTGGCAAGATTGTTTTTCGCAAGATTGAGCTTTTCAATTTGTTCTTCGAGAAGTCCTGTCTTTTCTTCAGCTTGCCGCCTCACTTGAGCAATTTCGAAGTTTACCATATTCACATTCGCCGTCTCACGATCTAGGGAATTTTGGAGGTCCGTCACCTGAAACATGAGTTGTTCCTTTTGCTCCTGCAGTTTTTTGATGTCTTTAGCATCTTCAGCCCGCAAGTTTCCAAGTTCCTGAATTCTCGCTTCTCGACCTTGGATTTCTTTTTCGTGCTTCTGAGTCGCCACTCGGAAAGCAGATTCAAGTTGATCCTTCGCTCGCGTCACTCCCTTCAGAGCATTGGTTAACTTTTCATTATCGTTCTTGAGCTGTTTGACGGTAACATCGAGATCCTTCTTTTGCTCTTTTACAGCTTCCAAATCCTTTGTCAAGTTTGTGATCTTGACATCAAGATCGTATTTGGTATCTGTATGTATACGATTCATCTCCCGTAGTTCTTCTTCAAGCTGGCGGTTTTGCATGCTTGATATGTCGTGGGCATGCTGTGTACGTTTAAGTTCGGCGGCAGTTTTGTCGAGTTCGGCCGTGAGTTTCACATTTTGCTCCTCGGAAGTACGTTTGCCTTCTCCTGTAAGGTTGAACTGCGTGACCAACTCTCCCAGCTCAAATTCGAGCTCGCGAATGCGATTCTGAGCCAACGTCAGATCCTTGGAAGTTGTCTCATAGTCACGCGCCAGCTTATCCAGATTTCGTTGAAGGATCTCATTTCGCCCCTGCGTCACCTCCGAACCCTTTTCTGCTTCTTTTCGCAAACGTGCCATGGTTTCGTTCATTTGCAAGAATTCTTTGAAAGATTCATGGAGCTTGCTTTTTGTTTCAAAAACCAGTTTCTCGGTTTCCGCAATCTTCTGATCTTTGTTTTTGAGCTCTTGTCGCAAGTTTTCAATCTCGACAGACAACTAGCAAAGCGGCAACGCAGGTTACGCATGGTGCAATTGGCTCTTCCGAGAAGTACACCCACCTTTCGCTTTCCTTCTTCTGAGTTAATTAGAAATGCCATTAATGATGACAATTCTGCTTTGAGATAGCGTATATCCTGCTGTAATCGTGCGCTTTCCACTGCCTGCCACTCTTCTGCGTACACGTAGTAATTCACTGCCTTTTTCAGTGCGATCCTGAGCTTTTCAACATCATTCTGCTCCTGCTTTTCCGACTGAGTCCGCTCGTAGAGTTGTTCACGCAACATATGAATTTCTTTATCTTTAGCATCTAAGGTCCGTTTGTACAATGCGCCAGAGAAGACACGGCCCGACTCGATGCCCCAGCCTCGTGGTCCCATACTGGTAAAGGTTGCTCGTGCATTCCCAGGGTGCTCTTGGGTTGCAGCGTACCGTTGCTCGACATAAGCCCATCGCTCTCGATCAATTTTTTCAGATACGTCTGTATATACAGTATTCTTGGGCTTGGTTGGGTCCTTTACTATTCTAAAGTAAGGCGGTTCCGTGAGGCGTCGACCATCTTCTACCTCATCAATCTCATGGAGGGAGCCCATGATGGGTTGATCACCGTTTTTGGCCAGACAATGTTCGAATGCCCCCAACAATGCATTTTGACACTCTTTACAGACTCGGAGGGATACAAGCAGCTGTGCACCGTGATCTTCATGTGGAGTATCGGCTATCAAAGCAACATCTGAAGCCTTGGAGTCGCTTGCTGCAGACTGCGGGCGATTTGATACAGCCCCATCGCAAGAATGTGAACGTTTGTGGATTGGGGGCAAGGCTGGATGATGAGCGAGCCGACTTCGAGTTGCTCTGACCTCCAGTACCGTTGCTGGCCCATCTTCAAGGTCGCTATGTACATTTGTCGGCAAACCCAGTCGCGTGGCAACCTCGGCCATGCTCAACGGTTGCGAGAATGCGCCAGTGTCTTAAGCTGGGGCGTACCCAACAAATGGGCCGCGCAAGGAATTTCCTCCGCTGTCGGCGGGTATTGTTGTTGTTCTTTCGCGACCATACCGTCGGCCAAACAAGGATGAGCAGGTGGATTGAGGGTTTCGCCTGATCGGATATTTGCTTACATAACCAGAGTGTCCAGATGGCTGGACGCGTTTCGATGTCTCGTTGTGCGCACTGGACCGTAATCGTTTCCAACACTCATCTTTCAATCCAGTTAGGCCATATGCATTGATAGTACGCACACAGTTCTGCCGCATCACGGCTGATCATGTTAACTCCACAGCCTCAATCTGCGTCGAAAGAGCTTTGCCGTCCCGCTCCGGATGAGGTTACCTCATCCAAGAAGACAGTGAACGGAATTAAACCAGTATCTAAGAGGCTACCTGCAAAATCCCCAAAATCATGGCTGTTTGGCCTGGGCAGACACAATACTAGTGCTGAAAAGATACTCAAACACGCTAGCAAGGATGACGGAGTGGGTGCTGCCAAACTGAGCTCGCCATCACCTCGCGCTGCCAGTGGAGCCGGCAAGCCTATGCGCTCTTTCACGGCGACCGCTCAAAGATCGTTCTCTGACCCCTGTAATGAAGCGGGTGGGAAATCTGGTGAAAGACGCCTGTCAAACCCGGTCACTCAACGACTTCAATCACCAACCGAAAGTAATTTGAAGCAGCTCAACAAACAAATCACCTGCCGTGTTCAAGCCAATGATGTGCGAAATGGAAGTAAAAGATCACCGACATCATCGCGTAGATGCAGTGAGAGTAGTTCTGCGACATTGTCCCGCGACTCAAGCACGTCGTTCACAGTAATGATAGCTGACCCGAGCACCGACAGATTTTCTTCGGCCGCACTCGACGCCTCAACTTTGGTCGATGCCGACGTACAACGTTCGTGCACGGTAGAGGATAGTAGTGATAGCCTCCGTGCTGAAGATGAGCAGGAAATGGAATTCGTCGTACAGAACGCGCGAAGTACTCTTCATGAGGACCGCGTGGAGGAGAACGTCGACCATGGGGACGGCACACCCAGTGCAACAATCGATGGTCCCCTAGAAGACGTGGAGGTTTCTATGGAGTATTTGTCCCTCCTTGATGAAGGCAGTGAGTTGCGGTACGAACATTTAAGCAATTCAGTCAGTCTTGCCGCTCGCGATGAAACCGATTGTTCTGTGGAACAAGCTGCTCAGTCTTTTGGAAAGCTTTCAAGCCTGTCGGACTATGTACCTCTGGAAGAAGATCCTACCACAGCAGATTCAAACATCATTCAGAAAGGCAATCTCGAACGCATTGATAAGAATCTCCAGTGTACCGTACCAAATGAGGATGCTCAAGGCACCCCGCTTGAAGTCAGTCGTGCGCAGGAGGAAATTCTTTGGCTGCGACAACAATTAGCCATCTGTGAGATGTCCAGACAGCAATCGGAGAAGGATCTAGAAACGTACCGGGAACGGTTGTCCTCGCTCGACGAGCGAGCCATGGACGAAGAACGCCAGTTGGCTTCCTACGAGCGGCGATTGTTGGAAGCAGACCATCGTATAAAGCACGCTGAGGAGGCTTCCGTGCTGCAGGTATGTACTGACCTTCTTGGTGGGCAGAGGGCATGAAACTTACCGATACATTACATTAAAGGTCAAGGATCTGAAGGATCAGCTTAGCGCTTTGAATAATGAATATCAAGAGGTCCGGAATCAGCTGTTTGAATCGCACGATCGAGATCAAGGTGATGACAATCGCAAATAGTGTTAAATCTCGATCTTGAAGTTGACCATACTGTCGCTCTCAACTTGTAGTATTGAATGATAAAATGACGGCTATGCAGGAGAGTCTGGACCTTCTTCGTGAAGAAAAGGATGAAGTCTATCAGCTTTTGCAAGATGAAAAGGTCTGCTAGAGTTGACAGCTGGAAACGCAGGGGGTCTCTAACATTAAAGTTTGGTAGGCCAAAACATTTCGACATGAAGCAGACTTCCGCCTTTTTTCCCGAAAAATCCGTACTTTACAAGAACAAAACAGGTAAATCGTATCTGTTGCACCTTTTTGCATGTAAATTATCTAAATTCCACATTAGCCAGCTACATCAAGAGGCAGAGCAGCTTCGAATTGAACTGCGGGTATAGCTAGGTTATATGGTTGCTTTGCCGCCTTTCATTCATTGACGCAGCACCTGTAGCGTATGCAATATGATGCGCCATCTCCTTCATCGCCGTCAATAGGCGATAATTTCTACAAGGAACGCTTGGAGGAGGCTTTGCTTGATAATGAAGCTCTTCGGGTGAGAAGAGAAGATACCTGGTTCACTATTACATCATATTGATTAGCTGCTTTCAGGCATTGCTTGAAGAATTCAAGCGCGAGAATGACGCTCTTAAACTCCAGCTGACCAACACATCCATCGCTCCATCGTCAAATATCCAAGAATCAACGAAAACTCTGGAAACATCCCCCATGGACCTGGCACGGTCCGCGAACATACACAGCCGTCTTTCTTCAGGTGCCCGTAGTCCTACTTTGCACCGTATGCGGTCATTCCCGGCTTGGGAACGACAGACACCTACAACGACAACAGGAGATCGGAAAGCTTTCGTAGATAGGATGAGACAGTATGAAAGCGAGTTTTCACCAACTAATGGCCGCGGTTGCACCCAGTTATCACCAGATAGTCCCTTTGCGAAGCATACAATGCCCGATATAATCGGTTCCCCCTCAACCTTTAAATCGAGTCCTGACCTCAAATCCACAAATGGTCGTTTGGAGGACAATCGTTCATCTCGCCGAGCGTCAATTGCCAGCACTTCAGAGTCCCCATTAATTCATAGAGAGTTGCAAAGTACCGCTGACACGAAGAAAGAGCCGTCAGTTGATTATTTGGAGTTGCGACATAAGCTCTCAGAAGATCTCAAGTCTTTGATGGATCACAAGGTAACTTACTTCGGCCACCTGAACGATGTGCCTCGGCGCTAACACAAAATTCTTTCCTTTTGTTTCCATGGAATCAGGCCAAGGTAAGCAACTTGTGACCATGATAGCGTCCAATGGAAATTGACGTCATCCATATCTCGTTCCTAGCTGACATCCGAAATGAGCCGCATTCCTGCCAGCGGTGGTCTTGGCCGTGTTCGCCGACGTAAGGAAGAGTTGGATACCCAGTTAGATGAGGTCGACGGGCAGATCGGCACTGTGAAGAGAAGGATGCGAGAAATGGGAATGCTTTAGATTTTAATAGTAATAACCGTTTGGCTTAGTGCAACATCGATTGCATCTTGCATCCAATTTCAACGAAAGTAAATGGAATTGTGGCGGGGGAGCCGGTTAGTCTCATGATTGCTTGCTTCGGGAGAGTCGAGAATAAATAACAAGCGGGGGAAGAGCGAGAATGAGGATTTATATAGAAAATCGAGTGCAGCTGCAGAACAATCCAGGCGTCTTTCATTGATATCGCATTAACTTGTACAGGAAACTCACATTTGTAGTTTCCACACCGCTATGTAGAAACATGATTACCTAAGCTGCTTATCCTCCACGATCTGGGATGGTGTTACACAAGATTAGTGTGGAGGTGATTGAAAATGGCACTAGGACCCATTATTATCCGGATTAATCCAGTTAATCATATCGCATAATCAGCACCCCCATCTATCGCTCAAAACGGTGAGGCATGTTTTTTTTTAAACTGCGGTGAGGTGCATGCCAAAGGTCTATAAAAGGGGAACCTTCTGTCTCTTTCCCCTTTCCTCTTTACCCATCCTTGACTCACAAGCATCTGCCAATGCTCAACTCTCAAGTCCATCATGAGAATCCTGCTCTGGTGCCAAGGACCTCATCCGCCTGACAAATACAACATAACCCCTCACAAACACTGCTACTACTATATTGCTACAATCACAGGTATGCATTATCTTTGTATTTTCCCATGTGTATTCCGAGTCTAATTCTGGTTTAATTAGTATCTGAACATCCTCCGACTAAAGAATTTCGGAATCAAGGGCTTAGTAGGATTTCTCTCGTGTGGTGGGCTTAGTTACCCGGTTAGAACAACCATAATGTATTGCATGTGTAATTGGGCCTAGTGGTAGTTAGTTAGTGGAATCGTGCTGCTTTGCACATACCCCAGTTCAACCCAGGCTGGAACCTGTAGCGAGTTAGGATAGGGGTGGGACTCGTTTGCAGGATAGGTTATGCAGGGTTGGACAGGCTGGCTAATTGTAAATTAGAACCGGCTGTAGTGGGTTGGAGGGAGAATTTGTCCCTAGTGACATTTTCTACCACCTGCACACTATGATATGATCAATGACGTTGGTAACGAGATCTTCTCCCACTTTGCATTCATGTCTGTACATTTCAAAGCTGGATGGTTGGGACAAGGCTCCAATTGTACACAGCCAGATCAGCATGAGCTAGTAAGTCGAATATGGGCTTTATCTTATCGGAAAGACCGCTGAGTTGTGGTGGCCAGGGTTGGAGCAATGTTGCCATTGCGTCGAGTCTAATAGTGGTAAATGGTATGAATGTATTTATATATGTACTGCTATGGGCAGACGCACTGAGCAAACATGTAACTTAGGTGTCGTGTCCGTGCTATTCGGGCTGGGACTGGAAAAAACATTAATAATTTCGGCGACAAGGTTTGCCTTTTACTAGCGCCAAAGCTTATTTACTACCTTTAAGTCGGAACACTAATTTTGCACATCCAATGAAGATGTCTGGTCCAACTGACTATAATGGGATATGTTCTGAAGCCTGTGTTTGAGCACAATGATCCCCTCTTTGTTTTCGCCCTTGCCTGTATGTCCGTTGCTCTTTGACCTCTTGATTTGATATATTACTGACCTAGTACCTTCTGGGTCACAGTAACCCTTATCTTAATATCCACAGTGGAGGTGCAGAGAGCTGCAAGCGTGCTTTAAGGAAGTGAATCCCGTAACGCTCAACAGTTGCAATAGATTGTGTACAACAAAAGCAAGCATCGACACGACTACATGTTTGCTACCGTATTGGCTGCCATGTTGTTTAGTGTCACTTTAACCTCTTTTATTGGTTGGTATGAGGCTCACAGTTATACTGAGTTTCTGCCACATGAGCTGATTTTCTTCATTTTGGTAGGCAATGCCTTTGCAATCCAGGCTGACCCTTGGTGGCTGCCACGCACATATATTCCAACTCTGGGCATGCTGTTGGGGAACTCTAGTAAGCTGAAATCCGCCTCTACCCTGTTGCCTTCCTCACTTCTTCCCGTCTCATCGTATTATGTATAGTGTCCGGCATGGCCTTGGGACTGAGCAGCGTGTTGGGACAGGCTGCCGATAATAAAGACCGGATAGAGCTTTATCTTTCATTTGGGGCGTCTCGATGGGAAGCAGGTACTTCTGGAGAGCCGATCAACGGTTTCGGTTTCGTTCATACTGACTGGGAACATAGCTCGACCTGTCTGTGCAGAGGCAATAAAAACGGCCTTGCTACCAGTGTTAAACAACATGAGGTGCGGATTCATCGCGGTCATTGAACATACCCCTTTCTGCTGACAAGTCACGGTTCTTAGCGTAATGGGGTTAATCTCGATACCAGGGTATGTGGAAAGACAGTCGCACTGAGAGTTGATGGCATTTGGTTCATTCGTCCTCCAATTCATTTAGAATGATGACAGGGCAAATACTGGGTAAGTTGAACTGTTCTAGTAGTAAGGGATAACGAACCTTACCCTTAAAATCTGTAGGTGGGGCCAAAATTGCGGACGCTGTTCGCTATCAACAGGTGACTTTCAGTCTGAGTGTTATCACATATAGTACGGTGTATTGACACAGTCTGTGCATGGTCATGACCTGCGACAGATTATCATGTTCATGATCAGCGCATCTTGCGCGATTGCGACAGTTATGGCGGTATTGAGTTGTGTCTTCATCATATTTGATGATCATTCACGATTACGGATGGATCGCATATTGAAGGACGCGAAGAAAAGAAAGACGGCGACAAGGTTTTGGACGAATGTGATGAAGAGATTCAAAGGCCGTAATCAGGTGGATCATGCAAATGGACAAAACGGCTCTGAAGCAGAGGCTCTTTTGCGTTGAAGACATAATAAATCCAGTGATGGGCGTTAATAATAAGGTGTCCATTAAGGTATCTATTACAGATGTCCATCAACTTCTGCAATCCTAGACAGGCATCTACCGTCTGGCAAATACCGTAAGTGGTAAGGAGAGATCTGTCCATGTATCTACTAGGCCATCACGAATAATCTGGGAATTTTGATGGGGTAATACACCCACCATCACGAGTATCTTGGTATCGAAGGTGCGAAAGCTTCGAAACCTCACAAGAGGAACAATGTTAGATCAAGTTCCCAGTCGAGGTAAATTGGAGCATCACAAAAGAAGCCTCTTTGACAGTTGAAAAGGCTGGTAGTCTAAGGTCGTTACTGTGGATACTGGGAGGACGTGGTGTTTTGGCGCCAACGACCTTGAGAACGCTTGCAAGGCGTTTTATAGGTCAACAGAAACTTGCAGATGTTACAAATGATAAATGCGCACTGGGTTAGTTGCATGCATCTTGCAGTTGCGGCCATCACCATTTGGTCCTTTCTAATATGACCGAGTTGCTTGCCAATATGGCAACCACACGAACATGGAGGACAAACTCGCCATTTATCAGCTGATATTGATGTTCAGTCCGATACGGCTGGAAGGTTCACTTCGTCCCCATCATTTACCAATGGCATCCCCGATATAGAGCAATTGCCAGAAACAACCAACCCAAATAAAACCTAACCAGCTGAAAGCAATCAGTAAGTCACCTTCAAATTCACCATAGTCATCCTCATCACCACCTCCATCTTCATCCTGGTCGGTATCATAGTATCCGATGCGGGGTTTGCCATGGGTCGTTCTGCCTCATTTCCTGCCGCGACCACCAGCGTTGCAATAATTTCCGTTCCTATCCTAACTCCTAAGGCTCTCACTGACTTGAACGTGTCCAAAAATCCTCCGATGATATCAACTTTATTTTTAGAAATAAGGATCATCGACACATTTGTTCCTTGGGGTATCATTTCTCTTCAACAGTGGCGGAAGTGAAATAAGACTACATTATTGCAAGAACAAGCTTTATTCCTCTACGATTGCTCTTTGGGGTGAATAATTCTGATTTCAAACCATGGCTGTCCGAGCTGGTGCAGATGACTTGGTGAAGATCACAAATTGTAATTATCTATTGTAGCAAAAACTCGTTGCATTGTTGGTTAGTTTTCTCATCATTGGACACGGCTTTTTAGTCACACGACAAGATATAGAAGTACTTCAGCACCGCTTCATCGGGCTCCTTCCACCACAACAGTCACCAGGCATAGGAAGCGATCGTGACCCATTGGCGGCATTATACGCAGGAAAGATTGATCGTGCTCGCTTTCGGGACTTGTTGGCAGATGTGTTTGGGGTCGATGACTCGCTCCTGATGGACAGAGGTATTTTGCACAGTTTAAGACAAGTTGGGAACTATCTGGTTTCCCCTGATCTGTTGACGGACGTCGGATGAATGTTCATTATGCTGATTTTTTCATTCTTCATCATAGTTTTTCGATCATTCGATACAGATGCGGACAACTATATCTCATATGAAGAGTTCATCCGAGGAATGTCAGTTTTCCTGAAAGGCAGACCAGAGGAACGTGCGCGTTTCTGTTTTCGAGTATACGATCTGAACGGTGATCGGTACATATCAAAGGAGGAGATGTTCCAGATGTTACGTAATTGTCTCGTACGTGGCCAAGAGGAAGATGAAGACGGTGTCAAGGATCTGGTAGATCTGGTCCTGAAGAAGCTGGACGAGGACAGGGACGGACGGGTGAGCGAAAGCGACTGGGCTACTGTAATTGGAAAAGAGAACCTATTGATGGAAGCGTTTGGACAATGCCTGCCGCGAAAAAAGGTAATCAGTGCACGCGAGAAGCACAAAGAGGTATTCCTGCGACAAACAACTAAATCAAAATGCCTCATTCAGACAGTGGAGCGATACTTGAGTCCAGCATCAGAAAAAGATGGCGTGACTGGTAGTAAACTGGTCCGGCTGTCTCTAACTGCCCCTTATCCATCCTACCCACTCGCCGCTCGCCTCACTACGGGAGCGCTTGGAAGTAGTACGGCGAGTCTCACAAGTGAGCTGGGTACAGATGCAGTGGAGCCAGTTCAACTCAGACATGGGCATGCCCCGGCACAACGCAGAATGATTGCCGGTCGTACAAAGGACTCGCACAGCTCAGCAAGCACGGTGCCGCGGATGTCCGGTGTTGCAGGCGGCAATGCTAGCAATCATTCCGCACAACCGATCCAGGGTAAAAAGGGTCGTGTAGTTGCCCTCTGAATGTACTTGTTTAGGTGATGTTGATGTGACAAGTGTGAATATGACTTACAAGCATTTCACCATTCTCGCTGAAGCTACAGCAGCTTGAGATGGCCTGTTAACTCAGTTGTCGTACTTTCCGGGCCTGTAGATATCTTTAGTCACTCGCATACAGTATGGTTGTTTATGGTGCATTGTACCTATGATGGCCAGCACCGTGAGCGATCCCCGGGGCACCTGTGTTCTCCCAGCATCCTTGACCATCTTTATTGGCAGACCCTTCTCCAGCGCGGACTTTTGGATCTGAATCCTTATAGATGAGGCGGAAGGGAGGTCAGGGTCGGGAAAGGCAAATAGTTCTATCTGATAGGGGATAGGCACCGCAGGAACCAATTCTTTGATGTTCATTGCAGCGAGACCACCAGCTATACTTTGATACATACATGGACTTTTCATCGTCACATTTCAGGGCGATCTTCATTTGTCCGCTTGCTTCCCATTGTCGTACCCAATCTGCCCACTGGCCACGTGTGAATATCACAGCAATCGTCCATGACCAGCGTACGTGAAAGAACCTGTTTTGTCCCCCGAACCGCCTCCTTCCAGCACCCGAGAGCAGCGTGAGCACATTGAGCGGCGACCTTTCCTTTACCCATTTTTAGATCTTGCCTCACAATGAGGACCTAAGCACAGGGTAGTTGACTGATTGTTAGATTAATTGCGCACAGCACACTGTTGAACAAAGGAAACAATGACCATCTTTTGCTTTTCCATTCGTTGCAAGGTCAACGTGCTGTATGAAGCACATTGTTTATTTAGCACAATGCAAGAAAGAAGATAGCCAAGCACCATCCCAAAAAGGATAAAAATGATAGGCGATAACAGAAAGCAGTGCTCATGCCAAAAAGCAGAAACCATGTTCGGCAAATAATCTGTCATGATGTCTAGGGAAGGTGCAATGGCACTACCAACAGGTGTGTCGGCGACAGACAGCAGACGTTTGAACCATAGTAAATGGTTGCAGTGACATTGATTCCAACCCATTTAATGCAGGTGAAGTCGCGTAACTAAGCCACTCCAGCCATGGCCTCCTGGCAAGGAAGGACGAAGAAGGGGCAGTGGGATATCGTAGGGGCGTAAAGATTAAATACAATAGATCATATTTTCAGTTCTATTCGTCAGAGTCGCTCTGCAGCAAAATGGATATCTTCTTCCTATCTGTACCCAGTAGAGCAACTGTGCCTCGTGGACCATTAGATGTTAAAGAGAGAGGATCGGTCTCTAATGCCGCACTGGCCTCCACAGGGATCAGAGGTATTCTATCGAGCGTCTACATGAAAGCAGAAATAAGTATCGCCCGAGCAGTGACGAACGTAAAGGACTTCACCTACAATGGTTTGGATATATGCATTCAGAATACTCATTTTCTCGGTTCCGTCATAGAATGTCGACGCCCGAGAAAACTCCAGATCGCGATATCGCAATGTTGATACCTGCGATTCTGACTCTGCGATGCCTGTAGAATTGCCGGCTCAGTCTATAGCGAAAAGGATATCCGCACAGACTACCCATATTTGACTAACCGGTAGCTGTCCGACTTCTGTGAATCATTATGGCGATGTCATCGTCAAAGATTTCATGAAACTCGACGCTAACGTCATTTCCATCGCCGGTAGCAAGTCTAACGCAAGCAACGTCTAGGTCGTACGTTTGATACACTGATGGTTTCGGTGTTCGGGACTCAGGCAATGAAGTAGTCGTCGCGGAGTGTCGTATAACCCAGACTGGCAGCCAAAAGTTAGAATCACTCAGTAGAGTCCCAAGGCGTGCACTTACACAGAGGAATTGTCTGGTCACCAATATTGTGCCGAATACTTAAGGCTATATAGCGCAGTCCCTCTACCTGCACGCCAGAAATGTTAAATGCCACATCTCAATTGGTGCTACCAAACGAAAGATTGTATGTACCTCTCGTGAGTACTTCGCTGAGAGGAAGTGGGTCATGCCGACATCGCTCGATGTTGAGTCATCAACTACCTCGCATAGTCGGATGCAGCCAGCAAGTGCGACTGGTTTCCAGTTTAGCGTATGTGTCACAGGCCAAATCTTCGTGGCATTCGAAGCTAGGTTCTGGAATAGCCGTGGCAATTGTGGTTCCTTTACAACCTCATCAGCTGTAGCACCTACGAGACTGAAGTTTTAAGGATTAACCACTGTCGTGTAACCATATGCACACCATAGGCCTGACCTTTCTGAGGCATCGGCCGCAGAATCAAAGAACTCGTGAAAGGGGTCAGAGATGAGGTGGTTCCGGATGTAGTTTGACACCTTGCTAATGTTCGCCGCTTCAACTAAAGGTGTGATATGCTCAGATCCAATATCATGTTCAAGATTTTGACAAACTACGTCATATTAGTACTGGACATTGCGCCACATCGCCAAAATCTCAGATACCTGTATTGAGCCACTTGATGAACTCTCCGAAGTGGTCTGCCGCGTCAAGGGTGCGCAACTGTAGCGAGTTTACACGCATTGCAAGTCCGCGGCAAGAGTCAATGCACTCTTCGATCGCGCTCCTCGTTAGTTCCAAAACCCCAAAGTTGTGTCCCCTAAATCAGTCAAAGATAGTTGTGTAGCCAAACACTAAACTTTTCGGAAGTCATACTGACGTACCATGTCCCTATTGCCTTGAGCTCATCCAAGTGCATGAGGAGTCGCTCTACCGCTGGCATGATATGGAGGCAAGATAGCCTTTGCAGACTTTGGTAACCAGCATCGAATGTTTTTTGCCAAACTTTAAGAGCCTAGGTGAGTGCATTAAGTTGTAAGCACAGGTAGTACGAAGACAAAGCAAATTGCTTCAAATTCGTACTTGGTTGTGGTTCAACTTTTGGGTGAGGTATTGTTCAAGAATCATACTTGGGATTCCACACAAAAGAAGATGGAGCAGCTCCCCACGTAAGTTTGACTCGACTTGGTAATGAGTGTCAGTTCTTGCGAAGTCATCCCGATAAAGGTCCATAACTTACCACCGTGTTCCTCTATTATGTTGTTGAAGGCTTTCAGTTGACCGTCTGATTCTTTCATTATTGTTTCGTTCTCCCTTTGCATGGCTTGGAGAGCTGTGTCGAGATATTCTACCAAGGAGTCCACTTGGGCTAGGTGAGACGCTACTGATCGCAGCACTTCTCTATGTTCCAGTAGTAATCGATGATCGAATTGTATAAGTGACAGTTCTCGTAATGAGGTAATAGGATCGTTGTCGGCGACAAGAACAAATGTAGACGCGAGATCGGAAGTTGACCAAATATGGGCGATACTGGGATTCTAACCGCCATATGAAGTGTCACTAAGCCGCAGAGATTTGCACAAGGGTGCTTGGAGATCATACTTTCAAGTTCAGCTCGGTGTAAGATCGCAGTGCTATAACACCCGCCGGCAAACGACCTGCAATGCTACCCAAGCAGATGTTAAAAAGTACGCTACGAACGATTGCGAAGGGTGTAAGGCATGCGCCACCTAAGTTGAACTGTAGTGTCCGCGTCTAACACATTTAGCATGTCGAGTTCGGATGTATCGTTATTCGCTGCACTCCAACATGCACTAGGGGAGGCAGTATTGAGGTTAATGACAACAGGCTACCATTTTTACGGCTTCCAATTTCAACTTACTCGGCCAAATCTCTATTAGAAGTACTTGACATCAAACTGGGTAAACGACCAAGAGCCCTTGCGGGTAGTCCAGCGAAAAGCTATATTTGCAATATGGAGATAAGTGGTAAAGCAAAATGATATTGTAATTGATCTTACTCCTATGTACCCTGCCGCATTTCCCCAGAAACTTTTGGCGCACCCATTCCAGGGAAACTATTTGACAGTGGTCGGCGTTGAAAACGTGCAATGCCGCACCAGACTCAACTTCGAAAAGATGCACAGATCCAGTATCCCATCCTATAGCTATCACTTTGCCTAAAGAGTTTCTCAACGTCAGCATGTAGGCACTATTGGAATTGCGTTAGAGGTCGCTACCGTCCGATCGCCAAGCCACTGTCTCTGTTTGGGCCCCAGAACGGAGCTGCGGGATAGAACAAACTCGCTCCCAAGGGACTCTAAAGATGTCCACTTCATTTGTATCATAAAGCACCGCCAGTAAGTCCTTGTTGGGGCACCACCGGAGCAGCTTGATTGCTTGGTGGAAGCTTTCGTCAGTCCAGGTCTTGAAGGTTATCATTGCAAGGTGATGGACGGAAAATGGCTGGAAAGCTTGAACGCGTCCTACTAGAGGTTGAGCATGGTTGGTCCCAGCCGCCGTCACCATCCGTCTTGACAGCAACCCGAAGACATGGCAAGCCCCCGTTCGGTATGTGTCTTATGCAAATATATTGTACCAATTGCGTCTCATTCACTGTGGTCACAAAATAGATAAACGTACTTTACTTCGCCGGTGCGAAGGATGCATCGGGGGTCACGGAGGAGATTTTCGAGATACCCCCAGGGCAAGAAACCATTAGAGTACCACAGTTGATACAAGCTCTTAGTAACAAACATCCACCCCTGCTGAAAGTATTCGAGGCGGCTATATTGGCCGTGAATATGGAGTATGTAGATCGGGACGGGAAGTTGACTGAAGGGGAAGGGAACCGGATTGTAGAAGTCAAGGCGGGGGATGAAGTCGCAATCATACCGCCTTTGAGCGGAGGTTAAGCCTGCTATCCATAAATAAACATATCATAGGTGGAGTGGGGAGACTGTCAAGACCGTGTAGCTCAAGATACTCCTCAGACTGCTGTGGAATGGGTACATAATCAAGCTGGCCAGAACTGCCTTTATTAGATTGCTTTGTCATTCCTTATGCCACATCTCATCATCAGCTCCCTTTGAAGGACAGTCGCCGAGTCTAACTGGTATGAACAGGCCATGTGACGCTATCAGCTTGGTTGCGCATGTCGGTCGGCTCTCATTCGTTAATACCTCCTTAGGCTATACCCTAAAGAACTTCCTGACGCCGCCAGACTTTGACTGAGGGAGCCCCTCATAGAGCTCCTATGGAAGGATTCCGACTCAACACCTGCTCCTGGTGGACTTCGGTGACGTGATAACCGGCTGAACCGTCCAGTTGAGGGACCTCCTTCCACCACGGACGTCAACTCAACGGCTTTGCCTCCAACGTTGAGTAGACTGAAGGACGGGAGTTAGCCGGGACAGTAGTGTGATCTGCTCGCCATCCAGAACCCACCCTATGTATCCGCTAGCCTCCTCCCTGATATAATGAGCAAATAGGCAAACCGTATGGAAAACGTCGTTTCTCCCCTTTGTGAGCGTACGTTAGCGGCAGCTGATCCATCTTCATATCCTGTATGTACCTACCGAATAAATATCATATACAGTGCCCTCCACCACCACATGAAAATGCGGTGGCCACTTGGTGTAGTGTCGTATCTGAATGGTGTGAGAGGGTCCTAGGTTGAGGTAGTACCTTCATCAGTCTCGTCCATGATGCACATCCCAGTGGGAGACGTCTTACTGACCTGGCTTTGAGCCAATGGGTATAAAGAATTTGCTGCTGAAAGGGAAGTTGCCGTATGTTGCAAAGTTTTCTCCCGGCATCATCTCATCCATAAACCGACAGAATAAGTGCATCACGAGCTGCATCCAGGGAGCAGTGTCACTGACATTCGGGAACCAACTTGTACAAGAAGACATTTACCTGCGCATCTGTGGGTTGCTTGTCATTTGACCAAGGCTTCCCTTCCATATCCGAGCCGCCGTTCCACTGATACATAGCAAGGTTGTTACCTTTGGCCAGTACTGTGCAAGAATGTAAATATCCGACTCGGTCCGTAAAGTGAGAAATGTCGCTACTCGTTACTTACTTTTGATTCTTTCGACGATATATCCACGACAATTGAATTCCGGGAGCGTCAAATGGTTTTCCAATTTCAAGCGCTCTTGAACGACCAGATTCTACGATAGGGTCTAAGTCTCGTAACTTTCACATATTAGGTACAGTGGCAAGGCAAGAACGTTACCTTTCTAAGCTTCTGGCTGATGTCATAGAGCGTCGGGTACTTCCCATCAACAGATTGAGTAGAGACAGACGTAGAACCGAAGAGGGATGAATTCGGCGCTAAAAAATTGCAGAGAAGTACAGGAAACAGTGGGTAACACAAAACACCAAGCATTGCGAATTAAAAGTGGCATTGTACCTCCAGTAGTGGAAGCTGTTATTGCTTCCATAGCCGCCATATTCGCAGCCATTAGCCCCGCTTGCATAGTGGCTGAACCGCACTGGAGATGATCCAGTCCAAGTTCACTAAAATAGTAATCGGATAATTCTATCCTTCGAGCGAGGGGTTTCACTACTTTCGTCGCAAGCCACTAGAGTGAAAAGAATGTCAGAGCCATGTATAAAGGTTACATAATAAGTAATCGTGAAGAACCTTTCGGGCATTTTCTGTCCACTCGTCTATGTAGCTTCCAACATTCCATTCATCCAATGTCTTCAAGATATGTTAGCAAGCATAATGAGGGTAGACAGCATATGACGGCGTACCTTTTGTGGCTCTTTCACGACAATTCCATCTTCAATCCGCTCTTGGACCTTAGAGGGCGTGGAGGTCTTCGAGGCCACTTGGAATTTCGGTACAGCTGGGGTAGATAATGCTGCAATCGACAATGCAGAGGCACCCGATCCTATGTCTTCTTGCCAGCCACCTTCTGTAATCATCCGTCAGTTCCAGCTTCCGACTCCAACTATCATTCATCTTTGCAGCCCGTCACGCACCTGTCGAGACACCATCCCTATGCTCACGGATTGCTAACATGTCATCTAAGGCGCGACGATCTCGGACGGGCTCCGCGCGCATACCGGCTAAATTGTAAAAACTTAGCCCCTCACATATAGCAAGAATGCAATCCGCTGCCCGTACCTGGAGACGTGGTCAGCCTGTACGTCGCAAGAGGAGACACTGGTGAGGGAACAGCAGTTTGAGACCGCGGGTGCCGGCGAGCGGACGCATAGGATGGCCTGAGAATGGAATCAATCATAAATGCTACAGTTCCATCCGTACAGATCCAAAGGACAACCCTACGTTGCGGGAATATGATCGCGGCTTCTTTGCGCGGGGGAGACTGGGCTGGGACGCTGGGCCTGGACATACATCAAACAAGATCGTTACACGAAGACGGTGAGTAGCAACATACCGGCGAGCTCTTCGTTTCGAAGCGAGGTTTGATTACATCAGCAAACTTTCTCTGGCTCTCTGTGAGAGATCGGGCTAAAAAAACAACCACATATTAGAAACCGGTCCAAATGCCTGACTTCCTATCGCATCCATACTGTCGGGATTAAGCCCAAGCATGCGTCGTTGGGCTGGACTTAACGCGTAATCAGCGAACGTGTCTGGCGGGGCGAAGAACTTCACGAGCAGATGGTAAACGTTCAGCGCCATAAGAATTGCTCCCGCAACTATCGCATATAATATTAGCAAGTTGTTGCTGTAGTCGAGAGCGATCATGAACGGATATCATACACGGTAAGTAGGCCACCCAGGACCACTGTTCAGGAAGGGCGTTCTGGAGAAAGCTGCGTGATGCAAAAGATTTGCTGTTTTGGAAATGTCGCAAAGGTATTTGCCAAATACTACTTTCTTACCGGTACCAGCCTGTCAGATAGCTCAGCAAGAATACGAAGAGAACGGAGCCGTTCCACACAAGCTTTCGATAGTCTAGATCAGTGAACCCAGCTTGTGCAAATCGTTTCGACACCTCTTTGACAGCGGGATGTTCCCATCGCAAGGGAGATTGCTGTTCCTTTGCCAGTTTCGAATAGGGCTCCCGGCTAAGTCGTGGGGATGTCGATGAGAGCGGTACAGAATCCAACGCTGGAGCGTCCCCGGAACTAGCAGGGTTTTGAGCTGGATTTGCAATCCAAGTTCCAGACGAAGGTGTCCCAGATTGTGGTCGATTTTGCAGTTGCTCCTCTTGTGATGAGATAGTGGTTTGTGAGAAGCCTGTACGGGGAGGCGAGTAGCTTGTCTTTGGAGTGTGAACTGCCGAATATGGGGATGTTTGAAAAGGCGATCTATCAGGTGAAGAGGAAGCTGACGCTCGTCGAAACGAAAAGCCATCCTGCGACCGAGAAAATAGGTGATTTGAGCTTGATGGCGTACCACCCGCGGCCCGCGGTGAAGGACGGTACATTGTCGTGGCTGCTGGGCTTTGGCCAAGGTTGCAGTTGTTAGACAAATCGCGTCCCCAACAGCAACTTGGTTTGCTTGACTGCGCCATTTTTCCAGAAAAGGTTATATAGGTATTGCATGTCCGAACCCTCGTCCGGAATCTTTGCATAAGCAGCCAAACTTTTCCCACACCAGTTGGCCTTTACATCTTGAGGTTTTCACTGTTGGCAAAACCGCGTGTCGGTCATTCAAGAATTTTGCCCTTATTACGTTGGAAGGGCCGAAAGTAAATCGCTTTCAGCATGTCGAGCAGCGAGGACTGGGATGACTTTGGTGCCAAGCCTAAGGTGAGAGATTTCGCCCGCTAGATCTGTATGAAAGGCCGGTTTTATTCTGCAAATGCTCCTTTGGGAATCACGGTCAACACCTTACATACTTTCAATCTTGAATAATCTGACCGCCTACGGCAGGCCGTTAAGAACGCGACGGTCTCCAAAATCGCGAAGGCCCCACCTAAAGCGAAGCCACGCACAACAGGGGCAACTAAAAAGAAGCCGGCCTTGGGTGAATCGAACTCTTTCTTGGATGCGGAAGAGGATATTGCTCCAGCTGCTAACAGCAGAAAGGCGTCTTCAACAGACGTAGAAACAAAAACAGTCGAAGAGGTAGGGACGTTCAGCGACACTCAACCACCAACAAACATTAAACTCTTCTCTGGAGTAGATTTACCAAAAGAAAACTCAACTCGAGCACATTCTTATTCGGCCGGATACGTACATTGGATCCGTGGAAAGTCAAACGGTCCCTATGTGGGTATTTGAAGACGATAAGATGGTATGGCGGAATGTCACATTCGTTCCTGGTCTCTACAAAATCTTCGACGAAATCATTGTCAACGGTAATCTAGTATGTACTTGATTCGCACTAGAAACTCAGTGATATTCATGATCTGCTTGCATTTTAGCGGCCGACAACAAGGTATCAACATTTCGGATCTGGTATCTTGGTAGCCTCACGCACTTATCTTTGTTTGCAGGTTCGAGATCTCTCTATGGATGTCATCAAAGTAAACATTGACAAGGAGAACAATATGATATCCGTATATAACAACGGTCGAGGAATTCCGATAGAAATGCACTCGAAGGAACAAGTCTATGTTCCGGAATTGATCTTTGGACACCTACTTACATCGTCGAACTACGATGACAATCAAAAGAAGATAACGGGTGGAAGGAACGGTTATGGAGCTAAATTATGTAACATATTCAGTACTGAATTCATAGTGGAAACGGCGGATTCCGTAACAGGACGGAAATTTACTCAAGTGAGCTAGCAAAACAAGCAAACAAGCTGTTGCACAAGAGGTTCTGACTTTTTATTTTCAGATATTTTCAGAAAACATGAGCAAGAAGGGCGTGCCCAAGACTACGAGTAATCCCCGGGGAGAGAATTACACTAAAATTACTTTCAAGCCCGACCTCGCCAAATTTGGCATGTCCACCATCGATAACGATTTCGAAGCCTTGGTTAAGAAGCGCGTCTATGATTTGGCCGGTTGCATTCGCGGCGTTAAGGTCTTCTTGAATGACGCCCGCCTGAAAGTCAAAGACTTCAAGGAGTATGCAGAATTGTACGTTAATAGTGCTACACCCGCTGGCGCGGTTGGCAAACCGACTATCATTTACGAACGCCCCAATGAACGGTGGGAAGTGGCTTTCACCATCAGCGATGGTCAATTTCAGCAAGTTAGTTTTGTCAACTCCATCTGTACGATGAAAGGTGGAACACACGTGAACCACGTCGCCGATCAACTTGTTGCGAGTTTAATAGAAGCAGTAAAGAAGAAAGACAAGAAAGGTGTGCCGCTCAAGCCATTTCAGGCGAAAAACCATTTGTGGCTATTTGTCAACTGTTATATCGAAAATCCGGCGTTTGATTCGCAAACCAAGGAAAACATGACCTTGCGTCAAAGCAGCTTCGGTTCCAAATGCAATATCTCAGAAGACTTCATGAAAAAAGGTTTGATCAGAGAACACAAGATTGCCATTTCCCTATTGTTATTCCTGACCGCTTTCCGATAGTTCTCAAGTCCGGTGTGGTGGACAACATCTTGAGTTTCGCCAGATTTAAGCAGGACCAGCTCCTTAAGAAAACTGATGGAGTCAAGAAGACCCGTATTACGGGAATGGCTAAACTTGACGATGCAAATAATGCGGGAACTCGCAACGCACACAAGTGTACGCTAATTCTCACGGAAGGAGATTCAGCCAAGTCACTCGCTGTCAGCGGTCTTTCTGTTGTCGGTCGTGATAACTTTGGGGTTTTCCCCTTACGAGGCAAATTGCTGAATGTTCGCGAGGCATCCCATTCGCAAATTACTCAAAATACCGAAATCAACGCCATCAAACAGATTTTGGGTCTACAGCATGGAAAAGTGTACACCAGTACCGACAGTTTAAGATATGGGCATCTTATGATTATGACTGATCAAGTGTGTATCCATCTAGTGTGGCATCATTTCTTCATGACTAATGATATCCCTTTTCGTCAATGCTTAGGACCATGATGGTTCTCATATTAAGGGACTGATTATCAACCTACTGGACCACTTCTGGCCTAGCTTGTTAAAAGTGCCTGGTTTTCTTCTCGAATTTATTACACCCATTGTGAAAGTGAGCTATTCATTTAGCGCCGCATTACCACTACAACTCTCCTGATACAGTATATATAGGTGACAAAGGGCAGCGGGTCGCAGAAGAGGGAGCAATCTTTTTTCACCATCCCAGAGTATGAGGAATGGAAGCGGGCTCATGATGATGGGAAAGGTTGGACCATAAAGTACTACAAGGTAAGGCTGGTCGATGCTTTTGTTATTATTGTAGGAAGTTTGACCGATTGTTCTGAGTAGGGTCTGGGTACAAGCACTACTGAAGATGCCAAAAAATATTTTTCTGCGATGAACCGCCATTTAAAGCCGTTTAGTGCGGCGCAAGACGGAGAACGTGAGCTGATTGACATGGCCTTCAGTAAAAAGAAAGCTGACGATCGCAAGGAGTGGCTGCGGCAATTCCAAGTAAGTGTCTCCGGTCACTTTCGAATCTCTGCGATGACGATCCTGATCTGCAAGTACCTTTCAGCCGGGAACATATATGGATCATTCCCAAAACCGCATTGCGATTTCAGACTTCATCAATAAGGAGCTCATTTTATTTTCAATGGCTGACAATGCCCGATCGATTCCTTCCGCTGTGGATGGTCTAAAACCAGGTCAGCGGAAAATTCTGTTCTCTTGCTTTAAAAGAAATTTGAAGCAAGAAATCAAGGTGGGATGTCCTATCTTTCGTATTGTCGGACATCTACTGAGCCTTGCACAGGTGGCCCAGCTCGCTGGTTATGTGTCAGAACACTCTGCATACCACCATGGAGAGCAAAGCTTGTGCTCTACCATCGTCGGTATGGCTCAGAACTTTGTCGGGAGTAATAATATGCAATTACTTGAACCTCGAGGACAGTTTGGAACCAGACTGCAGGTGCGCCTTCGACATTTGTTTTGTAAGATTGTTGTCAGCAGTTACCAATCCATGTGTTCTAGGGTGGGAAAGACGCCGCCAGTCCTCGTTACATCTTCACAACGCTGTCCCCACTGGCACGAGCATTATATCACCCAGCGGATGATGCTTTGCTGGCTTATCAAAATGAAGATGGACAAAGTATTGAACCTGAATGGTGCTGCCTACTTCTACTTCGTTGAAGCTGCCGCAATGTTGAAAGTAATTATTGTACCTCTCCGGCATTAGGTACTTACCGATACTGCCAGTGCTACTCATCAATGGGGGTGAGGGCATCGGAACGGGATGGTCATCCTCCATTCCGAATTACAAGTAGGTGCCTGCTTTTCAACATTATGTGCCTTCATTAATAGTTTTCAATGTGACATATCAGTCCCCGTGACGTAGTTGAGAACATCTTTCGAATTATGGATGGGGATGATCTTGTACCTATGCATCCCTGGTACCGTGGATACAAAGTAGGTTATAAAGCGTAACATGTTGATATCTGCTTGATTTTTTGACACGATTTTCTAGGGCACAATCGAATTAGTTGGCAAGGACAAGTACAGGGTGACGGGAGTAATCAAAAAGATTGACGAAACGACCGTCGAAATAACTGAATTACCAATTCGCACATGGACCCAAAACTATAAAGAAGATTTAGAATCATGGCTTACAGGCACGGAAAAGCAGGCAGCTTGGATCAAGGATTATAAGGAATACCACACCGACTCATCCGTGCACTTTATTGTGACATTAACGGAGGAACAAATGGCCTTGGCCGAGAAGGAAGGTCTCGAGAAACGTTTCAAACTTGTTAGCTCGATTTCCACATCGAATCTGGTTTGCTTCGACCAAGAGGGTCGAATCAGGAAATACGAATCTGTTGAGGACATTTTTACCGAATTTTGCGACCTTAGGCGAAAGTATTACCAGAAGCGAAAGGCAAGAATTGGATCTAAGCAAATATTGCCTCATACCCATTTCGGATTGCTTACCCGTTTTGTCAACAGGAATATCTTCTCAATCAACTCAACTCGGACTTGACCAAACTGGACAACAAGGTGCGATTTGTGACGGAAATCATCCAAGGCGAGCTTGTAGTCCAAAATAAGAAAAGGGACGCTTTACTACAAGAATTGCGTCACCGAAAGTACGTTCCGATACACAACAAGAAAGAAAAGCCGGATGTGGATGAAGAAGCAGAAGACGAGGAAGAGTCAACTAAGGAGTCAAAGGGCCACGGATACGACTATCTACTGTCCATGCCTATTTGGAATCTCACAATGGAGAAGGTGCAGCAATTAATGAAGCAACGAGATCAGAAGGCCGAGGAAGTTGTCATTTTGACCGGCCAGTCCATTAATCAGCTGTGGCGTACAGACTTGGACGCCTTTTTGGCGCAGTGGGATGTAAGGCCATTTGATCAATACGGAACTAGTTCAGAATCGTGAACGAAAGCTAATGATTGTCGATCCATTGCCCGGAATCAGCATTTTGAAAGGATGATGGAAGAAAACGATTCTCAAAAACCCGCTAATGGCACTACCGCGTTGGGAGCCGCGAAGACTGCACCCAAGAAAAATGGGGTGTCGGCCATTGCCAAGACCAAGCAAGCAGCAAAGAAGGTGATAGATGAGAAGTTAGATAAGAAGGCGTTCGATGTCAGCGATGATGAGGACGATGATGACGACTTCACACCTAAAGAAAAGGGTATAGCAAATAGGCATGCTGGTGCAGGATATTGATCTGACATGATGAAATTACAATAACAGTTAGCCAACATCGCGCCACCAGCGCGAAACCTCGAACAGGGGATGGAAGCGCTAAAAGACTTACCAAAAATACGAAGGAGGAGCAAAAAGTAGAAGACGTGATGGTAGGGTTCCCTGGATTATCAGAGGTGCTTGTGCCTTACTATAACATGAAATGCAGGATGTTGAGATTAAAGCAGAGCCATCGGCGCGCAAGACAGTCGCCACTCCATCTGTAGAGGAGTTGGCAGAAACCATGTCCAATATCAGCATTACCAAGAGACCAGAAGCCGGAAAGAAGCGCATATTGGGCGGGAAACGAGCGGCAGCACCCGGACAGGCCAGAACCACGACCAAAAAAGCCACCGCAATGTCGGAGCAACTCGAGCCAGCCAAAGTCGGTGGCTTGATTGGTATGGAGTCCCCGGTAGAGGATGTAGTTCCTGTCAAGACACGTCAAACAGCCAAGGCAAAGATGCCTGCGAAGTCTCGCGCACCGAAAGCAACCAAGGTGCCCGCGGTTGTGGTGGACGAGTCTGAAGACGACGTGGATGATGAGATGGATATCAACGTGCTGGCAACGTCAGCCAAGTCCTCCAAGTCAACATCTCCTGCGACCACCGCGGAAAAGAAGATAGCTCCAAGCAAAACGAAGATAGCGCGCAACAAGAAGGCTATTGTTGACTCGGACTCGGATGATGTGGAACATGTACCCGCCGTGATGAAGAAACCTGTATCGGCAGCACGTGCGACCAAAAAGAAACCGGTGGTGGATTCTGATGAGGACGACGAAATTGTTGCAATTCCAGTGGTCGCTACTGGGGGACGAGGTAGATCAACTCGCGGCAAACAACCTATAAAATACTTCGACCCCGGGAGCGAAGAGGATCAGAAAGAAGAGGAGAATGAGAATGAATCTGAGAGTGACTTTAATGATGATGATGATTATTAGTTGTTTAGGTTGTAGTGGTGGACATGTATGTAGTTGTATTTGTCGATTGCATTTCGTTGTAATGGATACGACTTAGGGATGTCAATCTCCACTATCTATATTTTGAATAGTGGATAACATTGTCTGTAGAATTTGCAACCAGCGACAGCAACGTCGGGTGGTCGCGCCCACTATTCAGGTCAATCCTTGGTGTATAAGCTGCCTAATGCATGACCTTGGTCGGTGTTTCCAGTCAAATATCTTTCTATACCACCTTCAAGAAAACTTTAGAGGTCAAAAAAACTAAGATTTTTGATAGTTTAAATGCCACAGTGTAGATCTTGTAGCCACGTGAATCAATTGGGTGTGTCAGCGCAATGTCCTCCAAACGCTGGTATCCGCGATTCAATCTGTCCATACGTGGTTAGCTCTGCCGATTTATTGTGAAACCTTAGAGACGGTGAGAATATCGGATGGACTCGGCAGAGCTTGAGGCTTCATCACACGGTGGGGCTTCCAGAGAGCAGGCACCATTGTCTCCCAGAACTGCTTTGAGCCAAGATGCGACAAAGAAAGGACGTGTCGTCTATGTCGGACACGATAAGTTTGGCACCCGTGTCCCTTTGGATGAGCTCAGGAAGCTGTACCTAAACGAGCTCCCCGGTCGTGTCACCGACCATGAAAGGCGAACCATCACCTACGATGGAAGTTTGAAAAAGTATCCTCCAGTCCGTCTTCTCCGGAATTGCGATCGGAAACGAATATTGGTCACTGGAGGAGCTGGGTTTGTGGGATCGCATCTGGTGGATAGATTGATGATTATGGGCAATGAGGTTGTCGTGCTGGATAACTTTTTTACTGGGAGAAAGAATAACATTGAACATTGGTTGGGACATCCAAATTTCGAACTCGTGCGACACGATGTTGTAGGTGGGTACGTATGCACCTTTTGGTCTGATCAACAGCGGTCATTAGCTAAGGCAGCACTATGGCCACGCAGACCCGTTTATGATTGAAGTGGATGAAATCTACCATCTGGCTTGTCCTGCCTCACCACCTCATTACCAATACAACCCGATCAAAACCGTCAAGACAAGTGTGATGGGAACAATCAACATGCTCGGGCTAGCCAAGCGCACAAAAGCGAAATTCCTCCTCACATCAACCTCTGGTGAGTCCGATTGTAATTGGTAGTTTTGGTGGGTGTCAAATTTGATGACCATTGAAACCTTTGACCATGATTAGAGATTTATGGAGATCCAAAGGAACATCCACAGAAGGAGACATATTGGGGTGAGCTCCTCTCCGTTGGTGCCATCTGCGAAGCTTCACGTTGTGTCATGAACTAATGAGTATTTTCGTTAGGACATGTCAACCCTGTAAGCACAAATACCAATCATGCAAATGGTCAGCTCTCCGCTCACACGGTATACTTTGCATCGCTAGATTGGACCAAGGGCGTGCTACGATGAAGGCAAACGGGTAGCAGAAACCTTGACGTTTGCCTACGCCAAACAAGAAAAGCTTGACGTCAGAGTAGCGCGTATCTTCAACACCTTTGGACCCCGCATGAACGAGAATGACGGTCGCGTCGTTTCAAATTTCATCATACAGGCCTTGAGAGGGGAGGATTTGACGGTCTACGGCGAAGGGGATCAGACGCGATCGTTTCAATATATCCATGACCTGGTGGACGGGTTGATTCAACTCATGCATTCCAAGGCACATGAACCGGTCAACCTTGGCAATCCAGATGAATACACAATCATGGAGTTTGCTGAAATCATTCGAGATACAGTTAACAAAGAAGTCAGAATCGTGAATCTGCCTTCGACCACGGATGATCCTCAACGTAGGCGCCCGGACATTACCCGCGCCAAGACCTTCCTCGACTGGTCACCAAAGTTTTCAGTGATGCAAGGAATAGAGGAAACAGTAGAATATTTTTCAAAGCTTGCCAATGATCTGTAAAAAAAAAAGAATGGCGGGAAGGAGCACTTGTACATGAAATAGACGCATACTGAACGGCATTTTATCAAAGATCATTTGCATCTCCAGGTATACAGGGGCCAGAATAGTCCCTTCCCTCTCCCCTCTCTATGGCTACACCTTCCATTGGAGGCTCAATGTCCGGATCTAATGATCAAGGATGCGGAGGTTGCCAGATACGACCTTGTCATTCAGAATGGCGCCTGATGGGATATCTATTCTCTCGCCGTGGTTAGCGACGATAATGACAGTCCCTAAATTAAATTGTAAGGAACCCACTACAACGTTTAAGTCGATGCGCGCATCCAGGTGTTACCTTGAAGAACTACAGAATGTCCAAAGGTCACGTCTCCCGTGACCGTTAGGTGATCCAAGTCCAATATTTGGGGAGGCCCCTGGAACCGGGACAAAAAGTGGGAAACCTGTAATAACAAGGAAGGAAGGAATTAGGAGAATGCCATGATAATTAGCTACTCGAGGAAGACTTGAGGACCTTTTTAAAGTGGTCGCCAAGCTTAACAAGAGGAACTGTCGTGAACTGCCTCTTTGCATTCATTGTGAGATTTCCATGCTCCAATCGATACAAGTCCGATGTGATCAAAAACAGATCGGATGTGCTCTTGACAGGCAAGAATCGACTACGAGGGACATTGATACCGTGGGCTCCGTTGAAATGCTTGATAGCAGCACCGACGGCGGTCTCAAGTTGAATGACCTTTTCCCCGTTTTCCGCGGTCTTATTGTTTACGATAATCTCCATATTCAGCTCGCTGTTGTCGACGAGGCGTCTGATGGCCTTCAAGGATATCCACAAGTTATTCGTGTTGAAGATCTTGAACTTCTTGATAGATTTGAAATCGTCCACATGTGCAGAGGGTACTTGGGCGATTTCTAGCAATCGAATGCTGTCCTCGTATTCAATCAGTGTTCCTCCCTTGATGTCAGCCTTTGTCTTGTCGGTCACTTCCATGAGGAATTCTGATCCCGAGGCAACCATATGCCGAAGGATGTCTATACAGTTTGGAGCCATCAATACTCAGCTTGTGAACCATGAGACCCTAATGTAGTCATCATACGCAATACGTACTGACATCAACCGTTGCGCCAAGATTGTCAACGTTCGAAACAAATAGATATTCTTTTCCTTGCGCAAGCAGCTCGTCCAATGTCCCACTGTTTGCCAGTGCTTCAAACAGATCACCGTGTCCTGGTGGGTACCAGTTGCTCACGGCAGCGTCGGGAGAAGTAGGAACGGGAAGGAGGGTATCTTTGGAAACACGGGGGAACCGCGATTGATTAAATGTCAAGAGCTGAATCTGGTGGCCAGCATATTTCTGAATGATGCGTTTTGTTTCGGTGTCCGTGTTGAAAGAGTTCATTAAGACTAGCGGGACGTTCACGTTGTTCTGACGGTTCAGATACTTTTGCCATGCGAATCGGTGTCAATTGAGGTTCACAGGTCATTATACCGTGCGATTTCAAAGCAGCCTACCTCTATCTGGCGCACTGTGAGATCCAAGAACGTCATTCCCTCTCGAACTTCTATTGCACTGTGACGCAGGCACCGGGCAGTCATGTAAGAGTTACGAAGTCCATTGATCCTCATTTGTAATGAACATACCTCTTCGGGCCGACACATCCCATTGTCGTGCCAAGTCCACCATTCAGCTTCAGCACGGCTAATTTACTTAGGAAATTTGGGACTTCCGCGTCTGGCGTCGCAGGTAGGTCTTTATAGGCGACAATCTACCAGGAGAGTCAGTTGTCTTCGACAGACAAAGGATGTGTAGGCATATTTGTGTATGACATACTTTCTCCGGACCTGGTGAGTTGACTGCGTTCCAATTTCTGTACCAAAGATGTTACTGAAAGCGATAGTCTCCTCGTCACAGTGCTGACCTACAATTTTGTGCCCTTTGCCTTTTCAGACAAGTATCGAGTAAAAAGGGAGTAGAAATTGTCCATTTCCAAAGTGAATGCTGCTCTCTCGGGGCCCTCTGGCACCATTTCGCACAGCTTGTTGAGCTCGTTCCTCATGCCAGCCGCGGCGACGGCATGCGACTGTTCATGAAAGCCGGCGACGGATATCGCTCTGTTATGGTCCAAGGCAGTCATACCTGCCGCGTCTTTTTGAAAACCATCAGCAATGCTTGTAAAGCTCATGTCGTTTGAGTTTCTTGTTTAGTTTCTGCTCGAGTGTAAGATGTGATGTATAACGAAGGGAAGGTGGGGAGAAGGACTAGCGGGGAGGAACGTGGGTAATGACGTACATGGATATGCTAAGCCATTAGAATGGCACAGTTTTACGATGAGGTTGATGGCACAGCCAACGGCACGGTGACTGAATACGAGCCCTGTCGTGGCCGGTGCGGCCTCCATTGTTACTCGAGCAACGCTGCGTTTTGTAGGTCGATTTTCCACCAAACTGTCGTAGGCTGAGGTCCTCCACACGTTGCAAGTGGTTGCCGAAATCAACAGCTTGAACAAGCAGGGGGGGCATCTTGCTGAATTTTGGAAGAATTCACGTAAGCCTGCGTCTGTCATCTCGTCACGTCCACGATGAACACGTTCGAAGAAATCGAGGTAAGTCGGGTGGATGTCGCTATCTTTTCAGGTTTCCTGGCATGAAAGGCATAGGCCCATCTTTTGAGTTATCTCTCACATACGCAATTATGTATTCCAGGATCAGGATGGAATCCGGTTGTCCTGGAACGTGTGGCCCTCGTCACGGCTTGAAGCCACCCGAATGGTAGTCCCCATTGGAGCGTTGTACACGCCTCTGAAGGAAAGGGAAGGTGTTCAGGCCTTTGCTTACGAGCCTGTGACATGCAAAATGCCTTGTCGTGCGATTCTGAATCCGTATTGGTATGTGAAATGTTGCGGCTCGACGACTCGGCAAGACTGTGCGTGATGAGCTGATGTCGCGTTTCGATCGATCTTTGTATGTAGTCAAATTGACGTGCGTGGAAAGCTGTGGATTTGCCCATTTTGTCTTCAGCGGAACCAGTTCCCTCCACACTATAAGGATATCTCGAACACGAACCTTCCGGCTGAACTATTGAGGCAGTATACAACAATTGAGTATATTCTGAACAAGCCGCCCAGCTTGCCACCCATCTTCCTTTACGTGGTCGATACATGCTTAGATGAGGTGGATTTGAAGGCATTGAAGGACGCTCTTGTAGTCAGTTTGAGCTTGTTGCCTCCCAATGCATTGGTCGGGTTGATCACCTACGGCACGATGGTTGTATTTTATACTGCTTTGTCCAGTCTCGCGTTTGCACTTATGTAATGTCTTACTTTCGTTAGGCTCAAGTTCACGAGCTTGGATACAGCGAATGCCCGAAATCCTACGTATTCCGTGGTAGTAAGGAGTACAATGCTAAACAGATTCAGGACATGCTTGGTTTGGGTGCTGTTCCGTCCATGCGCCCCGGACAGCCGCAACCACGTCCCGGACAGCCGCCTGTTGCGCAAAATATGGGAGCTGGGAGGTATGCAGTGAAGAACGACGTGACGTATTACTAGCTCAGCACACTTAAGCACATACGTGCAGGTTCTTGCTCCCGATCTCCCAGTGCGAGTTCACCTTGACCTCGATTTTGGAGCAGCTCCAGCAAGATCCATGGCCGGTCGCTAATGATAAGCGACCCCTCAGGTGTACGGGAACTGCCTTGTCTGTCGCTGTCGGGCTTCTGGAGGTATTGTGCCTTTACAAACGCGTCATGACTAGAATTCCCACCAATCCTTCCTGGCTCCTTGTATAGGCTGCCTATCAAAACACCGGTGCGAGGATAATGCTGTTTGCGGGCGGTCCACCTACGGAAGGGCCGGGTTTAGTCGTTGGACCGGAGCTCAGAGAACCAATTCGATCTCATAATGATTTGGAGAAGGATGTAGCAAAGCACGCGAAGAAGGCTGTGAAAGTACGCACGATACCTTTCACACGACGTCCCGGTCTGTTGATTAACACTTCATGCCATAGTTTTATGAAGCTCTGGCCAAGCGCGCAGCGGATAAGGGGCATGTGGTGGACATTTTTGCCGGATGCTTGGACCAGATTGGATTGATGGAAATGAAGTCGTTGGTTAATTTGACCAACGGATTCATGGTTCTCTCGGATTCATTCAACACGGCCATCTTCAAACAATCATTCATCCGCGTGTTCAATAAGGATGCTGATGGCTTTTTGCAAATGGGATTCAACGCGACTTTGGAAGTGCAGGTATGCAGTTGGAACAAAGGTTGGCCAAACCAGAATATATCGCTAATTTGCCTGGTCTAAATACTCAGACTACCCGTGAATTGCGAGTTTGCGGATTGATTGGTCCGGCGATCTCTGCGAACAAAAAAAGCCCTTGTGTTGGCGAAACGGTTTGTGTCATCATTGGATGCATATGCTGGATCCCAGATTGTCTGAATTAACACAATGGGCTTGACATGCAGGAAATTGGCATTGCAGGCACCAGTGCATGGAAATTCTGCGGCATTACACCTAAAACAACGGTCGGGCTCTACTTCGAAGTGGCCAATCAGGTTAGACATTTTATGTTTCTGTACATTTGTATACGATGGCTTATGCGCATCTTTTTTATGAAGCAACAACAAGCCTTGCAACCCGGTTCGCGAGGCTTGATACAATTTGTTACACTGTATCAACATGCAAGTGGGCAATTCCGCCTGCGCGTTACCACCGTGGCTCGCAAGTTCGTATTAACCTTGACGTGTTGCTGGTGCCATTGCTGACAACTGTATTTTATCATAGCTGGGCGGAAGCCAATTCACCTGAGATACCCGCATCCTTTGATCAGGAAGCCGCTGCTGTGCTCATGGCTCGTATCGCCATATTCAAAGCAGAGATTGATGACAGCCCAGATGTTCTTCGCTGGCTGGACCGAATGTTGATTCGCCTGGTAAGGTGTACGCAGAGCGTAATCAGACGTGGAATATACATTCAATGTCGTTATAGTGCCAAAAATTCGCCGATTACCGCAAGGACGACCCAACCTCTTTCCGCCTGTCCGACAACTTCTCCATTTACCCACAATTCATGTTCCACTTGCGGCGAAGTCAGTTTTTGCAGGTTTTCAATAACAGTCCTGACGAAACGGCGTTTTATCGGTGAGTTGCGGAAAGCTGTGTGGATTTAGAGTCGCAATCCGCTCATTTTGTCCGCATACCAGGCATATTTTGAATCGCGAAGACGTAAATAATTCCCTTATTATGATTCAGCCCACCCTCATGAGCTACAGTTTCAACGGACCACCTCAGCCTGTACTCCTTGACTCCGTGTCTATCAAGCCGGACCATATCCTTCTATTGGACACATTTTTCCATATTCTGATCTGGCACGGAGAAACAATCGCCGCGTGGCGAAAAGCCAAATACCACGAGCAGCCAAGTTACGAAAACTTTAAACTTCTCTTGGAGGCGCCCAAGCAGGATGCGCAAGTGGGTATCCTGCGTGGAAAATGCGGATCAACATATATTAACCTTCATGTTGCTATTCTTAACAGGAGCTCCTTGCGGAGAGATTTCCCATTCCTCGATACATTGACTGTGACGCAGGAGGATCACAAGAGCGTTTCCTGAAATCCAAAGTAAATCCATCGACAACACATGTCAGCCCAGGTGGCTACGGCTATAATCAACAGGCGCAGGGAGCATCGATCGCAACAGATGATGTCAGTCTTCAAGTGTTTATGGAGCATTTGAAGAAGCTTTCAGTGTCTGGGTCGTCCTAGCGGTGATGTACTACTAATATTCCGGAAATATATCACACTTGCTTTGATTTCTTGAGTGTGCATCCTTTTACTGGTGTGGACTTTTCATGTGATCAAAGCCTTGCACAGGCACGCTCGGTAAAATCCTCACCAGAAATCAAAGGATATTGGCAAGAGGGCCTCCACGGCGAAATGATTATAATGTAATGTACAACGGAAAATTGAAGCCCGTCCATCATCATGCGGACTTGTCGGCAGAGGATGGTGGAGGCATTGGAATGTTATCAAAATCGTCACGGCCCGTCTTGTACATTGAATAACCAACTAGATTTGAGCGTTCCAGAGTGTGAGTCCAGGACATCCCAACCATAAACTCCAAGGTCATGAGCAACAGCCAACTTACATATAGCCAGCGTTCCTCCCAAAAGAATTCCTCCCACTATCATATTCCTCTTACGGTACGGCCGCATAATCTCCATTTTGGCGGCCATGAGCTGCTCGGGCGTCATGCTACGTTGGTAGGCGTTCAAATGTCTGTACGCTTCCTGAACTGGCATCTATACTCAACCATGTTAGTGATTGCATTAATTGCAAGTGTCAATGCGCGGTATATGCGATTAACTCACGTTATGGAAATCAAAAGGGTGAGCAGGCTGTTGAGGTGCTGTCGGAAGGGGCGGAGGATGAGCCATTTTGGTGATTTCCAAAGCGTTAACTTGCAAGCGAACTAGTTGCTTGTTCACTGTGCGCGTTGCCAGGACACCCAGAGATGCTAGTGACGTGGTCATATAGTGTGCCCCGTTTGTGGACTTTTTCAACCTTGCCTTCTCGTCGTCGATAAGGTCTTGAATGAGGTCGTTCTTTGAATTTTTTCTCCACAAACTCAGATGAGGAACAGCGAGGGCAAACAGATGAGGTCTTGTACTCGTCGAGAAGGAAACAATCAATGCGGTTGCGCTTAAAGAGGGTGCTCCAGCCTTTCGTCTTTGATGAGGTCTGAAATCTCGCAGTTCGACCAGCGTCGCTCCAATCACCCATCACAATGGTAAAGTTCCCAAACTTGTTGCGCAAGTTGGATATGAGGTTCGATTCGCTTCGCTGCCGATTGATGAAGGAGTGCCATTTCCATCGCATGTGGGCAGGGTGGGAGTAGAATTCCTTGCGACGATCCCAATCAGCGCGGCGAACGAGAAGGTAGCGAGTGAAGTCCATGAGGTTCATTGTTTTGTGGGATGGTATTCGTGATTCTATGAGATCAACTCCAGCTTCTTCCTTCATTGCTTCTCGTCTCTTTGCAAATCGCCGGCTACCTGTCTCCACGGCTCGCTGGTTGGCGGTGTAGCGAAATGTCGTACCACTGTTGTCTTGGCAGTAGAGAAGATCGCGCTTGTTTGGGTCGATAACGATGACATTTTCTGCTGCTCGACAAGCAGGCAAGTTTTTCTCCACATATTGCGCTTTAACGTCGTCCTCTAAACTCTTTGCTGACTTTCTCGCTCCGCGCTTTCCACACTTGTCTGCTTCTGGGTGCTTTAGGTATACAGACACCGAGGTTCCGTCCGTCGTGATCGAGCCTTCAAAACACATTCCATGACGAGATCTAAAAGCCTTGTTCTGCAGATTACAGATGCGCAACCATAAATCGACCTTCTCTACGGCTTCTGCTTCTCGTCGCGTGATGCAGAGGATGTGGGCGTAGAGAATGAGCGTGTCGATGCGAATATGGGACTGAATCAGAGACCGATGAAGAGGGATTGCACTGAACCGACGGAAGCCATGTCGTTCATACAGCCCAGAGAGTTTGCAGTATGCAGGAAAGAAAGCGAGAGGGTCTACAGCAACCGAATATGCGAACGGCTGGTCAGAAAGGGGAATGAAGGACCACATCTCTTCTAGAAGTTCACTCTCTTTAGCAGTCAAGTCATCAAGTGACTCGGGCACAATATCAAAAAGGAAAATTGACTTCAAGTAGCGTAGCCGAGCAAAGAAAGCTTTCCGCGCTTCACTCTTTGGAGGCCCTTTCCGTCCCTTCACGTCGAGCCGCAGATTGATATACCGAAGGAGCATCTGCATGAAATGCTCTTGAACGTTGACTTTCAGGTTCGTCATCATACTCACTGTCAGGTAATTGACTGATTGCTGCTCGCCTCGTAGATTTGGGTGAACAAAGCCGACGATTTGGCAGTACCGTTGAACATATGGCAGCAAACAATCCCGCCATGCCTTCTTTGCTTCCTTTCTTGGATGCCAAGCCTCCCCCTTGTTGAGAAGATAGAGAATCGCTTCGATTGTATCTTCATTTACCGTGGGAAAGGTTGGTGCAGATAGGATGTAGAATTTGAGAGCGTGGGAAGCGTGGTCGGCGAGTTGATGGATGATGGCGATGTAATCTAAAAGCCGTTGGCAGTAGATGTCGTTTGGCAGGAAAGCTTTTGCAAAGGAAGTCTTGTTGCAGGTATGTAAGCAAGTAGGTTTGTCGAGTTTTTCGAGCCTTTGCTTTTTCTTTGGTGGCATGATGATATCTGTAGAAAAGCCTGGGAAAATGGGCGACGACTTATATAGGATTTTTTGGATCAAACCATAATTCATGAGTCTAAATCGAGTAAAATTATGATTAAATTGGTTGGAATCTCTGTACTAGTACCAATACCAATCGGCTCCGCACTATGTATTCCGTTCACACGGATGGCATATCTGTTTTTCCTCGTAGACATATATATATCGGCGGCGCCTCAGATACTTGTCACCTTCAACTGCTATAGAATTATCTTTTTATTGAATTTGCTCCCAAGTCCTTTCGTTATAATTGGTGTGCAGTATAAGGTCCGGATAACTTGGCAGCTAAAGATTTTCTGCATACCATGGACAAATTGTGGACAATAAAGTCTAGTCTTGCAGAGGGTAGAATACTCACATGGTCTGCAAGAAATAAAGTCCTATATCTCAATCATTCTCTTTAAAAACTCAGGGGCGCGGAGAAGCCTTCGTCCTTCAGAGATCTCCATTCTCGGATAGACATCATCGAGAAAATAGTATACATGCCCCACAGCCAGCCCCATGAGGTCGCCTGCCGGCCATTGGTTGTTCAGGAGGATGGTAAACCCGAGTAGCACCCATGGCAGGTACGGAGCAGTAAAAGTGAAGATCCCCAGAAAGTTCATTCGAATGAATGCATTTCGTCGTGACCAGACGTAAACGAGCATGAAAGTTAGAGGAGAAGAGAGGAACGGGATGGAGGTACGAGCAGGGAGTAGAGGCGACATGCCCTGAGAAGAAAAGGTTGGTTACTATTACATGACTTTTTGACGTATATCACGTCAAACTTTTCCGACGTAAGCTTACGATTGTTGCCAGCATTCCAAATAATAGAAACCATAGGAAGTCAGCCGTCCTCCCACGGAAAGAGCCTTCCTCCAACATACGGCTATATCGGACGCTGGAAAAACAACATTTGAGCATTTGCTTGTCCGCTTCACCAGACTAACACTAGCCATACGTACAGGAAGAACATGTGGAAGAGGAAGTCGAGCGAAAAGTTTCCAAAGTACAGGAAGCTTGTGATAAGTCGCCACCACTGTGATGCACCAACCAAATCAGTCACACACCAACAATCATTAATGGTGGACCAACAGGGACGCAGAAAGCTGCCTCAAAGCCTCATGTACTTACTTGTCTGGATCGCCATATCAGCGTCCAGTTGAAGTAAAGGTGAAAGGGCGACACGAGATCCAGTTGCTACATGAATGCAATTGTGATAGATCCGTCGGTGATCGATTCCATTGTGCCAAGGGAAACCCCACATACTGAACTTACGCAGGCAAGGGTGGTCAACACCACAGCGGTAACATATGTCCGTGTGATGACCGGTACTTCATAGTACCACTCTTCTATAGGAAATGGCATGCCGAACTATCTTTGCCCAGGCTTGGAGTCGGGTCGCGGATCTGTGTTATCCACCACCATGACGTGTTCCTTGTGCTTGGTACTCACGTGTCAAGCAAGCGAGAACTACAAACTGCATCTACTCCACACAGCGATAATGCCCAGCTCTTTCCAAAACATCTTTTTTAAACCAAGAGATATGCTCCAGGTAGATGATGTGATGATGATGGATTTGAGTGCATTGCTGTCATCGGCGGATGAATCATTTCACATCTATGCAAACCAATGCACGCTTGCAAATTTCCAATAGTCTTTTGACATGAGTATCCAACCCATATCTTAACATTTGCAGTTTGAGCAGTTTTGCATGACAAAAGCGCCCGTTGAATGAAGCCTTGTTTACATGCCGCAGTCATCATGGCCGTGGCACAGGCATCGGAATGTGTATGACTGTGCCATTATGGCTATTGGGTCACAAGCGGGCGGCAAGAGGTCAGCAATTGTGGTCTCAGAACGGCTTCAGGGCTTTCAACAACATCTTACGTGCTCGTCCTAGATTCCGCCACGTCTGAGAACGAGCGTTCTGCCAACGCATCTCGTGTCGAATACTTTTAAACAGCATACTCTCTGTTTTCTTACACTCTTGGCTGTCAGTCTCGGAGTGAGCGTTACGTGACCCTGCTCGATCCCGCCTCCTGCGCATCTCGCGTTTGTGACCTTTCCCTCAAAACAACGTTACCCTTTCTTTTCTGGCAACAATGGCCACCAGCAAATCCGCTAGCTATGACTATTTAATTAAGCTTTTGCTTATTGGGGATAGTGGTGAGTACCCGACATTGTATTCAACGTGTGACCAGTGGGCGTGAATATGGGTGAGGTGAACAACGCGACTGGAGACGGGAAGGTTTTCAGAATTGAACAGTTTCTGCATGATGGTGTGGGTACTGCTTGTAGCGTAAAGCAGCACAGAAAGTCGTTGATGTTTGACCAAGCTGTGCGCCAACCACTATGGGATGCTAGCGCGTATGCCGTTAGATTGGAGCATTGGACTCATGATGGCTGGCTCACTTTATAGGTGTGGGAAAGAGCTGCTTACTATTGCGGTTTTCGGATGATTCCTTCACGCCTTCCTTCATTACAACCATTGGTATCGACTTTAAAATTCGCACAATCGAATTGGACGGAAAGCGCATCAAGTTACAGATTTGGGATACTGCTGGACAAGAACGTTTTAGAACAATTACCACAGGTTCGATCGAAAGTTGATATTCAGCAGTGATGGGTTGTGTATATCACACGCTGACCATTTCGCAATATTCTCAGCATATTACCGTGGAGCAATGGGTATTTTGTTGACGTACGATGTCACGGATGAGCGCTCCTTCAACAGTACGTCGACGCAATGCGTTTTCTATGATGGATCTGCGCTGATGTCACACTCCCATTAGACATTCGAAACTGGATACGTAACATTGAGCAGCACGCCAGCGAAGGCGTGAACAAAATCTTGGTTGGAAACAAGTGCGATATGCTGGAGAAGAAGGTGCGTAAGCTGACGAGTCATACATTGCGATCAGCAAATTAAAATTGTAACCGATGATTGTAGGTTATCAGTAAGGAACAAGGACAGGCTCTGGCTGATGAATTCAAGATCAAATTTCTGGAGACGTCTGCCAAATCGAACATTGGCGTCGAAGAAGCGTTTTTCACTCTTGCGAGGTGACCGCAGTCAGTTTGCTGTGGGCCTTACCAAATAATACTCTAACATTGTGTATCCAAAATGCAGGGATATCAAGAAACGATTGATTGATACCGCTTCTGAGAAGCCGGAGAAGCCGTCGGGGGTTACAGTCAATCCAGAGCCAGCCAATCGACAGGCTGGTTGCTGTGGCAAATGAGAGCTGGATTGGGTGGTGAGGGACGAGTTTGTTGCACATTTGTCGCATTATAATGACGGTGATTAAGCGTGGTGATAGAAAAATGGCCGTCTGCGTGTGGTTGAGGTTCTCTTATGCTGTTAACTGTTCAAATACCAGAATATTGTCTTCTTTTTATATTCGCCCTATTGATCATTTTGCCATCTGTTGCCTCTGCTCGTGCCAATCGAGCGCTCTTCCCGCGGGCCAAATTTCAGATCCGCTTTTTGAACCCTTTTTCGCGCCCACCTTTCAAACTCTGGGACAAAACTCACGTGCCTCGCCTAGCAACAAAGGCAAAGCTTTAAAGCGTCGATTCAATTCATGACTTGCAAAGCGGAGTTTTTGGGGGTTAGGGGGCATGGCATGGGGCAACAGTTTGCGACCTTGCACTGCCAGAACACTGCCTCACCCCGTCTTTTCCCATTCATCATTAAGCATTTTCCTTTCCTTGAGTTGTGTACTTGTGTTTACCCATCATGTCTACCGAGGCCGCGAATGTAAAGAACAGCACGGTAAAGGAGCCTGGCTCACCCGAAAAGCCATTTGACTCAACAGGAAGTGAAACAAGTGATGGAAGACCCTCTCTTATCACTCGGTTCCACTCGTCGGTTCTGGATCCAGAGAGAAGTTCATCTCCTTACCGCGTAGCGGAGGCAATCGACCGTGAGGGTGGCTTGCTCTGGCCATCAAAGGGCACCAAATTGCGCAAAGACGAGTCACCCGAAGAGAGGAAAGAGCGCCTCGAGCGGATGGCGGGTGCTATAAAAACAGTTATTGAATGTGTGGGGGAAGACCCGGACCGTGAAGGGGTTATGAAGACACCCATGCGCTACGCCCAAGCTCTCATGTTCTTCACTCAGGGATATGAGCAGAATATGAAAGACATTATCAATCAGGCTGTCTTTGAGGAGGATCATGACGAAATGGTCATTGTCAAGAACATAGACATCTTCTCTTTGTGCGAGCACCATATGGTCCCCTTTGTGGGAAAGGTGAGCTGGGCATCGCACATTGAAAGTGTGTCTCATCCTCTAACTCTAACACACTTTTTCAGGTCAGCATCGGATATATACCGGATAAGCGCGTGCTCGGTTTGAGCAAACTGGCTCGGATAGCCGAAATGTTCAGCCGCCGTTTACAGGTACAGGAGCGACTTACAAAGCAGATCGCCATGTCGCTTCAGGAGATCTTAAAACCGCAAGGCGTTGCTGTCACAATGGAAGCATCGTGAGTGCCGATGCTTTGCACTGTGTGCTACAAAGTTGTGAGATGTGCGAGATCTTTAATGCGGCGAATATTGCAGGCACATGTGTATGGTCATGCGTGGTGTGCAGAAACCGGGCAGTAGCACTGTCACAAGTTGCATGCTTGGTGTCTTTAGAGAGGACCCGAAAACCAGGGAAGAGTTCTTAAGAGTGAGTATACCTGTCCCTCACTTGCCATTGCAGCCATGCGAACAATCACTGATGCATCTTTTTGCGACCATAGCTCATCCGATCCCAGGGGCTGTAGAAAGGATGTAGAACATATACCCATATACGGCGAATGCTCTTGAGCATTTTACCGTGACCATAGTCTTCATAAGTGGTTCATGTGGTCCCGTAACTGATTGGTTGCAAAGACTCTTTTGTTCAAATGTACAAGTGTTAAAGTGCTAAATAACGTCATAAAAAATATAAAACAGGCTCAAACGTCCTTCCGATCAGTCACTAATGATTGAGTGGCTCAACGACCTTTCCTTCCGATCGTGGTCCATTCATTGAAAATCTCAAGGAAAACAAACGGACAAAGGAGGATATTTACCCTCGGCAATCGACGTGATGACGAACGAAATACGTGATCGCACTAATAGACCCTTTGTTTGGATTGCTTTCAGTTGGGTCGTCTCTCCATGACTGTGCATCTAAGATCACGTGGTACATTTCTTTTTGCGCCCGCATTTCGTCCCCCGTTGAGGTTTTCCTTCCTTTTGCAGCCCGCTATTGACAATCCCCAACCTTCAGTTTGTCAACGCTAAACAGTAGCCATGGAAAACGAGAAGGGCCAGGTACGGTCCTGATTCTGAATGGCATTTGTCGTATCACCAGCCAGTCACTAATGATTGATTGCCTCAACGACCTTTCATTGCAGATCGTTGACCTTTACATTCCCCGCAAGTGCTCTGCCACTGGACGCCTCATCACCGCCAAGGACCACGCCTCCGTCCAAATCAACGTTGGCGATGTTGACGCTTCTGGCCGTCTCACAGGTACCTTCCAGACCTATGCTCTGTCCGGATTTGTGCGTTCCATGGGAGAGTCCGACGACTCTGTCAACAGACTCGCTACTGCTGATGGATACCTTAAGGGGTGGGTTCTTTTCAAAGGATAAAAGGTGTTTTTAAGACTTACTCATTCTCTACGTGCAGTGTCTGGAGCTACCAGCAGTAAATGTTGACTCGTCACGTAAACCCGGCACACGCACGTTCGTGGGAGTTGTTGGAGGGTGGGAATCTGTAGATATGCCTAATGTACTGATGGTATCCTCAGTGAATACACGACTGTCCTTTGTCGAACTTGCTTCTAGTGTTGAATTGCAACGGAACAATATGAAGGGGCCGCAACATTTTTTGGATGCGTACAGGACTGGGAGAAATACGACATCATCAAATGGAAGTGGAAAGTTGGGATTGGCCAAGACAATCTAATCTCATATAATGATCCTCAAGGGGATAAGGGGGTATAATTGCAAGGAGACTAATACTGGAAGTAGTTCACTTTGATAAAGGTTGGCGTATTGGCAACACATTAGATATGTACCCTAGGCCGGTCGATAGTCTCCCTCCAAGTAAACCACAGTGCCGGACTTGTGACGCGGTGAATCTTCGCTATTTCGTTGGTGACGATGATTGCTGGGTTTTGATACCCTTTAGAACTGTATCAATGCTCTTCCTCTTGGCTTTCTCTGCCGGAGTCGATTTTGCAAATACAGAGGTATCGCCCTTCATTCTTGAAGGATAGCATATCGTGATTAATAGAATAATCAACAGTCAAATGCGCATCTCACTCACTTTTCAAGCACAACAGCGAGGTTGTTGAATTTGATACGCGAATATCTCTTGTCCCTAATCGCCGGATTCAGAATGTCCTCGTAGTTGGATGACTTTAGTAGAAGAATAGTCTGGTTTTCATAATGATAAATAATCCAAGATATGTCATTCGCACGCTAGTATCACCTATAGATCGTACCTGTCTCAGTTCTGCGAAAGCATCAGTGACACTGGCTTCTCCCACACCCGCCGCAAACTTTTCCAAGAATGCGACATCGTTATCGAATATGTCGATTATTCCAGGGCTGAGGCGTTTAATATCAGGATCTAATAGGAGACCCTGACGTCAAATGTTATTAGTAAGAAGCAAGATTGCATTTGAAAACAGAACCTCACATAAATTGCGGATGCTAGGTGCTTAAATGCGCCTAGGTAGATTTGGCTGCGCATGTTAGAGGGAAGGTTGATCAATGTTGACGTGATAATGGCGTTCATGAAGGTGACCAGGTCTAAGCAGGATCTAGGGTCAATATATCACCATACATCACAAATCGAATTTGGTAGGTCTAGACATTCACCATCCAAGTATGCGCTGTGACCATCTTGGCTTTTGGCTGGGAGCGGGTTGTTCCTATAGTAATATTCAGAAACTGCAAAGTATCAGCCCAAACAGATCCATACCAATCGTAATCCGCAAGTTCCAAGAATTCGTCCATTTTCATGTTTAGCAGCTCAAACAGGCGTTTCTCTGCCAAAATTCGGGATTCTTTAAATACTTGGGTCGCGGATAGCCGAATGATACCCGCTTTATGTGCTGTCCTAAGGACACAACATAATTATGAGCATCAAATGGTATGGGAACACCAGTGCCTCAGATACCTGTTTTCCATCAGAAGCTGCTCAAACTCCGCGCATGCCATCTCGAAGTACTCGAGATTGATCATTATTTGAACGACTTGAGACATGTTATTCACCATTATCTTCCTCATTAAGGTGCCATTGAGCGTCTGCACCAAAAGATTCTCCAAAGATTTTTTGAGCAAATCGTCCATTTCGTTGTACTGTTGCTCGAAGCCCTCTGCAAATCTGTAGAAACCGGTAATGAATTGCTTGATGCGGTCGCAGCATTGTGGAAAGCCTTTGGAGAAGGGTAAAGTTTTCGGAAATCTGGGGTCCGACATGATTTCGGTGAGACCAGCTGGATGACATAAACGGAGCAGAAGAAAAACTAACCGGATGCTAGACGCCCATTCTTTGGACACATATTTGAGATTTCTCGTCTTGGAATCGTCTTTGAGTTTGAAAGCGACGGTAACTTTGTCATATTCTTGTTGGTCATTGACAATCATGGGGGCGTACTCGTCCTCTTCTACAGTCTGCGTGATCGTTGAGCCAATGCTCCAACGCTCCATTTCGGCATTACCGCAGGAAATGAGAAATGACACTCACCTCAACTAAGCTCTCGCTACACTTTGATTTCATCAGTTCACCGTAGCGATCAAGTAGAGATAGCATCAAATCCATGAGGCTAGTCACTGCAAAGCCGTACGACTAGTATGGTGACATTATCGGCATTTAGTCCCCGTGAACTCAAGTGCTTGGCATACGTTATCTTCCCTAAACAAAACATACCTCCATAGTGTCAATGAAGTTCACAACTCGGAGCTTAATGGCCAGGAACAGGTCAGGGTCTCGGCAGTCCTGCAAACTATCCGTAATAACCTCGTTCATTTTATCGGTTGCATTGGACCACAGACTTTCTACCTATTATAAAGCAGTAAGGACGAAGCACAAATGCAAATGAGTGAACATCTGCTTACGCCGCTTCGCGAACGAAAGTTCTGGGTAGAATTCATGACGATTGCCTCAATGATAAAGAAGCCGACAACGTCGTGAAGGTATCTATCAAATCCGGAAAGGTCGCCAGTCTCAAAAGAGAATCGTTGTCCCACCAGCAAGCGCGCTTGCATCTGTGATAGGCTGCGTTAAACGACTATTCCCCGTTTCCTCGCGCAATCGGACTCCAACATGTATTTACTCTTCTCTTCTCTTCATAGAGGCTTCGGAAATCATTTCTTTTGTCCAGTACTTCATGGATATGCAAACATTGATACAAGGGTCTGAAATCAATCCTCGTTTCGTCGTTTTCGTGGTCGTCACCTATAAAGAGTTATCGTAAGATTATGTTGAATGAGATCATATAAAGGCGGCTTTATACCATGATCAGCGAGCAGCTCCAGTGATTGGCCGAGATTAAGGCTACTAGCAGAAACGGACATTCCCCGCGCAAGCTTTCCGGCTTTATCCTTTGCTTTGTCTTGCTTTGCAGCTATGTGCTCCAATGCCATTTTCCCTATTCCTCGGGTGTTTTCCCGTATACTGTTGTGCATTATTAATTGTTTGTTTCGGCCTGTTAGGATCTCCGGTAGACGACATGCAGATGATGCTCACTTGACTAGCCATTCTTGCATTTCCTCCAATACAGCCTCGCGGATGTTTTCCTGCATAATGGGAATGTACTCCTCTATTGATGCTGCTAGTGAACTTTTTGTCCAAAGTGGTTCACCTGTATTCTCTTACTCACGCATGTGTTTGGCAAAACTGTATTGTGTCACCGGCCGCAAATGTGTTGCCTGCAGCTCCTCCAACATCTGCCACGGAGACCATCAGATCACGCCAGGCACTCCAGCAGGACGCTAATGTACCTTCAGCGCGGAATAATACTTGCGGCTTTCGATGCTTGCATTCACTTTGTTGGCAATATCCAGTACAAATAAGCATGACTGTAGGGATTCGACAGCAAGCTCGATATTCAACAACGTCTGCCGACTTTCTATGATTTCCTTTTTCTATCGCCATGAAGAAAAGCAGATATCAGGAAATGGGAATTCAAAAACTTTTGCCACAGGTATATTTCTCTGTTTATGCCGACAGAATAAGCAAATGATGACCTTGGCAATAGTCTTACTGCCAGATGATTGCATCTGTTCATTGAGATCTTTTATTTTATCCTTTAACGTAACCGTCCCTTGCCTCACTTTCAGGAGCTGATCAACGGATTGTACGAATTCCTGCGAATTCGGACGAAGGGTATTAACAAATTGCTAGTTCCTGACCGTACCGCTTCCTAAAGCACAACTATAATTCACCTGATAATGGAAGACGCACATCTTCTCGATCTCTGCCTCCTTCCTATGAATAAACCCCGTCAGCTGGTCGGCAAAGACATCTTCTTTTCCAGTTTGCAGGATTTGTTTGATGACGTATGATATTTGATCAAAATTCTCAGTTCCATCAGAACCCACTCCGCCGTCGGATATTGCTAGCTCACGGAGGAGTTGTTGGAAGTGAGCCGCTTCTTCTTTTGGGGTTAGTTCTATCGGCTGTTTTGACGCATCCGCCATTCTGTAACCACGAGGGAAGCGTACTAGCAAGAAGGTTCTATATTAACCCTCGCGATGACTGCGTCTTGAAGACCCATCCAATTCCTCAGCGCATTTCAAGTTGACAGTCGGATTGCTGGAGCTCAACGCGCAGTAACTCGGTGTGGCGCAGTCCCTGGTTATGCTGACGTTGTTGGCCTCTCGTGCACTGAGCTGAAGATAAATATAGAAAACCTTTCACCGTAAACTTGTGTTGAAAGTGATGCAAGTTCTCCCCCAGTGCTGAGATACATCCTTGACTAGCTTTCTAATTTCTATACATCTTTAAGCGAGCAGTCCATATACTCTTAGCTTCTAAATATTGATAAAAATCTCCCAATGTCCTTCTTGAGGCGATTATGGGACATGTAGGGAGCAAAAGCCACTATTATTGCCGCTGAGATGGAACTGGACCTAAAAAAGGGAGACGACAGTTCCAAAGAAAGCAACTGTCAACATGAAGGGCACTCGCTAAGACCATAAAACCAGCAGGGTAGATTAAGAAAGTTGATGTGCTTCTAGGAAGCCTCGGAACTCCAGTCGAGGCGTCATGTTCCACCTCATTCCATATCCCAGCTCATTCCGAATCTCGTAGACCACAACGTGTTTATTCAAACGATGAATGTTCCTCCACACTGTTCTTCTTAGCATATCGTCCAGTTGCCTTCTCGCGTCTTCAGACTTTTGCACCTCGGAGCCTCGAGGGGCAAGCCAAAACGGATGTGTTTCCATGATGGGTCCTTTCCGTGCAAAATGTTTGCATAATGCCTTTGCACCCACGCTCAGATTTGTTCCTTTGTGGGTTCTGCAAAAGGTTTCATGCAGATCGGCAGCAGAGGGTTCTTCCCAAAATTCTGTGGCGATAGTCTTGACCAAGCCTTTGGCCCGATACAGAGCTTCCTGTGAAGACATTTGTTCGCTCCACGGAATTAGGAACTTGCGCAGGTCATTCATATGGCTTTCCCTTTACATCCTTTTGTTAACCAGTAGCTTTTGTGATGACCGAGAGCATCGTCTGGGTTGGACTATTGCGCATTCAAAGGTGGTTTGAGCCTCATGAGAAATATTAACAGACCAGCCACCCAGTAATGAATTTCAAGTTTGGCCTTCGAAGTCAACGAAATTCTACACAAAAGTCGTCTGCAGGTTCCCAAACACTAGCATTTCAGTATAACACTATTCACAAGAAGAAAGACCGCATTCGCAATCAGACTATCTTACTTGACACGAAAGATTCCTTGATTTTCTGTCATATTCATTTCACAATGGCAAAGCCGAAGAAGCCGGCGCCAACCGCTAAAGGGGACGAGGGTAATGCTTTTAGGCATGCGCTTTTTTTTCATCATAATCAGAGTATGGTGCTAAAGCTTGTCTGATTTGATATAAAGCCAACGATGTTATCCTTAAATATTTGAAAAAGCAAAATAGGTACCGGCTTGATATAGAGAGTTTCTCCAACGCCTGATAGGAAGCCCTCGAATCCTCTATCCTACTATGCTGCAGGCCGTACAGCGCAGTGGATGTGTTCAATAACCTCGGCGGTCAAGTGGGCAAATCAAATGTGTTGAAAGCATTGACAGCCTTGGCCGAAGAGAGTATGTTAGTCGCTTGTTCCGCTCTGGCCAGCAATCGTTTTAATTTCTGATTGTCATAACGCAAACAAAACAGAGCAGATACACGCAAAACTCAATGGTAATTGGACGATCTCTATCTCAGCTACGATCCAATAATAACTCGAATGTATATAGGAAAGCAATGGGTGTATGTGGCCAAACAGGATGATTTGCAAGTCCCATCCAAAGAGGATCTGGATGCGATGGACTCAAAAATTGCCAAGCTGAAGGATGAACTTGCGGCGCTTAAGGAGGAGGTAAGAAGCATAATGGCCATCTGTATTCTATATGAAATGGACTCATCCTGTTGTCGGTCAATCACAGACCAGAGAGGCACAAGCGGGTCAGTGCAACCACACAGGGGAAAGGGATGCTTCCACATCAAGACCTATTCTAATTTTCTGGTTTTCGGGCGGCTATGGTCAGTGCTAAATGGGCTCACAAACTCGTTGACGAATGAGCAGATCGAGCAACGACTTCGCGAGCTCAAAGAAGAGGTACGTTGAAATCTCCACCACTAAAGACTCAATAGGTCTCCTCGCGCCAGATTGTTGTAAATCCCAATTCTGCTGTAAAATAGAATTCCAAACTCGAGGAACGGCTTTCATCCCTCCGTTCGCGATCGACACGGCAGCAACTGAGCGCAGAAGATCGTAAGCGAATAGATAAGAATTTGGAAGCTATGCAAAAAGAGTGGAGGAAACGTAAACGTATGTTTAACGACATGTGGGCCGCAGTTACGGAGAATATTCAAGGAAGTCTAGCCGAATTCAGAGTAAGTACACTGCCACTGCTATTTGCGTTAGAAGACTGCATCATCGACTAATATTGCAACCGGAACAGGAGACGGTTGGAGTAGAGACTGATGAAGCTGCTGGTTTAGATATAAATGCGGACCTGTTGAAAGGACTTGTTTGAATTGACTTCAATCATACTCATAATCTAACGGTCCCATCCGCAGCAATTCCCATTGAACCATGTAAAGGGATGCACGAAGGCGGTGCCTCTTACATAATTCTTGCCAAATACAGAGAAGCAACAACGAGAAACAGAATCTCTATAATTCTACCACATGAAAAGCCTTCCCAACGCAAAGACGACATGGGCGTGACACGTGAGGATATTCTACAGGAAAAATGTACAAAACAGAAGCATCAACCATCTACAACCCACAGATTCTGCATCTGCATCAAAGCGTCTTCGTCCCAGTCTTGTTTGTCTATGTTCCCGCACCATCCCGTTTTCTCCGCCGTTTCCATTTGTCCAACGGTAAGTCGTCTTCGCTGTCAGAGTCCTCAACCACGAGGATTCGTTTTTTGCTTCTCTTGCCTCGCGGTGGTGCAGCTCCTGAGCTCGTTGAATCTGCTGAAGTGGACCGTTTTGGCGCTGTGCGTCGTGGACTTCCTAGGTGTCCATTAACAGCTGATGCGACATCGTTCGGGTCCTGCGATTCAGGTCCTGCTCTCATTCGAAGCTTGATCTTCAGAGGCCGCGGATGTGCTACTGACGTGGAGGATGATGTGGATGTGGATAACGCGGGTGACGATGATGAGTTTACTTCCGGGTCCTCAATGTGGCCGTTACCTGTAGGTATGCGCATTGACCCAACGCCTTCTTCATCATCGGGTTCAACTTCCAGTTCCACTTCCCCGTCTACACTTTTCCTTCGCACGTAAAAGAGCATATAGGCAGACTGCTGTGCGAGGACGTCTGGTGTAACAGGTCTGACATGTGTGTCGTTGACTTCGAACCATGTGTCGTTATCTGGACTCCATACAAAGGCAATATAGTGCCCAGACCCCGAAGAGCCATGATGTACGATGGCAGAGTATAGGTCATAAATTGCTGGTGTCCCGCGTTGTCGCCGGTTTGTATATGGACGCATGTTGAGGCCCTCGATGGGAAATTGCACATAGGTATCAATTTTGGAACGTGCTGCGCGTCGGTTTGTGTAGCGAAAGCGCTTAAGATGGAGGCACATAACCTTGGTTTTGCAGAAGTCTGAGTAATCGGCATCCGAAAGCTGCGGGGTTGAAGAATAATTCAAGAATTACCTCTGGCAGCTCATCAATCGACAGCCGCTTCGTGCAGGGCTGAGGTCCGCGGTTCAGGACGAGGCAATGGGGACAGTCGTATCGCTCTGAGTCCGCGAGCTGCTCTACTTCAGTGAACGCTCTCAAGCAGTCTGTGAGGCGACGGCATTAATCAGTTAGGAGACTCTATATGTTTGCGACAAACAGATATTGGCCGCCCACCATCTATTGTACAAGGATGGACCTACAAGATGAAGCACATTAGAGCAATTCTTTTTATTACGATGATCATGCCCGTCAGGAAAACTAACCATTTGCTCCACTTTGTTTTGCCGATTGACAAACCGTTCGGGAATAGGAAGCGAAAGGTCGAGGAAGGGATCGGTTTTCAATGAGGACTGGCCGCAATTGAGGCATTTGACCTTCGTGGTAGTGCATATCAACGACATGGCCATGAATTCTCGCTACATATGAAAGCAACCCACCTCATTGTGCAATGTACCCTGAGGAAGCACCAAATGGCAGAATGTATTGAGTATCCGGAGAATATGCGGGACACAAGCGCGGCAGAAAACGGCAGCCTACCTGAAATGTTCGGGTGATTGGTGTGGGGTTGATCTGTGTCGCTAGTTCGGTATGGATCCTGGGGTCACAATAAGATGTCATGAAATTATCGTATCGGGGCAGGGGGACTCTCCACTCACCGATCAAGTAGATATCGAATGAATTCCTGCGCATCTTGCTGCTGGTAGCCTCTGAACTGGCAAGTTCACAATAAGCGCCCAATGTTGCATGACAGAAAAGGGTGAGCTTCGCGCAATCTCTTACCATTGGCACATTCTTCCATATGGCGTCCAAGAAGGTTCCTGGACTTACTGCCAATGCCTCATCTGTCCACATTTCGCGCAGTAAGGCTCGTGTTTCCGCCCATACGGAGCTGAGCAAAACAATCCACTACGTGTGAGCTGAGCATGGACGTCACCATTTTCCATGCGACCAATGCACGTACATGTCCTTGTTGGCGGACATTCGACGTGTTATCCGCGGCGGTGATATTTGCGGGGTAGTTGGATGAGAGTCAGCCGAATTTGGAGTTCGTGGAGTGCGCGGAGTTGAGGGCCATATATCCAGGTAATATTGTTGAAACGTTACAGTGTGACTTTATAAACAAAGTCACATCAGCGAAGGTACAGAAGAGGAAGCAAAGATTATGTGTGGACCATACCAGAGGGTTTGCATAACGACATTCATGAAACAGGTGTTGCCTGAGAGGTCATTGGCATTGGCATACTCAAAAGACTAAGGACAACAAATGGTATGGGAATACCTAGGTTACTCAACCCAGTTACGTGATTGTACTTCCTTTGCGGGGTCGCTGCCCTTTTTCGCCCTTTCCCTCGTCGGGGTGGTGATGGACCTGTCCTAAGAGAGAGCAAAGCAGCACGCAACATGACTATGAGCGGGTCATTATCCTGAGCGCGTTCTGCGCAAACAGCTCAGGTGGACGTCCGCGCAGCCGAACCTACCCTCGCTGAATCTGTATCGACTCGTCGCATTCTAATTCAGGTGGCGAGAGAACCCTCTCAACCGCTCTACGCAACGTTTCCAACACATTGTCTTGACCACTTCCGTGCGCATAGTCGTCACATGCGTAACTAAATCATAGAGTGCTAGAAATTAGATCGAACTCGACTGGTGCGTCCCGCATATTTAATTCTACCAATAGCATGCCGTAGAGTCCAAGTCAATCGCACATGGATGTTTCGTCGTGTGAAAATGTGCCAAAGCGTGTCCCTCAACAAATCTATCAATAATGCAGTACAGAGAGTTGTTAGTTTTACACGTATCGACTTACTAAAAACGAAGCACATATCGCTCGCAGTAGCTAGTATCAAGCACTACCCACTCACCGGCTACAGTTTACTTCGGCGCATGTCAAGCAAACCCAACGACCCTCTCTCGACCCACATCCAGTGCACCCCAATTCAGCGACTGCAGAACAATTGCTGGTGCCACTACTCGCACTGCTGCATTTCGAACGTTCTTCCAAAGCTTCTAGAACCTTATCGGGACGACTTTCCGTGAGGTGTGGACAGTTCATGCGAATTCAGTGACAGATGCCAATGAGGACCAGGAAGTGACAAGCGCCGCTCGTTTACGTGAAATACACAGCAGAGATATGATATATTATTATTCTTTTGTACAGTCCTCCTGCGTTGGAATTCAGAAAACTATGATATGGGCCACGGGAAGGGTTCAAGCCGGAAGGAGGGGTCAAAGGAGCTGGGGGATGACCGCGTCTTTTTAAATGACTCCAAAAACCAAACCGGGAATTTGGACAAGACGACTCTACGTTTTCTTTTTTTTTTGTTTTTGAAACTACAGACTGCTGAACACTTTCGACAAGGTCAAATAGAGTGCATGTCGTTGATGGCGGCCAAAGTGCAAAGTGTAGTGCTGGCGCGCCTTGAAGGTCGACACGACTGTCGGCGTTATCCACATCACAGCAGACGTAAATAGCACTGGTTCATGAACAGGAGCAAATAGTTGACTTGGTTACCCATGCCCAGGGTAAAAAGCATCTGTTCAAATGAAGACAAAAGTGCCTTCGTGAAATAGTCTATTTGAACGGGCGTTGCAGTCAAGTCCCACATTGTTGCTACCTTCTACGCTACACTTGTAAAAGTCGAGATGGACTACCTACTTAGCATCATCTAATCACCTAGTATCCCGTTGGTGAATCCTTCTGTACCAGTTCCATCATTTCCATTTTCTTGATTCCTAGGTTCGGCTGCAACGGTTCCTCCTTCACTTACGTCCCCCTCTGGAATTGCAACGTCGTCCTCTTTATCTATTAGATCTGCGAATGTGTCTGGTGGAGCTTCGTTGGTAGTTTGAGAGAAAATTGGTTGACGCTTCGCCTGTTCAAACCCACCAAATACATGTCAGCATGCAGCCTTAACCCTTCGTCGTACAAGGCTACAATGCTCTCCATTACCTTTCCAGCACCTTCAGGTCTAGCCCGTTTCTGTTCAGTACCGCTCTTGGTGTCAATCGGCGGCAATACGGTGCTTTCCTCCTTGCTCTTGGCTTTGTATTTGCGTACCACCTGCGTGGACCGGAATGCACATGAATGCGTTGTATGCGGCTGACTAGGCAGATGGGATGATACGCTCCGATTATGCAATGTTTTCTGTGTTGCGCTAGCCTTCTTTTTCGGCGGCGATGGTAGTGATGTGGATGTGTCGGCCCGTTTCTTGACTTGCGTTTTCTGTTGAGATATCAAATGCCCCATCAGTCGAGTCACCGCCATGCGAGAAAATCAAGACAAAATGAAAAGACTCACGCAGTCAGGACAAACAAATCCCTTTTCACATTCTTCGTATGGAGGATCCGACGCAAAGCGGAGGGCATTGGCTATTAACCTTGGCGTCGTCGCTGTTTTGGCATCTTTTATGTCATAGGAGAAGCGAGTGGATTGGATCAAAGTATCAGACAGCGTTACCTCACGACGTACTCACCCCAGAAGTCAACCCACTGGCCCCCTTTCCTCAACTTGTCCACAGGCATTACATTCACCCATACAACCCTTCCTTTGAGTGTATTGTCCAGCACGGTCACAAGCGGCACAGAATTCGCCCAACGCATGACGACTCGCCCCTTTGCTACGCCCACTGCATATGTTGCCCATTCCGCCCCGCCAACCTCTTCCACTCCTTCCAGCAATGGATGCATATCCTCTTTATCGACCGACAGGAATGGCTCGTGCTTGATTCGGCCTGGAACAAACGGTGCAACTTTGGGGGATAGGATGCTGTGTGTATGCGGATGCAACGTAGTGACGATCCCTCCATTGGTGCTCTCGAGGTACACGTTAAGGAGGGGAGTCAGCGTACTGGGTGGTGGAGGTCCGGGATACGGTATTATTAGGATCGCACTGTATTGCTGTAGCCCTTCCAATGTGATATGAATTTCGTGAGGATTGTATATATCTACCTCAAACGCATTGGATCGTAAATGGTTTACAAGGACGGAGAGCGTAGCATGTGCTAGTACGGTTAGGATGAGTGTTTTGCGTATTTTGCTTGTGAGAGGGCGCAGAGGAAGACAGGTTGGATGGTAACGTCGAAGGCATTCTTGACATGGATGTGGAAGCGGCGGTAAAATTTTGGTGTCGCAGATTGTGCAGCTTGGCTGTGGTATCAACTATGTGGGAATTAACATCGGATATCCGAGACGTTTGGAACAGCAACATCTCACTCACCCATCCGTTCTGCAGACCCATCTTCTTGATTCCCTTCCTTCCAAACCACTCCCTCAGCGCAGGATCTCGAAGAGGATCATAATTGAAAGGCGGACTCGTGGTCTTGGAAAGCAAGAGTCGTTTGTGCCTAGAAAATCGTAAAGATCAACGCCTTGCTTTTGCTGCATTGTGTGCGGTGGGATACCTACGGTATGGAAGGAAGCACTATAGTCTCGATGTCTGGTGCCATGTCTTCTCACTATCTCTCTAGCAGAGATGCGCTGAAGTTTGATCAAGGCCATGACAATTACATGGTTAAGCCATTCAAGCCGTACCCTCAGTAACCCCGATCGCTGATGTAAGCAAAGTTTGAGTTTGTTCACTTTTTATGGTACGTTTGTTTGCGCACTTTGATAGCCATTTGCAACGGATGGGATTCTGTATGCCTTGTGTGTTTCGTGGTCCAACATATAAGCGACTCTATCATGACATATCCGGCTTCACTTCTATTTAAATATCCGTTGCCCGACACACTGCCTTTGGATTCTCCAACCACACTCTGGCTTGGACAATAGCCAGTTCGTGGCATCTCAAAAAAGTTGCCTTATCAGAAGATTCGCCTAACCCCATCCTCCTCGCCTTCTCTTCATTTCGCTCAACCGTCTTCTTCAACACCCCTTGCATACACGCCACTGCTCGTTCGCAGGCTCGCTTAAGATACGCTGTTTCGTCTGTATTTTGAGGTACGTCTGCAAGGTGAGCTAGTATTAACGCTGCAAAGAGGTCGCCTGTTCCAGTGAAAACCCCGCTGATTTTTTGGAATGGAATGACAAAGCGTGCTGACGAGGGCCGATGGGAGGCGATGAGATGGAGGACGTCCGAGGTTCCTTGATCGTTTCGGTCCTGTAACTCGGCGGAGGTGATGATGACGGTGGGAACTCCTATCTCATGAAGCTTCTCGCACGCGTCGATGGCGGTTTGCGTCGATGTCACATTTACGCCAGTAAGAAGGCTACACGTTGTGAGCAATATGCAGATGTTACTTGGCGAAGAGGTCGTCACTTACCTCGTCTCAAACCCATTGGGAGTTATGACATCTGCTAATGGACATAACACGTCCCGGTAAATCGGTACGACCTCCGCAGATACATACAACCTGCCATCATCACCCATTACAGGATCCAAAACTATATATTGCAACATTTAGTATCACTCGCGCCCGCCAATACATCGCTAACCAGGACGTACCAAACTTTAACGCTGGATTTGCTGCCCGTAGCTTCTTCACCAAATCTGAGACAACTTCCAAGGTTGAGGCTCGGCCAATATAGCCTGTGACAAGAACGCATGAGCCTCGGCGAGAATGGTATTTACCTCATCGCTCAGCAAGATGCAAACCTGTCAGCAGATGCGAGTATTCTTGTAGAATCCCATTAGCCTCTAATCCTTGGACAATCTTGGCCACTTGCGCTCCCTCAAGCCGCTCCCCCGTCACTGTTGGATAACCTATCCAGAAAGTGAGAAAGTGTACCACACTCAAACGACCACGAGAACCCACCGCCATGGTTTGAAAAATGAACTGAATTCAGAGGATCCACATCAAAGCCCAAAATTTGAAGGGGAAACGTTGCTGCCTTGTTGCCTTGTGTTTAAGGACGCAGAGAGCCTTGTATCGGTAAGTCAGAAGGACCAAGGCGGCATTCACGCACCAACTCCACCGTATACTGACCCACGTAGCCGTACACAACATGTGATTGGATGGATAGCACCCGTCGGTTCTGCGAAACAGGAGCGGGTGCCGACACGTCTGCCATGATGAAGAATCGTTTGCACGATGGTGGGAGCATCTGCCATGGCTCTAACTTAGGTCAGGCGGCACAGTCATGGCAAACTCGTAAGCGGCAAACCCTGAATAGCGAATGGGGCTTGGTCCTTTGGATGATCCGCCGCTCCGCCGCCACTATTTTTGGCTCTTGAGCGTTTTTCCGCAGGCTTTTTGGGACGGAAAACGCAGTCGCAAAAGCAGATCCATATTTCAAACGGAGGGAGAGCTCTACCAACCGGCTTATAAACATTCACCTCTATCGACCCAAGCTCATAAAGCCCTCCAGATGGTGTTCGCTGAAGCGTCCTGCTCTCAGACAGGTTGGCTCTACGCTCTCACCTCTGCCACGAGTTTCTACCTTCTTCGCACCCTCCTTGTTCCCGCGATATTCGCCCGGGTTTGGCCAGAATGGACTCTAAAGCGACGGAATATGTTTGCCAATCATTTCGTGTCCTGCTTGCACGCGATGACATGCAGTATTTTGGTGGTTGGCACCTTTTTCTCTTATCCTGCCTTACTGAGCGACTTGCAGGGACTCCATGTTGATGCATATGCAATGGAATTTGCGAGAGGTGTTTTGGCCTTTTCGTCGGGGTATTTTATCGGAGATTGTCTTGATATGGCGATAAATCGAGTTTATGCAGGAAATTTTGGAGTTTGGGCACATCACATTGTGGTAAGTCGAGAGATTGCATTTTGTTCTACCATCATTCCAAATTTCATAACTATCTGCTTTAGACAATTTTCTGCTACACCTCGGCGCTTCACAACTGCCTCCTGTACCCATATCTCATCTTCACCCTCCTCGTCGAGCTCAACAGCATCTTCATCCACCAACGCAAACTCCTACTCTTGTATTTCGTGTCAGTACCTCAAATGCCCTCCTTCTACCGCACAATATACAAGCATGCGACTACTCTCCTCTTACTGAGCTTTCCTCCAACCCGCATTGTGGCGAACTTTTATCTGACATATCGTTTATTTGCTGATCGGGGGACATGGGTGGCGCCTGCATGGACATGGTGGGTTGCCACATGCGGCATGATACTGGTCGACTATTATAATATAGTCTTGTGGGGACAGGTGAAGAAGAGTGTAACGAGAGATAATAGAGCGAAAGCAGAAGAAGGAGACCATAAGAATACTAAGCAAGATAAAGGGGATTGGAAGGGGCAACAAGGGAGCGAGTTTTTGGATTAGACGATTTTATTCAAAGGTTTTTGACTGTAACAGACATTGGTTATTGGGGAAATTTGGATCGCCGGGACAAATTGTGCAGGATCTTCGTAGATGTACTCTGTTGTTTTTCACTATTGAAATTAGAGCTAGCCTCTGTGTATTTATAGATATTATTATATGAATGAAATGATAGCCGTGGACGCTTGCTGGATGGTCGCTGTCGAAGGAAAACCCTGCAGGAAAGGACCGATCCCAATGCAAATAACCGGTGACATCCATTACGTAAGTGGGTGCCCTGCATTCGGCCCTTAATTGTGACGGGTCCCTCCCAAGTTCCCACGTCGTTGCTCGGATTGCCAGAAGGCTCGTTCTCGTGCGGAATCCTTCAAGTTACAATGGCGAACATCCTACTCGCAGTTGCATATGTTCTGGGCTCGACACTTGCCTGTGTTTTGGGAGCGGCAACAATATTCATCAACAGAATACCTTTCACCCAAACCAAGCTCATAGAGTCGAGAGCTTTCATGGCTCTGGCAATGAGTATCAGTGCGGGAACACTCTTGTATACGAGTCTGGTGGATCTCATTCCAGAAGCCCAAGAGAACCTCCGAGAGAGCAAAACTTTCAAAAAGAGCGCCGACTTCATTTTACTTGGGCTATTTATCCTCGGTGTTGGAATGACCATGGGCTTGAACAGTAACGTGTCCTTGCCACTCTGCGCGCAGTGAAGTTATCTATGTGTTCTCACCAAGCTCAATTTTACTAGAACTGCTTCTCTGGTTTAATCCTTCTGGCCACGGTTGCGCATGTCACGTCGACATAAAACCAACCGCAATTGACGACACTTCTTCCGCAGATGACTATGATTATGACAAATCGGATGACGCTATAGGGAACGACAGGCGCTCAAGCACCTATACTGTAGATGTACGATCACTTTCTTCACGACTACCCGAATTTGCCGATAGCTGGGAAGAGGATCAATGGATACGTGAAATTGAGGCGCGGAGGAATTATGGGGCCATTCGACCATTCCCGCCATCTTCAACAACGAAAGGGAAGCAGTCACAACCTCCTGTATCAACTCAGGATGCGGAATTGGAATATGGCAATGCGCCGCTGATCGGAGAAGATGTTGCTCATTGCAAATCTAATGGTGGCTGCGATATGGCCGGAAATTGCGCTCAACCTCCAGTGGGCGAGCTATCGCGCTCAGTTAACGTCGTCCCGACAAAACCGAACGGAGGGCACTGCCATCATCCCAATTCACATCACCAGCACCATCATCACCATCATCATCATGATCAAAACAATCACCACCACCACCACCACGCCCATCACCATCACCACCATTCGGATGACTATGAGGAAGAATCGTCCTCTACGCAATATGCGGCCCTGCTTGCCCCTCGTCCCAGCGCACCCACCCGAAACCCGTCCTCCAGAATGTACAGTGTCGGCCTTGCAACAGCTGTAACAATTTCCCTCCACAAACTTCCAGAGGGCTTTGTTATTTTCACAACGACAGCATTTTACTCTAATAAAACGACTGGGGCTCTCATATTCCTAGCGTTATCCTTGCACAACCTAACAGAAGGACTTGCGATTGCGCTGCCCATATTTCTTGGGACATCGAATCGGAAACGGGCATTTGGGTATGCGGCAGCATTGGGCGGTTTGACACAGCCTCTGGGAGCTATTTTGGGATGGTTTCTGGTGTGCGTAGGGAATCCGGCGAGAACCGCCCATTGCGCCGCGGCTCATCATGATTTGCATGGAGGAAAGGCATTACCAGGATGGGAAGCAGCCTTTGGGTGCCTATTTTCCTTTGTCTCGGGAATGATGTTTTGGGTTGCGGCCGATGGGTTATTGCCCGCTGCATGGAGTGTGGCGGGCCGTCATGAAGAAGGCGATCGGCATGCTGGCAAAAAGTATGTGAGCATTGGGTTGGTGGTGGGTGTCGTTTTGATGATATTCTGCGAGGCGCTTATGGCGTAGCAGCTTTGTATGCGTTTCAGTTTGTAAAATATTGGATCACAACTTTGGGCCTCTGGAATTCACTGATACAGATCGTGGCTATTTTTATTAATTCCAAAAATTGTACAAAACACACCTTCCACGCAGCTTTCTCCCTTAAAAAGAAGTAGGATGCGCAGAAAACAGGTGTCCCAGCACGTGCTCAAATAATGTCGCTAATTATATTATGGATATCGTTAATGTGCATTTTTGGCTGCAATTTCTTCCTTTTCTTGATTAGTTGAGGTATGGATATCTGATGGACGAGGTATTATTTAAACAAGTTTTTGAGCTGCAGAAAAGTGACATCAGTGAACCATCACACGAAGCACAACTGAACGGTGTCAATGTCTTGCCTTTTTCAGGAAGCCACCTTTCTTCTTGCCGACCGATCCAGATGTAGCGGTAGTGGGTTTCGCCTCGGGCTTTGTGAAAACGAATATACGCATCTGAGTACTATGCAAAACTAAAGATGCCTGTGCACAGAAATACCTTCTCTGCCGGAGTCTCAGTAGGAGTCGCCGTTTCCTTAGCAGCTTCCTTGGTGGTGGCAGGGGTTTCCTTGACGGGGACAGCGGGTGTAGGTGGTTCTGTTGGCACAATACTCTCCGAGGGCGGGGGAACAGCCGCGGTCTCCGGCACACTGGTAGGAGCGGGCGCAGCCGACTCCGTCGTTTTGGGTTCTTCGGCTTCATTGCTTGCTGATGCAGCACTCGCTCTGAGGCTGTTCAAAGCAGCCTCTGTAACATTATCCGATTTTGCGGGGCTCTCTTCTTTCGCGACGGCGGTACCTTCCAGCGGAGGTGTTGCGATGGGAATCGCTTCCAACGCCAAAGGTGCTTCAGACGTAATGGCAACAGCTGCAGCGGACACAGGAGCAATTTCCGCTGCGGCAGATTTCTCCACGATAGGTTCCTCCACAGCCCCCAGTTCCTCCACGACAGGGGTGGTGGCTTCGGTAATGGGTGCAGGGGTCGCTTCCACTTTAACCGATTCGGCCGGTTCGACAATGTCTTTGATCTCCGGTACAGTAATCTCGGTGGGCCCGGGCACTTCGACAGAGGCTGGCGCAGCTTCAACTTCGACGACCTCCTCAGCGGAAGGTGTGTCAACCTTGTCCTCCACCTTGGGCTCAACGACTTGGGTTTCGACAGGTGCAGCACTAACTTCCGGAACAGGAGCTGCCAAAACTTCAGACGGTGTATCCTCCACCTTGGGCTCTTGCACGCTAATGGCTGCGACCGGCGCAACCTCAGCCTGTGTCTCTTCGGCAGCTTCAAGAGGTTCGGGGACGACAACCTCTGCGGGTGTTTCCTCTTTGGCTTCCTCCACAGGCGCTCCACCCGTAGCAGGTTGTGTCTCTACTTCTACAGTATCTTCAGCATGTACTGGAGTGGCTTCGCTCGCTGCAGGTACTTCAGCGGGAACCTCAACAGGAGCAGACTCTGCGAGAACTTGGGGTTCTTTGGCAGTCACCTCTTCAGCCTTTTCAACAGGAGCGGGCACCGTAGTGGATTGCGGAGCGGGACCCGAGGCCGGCTCGGCAGATTCCTCAGGAAATGTGAAAACGTTGTTCTGATTGCCCTGTTCGGATGGATATTCCGGTCAGCAGCCGTGAAGAAGAGCAGATCAGGCGACATTGCAGCACTCACACTTTCATCGGTTTCAATTTCATAGTTGTCAGCATTCTTCCAATCGTCATCGACAACGAACTTGAATGCAATCTTGGTGTTTGCGGGCAGGTCGAGCTTCGCGCGATGGATGCCGTCTTCACCCTGATAAACAACATCAATCACGTTAACGCGATTCTCGGCAAAATAGACATATCCCCAACTCCTCTCACCTTCACCGCTACATTCTCTTGTTTCCAGTCATCAAAATCGCCAGTGAGAATGACCTAGATTGACAAAAGACCTTCACTCAGCAACGATCACTAGTATCGTGTGATAGGACACCCCTTCTGCGACATTCAGGACAACGTCGGTGGAGAGCGACCGAAACTCTCTTACGCGCCCGTAATGCGTACCTTTTCACCGCCTTGTTTCCATTCAAATATCTGAAGAACCATATTGGTCAAACACTATTGTACTCGTTCAAAATGGACGCTGGAAAGTACGCAAGACGTTGAGATGAAATCTTCTGGGGCAGCGCGCGAAGAGACTCTTCGTGGCGATAACCTACCAGTGATGAGAAGAGCGATAAAACCCGGCAATCGGTGCAAAATGGAAGCGGGAAGAAACGATAAACAGTCGTCGGACTTGCGCTCGATAATTTTTGGCGGGACGGGCGGTTCAACTGAGCCACAGGCTACTGTGGCTGATGCGCATGTTAAAGAAGCCGCTTCTGGAAAACGCACGAGGGCTAAGAGCTCACAAGCTGTTGATTTTGTTTTGAAAGATGAACGGATTGGCATGACTTGTCCATGGAGTGGGTTTTCGTTGGGAAACCGATGATGGGTTTATTGTTATAGGTTCATACGGGCATATAGTAGTCAATACCTGTTTTTGTCGTTTACAGGCTACCGAGTTGCAAAAGCGCGCTCAGCATGTGTGTTTCCTTTCGGCACATTGTCAGCATGAGATCCTCTGATGGTTAATAGCTTGAGTGTCAGTCTGAAAGGGCATGTCAAAGCATCAATGTTGTAAATGTATAATGTGTCTCCGAGTGTAGTTCCTGTGCTAAGAGATATTACGAACCTATGAGTCAGACCACTTCCCATCACTCTGGGTGATCGTATTCATCTGCAGTCGGGCAAGAAGGATCCATTTTATCCATGATCATAGTCTGCCTCGAAAAACAAGATTGCATTTCATACTTTATCTTGCTTCAGAACCCGGTATAGGCCAGGTTCCATCTTCGAAGGAAAAAGTGCGTGAGATAGTCGGCGCGGGTAGACCAAGAAGCCAAATTAGGAGTTGCGATAGTTGTCCCATCAAGAGGAGTGGCGAGAGGAAGTAGCATGAGCACACGCCTTCGAAACTCTGGTGAGAATCTTTGACGTTATCTGCCACAAGCCCTCTCCTGGTAAGCATTCTGACGCATTCTGGGGCGGTTCCCTGTTATTTGCAGATACTAAAAAGAGGAAAACAACCGACACCCAGTTGCCAATATCGCATTTTCAGCAGTCTACACTTGACCATTTTGCCAACCGTGCTGTTGCTGACGGGTCGTCGTCACTGACCGGCGCGAAGAAGCCGAGGCTGGAGATGCAGTCAAAAGTGAACAGCGGACCAGCACGAAACGGCGTTTATCTTGATCTGACCAGCTTGTCGCCTTCGGCAATGGAAGATTCAAAGTATGGTTGTGGCTTTGGTGGGGATGCAAAAGGCAAGGGAAAGGCTCCTGCTGGTAGGCCTGATAGCCCCATTGCTGTGACTGCACCACTAGCGCGGGGCAGAAGAGAACCTGGACAAAAGCTGGTCATTAAAAGTTTTAAAGGTAGCTTGAGGTGGAGTATTCTGTTTTGAGTATGCTAGGCGCACTTCTGACACCATGCGCAGTAAAGCCAAAGTTACCGGAAAATTTTGTCACCGACACATGGAAAAAGCTGGAGCAGGCTGTCCATGCTGTTCATGAGAGTAGGCCCGTTGCAGATAGTCTGGAAGAACTGTACAAGGTGCGGTTAACAGCATCGGTCGTATAAGTACGTCGACGGACTCTGAGCTAAGAAGTGCGGTGGTAGGCGTGCGAAAATCTTTGTCATCACAAGAAAGCGGATGAATTATACTCAAAATTACGGGACGTCTGTGATCAGCACATTCAAAAGGAATTAGGAAAGATTAAAAGGTAAGATTTAGGCATGCATTGGGATAGAGACTGACTTGATACTAATTTTTGCGAAAGTACCCATGATATTTCTATATTGAAGATCGTTCACGAATGTTGGAGCAACCATTGCAGACAGATGGTATGTGATTAACAGCCGGTTAAGCTTCTAGATGATAAAACTGATCCCATCTGCAATGAAAGATCTTAATCAGGAGTATCTTCCTGTACTTAGACCGCACCTACGTCCTGCAAACATCTGGATTGCGGTCACTATGGGACATGGGCTTGGATCTTTTTCGCGAGAGGATAATGGATGACATGCAGCCGGTAAAACTGAAAACCGTCAAAGCCCTACTGGACGAGATAGAGCGAGAAAGGTATCTAATAGCTGCCGCAACCCATACATATCTGGTCCGAATCATTGATGGCTATGGCCTCCAGAAACGGAGAACAAGTAGAGCGCGAGCTTCTCCGATCACTGCTTCGTATGTTTCTCGAGCTGTCAATATACTTTTCAGGCTTCGATGCCGCTTTTCGTGAGCGGACGGAATCGTATTATAGAGAGGAAAGTGATAGACGGATAAATGCTCTGGACAATGAGGGATCGGGGGGAGGAAACGTAGCACGGTATTTGGAACATGTAGAGATTCGGCTTCAGCAAGAAGTTGAGCGCTGCTCCGCTGGTCTGGGATATCTTGATGCTGGCAGCAAGAAGGGACTTGTTACTGTCGTAGAGACACAACTCCTCAAAAGACATGTCAAGACCTTGCTTGATAAGGGTAAGCACCGGCATCTTCACCTTGTAATTTCCATACGGCATACTCTAACTTCTTTCAAGGATTACATGAGCTCATGGAGGACACTCGCACCACGGATCTGGCAAGAATGTATACATTGTTCAACCGCGTAGGAGCTACAGAGGACCTTCGAAAAGCCTTTTCACAGTACATACGGGTAAGCTTTATAAAGAAATGGAGATTAGGACTCCCTGTGTGGCAATTCAGACTCCGTTTTTCCATGTAGAAAACGGGATTGACCCTCGTCAGCAGCGAAGCTCGAGATCCGACCATGGTCGATGATCTTCTCAAATTCAAAACGCGAGTAGACCATCTGTGGGAAAAATCGTTTGCCAAAAATGAAAGCTTTGGCAACGCGTTGAGAGAAGCGTTCGAATTCTTCATCAACCAACGTCAAAACAAACCTGCGGAGTTGATCGCAAAGTATGTCGATGTCAAGCTCCGAAGTGGCAAGGGGGTGACGGAAGAAGAACTTGAGGTTGCACTGGATCAGTGTCTGGTCTTGTTCAGATTTATTCACGGTAGGGGACATAAGTGCTGGTCGAACCTTTGGCCGGAACCTGGCTAATATTGCAACAGGAAAGGACGTCTTTGAAGCTTTCTATAAGAAGGATCTGGCAAAGCGACTGCTACTCCAGCGCAGTACCAGCGTAGACGCTGAGAAGAGCATGTTGAGTAAACTGAAAACTGGTAGGTGTGGTTAACGGCCGTACTAGCGCTTGACATGACCGGTTGACCTGAATGATTTATAGAATGTGGGCCTAATTTCACATCGAAATTGGAGGGAATGTTCAAGGATGTGGAAATCTCTCGAGACTACATGACAAGTTTCCGTGAGGTGCGTTTGGCTCGTTTTCCTTTGCATGAACCCACGTGATCCCAACTGTTGGCGGTTTAGTCTCCACGATACACCAACCAGCTTGGAGCAATCGAGCTTTGTGTCAACGTGTTGACGCAAGGGTACTGGCCGACGTATCCGCCAATTAACGTCAACTTGCCAGATGAGGTTGGGATCAGATACATTGTTGATGAATTTCATTCAGAAACGGTTTTAACATGCGCATCATTCTAGTTATCACATTGCCAAGATGTATTCAAGGACTTCTACATGCATAAGCACAGCGGTAGGAAGTTGACGTGGCAGAATTCCCTTGGCACTTGCATCCTCAAGAGCAATTTCAACAAGGTAAGTGAGCGATGGAGTTCCGACAGCTTGATTTGTCCTTAACTGTCAACGTATGACTGTAGGGCAAGAAGGAGCTCTCGGTATCGCTGTTCCAAGCGATTGTCCTCCTCTTGTTCAATGACGAGACACATCACACGTACACAGAAATTCGAGAAGCTACAGGGTTAGAGGACAAGGAGTTAGAGCGAACTTTGCAGTCTCTAGCATGTGGCAAAGTTCGTGTCCTAAACAAAACCCCCAAAAGCAAGGACGTCTCTCATTCCGATTCGTTCGAATTCAACGCGAGCTTCGAATATGCGTTGTATCGAGTCAAGATCAATCAAATCCAGATGAAGGAGACATCCGAGGAACAAAAGGATACTGAGGAGCGGGTTTTCCAAGACCGGCAGTACCAGGTCGATGCAGCAATTGTTCGCATCATGAAGATGCGCAAGACATTGAGTCATTCATTACTCATGACGGAACTGTTTGATCAACTAAAGTTCCCTATTAAGGTGGGCAATGTATCTGAGGGTTGAATCAGCACTGCTTACTGAATCCCATCATATCAGGCTGCCGATCTGAAGAAAAGGATCGAGTCCCTTATTGACCGTGATTATCTCGAGAGGGATGCCAAAGACCCGACTGTATACAACTATTTGGCCTGATCCGCGGCCTCTGGCGCTCTCAATGTAATTATGCATATATCAAATAGCCCGTTTCTTCTTGATCTGGGTTCTGGCCATTTGAAACATGGCCTTTTACATATCTCGTTGAATATATTGTGTATTGAATTCGTTCTTTGGCGCCAATCGCCAGTGGCCGTGCAAGCCACATCCGCGCCACACCGGTTGTCGCCGTGCATGGAGATTTGGGTCGGCTCGCAAGTTGGCTTGGAAAGCTGGTCCGTGGTGGAAGGTGCGCGAATATTGGGGCCCCCCAACCAGCTAGACACTCCTGAACTTGTATCTTTCCTCTTAAAATATGTTGAGGTCTTATGCTGTGCTGCCCCGCAAGACGGGAACGACCATCTTGGTGCTATCGGTACGGCCATACTCTGCCCATTTACCCAATCCTGCGAAGATGGCGGGCAACAGTACTAACCTTGCGAGATCCGGCGTTATTTTCTATTTTACAGCGACAAGTTCACGACATTGTGAAACGTCCCGCCACCAACGAAGTCGTTGTCCAAAAGGGCCCGGGAGGTCGTTCCTCGGTCTCTGGTCACATTGCGACCGTTTTGGGATGTACGGGATTCCTAGGCCGTTATGTTGTGAATAACCTTGGTTCGTCCCATTTGTCTTTGGCCCTGTGCATGCACATGTCTGGTACTGGCGTAGGGTTGGCGCTTGCTGATGACCGTTTCACTGTGGCCGCCATGCAGGAAAATCAGGCACGCAAGTGGTTACTCCCTACCGAGGCACCGACGATGACCGGAGACATTTGAGGCTTATGGGCGATCTGGGACAGATTGTGCCACTGGTGAGGAAAGATGAGGGATTGTAAAGACTTTACTGGGACGACGTGTTCAAAAATTACCTGCAGAGATTCGACATTCGTAACGAGGACTCCATCCGAGAAAGTGTTCGCCATTCCGATGTGGTGTACAATCTGATTGGGAAAGACTTCAAAACAAAGTATGGAGTTGGGGAATCGGTTTCCGTTATGTGAATTCTTATTGACATTTTCCAATAGGAACTTTACGTTCGAGCAAGTCCATGTAGAAGGTGCCGCGCGAATTGCGCGCATTTGCAAAGAGGAAGGTGTATCCAAACTTATCCACGTCTCGGCACTGAATGCCGATGAAAACTCGAATTCTCACTTTCTGCGGACCAAGGTATATTTATTGTGATGATCACTAAGGATGTTGTGAAGTATTGCCAATTAAACAAACTCGCAACTCTGTGATCAAGGCCTTAGGAGAGAAGGCTGTCAAGGAAGAGTTCCCTGATGCTACGATCGTTCGCCCTGGAACGATGTATGGTCACGAAGACAGATTCTGGAACCGGTTGGGATGTGAGTATGGTCCTGAAGGTACTCTAGTTTGTGTTCAATGTTCTCAAACGTCTTTGTAGGGTTTGTCAAATGGCTTCCTGGCGGCATCCCCATCTTGAACGGAGGGAAAACTCGCATAAGGCCCACATACGTAAGTACTAAATTCTTGATTCACTTTGTGGTCTATTAAATGAAGAATACCCTTTGCTGCAGGTCGGTGACGTAGCACACGTGCTTGCTAAGCTGGAAAAGGATGATCGAGCTGTTGGAAAAGTGGTGGAACTCTATGGGTGAGTTACAAAGGACATTCTTTGAATCAGATGGTGCGCTGACGCACTTGTCAGACCAAAAGAGTACTACTATGCCTCACTAGTGGAGTTCTTCTTGGATGTTACCCGTCGTGACCTTGCCGCCGTTTACGTGCCAAAGTTCTTCGCCAAGACGGCCGCAGCTATCCTGGATAAGGGTATGGCTACCCCCATCATCGCCCCGGATGAAGTTGAGCGAGTGAGTACTTTCTGATTTTGAGGCCATGGGGACGACGCATAGCTGACATTGCGTGTATCAAAGCTTTACGTCGATGATAAGCCCACCTCTGGTGCCCTGACCTTTGCGGACTTCAACGTGAAGCCGCACACAGTAGAAGAGCAGATTGTCCGATTTGCTGGCTTGTACAGGGCACATGAATATCAACGGGCACCATACGAGACGATTGTTCGCAAATACACGACGGAGGACGTTAAGCTTTGAGTTAAAGGGCTACGTGACAGATTACATGACTTTTTAAGACATATTCATACCCTCATATGGTGGTTTTCAACATTTGTATGTCGCATCAGCGTTAAGTGCATCGAGCTGACAGTCAATTACAAAAAGCACATACGCACCGTAACCAGATGACAATGCCTTAGCTACGTTAAAGATACGCAAAAACAATGAAGGGGTAGGTTCTCCGCCCTCACATCCATCTCATCCCTCCGAGCAACAGGAAAGGCACGTTGGCCATCAAAACTATCTATCATCCAATTTCGTCGTACGTAAATACGGCAATACCGTCTTAAACCCCGGGAACAACCGTGCAGCCTCCTCATTGCTGACTCCATTATGTATAATCACTTCGTCTCCCTTCCCTGTCCAGTCTGCCGGTGTCGCGACCTTTCTCCTATCTCCCAATTGCAAAGAATCAATCGTTCGCAAAATCTCGTTAAAGTTTCTTCCAGTGACAGCAGGATAAGTCATAATAAGGCGGATTTTGTTGGCAGGATCGATGATGAAGACGGAGCGAACTGTTAGAGGTAGCCCGCTTTTGTCGACATTGGACGGATCTTGATAGTCCAACATGTCGTAGAGTGTGGCAACTTTCCGATCGGCATCGGCTATAATTGGGAAGTCGACTTGACAGCCCTGTAAATTGGATGAAAAGAGAACCTGTTGAATGTTCCTCCATCTTTCTTTATGAATACCTCAAGGGAAAAGCACATACCTGTGTTGTGTTGATATCACTGATCCATTGTCCATGACTACTAAGATCGTTGCAAGACAATCCAATCACTTTTACATTCCGCGTTTGCCATTCTGTTCGTAGTCTTGCTACAGCACCGAGTTCGGTTGTGCACACTGGGGCTTTTTGTAACCAACATGAGTGGTGAGGGGGAACGGATTAGTTGATAACTGTTGTACTAAACTACCACAACAAGTAAAGTGTCTCCACGTAGCCAACTGCTTTACTTACTGAAATCCTCCGGATGGGAAAATAGGATGGCCCACGCTCCTTCTTTCCAAGTATGGAATTCGACCTCGCCTTGTGTTGTCTCCGCCTTGAAATTCGGCGCTTCATCACCGAGGCGGAGGCCCATTCTTGCAATGACTTTCAAGTGTGTGGAGGATGGGCAGTGCAGCCACCTTGAGTTCGCCCGTCGAGGCGGCGATGGAAATGGGCGGGAGGGATGTCTTGCAGCAGCGTGGGAAACACTTTTTTTTGTGTGTGCAGTGGTGAGAACATTCCCCCCTACAGCCCAGCTATCGCGCAGTTAGTCATGGATATTCGCCATTTCTCACACGACCAAAGCGGTAGGTTCGATACTCGGTTGGTGCAAATTGACAATCGACATGGCAGCCTTTTTTTTTCAAGTAAAACTGGTAGAAACGATATTAGACTATGTACAATTATATTTTTACATCGCTGGCAGTACGCTATTTCTTTCGGCATCCTCAACAAATGTATTGATCATTTGCCTAACCTGTTTTTTCTGGTCTTGCGGGGCAAAGTGTCCTGCTAATAAGATCTCCACCCTTTTGAGCTGCTGGTACTTTGTAACATATCCCGCAACGTGGCCGTCAACTTTCCAAATCTGCCTATCCGCTTTAATGTACCCTTCTCGATCCTCCCAATCCAGATTCTCGATCCATTCCGTCTGTCCCAGAACTCCATCACGGAAATCAAACTGCGCCTGATACAACAAAACGTGATAGCCGCTATTAAGCAATTCTGCAACTTGTGGGGCGGCGCTGCGCATGATATCATGTGCAAGATGGAATGCGACCGCTGGGTCGCTGTGATAAAAGCCAGGGTCGCGCCTTGGATCACCATCGCAAGATTTTCTTTGCAGATGGCCACCGCAGACATTGATAGCTTTGCGGACATCGGTACGGGAGAGAAAGGCGTCCAGGCCTTGATGACTTTTCGGTACATCGCCCTGTCTTACATCGTACACATTGATTCCGCCGGTCACATTCGCAAAGTATTCAAACATTGCTTTCCGAGCCTCTCCGGCTTCAGTCCATTCCTGACGTCCCACATGGTCAATTGCTGCATCAGCATATTGAGTTATCCTCGTTGCTTGTAATTTGTTCACAAGTCCAACAGCAAGGGCTAGCGGTGCATGGTACTTTATCTGTGTTACCGGATCCGTGAGGCCATCGCCGATTGCAATGCCCTTCAAAGGAATTTTTGTCGGGTGCTCTGATAGTCGGTTAAAGGTGTGAATCGCTGATGCAAAATGAGGAACATATTTTCCAGCATAAGATTCGCCTGTGAGGAACAGAGAGCTTTCAAGTTGTTCAGGGAAAATTTCGTAGAACTTCAGAAGAAAAGTGCAAAGGTCCCTGCTGACCGCGGCTTCATTGGCCGCATAGCCATTCACGTAAAGCGGACTATTTTCGTCACTTTTATCCCTTGGTTCTTCTGAGGCGCGGTCCTTATGTGCAAAGTTCTCGTCCCTGGGTGTCACATAGCTGAATCCCGTTCCAACGGGGTTGTCGATGAATAGAATAGAATAGTCCTTATTCCATGTCTGCGTGTTTCTTTCTAATTTTCCTTTTTTCACTCTCATGGGTCCCAGTTCGTCGAACAAGCCTATCATGGAGCTTGACCCAGGACCACCTTGCAACCAAATGAGAAGCGGTGGCCTGGACGTGGAAGGAGATTGAGCCGGGAAAAACCAAAAGAAAGTACTTGCGCGACCCGATGCCGTGGGGGCTGAGACGGAACTGGGCCATCCATCAGGAAAGGTTCTGATATTGTCAGAGCGCCCATTAGATACAGTGATCTGCATAAGAGAACTCACAACGTTTAATCCTCTACCAACCTGACATCAATAAATCCAGCATAGCTTCGTGTCACCGGCTTTTCTCCCTTGCTCCACGGCAACGGACCGACGGCATACTTTTCCTTAGCGGCATTCTTCAGCTTGCGAAGCTTCCCGTTGCCATATATTTCCACGTCTTGGTGCCGAATATGATTCGGGAGCAGCGCGCACAGCAGGAATATGGTGAAGACGGCAATCAAAACCGTCTTGCCACGACTGTCCGTGGCAGGAGTTCGAGTTTAGGGATTGTACAGCAGCTCATGCTTGGAGCATCAACTATATATACCTATGCTGCACACCCTCTCTGAGCTTCCGAAGGCGGATGCCGACTGCATTAGTCGCGGTTGTCCACGGCTCCCGTTTGCCAGGTGCCCGTGCAGTATGGAGGACAGGTGGTGACAGGGACATAAATGCAGGGAACTTTGTGTCGTCCATGTCGACGGCTTCTGTGATCATGTTGGTGAAAATCACAGGCGTCCTTTTCACGGCATCCAGTTGACGAGAGGAGTTCTTGGGCTCACAAGCTACCGTAGCAACCTGACGCGACGCGTCCACCACGCGGGAGGGCAGGACGTTTATCTTGAAAGGTGTCGCCAACAAGCTCCCTATCGTCGTCACTTGCCACCTAATGTTTGCAAGTACTTGTAGAGGATGTCAAACGTTTCATAGTGCAGAAACAGAAGGGAGTATGGGACCTCTTGCCACGATGATAAATCGCACCTTTGTTACTCGTTAATATGGCCCACATCATTCGACAATTATGATAAATATGATGTGGAGGAGTCTCCTAAAGAGAACCGTGCCCACATTGTCCGGAAGTCAGTATGCAAGGTGTAGATAATGAAAGGGAGGGTGACCCGCTATTGCATGTTTGAGAAGCTTCTTCGGCTGTTGAATATGGAAATTCACGCATTTGTGCAGCTTCGTTGCGGAGATAACGTTCGGCATATGGCATGCGCTTTCCTCCCTGCGACTACGTACAATGGAAAAGTGGAAGGGCAATTCATGTAATTCAAAGTCTGTACAATATCTATTGGCCATCCCATGATCAGAGCTTCTATTAGTATAGTTGACGGAGCTTAACCTAACCTCCGGGTACGCGGCAATCTTCTGATCCGTGCCATCTTGCGGAGCGGCGACGTAAGACCGTCCTTACGTCCACGCTGCCAACCATACTGACGCATTCTAGTTATCGAATTGAGCAATTTGCCAGTTCAGGAATTTCTAGGGCGCTTGTTGGCATGTGCCTCCTCATGTGGTGCATCTGCCGCCTTGTTTATGGATAGATGAGAAAACTCTCGATAGATTCGGGGGAAGGATGATGGAAGACAGGAGAGGTATCGTGTAATCTCACTGCGGAGTTGTGTAGGTGTCTGATGATAAACGATGTTTAGATATTGCTATCGTTAGTTCTTTGGACCGTACCCACCATGTCAGTAAAGTCCAGATACAGGGCAAGGACGCCCGACGTTTGAAGGGCATCAATAGCTGCTTGTCGCACTTTTACATCTTCGAGTGTTCTTTCCTGAGGTCCTCTACATGCCCTCTTTACTGCTATTGCAGCGTTTGCTCCAACCAACAAAGTCTGGTGCGCCTGTGCGCCTTCCGGTAGCTTTGGGAAGTATGCAGTTATCTTAGTTGGGGCTTCAAGCGCTGATACATTGGACAGAGCAAGAGGGTAAGGGAGTGGATGCTGCGCCGGAAAGAAAGAAGAGGGCGGCCGGTGAATGGAGGTATGCTTGGATGCTGTCGAAATTGCTGCGGTCGTGCCAGAGCTCTCTTTCTCTTGAGGTATCCAGGCGGCGGTAGAGGAGCGAAGGGATTGTAGAGAGGAATTGTGAGGATTCCCAAAGGACATTCTTTGCCGTTGCCGTTATGAGGGCGTCAGCCGGTTATTTGGGCTACTGGTGTGCCATGTCAATCTAGTGAACAAGATCTTTTGCAAACGCGCAGATCCATTAGCAGTCCCGCTTAGTCGTTGAGCAAGCTCCAAGTAGTTTTAACACTAGGCTTTTGTCGGATCTTTATGCCAAAATCCCAATCCTGCCAAGCGTTGTTTAAAGTAATTGTTGAAAACAAAAAACATATTGTCCTCTTGTGTTTGATAAGAGTCCGTTGTTGTTGAGCACCTCCGAAGGGGGATCATTGTCCTAAAATGCCATAACTCCCTTCCTGAGCGAGAATTGGAATTGGACCATGCGGCCGCTACGATCTGGAATGCCATCATCCAAACGTCCTGCTCCATCCAAGCGTTGCCCCTGCAGGTGGGTTCCGTTCACCAGGCGGACGGAGGGGCGGACAACATCGACGAACAAACGCGTTCCAGGAGCATCTGAGCTTAGCCGCCCCGCTGTGCGCAGGTTGGCTTTTCTCGCGCTGGCAACCCGGGTCGCAGTCCAGAGGAGTCGACGTGGGTTGTTTACCAACTCCAGCGGCAACCAGTCCTACCTTACTCAGGCTCACGGAATTCCCACAACGAACAAGAAAGAAGCAAGTGAAACAACGCACCATTGTCGCGACTTGAAGTACCCCAAAGTAACCACTACATCAACAGGTGTCGAATTCCGCATCCGTTGAAAATGCCCCTAGTCCTGAACGAACTCCATCCTCCCGTCTTCTCAGATGGGACACCAGATTTTTACCCAACAGTCTATAAATCCCCTCGTGCACCTGCTGGTGGTTATGTTGAATGCGATCCTTCACGCGTGCAGAAATATTTGGACAAGCTCTCTATTGCTTTGAAAGACGCCTACATACAAAGCCCAGAAAAGATACCAGGCGTGGATATGGCCGAGGTTATAAGACATGGTGGAGTAGCCTTCAAGAACAATGTATTCTTGAGGCGCTTTCCCGACCATTACAGAATGTTTGAGAGTCGAAAGCCGGAACATATGCCTGGAAGTACTCCAAGTACACCTGCTGCCTCCTCGGCTCCATCTCCCGCTGTAGGCTCTTCAACTGGCGCGAACGGTGGAACTACTATTGACGTGGAAAGTGAAGGGTCCTTGGCGGCAGCTGCGAAAACGGAGGCGGTATCTACAGAGGAGGACCCTAGTAAATCACGACTGCCAAAAAGCGAAAAGTTTCGGGCGGATGCTTTCATTTTTGGTCACCCCAGGTGAAAACGGACACATCTGCAGTAATTGGTGAAAATACTTAATATCCTTTTGCATCTACCCATAGCGGATCAAAGTATCGATCTACAAATGAGTTTACACCACATTTGCTGTGGTTAGTGAATGACGATTCACATGACCATCGCAATTGCCCATGCAAGCTCTGTTCCAATTTCCTCAAGTCTGGCGGGTAAATGCTTTTGAAGTTGTTTACCGCTTCTCGATCACATCTTCAACCTCATCAGCCCATCGAACAGGAAATGCTTCCCGAAAGGAAAAGGCACATCACTAGGTCCCGTCACACCTTCCACTTCTCTTAAATCCCGTTCTCAATCCGTCAAACACGATATCGAACCCAGTCCCCTTACAATCGCTTCTGTCTCGCGCACTGCATCCCCGCTAGTGCTACCCGAAGCAAAGAAACAGACGCCAAGAATAGATGACGTGTGGGAGATGGATTACAAAGTTGGTGGCAGCTTTTTGAGGAGGAGTCGTACTGGTCTGTTGGCTAATACTGCAGTTTTTTCCTTAAGAGTTCTGCACGGACATCACCAAATCCTGCTTCTCGCGACGGGACAGATTCAGACGACGAGGGGGCTAGCATCAAAGCTCGTAAAACGAAACATAAAAGGTCAAAAGAGAGCGGCGTATACTCTGACGCAAAGTATAAAAAAAAGTATCGTGAGTTGAAGAGAAAGATTCATGAAATTGAGGAGGTAAGGATTTGGATTCCCTGTACGTTTCATTCTTTTCTATTACCTTCTGTTCTTATGGTTGGTGACTTGTGTCGGTAATAGGAAAACTCAAAAATGATAGAAGAGTACGATGTTACGAAAAAGCGTCTTTCGCGATTGCGGTTTGAGCGGGGGTGTGTACAATGCTTGCATCACCATATTTGCGACGAGGGATATCACGCAAACTTACATTTTAATCAGTCTCTTATACGAGCGACTGCAATTCGTACATCAAGGTAGCATACCTAAGGAACCTTTATCGAAAGAAGTGAGTGCCAGCAGGCAAGACAATAGGAAACTAACTTTATTAATGTCTCGCAGTCCTCACCTCCAAGTAGTCCATCCTCCGACACCGAACAAGAACCGATCCCACCTCCATCTACTATCAAAAAACCAGTGAAGCGAAAAGAAAAGAAGCCAATCGATCCAAACGCGCCGCGACGGCCCGCAAATGCCTTTATGCTATTTTGTGACTTGAGTCGTGAGCAGTTAAAAAAGGAGCGTGAAGGGTTAGAGGAGGCCGAAATTGAGGAAAAAGGATTGACAAATCTCACAAAGGCCCTGGGTGCAAGATGGAAAGGCTTGGGCGAGGAGGAGAAAGGACGTGAGTGCCAGATTGGCTTTCCTACGAAGCTTGCTATACTTTTGTTGATATCAGTTGTCTCTGGAAACTACAGGATGGCGAGCGTTGTTCTTGGAACAGGTACAGCGTTATGATCGCGAGATGCTCGAATATCAAGGTGGGGGAAGCGGACGGGACGATACGACGCTTGGGGTGGATCGGATGGGTGTAGGTGTTCCATCTTCTCCCGCCCTTGTACCAAATGAGGGGGCAAGGGAAGGCGAGGACGAGGTGCTAGATGAGGAACCATTAGGAAGTGAGCTTGAAAGTGCAGCGGAGAAGGAGGATCTGATGGAAGGGGTGGAGGTTGTGAGCTGATGCGATAGAGACGGAGGTGCTTTGTATAGTTGAGATCTCGTCCTTTTAGTGGGTATTTTGCCGTGTAATTTTTTGACCACCTCTTTTTTTTGTACAAACATGTTTGTAAAGACCTTGAGGTAGCAAGCAGCAATTTTGTAATTTTGTAAAGCACGAGTTGGCCTCTACACTAACAGAGCAAGAAGCTGGATCTACATCAAGGGCCTGTCCATAGGACACCGCGGAGAAATGATTTGGATTGGAGGCAGCTGGATACTGTCTTTTACACTATCTGTCAGATTTCGTACAGCTCTGCTCATCCCAAAAGCCCCTCCTGAAAATACGCACCAAATGCCATTACGATCGTGGCTCAGTTATGCGACATCGAGATCCCTTCAAACCGCCTGTGTCTGAGCTGCTTACAGCACGCAGGGTCTACGTATCGGTTTGCGAAACAAAGGAATCCGGAGTTGAAGGGCGAAGAGCGGCACGATCGGCAAAGCGAGGTGTGAAAAGGGTATGGTAGTGGCTGTGAAGCGGACACCATCCAAATCACCCACTCCCCTCTCGTATTGTCTTACCGTCTCTTCGACTGTACTTTCGAACCTTTTGATGGCAATACATATGCATTCCTGTCCTGGAAGCATCTGCCAGTTCTTAATATGTCATTCGGTCTTTCTTACGTCGTATTGGCGTTATCACCAACAGTTTCCCCTGTCCGACGTCCCAGCCCTAGTTCATCCGCCTTTGCCAGAGCCCTCAAAACCTCCAAATCATGTCTACCCATCTCTATTAAATGTTCCACCTTTTTTGGATCAGATTCTTCCCGGTAGAGCTCATACAGTTGTCGAAGGTTCGACGCTAGTTTTCGCCGGTGTGGATCGTTTCTCGCCAGTACTCTGCCTACTGTGGAGGTGGGTATGCCAAAGCCTCTTTGCAGCCGTATAACTCTCAGAGCTTCACGGAAGAGACGGAGGGAAGGAATGTGAGGTCTGTTGATGGCCGACATGATGGTGGGGAGACAGAGACCCTTCCAATGAGGCCTTTGCATTTGAACGATGTTGCTATGGTTACTTCCCTGGGACAGGTCAAGCGCTTGCGTCGAGATCGCCAACTTCCAACCCCACCCTTGCAGACAACACCCATCTCCCAACAGCCTCTTTGGATAGTCGTTAGCCAGAATGACCTCAATACCACCAAATCAAACTCTTTACATTCGGAATCTCAACGAAAAGGTTCAGAAAGAAGGTACGATGTTGCCAAAACTTGACTCAGTGGCGGGGCATGAATCTGACTTCATCCCAGACATACGCAGGAATCTTTACTACCTTTTCTCACAGCATGGACACGTTCTGGACGTCGTAGCACTGAAAACTATAAAAATGCGTGGTCAGGCCTTTGTTGTGTTTAGAGATATCTCAAGCGCGACGACCGCCATGCGAGCTTTACAGGAATTCCCATTTTTCGATAAAAACATGGTATGTTGGATGGTCGTGCAAGTTGACCTCTCGGGTTGCTTTGGCTACATCGGGGACGGGCACTCACATGGGAACCTTCCATGTTAGAAAATCAGCTTTGCGAAAACAAAGTCAAATGCCGTGAGATTCCATGAGGGAGTGTACACTGCGCCAGCCAAAGAAACTGCTCCATCGACTACTCCCGCAGCACAGAAGCGACCGCGTGAGGATGAAGAAGAAAGCGAAGCAAAAAGGACACGGTCTGATCAACAGACTAGCCAAGAGGAGGAGGCCGAATCTGCTAATGGTAGGTTGCCAATATTGTCAAGGGCTCTGCAGAAGATAATCGTTGACTTGTGTCTTAAGCACAAGCATCGGATCAAACACAAGTCAACCCTCCGAACCGGATTCTTTTCCTCACCAATTTACCCACATCCGTATCCGAAGATATGCTTGCAATGTTGTTCCAACAATATCCCGGATTCAAAGAGATTCGACTTGTTCCGGGCAAATCAGGCATTGCATTTGTCGAGTATGAGAGTGACGCCCAGGCTGAAACGGCCAAAGGCGTATTAAATGGATTCAAGCTAACCCCGACACATCCGATGACCGTTGAGTATGCCAAACGATAGGGAGGTTCGTGGTTGTGTTAGAAATAGTTAGTGTACAGCGGGTGATTTGTATTATAGGGACTGGTTTGTGCTTGATGAGCGTGTTTGTTCAAATAGAATGAACCGTATATGGTACGCATCTGCACATGTGTGGAAAGACTGCGCTCTGGTCGGCTCTCTGCACCAGTGAATTTGGTCACTGTGGTTATCTTGGGACTATCTTCCTCACCACAAACGAGCCTCAACATATGAAGGCTTTTCTTATAAGCTTTTCCAGTAAAGTCCTGACATTTTGTCTCATCAACTGGCATCATGTCGCCCATATTTCGACAAGAAGCACACTCCCGTCTAACGTGGCGACACCAGCAGAATCTCTGAATCGCCATTCGGATGTGAGCGGGTTTTCAGTTAGACGTCATGTTGGGACTCCACCACTCGTTTGACTTGTGAGAGCCAAGGAGTGCAGAAGAAACTGGCATGCCATCCAAATTGAGCTTTAGAGAGCGGGATCCGTAAACTAGTATTCGCTCACTCCATGTTACGTTCATGTAACAGCACCCTTACCATGGAGAGCTCTTCTGTTCAAGCTGCAGCTTATTCCAAGTTTTAAAATAATCACATTGTACGCTTTTTAACTCATGTAGAACACATGTCTTAAAACACCTGTGGTCAGCTATTGACTGTTCTGTCCATGGTATCGAATATCCTATGCAACGCTATATTCGGGAACATCACGATCAGAAAATGAGGATATGTGCCGGAGGGAACAATCAACCGTTTGCTTAACGAAGCCCCACGAGGGCATACCTCTATCGGTACCCTTTTTTTAGCGCATTATATGACAGGATGCTACGACTTCCTATTTGGATCTTTACTCTAAACTTTTGACCTTTCAATTGTTACAAGAATATACGGCAATGTCGGATGCGGCTGATCCACCTCCGGCCACCGAGCAGGTACCTGCTATTGAGCAACAGGATGAAGCAGCATTACCAGCAGAACCTCCAAAAGATCTCGATACGGCAATGTCCGTCACCCCAGCCCAAGCTATGGAGCTCAACCGTCGTGCCCAGGAAATCAAGCATGGATATGCCCTGTTGGCGATGAAGCGGATCGAGAACGCTTTTGCAGGACTGGATGACGAGAATAATATGGACCAAGGAACGGAAGTGGTAGATTTAGGTGACGAGGAAAAGAAACTGAAGTAGGTTGCCAGCATCTTTCTCTTAAATGCACAAAGCATGACTTAGTGTTCGAACATCTCATCGGCATCTATCTGCACATGTAAAGCGAAGCTATGGCTGCCTATGCCTCGGAACTGCAATCATATGGCTTCCAGCCGGGGACAAACGACTTTGAAACCGCCATGGCGGATCTCACTCAACCAATGGATGTGCCCAAGGAAACGGTCCAGGAACCCACTGTGCCAGTCATGCCGCCAAAAGCGGTGGACCCATTGCCATATCATAATGTGTGGAAATCAGGTGTGATGGAATTGGGCAAGGACGAGATCAACGTGGAGGAGAAGGCTGAGGAAGAGCTAGTGCCAGAGCCACCCGTTGAGGTAGAACCTACTCCAATACCCGTTCCGCCGGAAGAAGAGAAGATAGATGAAGTCCCCGTAAAAGAGCCGGAACCCGTTTCACTCCCTCCGCCAGTACAACCACCCGTCACGGTTTCAACGTCGAAACCTCATACTCAGAAGCGCCTACCGCCGATTTTACCACGTCCAACGCTCAAAAAGCCCACCCCTGTTGTCAAACAGAGTGTTCAGGCCAGACCTCTTACACTATCGTTTACAAACTTCTCGGCCGCCTTCCCAACAGACCATTCTAATCAACCTACGCATCATCCACCCCCCTCACAGCACCATTACCATCAGCCATCTCAGATCTCCCTTCTCCCACCGGACGCAACACCGCTCCGCGTCCTAGCTCCACAGAGAATGCAAACGAGTTACCCAGGTATTACCTCGCCGTTCATTGCTGGGCCGGTACGACCAATGCAGGCGGGTGGCGGCATGGTGCAAGCTGGTATGCAGCAAAACAAGAAAGCGAATCCAAAGTGGGCTAAACAAGCGCAAGAGCAGCCGCCACCTTTGACCATAATGGAAGCAGTACATGGTCCATTGCCGCCTATCAAACATGCATCACAAAGAGTTTTGCAGATGAGCAGCGACAGCAGAAAGGGCCCCCGCGGTTGATAGTAACAGATCGGATGAGCGTTCGCATAGCGTGCTGACATAGTATAGTATGCTTATGTAGCTCCTATTCTAGGTACGACTGGATGTGTATCACGTTCTGTAGCATGTTCTGAAAGCAGATACATATCTATAGAGGGGCGTGTCTATCCGACGATTGTGAAATACGTAGTTTTCTTCAGCTCAACTGTCAGATTCTCCCTACCATATCTAAAAATTACCTCTAAAGTTGACAATGAGTCCGTTTCTACCAGCTGAAGTTGCTCCAAGCTCTTTCACATCGCGCTCAATTGTAAAGCAGAAGTCACTTTAGAAGTGGATTACCCCATTCAACGCCTTAAATTACATGAGTGCCGCTAATTTCCTGAGGACATATCAAAGAACTTGTCGATGCTTCAGTTTCGCAAGAATCCGCCTCGAAGATTATCCCACAGGTCGCCTCCCTGAGAAGCAGGAAAGTGATTTAAGGTTCGCTGTAAAGTATTACAACAGCATCGTCGTTTCCGTGAAAATGTTGCAACGTCCTTGCTTGCATCTGCTTTGAATTAATAGGTATACTGTGGGTGCCGGTATGCCTTCGAAGAGTAAACTCAGAGGCGATATCGTCTATTTCATTCTTGATCTGAGTAACGGTATCTGATAGCGTGCTGGATGAAGGTACAAAAATGGCCCCAAGGAGATTCGATTCGTCTCGAGTGGATCGGTAGACCAGCAATTCTTTCTCTGTTTCTGAGATCTTTGCTGTTTTCAAGGATAAACAAAATGCGTGTTCAACAGATGTTCAATCAACATCTCAATTACCTTGAACAGGTGCTTGATCTACAGGTGGCGGTGGTCTATTGGATACTGGCGACGATTGCACGGGAGTGGCAGCGGAGGATGCGAATGATGGTTGTTGATCCAATGGAACAGAGTAAAGGGTATCAAAGGCAGGTGCGGCGAGATAACTAGGGACGAATTTCGGTGTGTTGGATTCTTCCACAGATTCCTCTTCCGGAGAGACATTGAGAAGCTGCCGTACTTCCGCTCCCTTTGCAATATCTGCAGCCTTCTGGCCTTTTGTGTTTTGTAGATCAGTGTCCGCTCCATGGTCCAGCAGTATTCGAACAATATCTGGGTGACTCCTTTGAGCAGCCCAGTGAAGGGCCGTCCACTTATTGACCCGGTTTTGTGCATCTACATTCACCCCAGCCGTAAGGTAGTGTTGGACAACCTTGGCATTCCCGACAGCAGCTGCTTCTCGAAGCGCCTAAGATGTTGGGATGAGAAATCTGCCGTTCGGTGAGTGAATCTCGCGGGACACTTGCCTCTTCACGAGCGTCTTCTTGCCGCATACTTTTTGCGTCAGCTCGGCTGCTAGACTGCTGGACCAAAACCTGACAAGTTAATCTCTTTGTACAATTGCAAGCGTTTGGAGGGCTCAGTCACGGGACTTCCCAAAGATCACTTTCAAAGAACGAGGGCCATGCAAAGATAACAGCACTGCAGGCACCAACACCTTTTATAATTCTTTATTACAATGCGTATCTATCTATCTATATATGATCCATCGCCGTTGCAGAGAAGAAACTGAAGACGGACCAGGGTTCGGGAATTTGAGTTGGCTGATATCTCCTCCGCGCAGGATGCAAAAATGCAACCACAGCTCTTATGACTCCCAAACGGGGAATCGAACCCCGGTCTTCCGCGCTCTGGTCTTTTGGACTGACAGGCGGAGGTACTAGCCACTATACTATTTGGGACTTGTTATCTCCGTCGCATGGATAATATCTGTTTGAAATGTAAGAGGCTCAGATCTGAGATGTCCATTAATAGCCTTTCATTTGGACACATTGACAGTGAGATATCTGCAAAAGTGGCTAGCTTCCGTGCGTCGTGGCCTATATGCTGCTCTAGTGCGATCGTTGGGCGTTTCTTATTGTCAATAGTTGATAAAATCATACAGAATAGTCATCATTTTCGGACCTGGGGCTTGTTAATGTCGTCAAACGATTGGGTAGTCGCATCAATATCGTGTGGGATCTACCCAAGACTTGCTTGCAAAGAAGACATTGACTCCAGCAAAACGTATGTGCACGGTCGAAGGATACACGCGGCCTCTAGCTAGTCTTTTGTATGGCAACCGCCTTTCCAGAATGCAAGATACTCCGGCATTATCCAAATTCACATGTGAGTTGATGCATTCGTGACAGGATGAAAGCAGGCTGCACATGGACAAGTTTGGGCCATCGTTCCATTTACAGATGTCGCCTCCCTGGTGAATAATCTGCATGTCACCTCCTTGATCGTCTGATTGGCTAAGAAGGCTGCGTCTGACTGCGTCTGGCTAACAAATTCCCACCACTGAAGAAAGTGGCACAAAGGTTGGTTCTCTTTTGCATGCCGCATCATGCTCCCTCCTCACTGCTCTAGGACGCAATATTCATCCCGCTAGGTGAAAGGCTTTTGAGCGGCCGCGGGCATTTTGAAGCACAAACTGAAAGAGTCATAGATTTAATCAAGGAATGGACATGCTTCCATATGCAGAGTTATGCGGATGCTCAATTTATTGTCCACGTATGCCTCGTTTCATTCTCCTGAATAAACTGAACAGTGGCATTATGGGAGACGGATGCGATGGGATTACGGAGAGGAGTCGATTTCTTTAGGGATCTGAATTCTGTATAGGCAGCACTGGCAGCTGTTGATGCTGAATCCTCGCTCACCCATCAGAGTTGAAAACGTTTGCAGACAAGAAGATTGTTGAAAATCGACGATTTCCATCCCAAAAATCCTCATTTGGACTGAGCGCGTTGAAATGTCGTCAGCCGAGCATGACGCGCATTTGCTCTTCGAGTCTGCGCATATAATTCCTTTCCTAACACAACTGTTCTCTACCATCCTACCTTGTAAAAAAGAACCCAATGCCACGCATCATTCCAGCAGCAATTGATATTCTACTCGTTGCCACATTATTGGCAGGCCTACGACGATCTGGGGATTTTGGTATGTCAAATGTGTTCTTCACCAAATTGGATGTGCATATCTACAGGAATTGACACAACTAGTGTTGGGCCGCACTTTACTCTCAATATAGAATTTGCTACAGAACATATTGGCTCCCCAGCACTCCGGTGGTTAGCCATGCAATTCCTTTTTCTGGGCGAACGTGTCCTAGATATTCTCCTAGTCCTGACGAGAAGATATCCAACGTATTTCCGTCCTCGTATCGCAACGCATCATCCCCTACCACTTCCACATGATTTGACAGCATATCCAGCGCATGTCGCGCAATCCTATGATCTCCCACTACCCCCGCACCCTATGTATATGCAGCAGGCTCAGGCACGAATCGCAGCAGCCGTGGTACGTAGGAGACAGAGTGTGCAAACTTGGGCTGCTGGTGGTTATCACGGCGTAAAGGGACAAATCGGACAGATGGTGCCTGTGGGACCTATGGGGGCGGGAATAAATGGGCACGGGGCTGTACCTGGAATGCCCGCAGGAAACGTGCAAAGGAAGGCGGCAGAACGATGACGGGAGGCTTGGCTGTAGTTTGGGTATTTTTTGGGGGGTAGATGTTTTCAGTTTTTCTTTGTTTGCGGAATCGCATCCGCTACTTGATTAAAGATGTGTTTACGATTCATGTACAATAATCTGATTATAAAATTCTGCATGGCGGTGGGCGGACGAGCGTAGATTTCAACAGTTCGATGGCCCATTGCATGCAATCAATATTCTTTCCCACTCTTTGCTTTCCGGTAATATTCTCGCAGCTTTCCAAACAGCTTCTGTCTCTCTGACGCGTACCTAGAAAACCTGTCCATTACTATTTGCTTCCGCACATAGATAGTCAAAGCAGCCTTAACTTACATTAGAGCGGACGTCACAAAAGCGCATGCCCCACCGAGGAGAATATGCAAAATCTTGCTCTTCCAGGTATCCCATCCGTATAACAAAGGAAATATATACGTCACAATCCACGACACAACCAGGGTCGCATATACTTTGCCATCACCCGGAATCATTTCCTTCACCGACAGTGATCGTTTCATGTCCGAGGGCTGTTCCCACTTCCTTGACTGCAAGTAAAACTCTCGTATGAAGTGCCAGCAGAAATATATCCGCATAATCATATTGGCGATATTCGCCACAACGAGTCCTCCAGGACCCATCGTGAAAAGGTTCATCGTGACGTAAGCCACGAGTGCGAATACCGCGGAGCACACCACAAGCCAGTAGCTTTGCTTTTTTATCGTATGGGAATCACCCACACCTTGGAGGAAGGCTTCTGTAATACCGTTTATGCCCATTACTGGGACATAAAGGCAGTAGATGGACAGGGCAAGAACGATATCTGGTGTGGAGGCTTTGGTGTTGCCGTACAAGATACTGATCAAGGTTCCACTGTAATTGGTAGCGAAAAAGACGAAGTAGGTGCCGAGACACAAGTGAAAGCGTATCAACGTTGATAAGAGATCTAAGGAAGTTGCGAGAGACTCTTTTCGGACGCCTATTTGTTGTTCAAGGGTTCGACAATTTGGGCTGATTCGCGCGCAATGAGAGACATCACTAACCAGTGGGATTGCTCAGTGTCCTAGAGAAAAACGCTCGAGCGGTTTCTTCCAATGGCTGGAAGACTATTCGTGCAATCAACGAGCCTGAAATTCCGAAGCCGCTTTCTTAGATGCGTCAATAGTATGCATCCCGCGCATAACGAAACTTACCCAGGTCGGACACCATCTTATACGCGCCCTTCTCGTCATTATTGCGACCCATCCACATGAGTAGGATCCTGTCCCCTTCTGTAAGGATATACTTGAGGGCTGATTGTGCAGTAAAGCTTCCTGCTACTGACAAAAGATACGGGTCCAAGTAGAATGATTCCGTTTTCCTAAACGTGATTTCAAGGCTCTAGCTCCGGCCTTTGGATACGTTCGAGGATGCACTGTGCGCCAGATTACCCATGCCCAGTTATTTCTCTGATTTTGCAGGGACGCAATAAATGCGATAGGCTAGCGGAGCTGGATTCAGTGCTATATGACAATCGTGACATCACGGATTGACGCTTTAAGGCGCGGACGTAACCAAGGATCAGAAAAGCTGCGTACGCCAATTGGCCCCATGCGTAGGCTTCGGCACCGCCCATTTTCAACCCAAAAATCGATGCAGACTTGAGCGACGTAATGGTCATGGTCAAAGCGAATGTCGTAACACAGCGCACTAACAGGGCCGTGCCTTCCACTTTTGCTCGAACATCATACAAGAATCTGCTTTGGCACAAGATGTACAGCGGTTCGCTTCCTAGCTCTACAATTGCAGCAAGAAGATAGACCCACAATGCACCCATTGGCCTCCCGTGCGTCGGTACTGTATAATGATAGCATAGAAACGCCGCGACGAGAAATACGCCGACCAATATAGGCAAGTAGGATAGGTTGATAAGTTTCTGTTGCTGCATTGCGTTCCCGCCCATATACTCCTCTGAGGGTTTAGGTACCGCATTACCAGTTTTCCTTTTTCGCAGGTTACCAACCAGACCATTTGCACTAACGTCCACTTCTCCCTTCGTAGACGGATCCGACACATTCGGAGAGTCGGCTTCCGTGGTCCGCAGCAGAGCCATTCTCAGATTTTCCCTCGACAAAAACAACACTGTGCCGGACAATAATTCCAAGTCCGAGGCAATCCCAACCGTTTGTATTGAGGAAACGCGTTGAACAAGATTGTTCAGTAGGAATGTGGCTGCTCTGGAGGAAAGCTGAAGCAAAAAGAGATATCCAGCGCCCTTTATGCTCGATGACAGTGCTCCACCGCTATCCTTGGTAGCCATCGCTGGCGCGTTATTTGCTGTCGCAGTCATATTCTCAAGATCTCATCATCTTCGTCCAATGGAACAGCTGCTGGCTGAGTGACGGACGCGTTCAAAACAACAATGGCGGGGAACCGGCAGTCTGGTAACGCTGACAGCAGCAAGGCGGCGGGAACGCTAGCGAGGGAACGCGACGGGTAGCCGATACACGCCCCCCCAGCCATCCACATCCATTCATCCATCCATCAAAGCCCTTCTATCGCATCCGCTCCTTCCATCCAGCATCCCCTCGACGATTGCATCGACTACCGACGAATACCATCCATCCATCCATTCTGACCACCCGTTTGATCTGAGCCGGCGATGAACCCCGAGGAAACGGATGAGAGCTTGTACCCCATCGCGGTCCTGATTGATGAGCTAAAACACGAAGATGTCACTTTGCGTCTCGGTGCTATGCGCCGTCTGAGCACAATTGCTCTTGCATTGGGCCCTGAACGTACGCGTGAAGAACTGATACCCTTCCTTGAAGGTGGGTAGACCTAGTAAACGCGCTGCCGTCTCCGCTCCCCACGCGTTGAGTTTGAAATTTGGATAGTGGGAGGAAGTGGGATGCGGAAGAAGTTGCAGCTGTTGTAATGTGAAGTGCATCTGCCTCAATACGGGAGGCTAACGTTCTTCCTGTTTGTAGACTCGATTGATGATGAGGACGAAGTGTTGTTGGCGTTGGCGGACGAGCTTGGAAACTTTGTTGATTACCTGGGCGGACCTCACTACGGACATCTGTTACTCCCAACTCTGGAGACTTTGGCCGCTGTGGAGGAAACCGTCGTGAGGGACAAGGTGGGAATGCGGATGAGGAGCAAACTCGCCAGCTTATGCAAACCGTAATAACCTCGTAATAGGCTGTGGAGTCAATTGCAAAGATTGGGGTAGTTCTTAGCCAGCAACAGATAGAAGAGCATTACATCCCTATGGTTAAAAGGTTGTCCATCGGAGATTGGTTCACAAGTCGGACGAGTGCGTGCGGATTGTACGCGCCTATATATAAACTCTCCACTCCCGCCACACAAGAAGAATTGCGGAGGTATCTTTCGGCGACAGTGCATCCAGTTCGATAGAATACCTGAATATGGCTAAAAAAATTGCATTACGTAGACTGTACGCGCAGCTCTGCCATGATGATACACCAATGGTCCGGCGAGCGGCTGGAACACATTTGGCGGTAAGGATTCCCTTCTGCTGTATCGGGCAGGCGAAAAATGGATATCGACGCTGAATCTCACCTGGATCCATCAGAAATTGACAAAACAAGTGTCCAAAGATAACGTATTGTCTGAAATGATTCCCCTTTTCAAAAACTTGGCCGCGGATGAGCAGGTATGACGTAAGCATTTGGTGTGGTAAAAATGGACTATCGACTGATCGCGCTTAAAGGACTCTGTTCGGCTTCTGACTGTGGAGAGCTTGATTGCAATTGCAGAAGTTCTGACACCCGATGAAAACAAAACCCAAATCCTTGATACCTTGCGTACCATGTGCACGGACAAATCCTGGAGAGTACGATATATGATCGCTGACAAATTTGTGCAGGTAATGGTTGCCCACGGTTGAATCGTATTACAGCTCTATACAAGAGAGCGACAGCCAAGGCTTAATCTATAATTCCATTTTAGCTGGCAAAAGCAGTTGGGGCGGATATTGTACGAGAGGAATTGATCACGGCTTTCGTGCATCTTCTGAAGGATGGGGAGGCTGAAGTTCGAACGGCCGCTGCAGGCCAGGTTCCAGGTGAGTCTGACCTGTGCATGCACTTACTCGTTTGGGACGACGCGGATGACCAGAATATCTGCGGTAGGCTTCAGCACGTTGATCGATCAGGACTCCGTATTGCGGGAGATTCTACCATGCGTGAAGGAACTCGTGACTGACACTTCTCAACATGTCCGCGCCGCTCTTGCTACCCAAATCAGCGGTCTTGCACCCTTCCTTGGAAAAGACAAGTGGGTGGCGTCTGGTCAAAGGTTTCAACTATTCTTTGAGGGTTGCGTTTAAACGTGAATCACAGCACCATCGAACACCTCCTCCCCTTATTCTTGCAATTACTAAAGGACGACGCACCGGAAGTCCGTCTGAACATCATTTCCAAGCTGGATCGCGTGAATGAAGGTTCGTCGAACGTGTGTGTTGGAGCAGAAACCCAGAGTATTAATAATGGACCAACGTAGTTATCGGCATTGATCTCTTGTCTCAGTCCCTTTTACCGGCCATCGTAGAGCTGGCAGAGGATAAGCAGTGGCGTGTGCGATTGGCTATTATTGAAAACATCCCCCTTCTGGCGAAACAGTTGGTAGGTCTCCTATCGTTATTCGAATCCAGTCCGAATGCTTCACTGACAAATGGGGTTTCCCTCTCAACAAAGGGCGTAGAATTCTTTGACGAAAAACTAGGAAATTTGTGCATGTCATGGCTCGGTGATTGCGTGTTTTCAATCCGTGAGGCTGCGACGATAAACCTGCGAAAGCTGACGGAGGTGTTCGGAGTGGAATGGGCGAAACAGACAATTATTCCCAAGATCCTCCAGATGGCTCAACATCAAAACTATCTTTATCGCATGACCACCGTTTTTGCGTTGACGGTAAGATGCAAACTTGATTTCATCACTTATACGGGTTCTGATTTCAGCCCTTTTCTTTAGACGTTAGCACACGCTTCCAACGGGGAGACTTTGAGAGAGTTCATCTTGCCTACCATTGGCAACTTGGCTAATGACCCTATCCCCAATATTCGATTCAATGTGGCGAAATCTCTTGAACAAATTATTCCCCTGGCGCGGAAAGCAAATCTTTCCACTGCGGTTAATGATCAGATCAAGCCTGCGTTGGCGAAACTTGCAGAGGACAGTGACGTTGATGTGAGGTATTTTGCCCAACGTGCGACGACAGCTGCGTGGTAAGGTCTAATAGCGAGCGGGACACGCAGCGTAAAAACATTAATGATTCTTTATTTCAGAGCGAATGACGATATCTCTCTAGTTGTATGGAGAGTCGTGATGTGTTAAGTCTATGGACAACCAATGAACGAAGTTCATCTGTACAGAATAAAAAATGAAAATCTACTAGTTCTGCCTAATCTATCTAAAATCGGTTCCCCTTTATCTACATTGAAGAGTGCCTTATCACCAGATGGGAATCTTCTCCGCAAAAACATACACCAGATCGTCCTCTCGAACTCGCAACGATGGCCTGGGATTCACAACCACATATTTTACCAGGTTGTTGCGCTCCACCGTCCTCCTGTACAATCCCAATGCCAACGTTCGATGATTTCGGAGCAGAGACCTGAACAAGGCACCGTAGCTCACACCCGTGAAGCGGCCATCGCTTGGGAGCGATATCTGAAACAGATTGCCGTGGACTTGTGATTTGTCATCGGGATCGTTTTCTGGATGTGAGGGTTGAGGCGCCCTAACATGGGCAAGGTAATTGAACCACGATGGTGCGCTATCGGAACGAAACAAGGTGGTAGGGTGGGCTTCCGCAGTGGTAGTATGTTGTGGTGGTGTATGGGTTCCGTTGAAGATGAAATGCTTATTGACAAGTTAGCGATTACAATTTTGATCAAAAGGCCCACAAGTAACTGGGTAAAGTATGCACGCCTTACCTTGAGAACATGGAGAAGATGGGGGTTATAATATGTCTGGCACAATAGAGAGGAAAACATGGCGTTGAAGAAAACGTGGCCGGCTACAAAGCACGGCATCAGGTTGTGCCCTAATTTGCAGGTCAGTCAGAATGTTCCGTCAGTTCTCTTCAAAATCAGATAGGAAACCGTACCATGTACACCATCGTTATAATATTTCTCCCCATGACCGATGAACTTGGCATTTTCTGCATGGATGAATTCTACCATTGTGAAAATGTGCCTTTCATCTACGACCGATGTCATTGCCTGCACATTCAAAACGGACAAGAGGGCTTGGGCATCAGCCGCACGGTCTGCCACACTAATATATGGTTTAGTACACTAGCCAAGCAAACTGTTAAAACTATCATGAACACGTACTTTGGTTGTTGAGGATTAGCCATGATGACGGCCCGCCAAGCTTTCTCCACTTTAGCCCTCTGCAAATCCTTTCTTAGCAGCGGTGTGCCAACAATATAATAGACCTCCGTGAAAGCAGCCAATTTTATCCATTGATCGGCAGCAGGCTCCTCGGCGCAGAGGATCACAATAGGCCGTAGATCCTTGTGACGGAAAGGGGCGATGAAAAATGCCAGATTTTGAGGGAAAGTAGGACTCAAACTGCATATTAGCACATGATCCACGACACTATCCGGGACCGAGACTGTGGTGGGTTCTGTCGGCGCAACATCGGATTCCTTAAATTTTCCGCGTGGTAGCGCACTGCTTAGAATTGACGCGGCCGATGGCGGTTCTTGTTCAACGCTAGCAGTCGGTCGGGCCTTTTGCCCGAAACTGATCAAATCATCCTTCGCAGACGCCGATAAAGACCCTGACGAGAAAGATTTGACTGGCGGAGATCGTGATGGGTTTTCAGTTCGATCATCGTAAAATGATGCTCCTTGTTCCTGATCGCCATCCATTTGTGATATTCCCATATCCACAGTCGCTTCCTTGCTCCAGCTTGTACCAACACCATTCCACAAAGATCCTACCGGTGTATCGGGTACGTCGTTTAGCACCACACCTTGAGTAGCAATGGTTTCGGCGACTGCACTTTGAGTGGTAATGATGTACGCAGTTTCTCCGCCCTTGATGATATAGTCTTGGGGATTCATCACAATCCACGGTTCAGAGTCATCTGTCTTAAACCCGACAGCAAACAAGACAGCAAAGTGGACCATATAGACTCTTTCAGCAACCTCAGGGAAGCTCATTCCAGCGAAGGCTGAAGAAAGAGTCACCGCGTAAATCTCCATTTCTGCCCCATCCGCAAACTCATCGACCCAGGCAGCCAACCGCTTCTTGCTTTTCAGCGCTTTCTTCACGGCGTCTGGGATGGATGTGGTAAGGAGGTAGAGGAGTGTGGAGAATCCCGGTGCCAAACAACTCTGTGCTAGCATTCCAAGTTTGAACTCATCAATGCACAGTATGTGATCCGCTGAAGATTGAATTTAGCTATGCTGAAGGTTATGAAGACAGGAAAGATCTCACGCACCTAAAATCTGAAAGTGGGTTTTGTTACCGGGCAATATGACTTGCGCAAAAATGTTGGCCTTTTTATGGAATTTTTTGATGGCCTGCACGCTAATGTGAGCACCTTGTTTTCACCAACAAACAGTGTTCATCGCGACTTACAAGGGCGGTCATTACTGTCTCGGCATCGTCCTCAACGGCGGGCTTATCCGACAACCGTGAAGCAAGTACAAAGCATGCTTTCGCAGTGGAAGCCTGTGCCTTTTCTAAAGACCTGAAAGACATCGGACTCCCTTTTACATACCGAACCCTACTCAAGTAGAGGGGATCGGCCTAAGGACAATGCATCGGTCAATAACAGCCGGCAATCATTGCACCATTATTGAACTCACGAGTAAGGCCTCCAATTCTTCGCTGGGTTCGTAGGGATTTAAAAGCACAACCTGCGTCGTCATCGTGGCTGCTCCATGATCCTAGATTCCAACTGGTGAGAACCCTCACGCAATTTGAAAAGTGCTTACAACAAGGATATGCCAACCTCGCAAAAGAATTCCCACAGGAAGTCGCGTAATGATGTGATCTCAAAATTACCCGCAATTAGGACATGTGAGCGGTTGGTGGACTTGTATGAACGGTCGTATTTCGATTTATTACGAATCAATGCTAGAAGGTCGGCAAGATTTGTGGGAATAAATATCGCCCCCACTATCATCACGTACTATAATGCGTTTCGTAAGTGCTTATTGCAAGCAAACACAGGCATTCGTCAAACTTACCATGATGACAATGCGACTAAATGGATTGTCTGGTATGATCTGAGTGCTCAACCCGGACGTTGAAGAGACTATACAACGTATTAATAAGAGGACCGACACACGTGAATGGTCGAAAGCCCATGGCTTTGAAATTCTTACCAGCGATTGTATAAAACACATCAAAAAAACTAAGATCATAATATTTCTGGAAATCCAGATGATATGATCGTTTAAGTTTCAGTACGGTATTCACATCCAATGCAAACTAACAGATTCCTGACCTGAATTATGTACAAACAAATATGAACCCAAGCAGTCACAGTGATTAAAGTATTGAAAATGGAGAGACCCAATCTCACGGCTTTCTGCGTGATCGGGGAGAAATTGAAGGCGACGTTTTTGCTATGGACGAAGCTATATCACTCTGAGAAGGTCCGTTATCACGGGACAGCACAGACTTACCTTGGCGTAAAGACCATCATAATGGATAAATGCATTCGCCAGAATCGTAAGGGGTAGAGGAACGCAAGAACCTGACTTGCATCAAGGTAATCTGACTTCGCGTCGTCCTTTTGAACGAACGCCCATATAACCGGCAACGTCGCCAAAAAGGACACCAGAGAGAACCATGAGACCAAGTCTGCCATTGGATCCAAAGATAAATAAACCCTCGGTAGCCATTGGGTCAGTATCGCACAAGCAAGCACCAAGTCTGCAACAAAGAGACCATCGGGCGGGGGTGCTGGTCGCTGTGGAGGAAGATTTGGGTTACCTCGCTTTGGAGCAATGATATAGGTTGTCATGTACACAAAGAGCAGAACGAATGCAACATTCAACGCGGCATCGAGAACATGCCACCTATCGGATACAAAATTTGAGAAGCTGCCAGAAGACGTTAGAGGTTTTGCAGCTTTACTAACCATCGGCCCAGGGTTGTATAGTCCAGATAGTATGCCCAGCGCTCCCGCGCCGAAGGCTGTCTGATTTTCTCCCCTACATTTCCTGTAATTCCCGTATCCAAGTAATGACAGTCATTGTCTTCATCTTCAGAGCTACTGTCACCCCTCTTGCGCGAGACGGGCCCGTCGTCGAAATTACGTCCAGGTCGTGCTCTTGCTGTGGGTTTTTTTAGCCATTTCTTCCCGGATGGTGACCAGACCGGATGAACTCCTTTGGTCTTGGGAGCAGGAGGCCGAGAAGACACACCTGCCGATGCGAGCAGTGGTTGACGTTCTGCCATGTCTTGCTGTAGGCGTCGTCAACGTGAAGAAGGGCAAGCAGGTATCTTTTTCAAGCCGATGGGTTAGGTAAACCAAAGATCGCTTATAGCCACGTGATTTGCGGTCAGGACGCCGTGCGTTTCAAGGATCATGTCCCTTATGCATGCCGTGAGGGAAGAAGGGTTACGACTTTTCGACTTTCTGGCGCGGATAAGGTGGCAAGACTTGCATGATAGTCTGGATGGCCGCGGCGACGATGTGCCAGACCCTGATCCGAAGGGCGATGAGGAGGGAGGTGAGGATGACGAGAGCGACGACGACCGGAGTGGGTCGTCCAGGCGCCGGAAGCGCCGGCACAAGAGGTCTCGGCTTCAGCGTGCTGGAGCGAAGGATCCGGTCGTCGATAGCACCGCCAAGGTTCAAGGTTGGCTTGCTCATGTAATCCAACCGGAAGGCCCAGGCGCTGCTCCTGGAGCGGAGGATCTTCCTCCCTTCGCGTCGTGATCGTTGGGGCCACCCGACTTTCCGTCCTCCAGGTAAGTATCGAGGTAAGTATGGTCTCTCCTTCCCGAAGAGGACGTGGTAGAAACTACACAGCGCAGTGGCCTAGCGGCTGGGCGAATCTGTGGGGCCACGCTGAGGGAAGCCGATAAGTCGCGCGATACGGTAGCAAGTTCACAGCGCAGTGGCCTAGCGGCTGGGCGAATCTGTGGCGCCGTACACCCGGTGTTATTCCCGAAGGACGTGGTAGAAACTACACAGCGCGGTGGCCTAGCGGCTGGGCGAATCTGTGGCGCCATGCATTGTACTTTTGGAAGCAGGCGACTCTCGGGAGCACTTTGGCCGTTGAGAGTTTTCTTTCAACGGTGGAGGTGTAATGCAGCTGTACCCGTCCCAAGCCGGGGGCTCGTTTCTCCATGAAATGGGAATGCAGAGGGCATCTTCAAGTGTGGTCTAACATGTTGGGTCTAAATGTGTATTATCGGAACCGAAACGCGAGACTTCCAAGCTTTTGCGTTTTCAATACATTTGGACTTGTTGCAGACGGTGCTTGTTATTCAAATGCCTTTTGTTTTAACGCCCTCTTCCAGACGCCTCGCAACGACCAAGAAATAGCAATTAAATGTGCTGAGGAATTGTCACAAATTTATATTGTCGAGTAGTTACATCACGTCCATCTAAATAGGGGCACTATGCAAACTCCTCGGTCGTTGGAACGGGAGTTATTTTCCATATCCTTTTGGCATAATCTTGAATGGATCTGCGCGATGTGTAACGTCAAAGAGACATCCAACGCGGTTCAAACGGTCAATTGCTAAATACCTATCAGAACTGAATTTCCCCATGCTTGCAGCAGCTGTGATGCACTTCTTGGCCCATGCAGACTTGTTCTTAAAAGCTGCATCGACGCGTTCCATCGCCTCCAAGTCTGTGTACGACCAATTAATACCCAATGATACTTGAAGTTACGCTTTAAAATCAATTCAATCTTACATGGTGTAAAGTCCTTGCTTAACAAATAGTAATCGGAGCGAAGGGTGCCTAAGATCACATTCGAATCGATAAGAGCTTCCTCCGCGGCCTTGTTACTAAAGTGCGAGCCTTACCGAGAAGAGGCTCAAATATGACCGAGTCCCCGTAGCGACCCGATTGAATGCTTTTGATGACACCTTGAAGCTTGGCATCCATTGCGACGTTGTGATACATTTGGTGATGCCGGATGTCCTCCACCTCAGCTGTCAGAGCGCCAAAGAAAAAAATGTTGTCCTTGCCAACTTCTTCGCCGATCTCAATGTTGGCTGAACAGGAGGAAAAGTCAGTATGCAATGGAGCCCCATAGCAATTCAATCATCAAATGTGCACCTCCATCAACCGTTCCCAGGATCAATCCTCCGTTTAGTACAAATTTCCTGCATGTTGGGAATTAGTCCGACTCGAAAACACAAGATGAAAGGAGTCCAGATTGCCCCGCGTTCCTTACATGTTAGATGTGCCCGAAGCTTCAGTTCCAGCTGTTGAGATATGCTGGGAAAGATCACTTGCCGGAATTAAGATCTCGGCAACAGAGACATTGTAGTTGGGGATAAAAATAAGCTTGAGGTATTCAGATGTCTGTGGGTCCGCATTCACAACATTCGCCACGCTGGTGATCAGCTTGATAATGAGCTTTGCAGTGTAGTAACCTGCGCTAACGAGTGAATGGGCAACTCTTTTGACAAATTACCATATCAGCGGAAATAACAATACTGACCTGGCGCAGCCTTGCCCGCAAAGATCACTTTTTGGAAGGACATGTGAGCGATGCTTCCATTGCCAAGCTACAGGCCATATCACATACCGACTCGCGGAACGACTTTTTCCAATTCCGCCTTGCTCATACTCTTCAGTTTCTCATACCGATGAATGACGCCAAAGATATTCATGTGCTGACGCTTATATTCGTGCAAACGCTTGCATTGCACGTCGAAAAGCGCATCAGGTGAGAGTGTCACACCGGTAACATCCTTGACATACTCTGCCAATCTGATTTTGTTCTTGTACTTGATGTCCATGAACCTGTTCTGAAAGCCCACGTCATCGGCAAATGCTTTGATTTTGTCCAATTGAGACAAATCCTTTAACCAAGCAGTTCCCCCCAACTTCTCGGAAATGAGGGTACTCAACCCAGGGTTTGCTTGGTGCAGCCACCTTCTCGGGGTAACACCATTGGTCACGTTGACAAATTTCTCTTTACCAAAGAACTCAACGAAGTCAGCGAATATTGTTGTCTTCACAAGTTCAGAATGAAGCTCAGCAACACCGTTAACGTGATGGCTTCCGATCGCTGCAAGGTGCGCCATCCTCACATACTGAGGGTGTCCTTCTTCAATGACAGACATGCGCCGCAGCCTGTCTCTGTCACCCGGGAACAACTTTTCCACACGTTGTAGGAAGTAGAGGTTGAGCTCAAAAATAATCATCATGTGACGAGGAAGTAAGTCTGAGATCAAGGGAACTGCCCATTTCTCCAGAGCTTCGGGCAAAACTGTGTGGTTGGTGTACGAATATGTGTGCGTCACTATATCCCATGCCTCGTCCCACGTAAGTCCCTCCTCGTCAATCAAAATTCGCTGCAGCTCGACAATGGAGAGGGTAGGATGCGTATCGTTCAATTGAATGGACACCTGCTGGGGGAATTCTGACCAAGGTCGGGATGTCTTCTTGAAACGCCGAATGATATCTTGCAACGTTGCGGAAACAAAGAAGTACTGCTGCTTGAGACGCAGGACTTTGCCGACCATATGGTTATCGTTCGGATACAAGACACTTGTAATGTTTTCGGCTGCCTTCTGCTCCTCCACACTCTTATCATAGTTGCCCTCGTTGAAGCTGACGTAGGGACGCGTTCAGTGTTTGCAACAAAGCTACAAGACTTACATGGCAGAAACATGAATGGGCTAACTGAGGATGGCTCACCTTGCAAAGTCAAACTCCTTCTTCGGCTTACTTGACCAGAGGCGGATGTTGATGCAATTCTTGGTTTGGAACCCAGGAATAGGATAATCATTTGCGACCGCGACAACCTTTTCGCCTCCCTCCCATCGATACCGTGTTTGTCCACTAACGTCTACATATTTTTCAACGTACCCGCGGAAGCGAACATCATACGAGACATCCAGACGTTGAATTTCCCACGGGTTTCCAAACGTGAGCCAGTAATCAGGGTACTCTGTTTGGTACCCATCCACCAGCTGCATTCATGCAATATGATCACTGTTAGTATCCAAGGAGTAAAAAGCATCTGAAATTCTCTCCACCTTCTGTTGAAAGATTCCGTATTCATATCTGATCCCGTATCCCCTGGAAATCGTCAATGAGCAAGAGACACACATTCGCTTTTAAATAAAACCGCAGTGCACACCATGCAGGATAATCCAGAGTGGCCAAAGAGTCCATAAAACAAGCGGCCAATCGCCCCAAGCCCCCATTGCCCAATGCTGCATCAACCTCTTCATCGACAAGATCCTCAATTGTGAATCCAATACCACCAATTGCGCGTTTATAGTGGTCCTTCAAATTCAAGTTCAACAAGGCATTATCAAGTGTTCGTCCGATCAGAAACTCGAGCGACATGTAATAGACGCGCTATTCATGGATGAGTTTGGTCCATGGGTAGTGGAGAGAGGGAACATCACAACAACAAACCTTCGGATCTTTCACACTATGGCAATGCTGTGTCGCATTCCATCTGTCAATTAAATGGTCACGCACACTGCGGAAGGACAATAATCAACATATATCTAAGAGGCGCCACCATTAAAATTATGCTGAGCAACATAGGCCTACCTGTGAGCGGTCGCTTGATATGCAGCAAATTGATCCATATTATAAGAGCTGCGGGCCAGGGTCTTTGTAGCATGACGTATAAAAGACTTCTGGATAGTTGCCTCATCGGTGCTCTCTTCTTTGCTAAACTCGTTCCAAATCTGCTCAGCCGCAGCCGGTGGAGCCCATGCGGGAGAATGACTCGGTCCAGTATGGCTTCTGCTTCTACTCATGATGAGATATGAGCACGTTCGGGTAGTTACAAAAGTTTGTTGATGAAAAAGATGCCCTGGAAAGACGGCTGGCTGCTGTGGCAGCTTCTATCGGGATGCATCACGTGATCATTGTCGCGTAATCAGTAACCGCGGGCTGCGCACCCAGAGATCATGATGATGATAAACAAAATGCAACGATTCTATCTAGCGCTTCGGTGGTTCTATTGTGACGCAAAATCTATGGGCCTCAAAGTCGAATGCCTTGCTACCATCCTCGTTAAAGTGAAACTTGTCGAAGCAATCGTCACACCACAAACACGGATCGCGATCGGCCCGCATGTCTTCAGTCGTCGCCCATCTAAAATAACGTTGGCATCTCTCCTACACGACATTAAACTTTTTCAAGCGAGACATACTCAGCTTTGTGGGAACCACAAATGTTACACAATTGATGAAACTGCAAAAGACGACTAGATGCAATCGTTTTCGGATATGCATGCAGTCGGCGATCGTCTTGCTCCGTGATCAATCTGGGAACGCGCTCTGAGATTCTTCCCAGATCTAGCGGTCTGAGCACTCTTCGTACTAACCTGACTTCCTTAAACACCATAATATGTTCGCAATTGCCTTGATGGACAAATAGGTAGGGTGTGTTCAACCTCAGTGTAAGGTCAATGAAGCGCCGTTCAGACATCACATCCGTCAAGTAAGGCCCAATTGACGGATGCCGGCCCTCCTCTTCCGCCCATTCAATGATTGGCCTATGTTGATTATGGTCAGTTACACGGAGCTGTTGCCACCCTTTGAAATTAGCCTGCACCTGCTATAATCGGCAGCCGACGGGTTGCGGGTGTCGATATAGAACACATTCTCAATGAAAAAGTAAGATGCCGATTGTTTCACTTGCAGATTGTCAATAGGAGGATCCCAATTGTCTAGTTGTAGGAAGTCCGTAGGGCAGTAGAATGTATTCCGTAATGCTGTCAGAGGTTGCGACCCGAGAACTTGTATTTCTGCCAATGCTTGATGTCTTCCTCTGCGCGGATGGCAGAAAACTACAGATATCACAATTTCATCTAATGCTATTTTCGTGGACTCTTCTTCTGGGTCGACCGGCTAATGCAATAAAACAGGCATATCAGATATACCATCTGCATCGTTGAGAAAATTGAAAACTAGTAAATTACATCGTCCGCCATTAGCTGCTCTAAAAATCCCAATCCATTTTGACTGGCATATTCATCAAATTCTTGGAATGCTGACGGTGTCTGCGCGAAATCTTCCGACTCGTCCGTGTCAACATCCTCCTGTCCATGGGAATCCAAAGGCGAAAGAGGAAATTCGAAAACTGGAGAGGGTCTCTCTTGAACACCAGCCCGATTATCGCCGTGAGCTTCCAGTTGTGTAGCCCTGCTCTTCAGCGCATCGTCGCGAAACTGAGTGATCTTAATCGCTTTTGAGGGTGTACCATACGCTTTCTTCTTCCACTCCAGCGAGGGTCCATCCATAGCCTATATAAACAAGCTCAGGAGAAACACCAGGCGAGGCGGTTCCTGTCTCTGAATCAGCCAGGCATCCCCATAGCAAGTGTAATTGGTGGTAATTTGGGGGTTGTTGCAGAGGGACTGTGCATGATGGCACGTGAGCTTGAGCACATCTGCTGTCAAGTGCACTGACGAAGTGTTCAACCTTGTCTTTCAACACATCGTGCATGGCATCTAGTAATGAACAATCGAAACTAATCTCACCCGCGAATGCTCTGGACGCGGCATTGAACCTAGTGGGTCTGAAAACGTCGGCCGGCAAGGACCACGAGACATTCGCATCGGATGCAACATTATGCGGTTATGATCTACCGACACTTCTGGAGAAGCTTGAAAGGGCACTAGCGGCAAATCGCGAGTCGCAAGCAAGTCTTCGAAATCAACTGCGACAGATAAAAGACGCCCAGGAAAGGAAAAGTGACCTTCTGGTAGTGGCGCTATCTTCGCCGATTTGGGGATCTACTTCTAAATTGTGTTGCCATCAGGAGCGCTTGGATAGGCCAGCGCCAGCGAAGCGAAGTGCTGCCAAGCGTGATGATATTCGAAAGAGAAGACAGAAGTATTCTACTATTTTTGTGGATCCCAACGATGGCTCGGTATGTTCCTTGTAAGGCATGTCCTTGTGGCAGTATTTTTTTAGTTCGTACATCTGATAGAGATTTGAAACAGACTCCCGATGATAACATGGATACAGAAAAAGAGAGGAACATGTTTGGAAATCTAAAAAGAGTTGATATCCTCTACAAAGTTCCTACATGTAAGACAGTGTTCGGTCTAGTTTATGTTGTGTTCTGGAAGTCAATCATGGATATGCGCGCGTAGGGTCTGGTGCAGAGAAACGGCTGTTGGAAGATTCTGTCGTGCGGCAGAATAAGATGAAATAGTATGTTGAATCTAATGCCGCAGGAGTGCAACCGACAATGCTCATATTACGAACAGCTTCAACCGACAAACAGGTAGAGTTGAGGTGGACCAAAAACGGCTCTCTGAAGAGATGGAAGATTTGGACTGGGAGATTATTGCTGGCTATGTATGATTTTGATGTTAACCGAAGCTACGCGGCTACTTACGACCGAGATGGAATAGGTTGGAACGCGTACGGCGAAAGACTGTCTGCGACAATGGACTGTCAATCAGCATCCTCTTATTGCCAAGAACAGGGTCTTCACTGAGGACGAGTTGGAGAAATTAGACCGAGCTGTTGCCAAATACAAAGGGCGGAACTGGGACGAGATCGCGGCCGAGGTTGGGGTATGTGCGGGGGACGGGCGAACCCTCATTTCCGGGCACACGCTTATTTGACACGTGCTAGAATGGAAGAGTAGCGATACAGTGTCTACGAGCATATCAGACCAGACTGAAACCACACCGTGGAGGGTATGCAAGCACTTATCCCCGTTCTGCTGGTGCACAAATTGGCGTCTTACGGCTTTTTCAGGGCATGGACAGACGAAGAAGATGCACAACTGCGGACGATTGTAGCAGAATTGAGAGTGCGTCCGTCAGATCACGGCTGCTGGACTCGTGTTGCTTCACGTATGGTGGGTCGCACTCGAAAGCAGTGCCGTCAACGATGGGAAAAGATTAGTGCGGCGAGAGTTGTCGGACCGTGGACCCAGGAAGAGGATGAGGTTAGGAGGCGCTGTACGATAGGCAACCCATGCGGTTTTCAGTAAAATCTCATGATACTATCGTATAAGCAATTGCTCAGGGCAGTGGCAACTCATAGTGGTAACGGACGAGGAAAATGGACAAAAGTGGCTGCCGAGGTTCCTACTCGAGAACCTACACAATGTCGTGAACGATATGAGCGGTGCTTAAAGCCTGATGTCAAACGTGGTCCATGGACTACTGAGGTACCACATAATTTAAATTGTTATGCTGAATGAGCATTTTGCTGAAGTCTGCGTCAGGAGTATGAACGTCTGAGGGTGCTAGCTATGGCGACTCTGGATCGAAGGAACTGGGCGCAGATGGCAGCCGCCCTTGGTCGTGCTGACAGTGAAGTAGGTCTTGAGTATCCAAGTAGTTGTTTGAACACTTGGCCGACAAATCATCCTGTAGGTGAAAAGTCGATATCGGATTCTGGAGAAGAAAGGGTATTTTAATGAACCGCCTGGAGAGGAGGCTCTCAAGTACCTGAAACTGGCTGAGAGTAAGGCAGCTGTCAAACGTGAGAGAGATGAGCTTGAGCAAGAGGTTCTGGCCAAACAGCGCCGTCTTGCGCCAAGTTCTGCAGTTATGGCGACCGACACCGACCAATTGCAACAGTGACGGGGTCATCATCTACGTGACATATCAACAGTTTCGCCGTGGTGCTACTCGTTGTCCGGAATGTATATAAGTAAGGGTCTAAATATGCTGTGGAGGCAGACTGTACGTTATGAACATGTTACTTGGGGATTTTCATATAGCATAGTGCTAGTGTATGTATATAACTGTCTATATATTTTTTACAATGGTATCGGAAAGAGTGAATTCTTCCATACTTTGAGGATACGAAGACGAAAGTTAACCGTTACACTCATGTTCATTGCGCCAATATTGTGACATAATCTATACATAGATTGAGATTGCAATGCTGCATGTGACTACAAAGAGAATGTTCAACTTACCCTCAAACCAGATTTTCCCGTCTGTAGGATCTGTGCATGCCTGGTGGCGATGTCGGATCATCAGATGGAGGCTTCTTACAGTATCACGGAGGACGTACCATAAGCATTTCGTCCATCTCTTCAGCAGTGAACGGCTCCCCTTCTGTCGTCATAAATTGACGTAACTCATCCGGGGTAAGATAGCCCTTACTGTCGGTATCCAATGCCTAGGCGATGCAAACGCCTTAGTCGTTACGTCTACTGTTAGGCATAAAGCGATCGCACACTACCAAAAATGCCCGGTACAGTTTCTTTTCAACAGGTGAGGATAGCATAAACCCTTAGGAACATTGTTTGCTAGAATGCAAAATTATTCTAGACCCACCTCCTCATCATCACGCAGCAAGTTGCTCGTCAACAATCGCAATGCAACTTTGGATAATTTATCAAACGTCACGTAACCAGCCCGTTCTTCTCCTTCCATCTTTCATAAACATTAGATCATAGCAATCTCACACAATCTTAAAAAGATCCACCATGTACCTCTGCTATCCACCCTCGAAGTTGCTCTTCGGATGGGTAGATGCCCAGAGATCGGATGATGGTGCCAACTTCCCTTGCTATTTCGTTGAAACATGAGGTGGTTAGTATATTGAAGTCAGAATCAGCAACCGTATAGCCAAAGAAGCATACAATCGCATGTTTGGTTCTCTGTCTGATCGAAGGTATCAAAAGCTAAAATCAAGTGTCAGGCAACCGTCTGTGTGGACCCCAGTGGTCGCAAATCGTGAATATTACCCTTTTTGATCCTTTTCAGCAAAGCTTGGCGAGTCTCATCTGGAATTACAGTTTCTGCTGTAGGTTTGAAGTCTGAATTACTCTTTGCGCTTTTGATCCTTTTAGGCATCTTGAACAAGGGTTAAACAACTACTCAGTACGGAGGTCGGGATTGTCGGGTAGCTAAGCAGTATTAGGTAAGCTCCCTTAAGATCAACCAGCAGCATCCTGACTTCGTTTTCGCTTCGTTTACTTTAAATACTCTAAATACATAATACTCTGGAAAGTACATCGACATGCTACCCTCTGTCATCACCAGTAGGGCTTCAATACCCAAAGTCGGTGCCAATTTAAAAACACCGGCCCCGCCCCCACAACCTACAGAAGAGCAGATCATGAAAGGTCAGCCCTATCTCATTCCTTCTCAAATCTTCTCAAATACTTGTTATTCCAACATTACAATTATTAGGCGGTCATGCGCTACGGAAGTTGAAGAGCTACTGCGAAGAATTGTACAATATCAATGACGGTATGTGCAACTAAATCTCATTAGGGTGCTGTAGCTGACTGTGGTGGCATCAAAGATTATCGAGAAGAACTTTCCAACGCAAACGTCCTCATCCAGAAACTCATCTCACAAAAAAATAATCTGGAGGGTATGGTCCGGTGTAACGTCTCGTCCCGACAGCCGTAGTAACTCAGGTCGTCTGAAGGCGAGCTGCAGGAAAAAAATGACCGAATCGCGTTTCTTCGACAACGAGAACAGAAGGGCTTTCACGTCACTCGAACGCAGTAAGTTGAGGACAAACTTGAAGGTTTTCCGATGGCATCAGCTGATTCACTTCAAGTCTCTACCATTAAGGGAGGAAACAGAACGACTGTTACACGAAGAGATACGGAAACGACTTAAAGCGGAGGACGAGTGTTCAGAGCTCACTGCCAAAATCGAGCAAATGAAGGCAGATCATGAAACATATAGGCGGTGAGTACCGCTCAATTCCACTCCGAAACGCCATCGTTAACAGAGTTGAATTATCCAGCGGAATAGAAGCAGAAGCGCTTCAAAAAGATACACAGAAAATTGTAATAGAAGAACAGAAGAAGAAAATTGCAGAATTAGAGCTTTTCATCAAGTATATTCACATTCCCATAAGTGCAATGCGCCAGTTCTGATGCTGACTGTCACATATTAGAAACCTTGAGTTTGACTTGGACGAGCAGCGAGTGCTAACCATCAAGTTTCAACGAACGACTGGGGAGCTGGAGATGGCAATAGCGTAAGCTTTACAACATTGTTGCTTTTATCGTTCATAAGACTGAAGTCTACCCATATAGGGATCTCAATCGTAAACATGATGACTTGACTATCTCCGAGTCTACATTCCGGGATGAAAACTCGCAGCTGCAAAAGCGCGTAAGGTTGGTGGTAGTAGTTGCACATTACACCTGAATGTCTGTTAGCTACATGTCGCTTCAATTCGCCTTCAGGGATCTCATGGATGCCAATAAAGAAGTAACGGCAAATTATCAAGCAGTCAAAAAGAATCAAGACCTCAAACGTAGCGAGTTTGAAGCTCTTGCTACCGAACTAGAGGAAGCCAAAAATGCATGCCAAATGGCAATTGTAAGTGTGTATGCGTTCATCAAAGAAAGATGCTCTCTATTAATTTGTATACCTTACATTACAGCGACAAAAAAAGCAGCTTCAAAATGAACTTAATCAGCTTGTTAAGCAACGAAATGAGCTTACAGAAAGAAATAAAGCCATGGAAAACCTACTGAGTCGGAAAGAAAAGGATATTTCGGATCTGCTAACGAAAGTTAACGATACAATCAACGATTACGAGCAAAAATTGGAAAAGAAAGAGGAGCAAATGTGGGCTATGAGCTTGCAGATGACAGAGGCTGTTGGGAGGACCCGTGAGTAGCTATCGAGGTCACAGCACATACTCATCGGTTGACTAAATTCATTCATCTGCAGAGGCTCCCGAACCGCCAAAGGACCAGAAAGGACGTACCCGCGTGGACATTGACCCAGATTTCATCGACAACATTGAAAAGAAATGGCAGAGCAGAGAGCGGAGTTTACAGGCGGAAGTTGACCGACTGGGTGAGAGCATGGCGGTGAAGGAAAAGCAAATTGAGAGTACGTGCCTGTTCCTTCTACAGCAAAGGGAGTCGTCGCCATTCAATGAGATTCATTAGAATTGAATGCCACAATTACGGAACTCAACAAAAAGCAGTTCCAGCCAAGAATGGAGCGATTGAGAGCTATTGAGAAAGACATCAAGAACAGAATGGAGGAGTACGCTCTAGCAGAAGAGCGAATGGAGGTAGGGCCATTCAACGGAAAATGGTGGCTAAACGTGCCTTCAGCTAATGAACGAATGTTCCAGACCGGGTTCCTCTGCCCGCGAGATGTACAGCTATTCAAGCATCCAATGACCTTGATACCATGCGGGGTAAAGTGAATAATAGCAACAGCGTCCTCCTCAATGCTAACACCGAAATACAGCACACCTATTGTAAACCCTGTATCGAGTCCATCAAAGAAGAAAATTATAATGTACTTGCATGTCAAGTTTGCTCCACCCCCGTTGAACATGTCTTCCGAAACGAACAGTTGGAGTCAGTCGAGGAGCAGTTTCAAAGGAGAAAAAACCTGACAATCTCGTTTTTGGAATGGTAGGACTGTTACGTGCACCTTTCTACTCGGCAGGTCTAACTAACTTGGGTCTCCCCCCCCCGTAGGATCAAGTTATTGAAGGTATACTTACCATCTGATACTGATAATCGGCCCTTATCGCAGTAAACAGCTTCATGTGTATAAAATTACTTGTTTAAAGTAGTACATTAATACATCTCATACATTAGCATATCAGCTGTTCAATACGCTGCAGTCCTTTTCACCACCATGTGATGTTGATGGAGTCCTATTCATCATAGTTATGATCGATGGGCTTGTAGCTGTAGCATATCCAACTTTGTTCCTGCAAGCTTGGAACGACATAACCAGATCAATCCTGGCATCGACGCAAAGGAAAAACTTTGCCCTTACCATATCAGTCAATACGGCGATCTTAAACTTTAGAAGTTGATTTTCAGCCTCTAAAATTCGGTTCTTTTCAGACAAATCATGTAAAGCTTGGCTGGCCCTCCCAGATCCCGCGTCGACTGGTCCATCTGGATGATATAAAAATGACATTGATGAGCATTTGCCATATCTCAAATGCAGCCTGGTAGGTCATACCTAGCATCCATTCATTTCCCTCATAGATCAAGTGTGCTTCGCCTAATTGTAAGTGGATTGGGTCGTCATCTTGGGGTGTGAAATATGCTGGCTTTTCCTTAATGGGTGACCGTCGAAAGCTACCATTGGCCAGGATCACCAGTTAGCGGTAGCAATGCGAAAGTACCGGCACCATAAACTTTGCACACTCACCCGTCTGAAAGCCTTCGTGTGTGCTTCTTAACATTCTCCCAGGTGGACATCTGTGTTTCTGGCTGACCTAGACAGAGCCGTAGGAGAAAGGTTGGCCCACTTTTGCCTCTACTGAGTCAGCACTTAGGTAACGCGTCGCGTCCGAGGAAAGTCTTCGATATTTGGCTGCTGCAGTAGGCAGGTTATGAGAATGTAAATATCTCGAATTGGAGTCGTTTTTACGTATGGACTTCACATTTTGGGTCTCCATCGACGACGCTACATGTGGGTCTGCCCCTTGGAATGCAGGACGATATCAGATTTTGTTGATTTTAAAACGTCCTATCGCGGAAGATCTGAAATACAGTAGGTATCATGATCATCCGTCAACGTCCATCGGCAGTTTCGTTGACAATTGCACTTTTCATGACGGTAAGCAACCCAAAGGAAAAAAAAACTTGGCTTTTATCGATTCCTGCTATGCTTTAAACCAATTGTTATCATGCTAATACTGGGTGGCACGAGACAGCGTTATTTGCTTAGTTATGATACAGTTACGGAGAGATAGCGGGAGCAGAAACTCCTGTCCATCCATAAAATGCACTGACGTTTTACTGGCCTCAGTTCATCTCTTGCACCAAGAAGCATAAATATGTTCGACTGGTTTGATCACTTCTCACTAAATATCCGCAACAGCAATAAGAATCACTTTTCCGTCCAAAAGATCAATTCAATGTACGCTGTTCCCTCGCTCTCATGTATGTTCCAGCTCCATCTCCACAATTTTAACAGTCCTCGTATCTTGTTGATGCTCGCCTGGAACACCATGAGTGGTCGCAATACATTTTCGAACCGGTTTCATAATTCAATCCATTAATGGAGCCTGAATTCCTGTTTGTTATTGCCCATAGCACGCTAGATCTTGTTCATGCAAAGAATGACCTCGGTCATTGACTCCCGAACAGCAATCCGGTGAGTATCGTGGGTCACCAGTCCCACTTTTCAGCTTGAGGTCTTACCCTCAGGCTCTAGAGTCAGCTCAACTCTCAACCGAGATGTCAAGGCGTACGGAAAACATTTCTTGACCGATGGTAACGATGAAACATGCTGGAATTCCGACCAAGGGACACCGCAGTACATTTCCATGGACTTTTCGCCGCGGAGTGTATTGGTCTCCGAACTGCGTATTATGTTCCAAGGCGGGTTTGCCGGAAAGGAATGCAAATTGGTTGGCGTGGCGGATCATAGGCGGCCAGAAGAAGAGCAGTGGGAAGACTTGCTAAATTTCTACCCAGAGGATAGCAACAGCTTGCAGGTATTTCCAATAAAGGAAGGTGCGAGTAAGCAGCCGTGGAGGAAATTGAGGGTTATCTTCTTGAACAGTACCGATTTTTATGGTAGGGTTACCATATATCGATTAGAAGTTGTAGGGGAGGCAAATGGCTGAACTGTAGGTGCCATGTGCTGGCCACTGTACCATACTGTAGATCAGAGGGTAGATTCCTCAAGAAGGATGACAAAGACAAGAGAATATTATATATATGCTGATATTTCATTACACTGGCTGTCCAAGCAATGTGATATAGAGCAGATTTTGATCACGTAAAATCCATTTCTTCGCCAAGAGACTTTTTCACTCGCAAAAGGAGAGTGGTCTTCCAACTGTCAAGTTTCGTCAGTCGATCCCAGTCCGCTACAACATCCGTGAAAGCTTGAACATCTTGCGCCTCAAGGGCCTCCACCAGGGCCTACAAAAAGCATAAATAGGAATATGAAGGCGGAGTTTTGAGAAACATCGCAATACCTTTAAGAAATTGCACTCTCGAGTTTGCGCAAATGTTACGTCAAGATTTTGGTATCGTTCCAGTGCTTGTCGAGCCCTGACAAAGTCCTAACACGAAAGCACTTAACTTGGCACGATATCCTGCGCGGACGAAATAGGCCATACTTGTGTGCACAAATAGCATAGTCCAGCCTTCAAAAAGTACTCTCTCAGCGAAAAACGCGTCAACTGGTTGTCCATGCTGTTGGTGGCTACTTGCTCGAATTTCTCGATAGCCTTGTCATATTGTTCAATCTGCGCGGCAAACGTGCCGACTTTTAGTAGACACCCATTTGCTTGACTGGATAGGTGGGCGTTAGTTATAAAACTGATTGACGCTAATCTTCCATATTTTGGCTAGACGTACGCATTTGAGTCCTCCCCATGGTACCACTCAGCGGCCATTTCGTACGCATGCATCGCCTTTTCGAAATCAGCTAGATCCGTTTCATATATCTCTGCTATTTGCTTTTGGTTGTTTGCAGCAGCTTGAAATCGGCCACGCTCCGTCAGAATCTCTACAGCCTGTTGAAGGGCATTTACAGCATCTTTGTACTTGAGGTTAGCAAAAGAGGCACTATAGAGGACTACAAAATATGCAAAATAACGCCACCTTGAGGGCTATTCTTTTTGAAGCACTTTGCTGCATTCATATAAGATGACGATGCTTCATCTCGTTCATTCATTCGATTCAGGACATTCGCTTGGGCTATGAAGGCGTCTCCAGCTTCCTTCCCTGGTTGCAACGTTGTAGAGGGTACGTTAGCAAGGCCCCGCGTTTACACAATGCTATACTAACAATCCTATCGATATGATACGTATGCAGCTCACTGAAGGTAATACCAGGACAGGCTTTACGCTGCAGAGCATACCAACACCCATTGTCCCGCTAACTTGTCCACCTCCTTGATATATTAGGAAAATGCCATCCCCCTTTCCAAAGGAATCGTTTCCAGACCCAGCCAAACTCTTTCCAAGCTTACATTTCTTTGCCAATTTGAAAGCATTAGCGGCTTTGCCGTACAAGTCAGCGGCATCATCTAACTTGTTGTTGCCGAACCATCCCTTATATGAAGCCTTCTTGTCAGCCTCGGTAATGAGCGTTCGGCCCTCGCGTTCAAAATTGGACATTCCCTAGCTATGTTGCGTCGAGTTATGAGTGCGATGGGAAGACGGATTGCCGTGGTGTTGTGTAAGTGGGTAGTCCTGAATCCAGGCGTAATATCATGGCTTAGCGCTTCTCACGTAATCATCATGCCAACCAGATTCGCACATGCGGCGTGCACTGACTCTCAACACTGACTTTTATAGCCCGCCCTCAAGGCGAATAAACGATACGAAACAATAGGAGATATATGGATGTGAGCAGTGACAAACACACATTGTATGCCTGTACATATTCGACACTGATTAATTTTGCTCGTCAGTGCAGCTATTGCAATATCAGTATCATGAAGGATGAATAGGGTTGGGAGAGCATTGGCAAAATATCTACTTGAATATGGGCATTCTCTTGCTGCGATTAACCACGGCTGAGTCCACCATAAAGCACACATCTGACATACACTCAGTTGGGATGTTCGATGCAAAGGATGACAGTTCACGTGACTCATTCTCACGAGCTTGATAATACTAGCCAGAATAGTAGCAGCCTTCCACGCCAAGAACGCTGCCACAAACAACCATCACACCTGAACCATCTCAACTACCAGCCTTTGCACGTCACTTACTTCCAACAACTTTGCGACAAAGGACACACTAGCCATGAACCGTATCTTTGGGACTGGCAAACCAAAGGCCCCAAAGCCAACCATCGGCGATGCCATCAACTCCGTACGTACTGCTGTCATTGAGCCGAAAGTGAACATGGGCTTCATGTGTAGCATTTGACCATTGAATACATTGACATTGCAGACAGATGCAAGGGCGGACTCGGTAGAAGTTAAGATAAAGAAACTGGACGCGGAGTTGATGAAGTACAAAGATCAAATGAAGAAAATGCGCGAAGGTCCAGCGAAAAACTCCGTAAAGCAGAAAGCAATGAGAATATTGAAGCAAAAGAAACTGTAAGTAGCAAGTGAGCTCGCGGGTATATGGTCCGATCAGGGGTTGTGCTGATCTGCTGGTGGCACTTGCATGCCTGGTCTTACGCTTAGCTTCCCTCTTGGGCAGTTACGAAGGTCAGCGAGATCAACTCATGCAACAGTCTTTCAATATGGAACAAGGTATGCACTACCTCGTGCTTCATTCACAGTACATCTCATGGAATTGTGTCAGGAAATATGGCATTGGATAATCTGAAAAATACCCTGGTGACTGTCGATGCTATGAAGTTGGCAAATAAGGAACTGCGAGGGCAGTACAAAAAGGTTAACCTTGACAAGATTGAAGTATGTATACGAACAGTGTACTGGAGCAAATGCACGCGTTATTCCTAATGACTCCCATTGTTATAGAAAATACAAGATGAGATGGAGGACCTGTTGGAACAGGCCAACGACATCCAAGAGACAATGGCTCGCTCGTATGGGCTGCCCGAGGGTATTGATGAGGATGATCTAGAAGCAGGTAAGAAGGCACGCCAGAAACTTGTTTGTTTTGATGTAGAGCTAATACATGGCAATATTAGAATTGGAAGCACTTGGAGATGAGCTCATCGAAGATGAAGCAGAACCTTCGTATCTGCAGGAGCCAACTTACGCTCCTGAAATGCCAAACGCATCAACCGAAGAACCGGCCCTGGTGAGTGGAGCACTGAAAGGTGATGGTGATTATCCAGGGCTAACAAGTTGTGTGACCCATCATTCAGAATGGTGTGGAAATGGACGAATATGGTAGGAATATTGACAGTATGATATCCATTTCTTTGGTAGCATAATACTTATCTGCGGCTATTTGATACAGGTCTTCCTCGTGCACCAGCGAAACTCAATGCGTGAATCACATATCTCTCCCCGCAGTCCAGTGATGTATTCTATATTTAGATCAGATTATGTAAGCATGAGTAATCATGGTCAGCACGTCGGAAATTAGCACTCTCTGAGATTTAGTGAATTGCGCAATGTTTGAATGTACAAGTTGATTTACAAATACGAAGGTTTTAAACAAAGAGTCTAGTTTTTCTCGAGTATTTCATTACGCGCTTGCCCGGTCCGCTGACTGCCAGCTTCAGGCATCAGTAATCGAGTAAAATGGTGAGCTTCAACGCGCTCATAGCCCATGCTGAAAGTCAAGCAAGTCGTTTCCCTTATCGTTGTAGACGTTTGGTTTCATCATGTAGTCAGCAAAAGCCCGAAAATCTGCTCCCGGATCTTCCGCCGGCTCTCGAAGCGGCACTGCCAAATCAAAGCGGGATGCAAAGTCGGCCAAAGGCAAGGGGACTGAGGAAGGAGGGGAGGGGGGAAAATCCAAGGGCGATCTCGAAGCCGACCTCAAGAAGCTGACGGATGAGCTCACTGCCGAGAGGGAAGAGAGGAATTACTTTCAGCTAGAGAGGGTAAGGCCTCGACGGTGATATCATGGCATCGTACAGTATAATTTATTACTTACCGGACAGGACAAAGTAATGTCATTCTGGGATATTACTAAAAATGAGCTGTCGCAAATCAAATCGGAGCTTCTTAACAAGGATCGGGAGCTGGAGGAGCTGGAGGAGAAACATCAAGTTGAAATTAAAGTGAGTAGTGCAAACCGGCACTTGGTGTCAAGTCAATAGTACGAAGCGCTGGATCTCAACAAGGATTTTTTGCTTATAGGTGTATAAACAAAAAGTGAAGCATCTACTATATGAATACCAAAACAACGTCGCCCATCTCCAAGCGGATTCCGAAAAAGCTCTGCAACTAGATCAAGAAGACCACCTCAATCGTGAACAACAGCTAAAACGAGATAAGCGCGCCCTCAAGCTAGAGTTAAAGGAATTTGAGCTTTCCCACGAAGATATCATAAAGAATCTAAAACAAAAGCATGACGAGGAGATCACAAAGATGAGAAACGACTTTGAACGACGGGCCAGGGAACTGCACGGCAAATATGAAAAGAAGATGAAGGTCGTTCGGGATGAGTTAGAGTTGAAACGGAAGAATGAGATCCATGAGATTGAAGAGCGAAAGAATGGACAGATTAATGCGCTAATGAAGAACCATGATAAAGCCTTCGGAGAGATCAAGAACTACTACAATGATATCACTTTGAACAATCTGGCGTTAATCAATTCGTTAAAGGTATGACACCAAATGATGCTAGATTCCTATCAAAGTACCGTCAAATAACAATTGGAAAAACAGGAACAAGTCGAGGACATGAAAAAGAAGGAAGAGCGCAATGAGAAACAAATGGCCGACATTGCATCCGAGAACAAGCGTCTCTCTGAACCTCTTCAAGCAGCCCTCTCCGAGTGCGAGAGTCTCAAACGTCAACTGCAGAACTATGAAAAAGACAAGCAATCCCTTCGCGACACCAAAGCACGCCTCAAGGTCTTAGAGGATCGGCACAAGGCGTTGTCTTGGGAACACGAAGTGCTCGAACAGCGATTCGAGCAAGTCCAAAAGGAGCGGGATGAGCTCTACGAAGGATTTGTCGATAGAATTGTGAGCGTACAACAAAAGACTGGATTCAAGAATTTGGTATTGGAAAAGAAAGTAGAGTCTTTGAAGGAAATGGTGGAGAAGCGGGATCTTCAGGTGAATGAAATCCTAAAAGCTACAAATCTCGAGCCGGGAGCAATGGCAGGCCTGACTAGGAGACTGGAGGAGGTCCTTGATGCCAAAAACAGGCAGATTAAAGAGCTCCAGTATGATCTGGCAAAGGTCACCAAGGTATGCTGGATGGCAGCAACCTATTCCCACTGGGCAGACCCTCTCTTAACCTTGTCATCTTTTTGCAGGCTCACAATGACATGATACGAACATATGAAGCCAAGCTCACAGAATTCTCAATACCAGTTGAGGAACTTGGGTTCAAACCTTTGATGATGTCCACAGGAGCGACATCGAATCCCGCTGGTCTAGTAGCGGCTCAATAATTGATGCTGGGTACTTTTTGGTCACTGTATCCTGCCTATCTGTTACTTTCTACCATCCCCAATAAATGTGACATACTCTTGGCTGTTGTGTGTGTGTGGTGTTGGATGCGAATTGCCAAATGGATTTGCAAATGACGACGACGAGAAACGACGCGCCCCCGCATTTGACGCTTTCCCATTCTTTGGGTGTGGCTTGATTTGTACTCATTAGGGGAATTTGCCGGAGCGACGAAATCTTTGACTTTTGAAATTCCATTATTTCGACGATTCAGCTTTGCATGTTCATGCACGCCTTCAACCCGCTGGAGGGAATAAAGCATTTAGGATCCCCACAAACCGCACCCCTGGAGCACGCAACCCAAAACGCCTCGCCTTTCTTTCTTCTTTCAGAGTGTCGCTATTTTTAGGACCTTGACGGTCGCAAAGTTATTCATAGCACATCGCCGTTGACATTACCGTTAGCCAACAGTCGACTGGGAAACTGCAAGAGTAGTGTGTTCAAAACCTGAGCTTGCTCGACTCACCCTCTTTTCTTACACCTACGCTTCTTTTGTTGTGAAGGAGAGCATGCCTCAACCGTACATTCGCATCCCGAGCGTAGAAGAGTCAACAGACACACCTCTCTCGCTGGCTATATCCGTCGAGAGTCCAACACCACCTACAGACCACCACTCTATAACGATCCAAACCCCGTTTATAAAGATATCGCCCACGAAAACACCCGCGAGCCCTTGTGACTATGATTACTTGTCAGACGAGGAAGGTTGCATGTCGCCTTTTGGCATACAACATGAACAGCCAAAATTTATCAAAATGGTGGGGGCACCAAAGCCGTCATCGTCCGGCGAGGAGCCGCTCGAACTAGATCCCCTCACCGGGGCTCCTATCAAACCAACGCCGTCTTCAGTCGTCAACGCGGTAGACCATGAAAATGTTCTCGTGGATGTGTTGGAAGCTCAGAATGAGGATCCATTTACTCTGGAGCCGTTTGACTCATTGATTCAAATGCATATGGAGAAGGACAAGGATTTTATTATAGCACGAGTGACAACTGTGGATCCCAACGATGAAACCAGGTTCTACTATAGTTACTATGCGGCACACCATATCAATAAGGTGTTATTCAGGACGCAGCCTGAAGAGGGATTGCTGCACAGAATGAAGGCGAAGAATGTAAGTTGCGTACTTTTGCGTCCCATCATCCGGGTTGCGGAGGTCTTACTGCCACTTTCATATAGCCGTTGAACAACATGACAATTGTTGGAGATGTGCATTATTTCGTAGTATCTGCAGCCGCTATGAGAGCTCAAAACAACGCCATAACTCCCGGAAGAAGTTCGTTTGATTCCATCCGCTCCGTCAACTCCATACGTTCCATATCTTCCATTCGCTCTGTAAACTCTATTCGAAGCATGATGTCAGTCTTCTCCACAGCTTCTGTCTCATCTACAGGGTCCGGAAGGCGGGAATTTGATCGTTTTCGACGACGACCTCCACGAGCAAAGAGTACATCTGTATCGGTTCATGAGAGCGACGGAGGAAAGGCAGGGTTGGGGAGGTTTCTGGGGATTGGACAGCATGGTGTCCGAAAGCGAACGCTCCATCTCATCATGCGACCTGATGCGTTTGAGAATGTGGTCGAAGAGGTCGTGCCGTTGACAGAAGAAGAAGGTGGCAAGGGCAAAGGCATTAACGGTAAAGGCGTCTTTGTACGAGGGAAGATACGGCCTCTGTCAGCGGAATCGGGTAGGAAGGTGAAGGAAGATCCACCTGAGGGGCGACGGAGCCGGAGGAATTCTATGGATGACGCATTTGCCGAAGGAGATGGCATCAAGATGGGCACACGGGTATCGTCCTCAAGACAGGAAGATGACCGGTCATCTGAAGGACGCTCATCATTGGACGGCGGTGCACACGCTGGAACAGCCAACTACCGTGTTGGTAGCACGACCCCAAAAATTCACAGAAGGGTGCGCTCGATCAGTTTTTCCAACGAGCATCATGGCGTGTTAAACTTGCAAGATTGGATAAAGATGCACTCTGAGGACGATAAAGTCTCGCCCTCGGGCCCTGTCAATGGAAGGGAGTCGAACAATGGTGCATCCAGTAATAAAACCGCTATTCAGCGCCTCCGATCAACAAATGGACATACCTCACATACAGCCCCTTCCTCAAGCCGACGACAACATTCCCCGCCACCGCGCCAGCAACGTCGGACGCGCACTCCCCTTTTGGAACAAGCCTTGTCCCCCACATCTCCCTCCATTCCCGAGCCCTTTTACTTTGTCGCAAAATTCTACGCAACCGACGACGATTTCTTAATGAAGGCAGCCGTCAGAGCATATTTCAAAGAGAATGCTCTGGATACATCTGATGCAGTTTTGTTCACAATTCCGTCCAGCAGAGACGAGAATGAAGTATTGGAAGGAACAGAAGACCATCCCGCCTTGATGGGTTTTGTGTATGCCGTGAGCGAAGAGGATGAGGAAGGAGGATGGCTTGGACGCAGTAGCGGAGGCTCAAGAGGGCTCAAATGGATATTGCTCTGTTACGTCGCCTTTGGGTTTTTGTTGATCAAGTTCGTTGGTAAGTGTTTGTTAGATCAGAAATTTGATGGTAAAACGGGTACTTGAACGCTGTCTTCTTCTAGTTCCGGACGCTTACGCATACATCATGGCCTTCCTTCTCATCTTCCTGCTCTGTCTGGTGATGATATTATGTTTGTGAGCAGACCTACTGTAGATAGACCTAGTCGTACTTCAGGGTAGTACGTGCATGAAATCTCTTGACGTGTCCTCCCCAAGTGGTTAGCATGGTAGGGATAGATGGCTTTGGATGCCAACATACTGTATTATATCATGCCTTTGAGCGGAAATCATGAGCCTCATGTATAGATAATAAGCATTTTTGTTTGCTAAATAGTAATCGCTTTCGTTTTGTGTATCCATTGCGTTGCCCGATCAATTTCCGTAGTATAATATATTATTCTAAAAAATATGTACACAAAAGGATTATGGTCTCGTGTATGTCGAGTGTGTAATGCCGGTGATTTCATGAACACATGTCCCACAACATGTTGGCATAGAAGTATCGCGAGAATTTGTCTTCAAACTCCAAAATCTGTATGTCATGTCGTGGATAACAACCTGAAAATACGTTATCAGCATCCGGTTGTCTTGTCGTCGTCAGGTCCAAGAGATTCAAAAGATACGTACGGACTTTACACTTGGTAAACTCGCCCGCATCACTTCGCTGCAGCTCAATACCCAATGACCGGAAGAGCTCCAGTTTCAATCTACGTCGACACGGAAGGGTACGATGGTTAGTTTCAGCTCTGAGGCATAAGGAGGCTCGTCGTTTGGATCATACCGTTGTTCGGTGGGCGGCATTTCTGCCTCAGTGCGCTCTTCTCTTTCCAAGACGACAAGCTCGTTCTGTAGCTGTGATAATTGACATTCGAGAGATGTACATAAATAATGGCGGGTTAAGGATCCCAACGAATGTAAACCAAATGCAAAGGCCGGCAGAACAGCAAAAGTGAAGGATATTCTATGGTCGCATCAATGTCTGCAATGTTGCGGGCAACAGTATACTTTTCTCTATCCAACGTAACCATACGATCTGCATGTTGATGCACTTCGAGCTCGCGTTTTGGACGCTCCGCGTTCTCTTTTGCTAGCTGAAGCTGCCGACTCAAGGCTTTTCAAAGTTCATAAAATGGTCAAACGGGCCTTCAAGATCCTTCTGGCTGGGAAGGCACGGTGGTCCCTACCTTTGAGAGTTGCTCGAGCGTCCTCGGCCACTTTCGTCCGTTCATCCTCCGTTTTCCGCATCATGTCGTCAATGCTACGAATCAGGGCGGCATCCTGCGAGGGGTTCATTCCTTCCATGAGGGTATATGCCAAGGCCCGCGGCTCATGAAAAGCCTGACTCATTTGCTGTGAATTTGCGGAAAGCATGGTGGTCACTTTGTTGGGTGGTGCTCGAGATCTGCCCGAAAGTTGGAGCGAACCTGAAGGACGCGTTATGGTAGACGTCCGGACTTTGTGACTGTGCCACTGACGTTACTCACTGCCTCTTGCCGCATTCGTTCGGTGGATGGTCGAAGATCGCGGCGGATGAGGCTTTCCCAATCAATTCCCGAAACGTTCTTGTCGTGCGCCGTCGGTATGGTTTCTCTATCCAGAGCGACGCGGTCTTTCGTCGTTTCCGTTCTTCTCGTACTCCCTCTCTTGACGCTGGTGGCAAGTTCTTCATCCATTTCGACGAGCCCTGTGGCCATCAGTCCAGACTTTGTCAACAACAATGTCGACCGCGTCTTGGATCTCTCAAATCCTTCCATCGTTCGCGAGCAAACGACTCTTGTGGTGCAGGGGGCAAAGAAGGGGGGATCAGATGACTACGTTTTTGCTATTCCATCGGATGTGGCCGACTTGAGTTTGGCCCTGTTAGAAGTGGCGGAGACAAAGGGAAAGAACGACATCGGAGAAAAGCTGCAACTCAGCAAAGACCAGTATGATGTGAAAAGGTTTGATATTAGAATGCGCCGTCAGTCAATGTCCCGCTCGTTGTTGATTGTGAGGCTAACGTCACCGTCGTCTCAGAGCTGCACAGTACTACAAAGTGAAATTGCCACGAAGTTTGAAGGAGGGGGATACAATTCAATTAGGTGTATGGGCGGCCTTCACACATTTGGTGCGACCATATCCAAAGGAAGTATCCCAGAAAGAGAAGCAATTCTTAGAGTTTCTCGGGAACGCATACTTTTGGAGTCCATATCACTCCAAACAGCAGAAAACCATCGTTAAGTGCGTGTTTGCAGGCATCTTGTGTCGCCAAGAGATATGGAATTCGGTTTTTTACTGAGATTGGCTATACAGATTGCCTAATGACGATGTGATAAGCTTTAAAGAGAAGCCAGAGCCAGTTTCCAAGGCGGGCAATGTGATTACGTACGGCCCATACGCCGATGTGGGACCCTTTTCACATGCGGAACTGTACGCTCACTACCAGGACCCCAAAGCTATCCTGGTTGCCAAAACATTTGAAAAGAGAATGGAAATCAGCCACGGGGGTGGCAATCTGGGAGTGCAAGAGGATTATGAATTACATCATGAAGGTGCCAAGTAAGTATACCGATACTTCGGACATGTTGATATGCGGGTTGATTATGAGCTCTTGGGATTCATTTGCATATCGCACGCAGATTGAAGGGACATTTCTCGCGCGTTGACTTCACCTTCAGTCAATGGACTCACCACCAAACCAACGTGGTGAAAGATTTGGTCATCACATTGCCGCCAGACGCAAAGCATGTTTTCTATCGCGACACCATTGGCAACGTATCGACATCACATTTTCGCAACGAACGGCAACGCTCTATTCTCCACATCAAACCCAGATATCCGCTTTATGGTGGTTGGAGATATACCTGGCACCATGGATATAATGTGCCCATAACGTCATTCTTAAAAAAAGACTCGAAGAGCGGTCAGTTTGTATTTCGTGCCCCATTTGTCGGAGGCTTGTCGAATGTTACTATTGAAAGGGCTGTCGTTAGCATAGTTCTGCCGGAAGGAGCGCAGTAAGTACGAAGAGCATCTGCAATCATCGCGCTGTACACAGCTAAGCTCTTTTTCAGGAACTACAAAGTACACACACCGTTTCCAATGGACCGGACGTCAGAGTACACAACTTTCACCTACCTGGACACAACTGGACGACCAATGATAGTACTTGAGAAGCACAACGTTGTGGACGAGCACGCCGCATCATTTGTTGTCGGTATTTTCGTTCGTTCTACATTGAACCAGCGGTTAACTTGAGGCATTTTAACAGATCACGTACGACTATGCTTCGTATCGCTATTTGCAAAAGCCCGTCGCCATCACAGGCGCAGTTCTTGGCCTTTTCTTCCTTGCAGCCGCATATAGTAGGCTCGATCTTTCCATTACAAAGGTATTTTGCGCTGAGAGGATCGAGCGCTAATTCAAGCCACTCATTCGCTCTCTCCCTGCAGGACCCCAAAGCTGAGCGGGATGCTCTCCTCCGGTTATACCGCCAAACTGTTCGCACAGTTGCCAATGGGGAACCCCGCCTCATCACCAAGATTACGTCGGTCTTCCAATCATTGAAAGCTGAAAAGCGACTGGCTGAATACAGCGAAGCGACCTCGGAGATTGAGGAAGAGGTGAAAGCGGGATGGCAACGTTTGACAACTATAGCGAAGCAGGCCGAAGGAGGCGATGTGAAGTTTGCCAGCGACATCCGTAAGCTCCATGATTTGCAACAGGACCGCCTACGTAAAGTTAGGGCAATGCATGCAGAAGTTGTGAACCTCGCAAAGGGGAGTGGTACAGTGGACGGACAGAAGAGAAAGGAGTTGACCGCGGCGCTGGGGAGATATGAGGAAGAGCTCGAGGAGCTGAATGAGCAAATTGAAGGACTGCTAGAGGAAAAGTTTGCTGATTAAGATTGTGCAATATGATTATGCTCCATCTCATCTTCTTTAAGGCTGGGGCTCGCTATTACAATGAAATTCTGCAAATCTGCGATCATCTCTCTGGAGTTGGTTGAAAAATTAATTACTCCCTCTAAGCGTATTTACAGCAAAATATATACAAAATCTCCAGGAGGGCACATTATCATATCTACGAACGGTAAGAACGATAATGATCATTCCGTGGTGAAGGGGAGCGCCTTCTTCTTTCGTTATCATCGTAACGACCGTATGACCGATCCCGGCTACTGCGGTGGTACCTATCACTCCCCCATGCTGGACTGCGTGATCTGCTCCTACTTTTTGCTCTTGTGTTTTCCCTGTCACGTCCCCGCGAATAATGTCTATCTTCCCGGTTTCTACGGACATGTGTATCGTCTTCATCATCGGAACTCTCGTGGAGCCTCTCCTTCTCCTTTTTATGCTTCTTTTTGTGCTTCTTCTTGTCCTTCTCTTTCTTCGCTTTTTTTTCCTTCTTGGGCTTATGACTGGGGTTTGCATTTTCCGTGACACCTGAGCTCACCGCCGTTGCCGTCTGCGGGACACCAGATTCACTTTGCATTATATGATCTCCGTCTCCCTCGTCGACTTCCTTTACAGCCTGGACTCCAATCGCTGCGATCCGACTCTTTGCACTACAGACGTCCCATTTTGAGTACTGACGACGATATCATTCATGACAATAATGCGTACCTTTGAAATCCCAGTCCTTTCATCTCTTCCACATTTACTACAGCGGTCTCCTCGTCGTCCGCAAAGTCCTTTTTAACAAGACTCTGGATCTCCTGTTTGCTAACTGCATTTCCATCTGTCCGGCGACGTTTAGGACCAGCATACCCCAACGCTTCCGCCAAAGCCTCTGCTTCATTTTTCCTAATTTCCTCCAGCTCAGACGTAATTGTATCCTCCCGAGCCTGTGTCTTCTCGGCCTCCCTGCCATACCAGAGTAGATCTACTCCATTTATTAGATGTAGCCTCGAAGATGACTATCGTATGTCCGCTCACCTTTGTTCTTTTGCCATCGACCCACTGGCGCGTTGAGGGAGTGACCAAGGTAATTTTCTCGATACTAGGAGAGTGCCGTGAGTTGTGTCGTTAGGATAAATTCTTCAGGACCACGCAAGACAGTAATGCTGGAGATTACCTTATCCTCTTTTACATCTTCCCATTTGAAGAGTCCCTGTCCTCCTCTTGTTCCTGCTCGCGTCGGATGATGAAACATGATTTACCACAAACTAGAAGGGCAGAATAGCACTTCCGCTTTCTGGACGCAATCAGTCAAACTTCCAACATCGTCGAGTTGCAAGTCATTCGGTCACGTGGCTTTTTTGTTGCTATAGTAATTGAACGCGTAGATCGATTGAAGGATTGGTCTTCCTGAGCGTGCAAGATGGCCATAAACGTCATGAACTCGAGAATTCCTGTGTCGGCTGTCTATCGACTGACAATACTTCGAAGAACCACAGTTGTATCTCGTTTAGCGCACCCTGGGCCCCGCAACCGTACCTGTCACAGCGCGACAATCTTCTCCACACCCAGAAGCTTCGAAAGCCGGCGGCCCTCGTGGATTCTGAATTTGAGGACTTTCGCTTCAAGCAGCAGACAGATGGCATTCTCAAACGAGGAGCTACGACATGAAGGCACTCAAGAAGAGACTGCTGGAAGACAAGGTATTGTATGAGCCATTTCCACCTTCTGTCAGTTGCGGCGACGCTCACATATATCACCGAAGTTTCTCCACTGGTGACAACCTCGTGGTTGGCCGAAAACCTTTCCCGAGTGATACCTGTAGATGCCACGTGGTATCTACAGCCGGACTCGTCCATTGCATCCAAGGGACGACGAAAAGATGACAATTGGGTGTTTGATCCCGCGCAAGGAATGAAGCCAAAGCAACCTGTAAAAGATGCCCGCAAAGAATATGCCGAACGGCATATACAGGTAGAACGTGGATCTACTAGTAGACTGAAAGTAAAACAGTAGTAATGGTGATGTCCTGATAGGGAGCCCGATTTTTTGATATCGATCACATTGCCGATCGCCTGAGCTCCCTCCCTCATATGCTCCCAAGTCCCGAAGAGTTTGAGGAGCATGTTGGTACGGATGACACTCTGGTGGCTTAGATTTCCAATCGGTGCATGTCCAACTAAGGGTGCCATATAGGCGCACTTGGCATAACGGAGAACGATCATGTGGTTGTGTATGATTTGCATGGGATCTTCTCTTCTCCAAGGGTGTGGTGGACATTCAAGGTGAGACCCACACACTAACAGACCCGTTTTCTGCATCCTTGATGTCGCACTAAACGAGGGTATTTAAAGGTCTTTGGACATAGAAACGTGAGCGTGTTGGACGGGGGTTTGCCAAAGTGGCTACGAGAAGGACGACATGTCACCAATGAAGTCGACAAAGCCGTGGTATGGTTAAACTGTGGAATTGCAGGCAATCCGTCACTGTGATATTGACGTAGACAACGTAGAAAAGTACCTATCGGGCCGATTTTCAGGAGGACCTTGTTATTGACTACCAAACTCTTCTTGTCCATGTCACGGATTTTATGTATGCCAAGAACTTCCAAATTCTCGATGCCCGTCCACGTGGAAGGTAAAATTCGAGAAGATATTCTTCTCCGCCATTGTAACTCACGAATGATGATTCTAGGTTTGCCGGGTTTACTGCGGAGCCTCGCGCTAGTCTTCCTTCTGGTCATATACCCTCCGCAATCAACATACCCGCCAGCGAGCTCATCGATCCCGAGACGAAGACAATGCTTCCTCCCCAGGAAATACTTCGTCGAATGTTCATCGACAATGTGGATCTTGATAGGCCGATTGTCACAATGTGTGGTGAGTCACTACGGACATATGTGTTTTTTGGTTACCAACTTGACACGGCCCATCAACAGGGAGCGGAGTTACTGCTGCGACGGTGTTTTTGGCCTTGGAGATAGTGGGTAAAACGGGTGATGTCAAGTTGTATGATGGAAGCTGGACCGAATGGGCCAGCAAGAGCAAAAGTCCTATCAAAACATGGACCTAAGACTCTGGCTGCAATGCAGATATACGGTGTACTTGAGACGACGGAATTGACTTTGACCGAATTACCATCACATAAATGTGTTTGCAAGCATGGGCGTACAATCCATATTATAGGCCGTAGCCGCAAAGTCAGCGATTACAGTGCTACTTGTGTTTGCCAATCCTGGTTGTCACCCGGTATGCTATCCAGTAGTCTAAGGGAATGTTGACATGTGGTCATTGCATGTTTAGTCATGAGCTACATTGAACAGTGGAACAGAGGATTCTGGTTGGCACTTCAGCTGTCGTGGAAAGGCTCAAAAGGTTGTAACACCGTCTGACACCGTCTGACGAAATGGACGTCACCTTGGCCAAAAGACGCAAAGAACGAGATACCGCTAAACACACACGCGACGCGTCGCGAAGGCGACTGCCAAGAGATGGAAACTTGGTGTGCTTTGTGAGATCTTAGATTTTTGACTCTAAACGATACGACGAGTTGACGAGTTCACGAGTTTCAAGGCGGTTGGCTTCACGGCTCTACTCGGCTGAAGTTTCACGCACCTTATTGAGGTTTACGAACTTGTGGTGGCGTTTCGCCTGGGATAACTTCGGTTCAGTTGCGGATATCAAGAGACAAGGTAAAGGAAGGATATTGGGGAGAGGTTCCTGGCGGCATGTGTCGATGACCAATTTCTGAGTGTCGTCCGCAAACTTCCCTACCGCGTAAAGCCAAGATTAGCGATCATTGACAGACAGTTTTCTCATTATGCACAACCAACACAGCACGTCATCCCACACCGCATTGTTTCCCACACCCAATTGACGAACGATGGACAAACCTTCGTTTGCCAGCTCATTCTGGGTATGGGGAGAGCGTTTAATATTGCCATCTCGGGCCACTTTTATGTTGACGACATGAATTTGACTTGTAGGGCGATAATGATAAAGGGTTGGAGGTGTTGATGGGGCGAATGAGACAGGGGAAGCACGTTAGTGAAGAGGTGCATGCTATGCTAAAGGAGAGAGCGACCATCGAAGAAGAGTATGGAAAAAGACTACATAAGCTTGCTAAAACCTTTAGTCCCAAGGAAGAGATTGGGTATGCAAGCACTGGCGACGTATACATGTTAAGGACTATAATTCATCATACATCCTCTGCTGAAGAACCCTGCGAGACTCGTTGGATATTGTGAAGAACGAGCTAGAGAAGAGCGCGAAGTCACATACTGATCTAGCTCAGGAGATTCGCGTGAAACTGGAGAAACCACTGGGGGACTTTATTGGAACCCAAAGCGGAATACGAAAGAATGTAAGTCTAGTAACTTGAGCGATATGACGGTTCTATTGTAGAATTAATAAGGCATGTTGATGTTGCTTGCAGCACAACGCCATCGTCGAAAAGCATCAAAAAGCCAAGGCAGCTCAAGTAGCGGCCGTGATGAAGTCCAAAGAACGGTACGAGGCAAAATGCGCCGAGACAACGCAATTATCGCAGATAAGAGCTGATCCAGCGTCTAAGGAAGCGGAAAAGGTACTTGAGTATGCGGCGTTCTATAATACACGTGCGAGTAACACTCCATTTCAGATCAAAATGAAACTGCAAAAAGTCCAGTCACAGGCGAAACAGGCCGACGTAGATTACGTCGCAGGAGTGGAGAAGTTGACCGAAATCCATCGAAGATGGGTGGATGACTTTCGCACAGCTTGTACAGTAAGTTTAAACCACTTACCCATTTTTTATTAACATGACGGAGGCGGCCGTGCTCATCCAAACTTCTTGCCGTTACAGGAATGCCAGAAGTTAGAGGAAGATCGATTTCACTTTCTACGCGGGAATATCTGGAATTACGCTAACTTTATATCGGGCGTGTGCGTTTCGGACGATGAGGTGGGCTCGCTTAGATGTTTGGATATGCAGACGGAAGATCTTTGCGACTTAACGATCGTTTATACGTAGGCATGTGAGCGAGTGCGTGTATCGCTAGAGGCTTGCGATTTTGAAAAAGACCTTGCCTTATTCTTGGATCGGAATACGACCGGATCCGTTATCCCACGTAAGTTTTTCCTTCCGCTGTTCACGTTTTTTGGCCCGTTGTTAATTAGTTTTCAAATATCAGAACCCCTACAGTACATCAACTATTACACCGGGACGCAAGAAAATTCTCTCTCGGGTAGGCGCAAGAGTGCAACTAGCAATGACCTGCCAGCGACCCTTCCGATGTACAATCCTTCGCAAGATGACTTGGGCAGCACCCACACTCTTGGTTCTGGACCTAGTGGCTACAATGACCCGACAACAACCCGAAGAGATAGTGCATCATCCAAAGGATCCGCCGCATTTTCGGGGGCAGTTGGACCGCAGGTACTCAATGGGATGCCTCAACAGCAACAGCAACGAAGTGGATCCAATGCCCCGCCGGCGGGAGCGGATGCAACGTTCCAATACGACCCCTATGACGTGCCAGAAAGCATGCCGGTTCTGTTTTCGGGTACGAAGGAACTGTACTTGGTTTGCCGTCTGGATTGTTACTTATCCTTTGACAGTTCGAGTCCTATATGACTACCAAGCGCAGGCGCCAGAGGAGCTCACCATTGGCAAGGGCCAGTTGATTCCGGTAATCGCAACTCATGATGATGGGTAAGTAACCGAACTTCTCTAATTTTGACCTTTTGGACTTATCATGCATGTGCTCTAGGTGGTGGGAAGGGCTGGGATCGGAAGGCGGACAAAGAAGAAAAGGCTTATTTCCAAGCAACTTCACAGAAACCGTCCGCTGATCTACTACTGGGGCCAAAAGACATACGACAATTTTGGAAGCGGTTTGGAAGCATTCACTCACGCAGCGCGTTCACTGAATGGACACTGCGTACTCTAGAGGAACGGATCATACATAGTCCGCACATTTGTATCTTTGACGTCGACAATTGTACTGAGAACCATTTACTTGTGGTAATCATAAAAATATCGATATGTACATGATATGGTATTCGTTTGCCCTGCGAATACCTCCCTTGCGTTGTTGTTCAGTGTGCGTTTATGCAATTGATGTCAATAATCTTCTGAAGGTCGACTTGCAGGCATAGAACCAGCACAGAATGCTAACAGAACCTGTAAGACCGGTATGTTAACAACGAGATGAAGAGTGTTCCAAATCAAACTGTCTCATACCCATTGGCGCAAAAGGTAGTGCAAGGAGAGGAGATATGGGCCCCAGCCAATCATGTGGTGGGTAAAACATCGGCGTCGATCGGTATATTGAGATAAGCAAAAACTGTGCTCCCCAGATGAAGGAGCGAAGACCCCACGATATCTTCAGCTCAAAGTATGTTTTCGTAGAAGCCTCTTGTTTCGCTGTTCCATACAATGTTGTTCAATAATTGGATAATAAGGGACGGCTCAAACTAAAGATACCTTGCGTCTCGTAGTCTGCCTTCAATTTATCGAGCCTCCTACGCAACTTTGCCCATCTAGCGAACTGGTCCTAGAGTTGATGCACACGTGTAAACTTCATAAGCTCTGCTAGCTAGCGACAGACAACAAGTCGTCGTGGTACCTGTGCACTCGTTCGACCCAATTCCGTCTGAACATCGATTACCTCACGTTTAAGCTTATTGATCTTTTTCGCTTCCGCTTTTCGGAAGATGTTATCGTACCAGTTCCACACCTGCAAGACACATGATGTAAGGAAGGAATGAAATGCAGAGGAATCGAGTGTCAGTTGCGGCAGCAGTACCTTGCTAGCTATAGCCCCATATCCGAGCCATTCAAAGAGTTGTAGGAAGAAAGCACAGAGGATGACCAAGTGAAGTGGATGCATGATGAGCCCGCTTGAGCAAACAGATGCAAGATGTTCAACGAAATGTACACGTAAGGTCGCCGAGGTGGACGACGAGAGTGAGTCATAGAGCAACCTTGAGCAAGCGCCTGCTGTCGAACTCAGTTGGAATGAAGATCTTATCCAAATGGTTACTAGCCTATGTCTCCACACAGATTGATGCGACACCTACAACGCCGTCGGTAGCTCCGGTCCTTTCGGAGACTGCAGAAACTGACGTGAATTCCGCCGTAGCTTGGTCCACATTGCACCCGAAAAAGCGGGTTCAAGTGCGCAAGGTCAGCAACAACCACGGACTTTACCGACGAGGTTGCCATTTTCTAAATACCATTAAGACAGATAACGTCACATAGTCCGGGGACGAATATCCCTCTTACTATGGAATTGAGCGATGGGCAGTATTATATTGACAGCATGCTCACGAAAGAGTGTTTGGAACGATATGACCTGTAGGGCACAAATGCCTCGATTCGTGCTGCTACGGACCTTGTTGTTCAAACGCCTTAAATTCTTGCCCTAGTGCGCGAGCTGAGCTGGATACCCATTTGCCTCCAATCACCAGTCTGCGAGGGGCGATCATCATCGTCCAGAGTGCCCGCTTGAGATTATTGAAACCTCACCGATGCCGTCAGCTATTCAGCGTCGGTCTGGCGATCGATGATTTCACATTTATAGGCAATCACGGCACTGAACCCGTTGACCAAACGTACCCTGTGGCAGAAGCACAAAAGGTGATGGCGAGTATATCTCACCTTATGTATCGGTACGCGGATTATGACTGCTCGGCCAAAGTTGTAAAACTAAATTGCATTCTAGCATAGGGGTGTTTAATGGTCGCCGCAGTATGCGTCCATCCACCGCCAACGTGCAGCACTCAGTCCCCGCGCGCGAGTTTGATCCTTCCGTCGATCTTACGTTTCTTGGTCAAATGGAGCTTGATATAATGTTAGATGATGATTAGCTATCTTGACCTCTAGTTGCAAAAGAAATATGCGAGCATTGGGGACGCTACAACAAATATCAGCTAGTCGACCAATATGGTGTCGGAGTATTCCCCGTCGATATTGTAACGTGAAATGTTGTCAATCAGCTGGGTTCTTAGGAAAGAAGTTTGCGCAGGAGACATGTTCTCTCAGGGTACCCTGACGGCACCAGAGCTGGCAATCCTCAGTGCAAACGAGGTCTCTGAAATAGTTGATAAAGTCCGTGTTATAGTACAATAAACATGTCTTTCGTATTATTCTACTGTCCATTTTAGTGACCGTGCTGGTGCTCAGGGCTCAACAGATATTCCTTTCGGTTGTAATATTCAAACTGTGGGGAAAGAACGCCTATTAGCAATACGGTACGAGAAGAGTGACTTGAAACTCCATCCAGCCAGCTCCACACACAATAAGGTCGCTCCACAGACCACACTCAGGTCTCAAACCCACCTTCTTGTCAGCCCAACCCTTAACCCAAAAGAAAATAAGAGCAGGGGGAGCGATAAACACTGCTTGGCGAGCAGTACGTTTGAAGAGCTTGAAGGCACCGGGGTTGAAGAAGCCCTTCATTGTCTTGGTCTCAAAAGGAGACAAACCGTACTCGTAGAAACCATTTTGGTACCCGATGCTACCCCACCACCTTTCGACGTGCAGAGAGAATTGCAGAGTCAGAATTTCGCCCAACAGTGATGTTAGACCTGTTAAAACAGGTGTTCTTAACCACTATCACTCACTTGTGACCCATTTGCAACTAGACTATACAGGGTATGTTAAAACAGGATGTGCAGGACGCTGCGTGATGCTAATGAGGTTGCGCGAAGCCAGGTCTAGGGAAACTTTCGGGTTTGTTTGGCGGTGATATCACATGATCAGTTGCCTATAGCAACAAGGCCCGTCAGATCAACGATGGACTTCAATCTACCATGTATTAGTGCAAATCCCCGACACTTTATGCAACACTCGTTAATTCATTCGCATCCTCCTTGGGCCTATGAATCTACCGCCATTTATTAATCTTTCTTTCCTCCGCGAAGCGGGATTGGACAAACTCAATAAACTCTGGAGAATAATGCTTCTCTAGCTCGTGTGGCAGGATTTTTTCATGCTTCTCTGCTTCGTGGCGTGTTAAACAGACGACGTTCTGGAAACTTGCGGGTTTGGTGACATCCCATCGAATGAGCTGAAGTTTGTCAAAGGTGCCGGAAAGTGCACTCCTTCCACGCCATATCTGAGTTCAACAGCGGTTAGGCACAACCCTATAGCAGATTTCCCTTGAGCAGTGTTTTCCGTTCTTACCTCCTCAAAAATATAGCCCACATCAGATACGTTAAACGGTATATTGGCACTGTATAGGACATAGTGATTAAAACGTTGCCAACGTCAAACTTCTAAATATCCTTACCTTGCGCCGAAACCATCCTTCTCCTTATTGACCAGATCTCTGTGTAACCGCATATAAGTTTTCTCCCGTAACTTAATGGCCAGAGGATTGGTAGGCCAACCGGCCAACTCAGTAATGACATAAGATGCCATGCAATTGCCAAATAGTGCGGGGAGAGTTCCAAGAACTGTATGGAAAATATCGATAAGATCAGTCCTATGACTGCCCGAAAACTCATTCGTTCATACCAGGAAGAATCCTAAAGGCATCGTTCCCATTAGAAAGCAAACTTAGGCAGTGGTTCTCCCCACTGAAGGCACCTTACCGAACACGAAAGTCTGGCAAAGCTGAGTACTCATCAGCTTCCTGCACTTTCTCCTCCTCCAAAGGTAGCAGTTTAACCGCACCAGGCTTCTCTGTAGAGTAAACCACGGTCACTCCGCTTTCCACTCCTTTCAACTTTAGACCTCTTCTAGTAGCTCTAGCCAAGGGATCCTCTAGATGGATTGAGCTTGTCAGCCCGCAGTGCAATCAATGAGTTACCCTGCGTGAATATAGTCACCAAAGGTTTCGCTAATGTCCGCAATCTGTATACGTGATGGATCAGCCTTTGCTCCGGCACCCATAGAAGAGATTATCCGTATTTTGCTGTCCACACAATATTTAATCAGGTCCATCTTGGTATTGAGGTTATCAATACAATCTAGCCTTCGCGGGTTAACTGAGCATGCTCCAGTAAATGATGACTCCTGGACCACAATTACCAAGAACATAATCCGGATTGCCGCTAAGCAGCTCCGGGGCAGCCGCAATATTGAAAAGCTCCATGCACGCATCTATTTTGGCGTGAGGGGCAATGTCGAGGAAATGCTTCTTCAGACATGTGCTCTTGGGCGTTCCAACATCGGCCTGCGTCGCTACAGCGTGACGGTTCAAGCTCGAGAGTGTCACTTGGTCAAAATCGATCAGACGAAGATGCTGCAAGATGTTAGAGGTTGTACTATACAGCACAATACAACAGCCATGAATTACCTCAACTCCAGATCGTAGAAGCATATGTGCCTATTAACATAAACGATTTACAAATTGAACATACTGCGCCAATGGAAACGCTATTCGTGTCATCGCTAATACTGGTCTAATGACTTACCGCATGGCTTCCTAGTTTTGCGTGATCAGTATAGGCTCTAGCACTGTACAAGACTCTTACATCGCTCACCTACGCCCCCTAATCCAACCACTATAACGAAAGACGATCGGATCTTTGCCACTCCCTGGTGCGCAAAAGATATTGTCAGAGCCATTGATGCTGGATCCACGGATATCCCACAATGTCACCTCTTCCCCTAAAAATGCGTAATTGCGGGCGAGCTGCTCTCGTATCAGGCCTTCATCAGTGGTCAAAGGCTTCTTTGACGTGACTCCTCGGGCGATGTCTGTCGCTTCATCGAGGTGGTTTATGGAGTTTTGGATGGAGTTAGATATATCTCTCTTTATGCGTTTTATCCGAGCCCGTTTATTGAAGTGTTGTACGATAAATATTGAAGATGCTGTGAGAGCCGATGCTGCAATTGCCACAGCAAGAGTGTTTACAATGCTATCTCCTAGTGAGGCAGCTTTGAGTCCCATGATGCTGATCGAGTTAAAAAGTCGAAGATACAAGCGCAACCTGAAAATTTCATAACGCTAATGAGTCATTAGTGCTTACGCAATTATCCTTCATGGTTATCGGAAGCGCGCACACTTCAATTCTCGCACCTAAACCATGCCGCAATTGGGACAACCATCAAGTGGGACTAGTCCCCGAACAACGCAAAGTATTGGCAGCGTTTCCTCTACATCTTCCGTTTCTTTGAGTGGAGTTGCCTCCTCATCGGGGGTGCTCATTGCACCACCTAGAAAAAGCTCACAGATTGTAACATCCGCGACATCACCCGCACCAGCTTCGATATCTTCACAAGGTCTAAGCCCATCTTACTCTCATACATCCGTGTCAAATATCAACAAGTCACTGTCAACACTCGATGCGCAGAAGATTAGCAAGGACATTGCAGCCGACTCAACCATTAGAGGAAGTGCTTGGCAAACGCTATGCGTTAAAGTACTCCCTTTGTTCAATGGCCAAGGCTTAAAAGGGCATATGGAAGACATGAACGAGCTTGTCAGGTCCGTTTATCATTAGTTCCTTAACACGTACCGGATTTTCATGTACTGACGTTCCTCCACACAGCAACTGGTTAACTGACACTCCGGCATATTTGGTTGTGGAAGAGCTGAATGACTTACTAAATACTGGAATGCTGACACTCGGAAACAAGCTCGCAACTGTAGCGAACGAGGTTCTTGCAAGCCGTTTGGTGGAAGTATGGTCTTTCTATTTCGGAACGGTTGTCCCGTACCTTCAAGGCGTGTTTCTACCCGTTCGAACGCAATGGCGCAATGCTGCAGCTCGAACTGGTGATTCTCCAGATGTAAGGAAAATGGCTCTGATTGCTTTTCGCGACCAAATCATTGTGCCTTTAGGTGGTCGCCTCACAGGTATCTGTTCGTACCTAGTGGATGACTTTTAGCAGTAACCCGTAGCCGGTTCAGGTGCTGACTATTCTGAACTCAATAGGGATTTTCCCCAAGCTGGTCGCAGACATTGAAAACGGTAGAAAAATCAATGACACTGCCTCACGCCTGATGCAAATGCTATGTATTTTGGACGGTATTCCCTTGGCCGATGATCGGGCGAGTCCCATTGCAGAAGTCTTGGCTGTATTCAAGGAGACAATGATGGGAAACCCCGGACTTAATCGAAATAGCATTGCCCTATTTGGTGCGCGGGTGCACACATCCACATGATTTTTTCGATATCCGACATAACCAGCTCTGTCAAATCGTGCACTGACGACAAACTTTGGTTCTCTGACGTGTGTATTGTACAAAGCACATCTTCGGACCGATAGCTGTATGGCAGCTGGTCACAAAGGGACCGAACCGAAACGAAAAAGGGGTGGACCACTCTGCTGGCCACTAGTTAGTTACCTAAGCGCTGTGGAACGAAGTTCACTTCGCTCTATTGGGGAGCCACGACGATACAAGTTGCGCTATCAGGGCAGGCACATGATGAACATGTTACGAATGCTCAGGTATCGAGATCAAAAAGTTCGGAAAATCGTGTCTCCATTGCATAAATATTTGGATGGTTGATATCAGAGACGGTGGCTCGTGACTTTCGCTTCCGATCCTGGTCGTATAAGACGTCTAATGCCTTGAGCAATGATTTCTTTCGCTGATGCCAGTATTCGCCAGTTAGTATTACGTGTTAAGTGGTGCAACGTTAATCATAACCCGTACCTCCTCCATGTGAATGCCGCGTACGGCTTCCTTATAGCGCTCCGCCGCTTTCTGTTTTAGGAGATGTTCTCTATCTCTATGGAATACCTCGTTTTCTATTCTCATCTTGACGACCTTGTCAGCTTGTGTCCATGCATCTGTTCTACGCGCGGTGGGGTCACAACGAGTTGCTGCAAAGTCCCGGTGTAGGCACGTCTTGTCGAAACTCTCAAACGTTCGGCTTGACAGCAATGTGCGTGGCACAGGCATTGATGGTATTTCTACGTCTGGTGCACTGGCAGCTTTTCGCTCTCGGTATAATTGGGCTAGTTGGACTGCACGCTCATTCTCCTTCTTCCTCGTTTGCTCCAAGATCGCTCGCTTCCGAATGGTGGGGGCAAGCCGGGCAGTCGTCTCATGGTCTCGCTGAAAGTCTGATTGTTCACTCTCCACCTAGGTTTATAAATTGAGAGTTGCGACGAACCTCTATCCGAGCCTCAGCACCACGCTGCATCTCTTGTTCCTGTCTCGCGGCGGCTGTGGCCCTCAAATGTTCTAAGGCCTTTCGCTGTCCAAGAAGGAACATAAGCTTCTATTCATTTCAATTCAACCAATAGTGGAGAACAAGCTCACCTCAGCCATTAGGAAGCTACTTGCATCATGATGCGCCGTACCTGCAGCGCGGACATGTCGCCGTTCTAAGTCTGTGAGAGATCCTAACAATGCGTCGCGCTGCAAAGCCCATTTCTCCTGCATGCCGCGTTAGAACATTGAGGCATCCATTGACAACCCGGACAGTATCCCACCTCCAGTTGGTCAATGGTATCGCCCCACTCAGTGCCGGCAGCTGCCCTGTAACGTCGTCGCCGTTCTGCTGCGATCCGCTTCTCCTGCTCCCGAATCTAGGGGTGCCTTCGTTCGTAAGTCTTGCAAGTACGCGAGCCGCGCCAAATCTGTTCTCACCTGCTGTAGGCGCTGCACCTTTTGCTTCTTTTGCTCCTCTTGTTTGAGCTTTTCCGCCTCTCCTGGACTCGGTCGGAGAAATCCAGCCGCCATTTCGAAGGATACGCGTTGCGAACCCAAACGCGTGGGAGCTTCTTGGTAAATCTGCACGCTAGATGCTCACTCAGGTGGAGATTTGGGCTGCAGTTCCACGTCCATGACGCTTCTGGGCTGAAGAGAAGTCTCCTCATGGCGACACCTGAAGTCCCTCTTCCTCCCTCTCTATTCGGACTGGACCACTTGTTTTGGATAAACTCCAAATTGTTCGTGGCAGACATTCTAGCTTTGCTCCCACATCCTGAGATCGCTGATGTTTACCTGTACAATAACCATCCCTTGCGCAAGGTGGAAGTGACTGGAATTATTGTGGGAAAAGAAGAATCGGCCAGTTTTGTCTTATACACAGGTAGCTGTCCGATGGTGAATTGCAGTACATGCCTAATATTTCCCTATTACGACCCAAGTTGATGATGGCACTGGCCTTGTACCGTGCATAAGCTGGTTTTCTCGTACCGAACGGTTCCTAATTGATCGGAAAACACTCCTATTGGGAACGCTAGTTAGAATAGCAGGTCGCGTGTCGGATTATCGAGGTCAGAGGCAGATAACTGTGAATGCGATCTGTTAGTATATTTCCTTCCACTCCCTTACTATCCAATTCTTGAAAAATAGTCGACTCAAAGAACTTTCTGTCAATGTAGCAGCGGAAAACGACCCGAATATTGAGACTATGCGATGGCTAGAAGTTATCGATTTGAAGCAATCTGTTTACGATGTGCCCCTCGAGATCTCTGGTGGACACATGGAGCGTGCTCGGGTACTATTGATGTCCCCAGAAACCAATAGGGTAGCAGCGAACAACTGCCCCGGGGATCGAAATCCGTCCGTGGAGGTGAGCTGGAATGGTACCTCCTTGTTTGCTCTGTAGAGACGGCAGCGTGTGATTGATTGATTGTTTTCTCAGCTGGAACAGCTTCTAAGGGAAAAGCGTGACCTAGATACGACCGAACAAGATTTAAAGCGGGCCTTAAAGCTCTTCATCCAGAGCAAAGAACTGGTGCGAGTTCCCTACATGGTTCTCAGACATTCGGACGAGATTCTCTTCCTAGTTAACAGGTTGCTGATGACACAAGTAAGCTGCATGGTACTGTATAAGCTCTGTGCTGTAACCGGCTAACTACGTGCTCTAGAATCAAATATCAAATCCTAGTGCACAACGAGTTAACTCAACCTTAGCCCGTGCCGTGCAAACTCTGGTTAGGGAGGGATTCATGTATTTGTACAGTGAAGAGGAGGATGTGTATGAAATTATCCGTCACGATGTCAACCTGGGATTGGCGATTCTCAACCTTATTAAAAGCGATGCAAAATGCCAGGGAGGTGCGTTATCATTATTCTGTGCGATAAATTTCAGGCTTCTTCGGCTAACGTCCATCTTTGGAAGGTGCGGTATTGGAAAACATCATCTTCACTCTGCGATTGGATAAGAAATTCAAATATGTCCACAAGAACGCCATTGAGAAGTCCGTTGGGCTTCTGGTCAATGCAAGCGAAATTTATGAGGTAGACCACAAGGAATACAGAGCTGTTGAAATAGGCTGATGGAGCAGTTCACCCAAATGGGGGATAGATAGCTCAGTCTAGGAGGCCGAAATTGACCGTCATACAGCGATTGTACCTCAAGTATATAGAACGTGAAGTAACTTGGCGCCAGTCTTTCTAGTCCTGGATCTCGTCTGCTCAACCCATTGCTAAAGCAATGTCGACGCGATAGGGGCAGCAGTCAATATATTCAGTCCCATTGTGAAAAGGTCCTTCTCATAGTCGTCGTGAGCAAAACGAATTTTGTTCTCACCCACCCATTCGATGGCGATCACTAATGAGGGGAAGGTTCACGTACTACTCAACTCAATGACCCCGGCAGACGCATCCCTTTACATGCGAACCGCAAAGCACTTCAACCGGATCCTCCCATCCATTAATGAGCAACCCTTAACGATAGATTCTCTAGTCAAGTCAAGACCTGGAACCGCAGCGGAACAAGCAGCTTTGGAAAGATGCCATATCTGGAGGGACCAAATACTTGAGAAGAGCACGTAATGTGTCGAAGATCTGTTACCAGCGGTTGGAGATTTTAACGGCCGACCCTTGCATCCCATGCATAGGCAGTCGAGTTCGCAAGTTGATGCAGGGCCTTGCAGAAAAGGGCTGCGCTTTTCGGAAGGAGAACTTCACATGCATAACATGCGACGAAAAGTTGGCAGGGGGCTTTGGCCCTGCTGTAGGGGTACGTTGTGGGTATTATATATATCTAGTCTGTGCTCATGCTACCGCTTGTTAGGTCCATCTATGCAGCAATATTTTTCAGACAAAAGCGCACATGGAAGACACCATGGCCCACGAACTCGTCCACGCATATGACTATTGTCGAGCGAATCTCGTTGAAACTAACTGCCAGCATCATGCTTGCACGGAAATTCGTGCGGCCAGTTTAAGCGGTGATTGTGATATGTTACGGGAGTGGAGTAGAGGAAACTTTGGCTTCTTTGGCCAGTTTGAGGTACTGTCGTTGCATTAGTTACTCATAGTGCAGAGAAATCGAGTTCGTAACTATTCTTCGATGTAAGAAATGCGTCAAACGTCGAGCAACTTTGGCAATATCTTTCAACCCGTCTTGCCACGGAGATAAAGCTAGACAGACAGTGGAAGCAGTCTATTCACAGTGTATTGTTGATATATCACCTTTCAGTAAAGAAGAGCTAATAGAATCATAATAGCTGTTGTACACCAACAAGCCAACACTTGCTTCTAGAACCTGTTGCTCGAGTTCTCTTCATTTTAAATTACTGGACACAACATCCGGAATGGTAGGTTAAGGCTGAGACTTCCGTGCACTCTGGACGATGTACGCAGCGTCCTTTGCATTTCCATCAACCTGTGCCCGAGCGTCAGATGTCGTGCTTCCCCTTGTCGTTCATGCATTCGTACTGTCACCTCGACATTGACATAATGTGCCCACAGATGGATATGTCACCACGATTCGAGTTCATGATCGCGGTGAAAATGTTTTCATTCACTTGCGTGAGGTGTTCGGGTACTTAAGAACAGCATCCATGACATAAGACGATGGACTATCCGTGCACGGTATACTCGACATCGAAGATCTTGACCAATAACTCAAAAAATCGTACATCATTCCACACTTCGGAAGTAAATATGCACTGAACGAGCGCTCCCGAGTCAAATCTTTCAACAAAGAACTGTTCAACCTCCTGTAGATCGCTTGAGAAATATAAATGCGTCACTGCCTCCCATTCAGGCCCTATGAGATCGTTTGTAACGGGATACGGCACCCCCAGATCGATATCGGCTTTATGAATGTTAGATAGCGCTGGAGCAGAGTTGCCCCTTGGAACGGTGGATATATGATATAGTATGTCACTAGTATCTAACACGTCCAGCTTCTTTCTTATATGTAGTTCAAACCACTCTTTTTCCATGAACCCCTCAACGTATGGACGCTGCTGAGCGGTATCTTCGTTCAGAGGAGGTTGGGACGAGGTAGTGAACAAGGCGTGCTTATTGAGGTGCAAAAGGTATCGAAGAATGGAGTTAGATTCAGCCATGAGAGGACCGACGCAACTCATGCTCGATGTCAGAACGCCCCTGAGGTAGGCATCGTTCAGAAACAAAAGGTCCGCGAACGAGCGGGCTTTGGTATGAAATAGACTCATGCCGTTAGCATGCTTCTCCTTCAGTAATTCTGACCACGGTTGTGTGCACTTGTTGTTCATTACTTTGAAAGACCTTGGTGATGAGCGAGAAACTTCAAGGTTAAAGTCGTGATGGAGAGCACAACTTCACGTGCCATTCACCGCGCGACACGCCCTTGACACCACCGCTTTGTCAACTTTGGACCGACCAGCAAGTGGAGGGTCAAACTGCGAGCACAACCGGTCGTCGTGCAGCCATCGACATATCCAGACGCATTTGATAGCCGACACAAGGCAGTTCATGTAACAGAATGGTGCGTTGCTGTGTTTCAATACATGCAAGATTTCAGCCCGGCTCACAATCCCAGTCTATGCGAGGGTTAACGGTTTTTATCGCCGACCTCCGCAATTGTTGGTATCGACGATCTTGTCATATATGAGCCGTCCATAGTCATCTAAAATGAGTAATAGGTCGTGCGCGAGAGTTGGAGGAGAAGCGAGTGAACAAAGAGTTGGCCAACATACGCTCTAAATTCAAAGGTATTAAGAGTTTTCACCGGCTGCTTCAGGCGTAATATGTCTAATTATGCAACAACCTAGATCCAAATCTCAGCGGTCGACAAAAGAAGAAATATGTTTGCAAACTGTTGTACATGTATATTCTTGGCTGGGATGTGGATTTTGGACACATGGAAGCCGTTAACCTACTGTCGTCCAACAAGTACTCTGAAAAGCAGATTGTGAGTAGGCATACGAGAACGTGCATCCTTGCGGCTTATTCATATGCTTACCCTTTCATGAGTAGGGATATCTTGCTGTAACCCTTATGCTGACGGAAACCAATGAACTTTTGCGATTGGTGGTGAATTCGATGCGGAAGGATTTGGATGATCCTAACGAAGTACACCAATGTTTAGCGTTGCAAGCGATCGCGAATATTGGTGCGAGGGAAATGGCCGAAGCATTATCAAATGATGTTCTACGTTTGCTGACGACAAGGTGCGGACTACAGTAATGTGTATGCTAATCACAAGGCTAAATTAGTCGTTGGTGAATCTGCTTTAAAGCCATACGCGAAGTTTTACCAAGAAGAAGGCTGCACTTTGCTTATTGCGCTTATACCGCCGACATCCTGATTTAATTCCGGTGAAAGAGTGGGTCGGCAAACTTTTGGGTTTAATGGAGGAGTCGGACATGGTATGATTGCCAGGTTTTGGCTATTTTTCTACAAACTAAAGGTGCTTTTTTTAAGGCGGCGGCACTGGCATCCACGAGCTTAATTCTCGCAATAGCCCAGCAATACCCTGACGAATCGGCAGGCTGTGTCCAGCGCGCAATATCAAGAATGCATAAGGTGCGGATTAGACGCAACTATTTGCATGCATGTGACACTCGCTGAACCATTTTCTGTTTGGTGCAGATTGTGATTGAAAAAGAGTACAGCCCGGATTATGTGTACTACAAAGTTCCGGTTCCCTGGTTGCAAGTGAAGCTCTTGCGTCTTTTGCAGTACTATCCTCCACCCGGTACGTTGATAGTTCATCGCTTTATAACATTGCTGCAAAGCTTACAAAACTCAATTCAGATGATAAAACTGCTCGGAACAAATTGATCAATGTGATACAGACGATTTTAAATAATGCGCAAGATATTCCAAAGAATGTTCAACATAACAACGCTCAAAATGCAGTTCTTTTTGAAGCAATAAACCTCGCGATTCATCTGGATCCCGAATCGGAGATCGTGGTACAAGCATCGGCACTGCTCGGGCGATTTATATCATCAAAGGAAACCAACATTCGGTACCTTGGGTTGGAGACGATGGCTCATCTCGCCGGTTTCGCCGAATCGCTCGACACAGTGAAAAAGCACCAGGAAACCATTATTCAATCGTTGAAAGACAAGGACATTAGCGTACGACGCCGGGCTCTCGATTTGCTGTACAGTATGTGCGATGTCACAAACGCAAGGGCTATCGTTTCAGAACTTCTGCATTACTTGACAATTGCCGACTATGCAATCAGAGAGGAGATGGTGTTGAAAATTGCGATTCTAACGGAAAAGTTTGCAACGGACTACAGCTGGTACGTCGATGTTATTCTCCAGCTCATAACTATTGCGGGAGATAGTGTGAGCGATGAGGTGTGGTACCGCGTTGTCCAAATCGTAACAAATAACGAAGATCTTCAAGAGTACGCTGTCCGTACAGTTCTGAATGCTCTGAAATCACCTACATGCCATGAAACGACTCTCAAGGTGGGGGGCTACATTTTGGGAGAATTTGGACATCTGATTGCGAATTCCGCCGGTGGAACCCCAATGGAACAGTTCATGGCTTTACATTCAAAATTTGGCATGTGCACTGGTGCTACAAGGGCACTGCTCTTGTCAACTTATCTTAAGTTCACCAATGTTTTCCCCGAAATTAAAGATCAAGTTATACGAGTCTTCAAGCAATATCGATTTGTACTTGATGTGGAACTACAGCAGCGGGCTTGCGAATATCTAGCCATTGCTACAATGCCTAGTGATGACTTACTACAGGCTGCTTGCGAGGAAATGCCCCCTTTCCCTGAACGGGAGTCTGCCCTGTTGAACCGACTTCACAAAAAGATTCAGGATACCGAGGATAAGCGTACATGGCAAATTGGTGGGAAGGACGCTAATAAGGAGGCGATGAAAAAGGCGGATCGTCGTCGTTCTGCCGTTGAACGTTCTCAAGAGAACATCGCCGCGACTACATCGAGTCAGCAGCCTGCACGGTCAGAAATGGATGAGCTACTCGGACTTGCGACCGAACCAATTTCTCAACCTAGCCCGGAACATAATTATAACAAGTTGATCTTGGAAGCGAACGGGGTGCTATACGAGGACCAATATATCCAGATCGGTATCAAATCCGAATATCACAATAACCTAGGCCGAATGGCAATTTTCTTCGGGAACAAATCGACGTCCACGATAACGAACCTGAACACAAATCTTCAGTCAGGTGAAGGAGTGAAGACTACGCTGATTCAGCCGATCGCCAGCACTGTTCCACCGGCTACGCAATACAACCAAGTAATGTTTTACTGTCTCTTAAAGTTGTGTCGGGCTGGCTTTAATAACATCTTGTACGTCGTAAACAGATGTATAACGTGGAGTGTCATGATGTGGTTGGACATGAAGTAATAATGCTCGTGAACTACAGTATCGGATCTCACCCCATAGAACTGAACATCAAGATGCCAATTGTGCCTTCCAAGTTTGTTTCTGCGGTAGAACTCAGTTCTACGGACTTCTTTGGACGATGGAAGCAAATCGGTGGGGCGCCAAGGGAGAGCCAATATATCGGGAAACTGCGATCCACAGATGTGAGCAGAATGAGGGATCTCATCAAAGGGCTCAATTTCAGCTTGCTTGATGGCGTTGATCCAAATCCAAATAACCTGGTTGGCGCTGGAATCTTTAGCTCAACCAATATGGGTAAAGTGGGATGTCTGATGCGGCTAGAGCTGAACCTAGATCAGCAGGTTTGTACCCTTGTTGTACGTCATCATACCATGCGCTCCTGTAACGCTGTTCACCACCAGATGTATCGATTTACGCTACGGACGACAAATGAGTCTGTAACCGAAGTGTTGGGGCTTCAATTCAAAGAAGCCGTTGAAGGCCAATAGCCGTTTTGATCAAGAATATGGCTATGTATTCGTACAATGTAATCTATTTACAAGGTTTTAAACTGTGGACCCATGCTGTTTAATGCTCTTCATTGCAAACCCACAAATACTGTCACTGATATAGACCTTGTTCCCCTATATATTTGACTACCGAGTCTGGCAGGAGGTATTTGATAGATAGGCGCCGCTTAACGAAGAGCCTGCAAAGATCGGTATGAGATCCTATTTCCTCAGCTAGCACAAGCATCCTTCGCATGCCAATTACCTGATTTTTGTGGAGGATATGTCATTATTGATGTGCTGTTGGATGAGGTGGATATTTTTCTATTTCGCCGATATAGAACGTGATGAGTCAGCAAGTCGATGAAGCTAAGTACAAAAGGCAGGCGCACCCTATGTCGGTATAGCACATCGCTTTGCAGCATGAACTCGGTCAAATCTGCGCCCGATCGTTCAATGATCAGACACCCAAAGTCACCTATAATGTGATCGAGCTATTATAGAGAGAGAACACACTGAAACGGTGAGAAGGCTCCAGCAAGATCCGTCAACAATTTCACCTACATCCGATTCCTTCCACAGGTTGGGCACGGCGAACGATTGTATAAGATCGCCCCCAGCTAGCAGCATGATGTGAATACGCGGATGGCTTCTTTCAGTGAATGTGCTTTGTCCATTCAGCATTCTATCGAAATGGTCCAGCACCCAGGCCGTCCGCTGGTATTCTGGTTGTCTACTTTCCCATGGGTCAACCATCAGCCAGTCGCTATCCGCCACGGCAAGTTCACACATGCGAACACGGTGATTCCATGCTGCTAGCCCCGGTTTATTATAGGCATCGGAGACCGGGGAGAAATAGCCGCCGAGTAGGCAAAACTGGGGATGGTCATTGATATAGTCTCGCGCCATCTCTAGCGCACAGAGTTAGAGCAATGACCACCGGAAGAGCTCGCGGAAACGCAAACGAGGTACCAAACATGCGAAGGTGAAGATTTGTGACGGGAGAATAGGATCCGCAAGCTACGATGACTAGCGGTATCACCCCTGGGCACAGTTCCATCCCTCTTTTGAGTTTGTCCTTTGGGAATACATAATCATCCGGATACGTAGAGTGAGGGGTTTCCCGAGCGGCCGCTACAGCAGCAAGGCTTGTTGCGTGCGTTGAGATGGAGCTCATTCTGTGATCTCGAACACGGATTGTCTAACGTGCGCAGCAAGCTTAGTTTCATGACGCCATGAACGCTGACTCACCGCCCAGAAACCCGTCGGCAGCCTCCAAACCCGCCGCTCCAATTTGGATATAGATCGTCCCAGAACTAGGCAAGGAAGAAGCGCTACTACTCGGACTACTGTTGGGTTACTTCCTCAGGTAGCACCACCATGTCTTTCCAATGGTCATCCAAAAACCAAGCTCAAAATGTGCGTGATAACTCCGCTTTGCTCTCATGGCATTTTGCGTTCTTTGTGCACTTTTGCTAACCTGAGCCATGGGCTGGAACCGATATCATTTAGGGGGTGGAAGACATGACGGTGGGTCCTTTGATGCAGTATATACGCGCAGTTAGATAACTGATTTACCCCGATGCGAATGTGCACAGCTCCTCAGCAAGGTCACCGATGACCAGGTACGCATTCTTTTGTATCGCATGGACTAGTATCTTTGTTTAGTGATTCTTTTGCGTCTGAAGATCACGGAAAACCTAAAAAAGAGGTAGTGATTTCCTATTCATGCGTGCTGCTTGCTGAGCAGTTATTTACCGAAAAACGGATACCGTAGGATTCAAGCAGATTTGATGTTCACGTATATTGGTACGTATGGTCAAGTTCATGGAAGCGATTATATTTGACTAAACAGTAAGCCTACGTCAGGACCTACTCTCGTCGCCGGTAACTCCATACTTGTCCTAGCTCACCGTTGTTGAATCGGAACAGTGACTGACTTCGCACAACCTGGTTAGTGAATCCCTATAAGAAACTTTCTTACTTTACGGAGAAAGAGATAGGTACGCGTCGGCATCTCTGTGAACTTTTCTTTTCTACTATTCTGTCAACGCTGACTCGTAAAATGGCTGTCTGTAGAGCTGTATCATGGTGCCGTGAGTATCAAGATACATCATGTTGCATAGGATGACGAAAACGAAATATGACTTTGGCTTCGTAGGCGTCCTACGAGCATCCCCCGCACATCTACGCCGTCGCTGATAAAATGTAGGTGCACTCTGCTGCACCCTCTTCTCATGCAATGACTTAGCCACCAGATCGCAGGTTCCAGAGTATGATTACCGACGAAGAGAATCAATGTGTAATCATCAGGTACGAGGAGCAGAAGGGCTGTCCGTTCAGCCCATGCTGACTTTAGCTTCTACAAATGTGTAGTGGAGAGAGTGGAGCAGGTGTTTATGGAGCATTCGCAGCCGATGGAATTACAAGCTTCTGAAGCATTTCATATCATTGCACAGGCAAGACGGAGTCTGCAAAATTGATCATGTACGAATGAGCGCATTGTGACTGCATGGGGTTCTCGCGTTTGATGTATTCAACTTGGTTCCCGTCACAGGAACTACATCGCTGCCGTGTCCGCCAAAGGTGGATCGATGAATCGTGTTGTAGACGAAGTTAAGCGAATCATTTTAGGGTCGAATCCCCTATTGGAGTCTTTCGGCAACGCGAAGACTCTCCGAAACAACAACTCCAGTCGTTTCGTATGTACCTTGAGTTTGCTGTTTACTCGTCAATTTGAAACCTCTCTGAGATGTGCTGGCTTTAGGGAAAATATTTCGAAATCAACTTCAGTAAAAGCGGGGCACCTGGTGGGGGGAAAATATCTAATTTTCTCCTGGAAAAGGTAATGTCATGGTGCCCTTTGCACAATTTGCAATGTAGCTCATCTGTAATATTGGACCATCAGTCTCGAGTTGTAGGACCCGGTCCCGGAGAGCGGAATTTTCATATTTTCTACCAGATGACCAAGGGTGCCAGTCCACATGATAAGGAGCAATTGGGCATGATGGAGCCAAAATATTTTCATTACCTCAATGTCAGTGGAGAGTATAATGCGGACGGTATCAACGATGTCGAAGAGTATGAAGACATGAAGAAAGCAATGGCAGTGTGCCAGATCAGCGAAGCGGATCAGCTGTGCGTATTGCAAATTGTGGCGGGCATTCTGCATCTAGGAAATATCGCATTCTTCGAAGAAGGGAACGACGCAAAAGTGTCAGATCCCCAAGCATTGGCATTTCCTGCCTATCTTATGGTAAGACTTGGTGCTGCAGCCATAATTTTCGGCGGGCTCATCTAAGTCCATGGCTAGGGGGTATCCGAAGACTTACTGCAGGCGAAATTGACAAGGTTCGTGTGGACAGTTTCGGTTCGATTGGATTACGGGCTAATTTCTGTTATAGCCGAAGGATGACCACTGGCGGTTTTGGCAAAAGAGGCTCCTCCTACAATGTACCGCTTAATGTGCAGCAGGCACAAGGAACGAGAGATGCACTTGCCAAGGTAGTGTTTCGGGCCCCGGGCGTTAGGTGTGCTTTAGTTACAATACTCACCAGCAAGGATAGGCATTATACAGTCGCCTTTTTGACTGGATAGTACAGGTTTGCATCTTATACCCATTAATCATGACTGCCAGCAAATTTGACTCTATCCTAGGCCGTCAACACAGCAATGGCTAACTTAGCAGCCGGCTTACGAGAAAAAGCCCAGCTTTCCTTGGGCGTTTTGGATATCTTCGGGTTTGAGGTACTTCATATCCCATTTGAGCCGAACCACAAACATCTAAATTCGGCGTGTTCTACTTTATTCCTTTAGATCTTTGAGGTATTATGCAGATGCAGTGAATGCCTGAACTCGACTTCAGATACTGATTGAAGGCACCGTAGCGGAATGGATTCGAACAATTCTGCATTAATTATGTGAACGAACGATTGCAACAGATTTTCATCGAGCTCACTTTAAAATCCGAGCAGGTAAGCTATGACGGTGTTACATTAGATTACCGTGAGATGTCGTGCTAAGGTAATTGTCAAAACAGGAAGAATATCAGCGAGAGGGTATCAAGTGGACACCGATTGACTATTTCAATAATAAGGTGGTGGTTGATCTGATCGAAAGTAAAGTGAGTCTTTGAGGAATTCTGCATTCTGAAATGAAGGGGTACAATGTTAAACGACCGATGAATAGAGACCTCCAGGCATCATGGCAGGTGAGCTCCATGGCATCTTTGGATTCCATTTGATAATGATTAATTTTGACGGAATATTAGTCTTGGACGATGTGTGCTTCACCATGCATGCTGTGAGCGAGGGGGCAGATCAAACGTTCGTTCAGGTTGGTACACCTTGTGGTGCCGTTTGAGGGCAGATTGAGTTCACCCACAACGACTATGGAAATTGCAGAAATTGGATATGGCTTGTTCTCAAATAAGGTGTGTATTGCTGAAGCGTTCGGCACTGGTAAATGGCATTATCTGAGAGTGAGTACAGCATTATCAAGGGATGCAGACGCAATTTGTTATTCGTAAGTAGCCGCGGTACTTCAATTGTTAATCATTGCGTTGATGCCTTGGTTGTACTGTAGAGCATTATGCTGGTGCTGTGACATACGACTGTGACGGTTTCACAGAGGCAAACAAAGATACTCTGTTTAAGGACCTAATCTCTCTTATGCAAACGACAAGCAAGTACGTCCGGATATGGGCAGCAGATGGCGACGGATGCTAATGTGTGGTATCAGTCCTTTTATTTTCAATCTCTTCCCAGAAGAAGTGGACGAGACCGATAGAAGGCGACCAACCACTGTATCTCACAAGATCAAAGTAAGGGCTTGACTAATCCAGCTGACCCGATTGAAGTTGGATTTATATATTAATCTTCGTCATAGAACCAAAGCCAAGAGCTAGTGGAGACTCTGATGCGGTGTACACCTTCATATGTCAGGTATCGTTTGATTCTTTTCGCGCGTACAATACAATTGTGAGATTTCTAATAGTTCTATAAAAGGTGTATCAAACCCAATGAGACGAAGCGGCCGAAGGACTGGGATGGCAAAAGGTGACACACGTGGTGGGCCGTAATCCACAGCTGCCTTCCTCGCTCACATACTAGGCCGATATTTCCAGAGTTGAACACCAAGTCCGATATCTTAATTTGAAGGAAAATATAAGGGTGCGGCGTGCAGGTTATGCCTACAGGAATACATTCGAGAAATTCCTCAGAAGGTAAATACTTGTTGGCATATATGTTTGATGAAAGAACGTCCCGCTCACTCCCTCATAGATTTGCAATTCTGACGAAGGAAACCTTTCCGGTCTGGCACGGTCGCACGGAGGATGGTATTAAGGTGATAATGCAATCGGTCCATATGGAGCCTTCAGAGTGGCAATTGGGTGTTTCGAAAATCTTCATCAAGTCGCCCGAATCTCTATTTCTGTTGGAGGAGCAACGCGACCGGAAGTATCACGGATATGCTAAAGTAATTCAAAGAGCATACCGGCGCTGGAAGAGCCGAAAGTATTTCTTGGAGCTGCGGAAGAAGGCCGCTGATGTGATGTACAACAACAAAGAGCGAAAGCGGTTCAGTGTAAACAGGGAGTTTTTGGGGGACTACGTTAACTACCTGGACAATCCGATCCTGAAGAATCTTGTTGGTGTGTTAGCGATCTCTCCCAAAATTCAACTGCCTTTATCCCTGCGACGTTAATGTTGGAAACGATTTTACAGGAAAGCAAGAGAAGGTGTTCTTTGCGGACATTGTCACTAAATATGATCGGAAGTTCAAAGCCGCTCAACGGGAATTGCTCATAACGGAAACCAGCTTAATAATGATTGGAACTGAGAAAGAAAAGAGCGGGCCGAACAAGGGCAAGCTAGTGAAAGCCGTAAAGCGGAAGATTCCTCTAAACGATGTCCAGTCAGTATCCTTGTCAACCAAACCAGACGACATCTTTGTACTTCATGTGCCGTCTGAGTACGACAATGTGCTGGAGAACATCTTCAAGACAGAACTGATAACTGTGCTTAGGTGAAGTCAAGTCGAGTTCGCATAAGTAATGGGAAGGGATTAACATCTATTTATCAAAGTGAGAAATACGAGTTAGCGGTTGGTCGAAAGCTGCCCATAGTCTTCTCAGACAGGTAGGGTGAAGAGTCTTGGGACGCGATGCAAAATATCTGAACGACGTTTTACAGTATCAAATATTCCGTAAAGAAAACGACATGGCAGAGCGGCGGCCAGCATGAGATCCGTTTTGTGACAGACGCCTCTGTTAAGGCACCACTGATTAGAAATTCAGGAAAAGTCACGGAAGTCCGAGTTGCCAACGGTCTTCCCAAGGATTCGCGACCAAATGCGGGTACAGTCGCACAAACGGGAAGAGTCGGCGGTGTCGGAGGTTACGGACGGGGAGGTGCCACACCAGCAAGTGGCTACGCAGCTGGTGGTGCGGGGCGAGCACAAAACAATTTCTTTGGGGCCTCATCAATAGGGGGTGGTGCTGGGTCAAGACCAACGGGAGGCGGATTGGGGGGCGTTCCTTTACCTCAAGGCATGGGATCGGCCACAAATCTGGCAGCCAAGAAGCGACCTCCTCCCCCGCCGCCTGCGAAAAAACTGCCGACCTGTCGGGCTTTATATGTGAGTAACAGAATTCGCACTGTTTATCAGCATCTGCTTATTTTGTGTCTCGGAACTCTTAGGACTACGAAGCTCAGGAAGCTGGTAAGCATGTAGAGCCACCGGGTGCCGTAAGTTTTAGCTTACACTATATCTGTGTCTAGATGAGTTGACGTTCAGAGCCGGAGATGTTATAACTATTGTGTCAAAAGGTAAGCGGTTGGATTCTTGGTGCAACACGTCCACATAGCTGAGTAGTCACATCCTTTAACAGATGACGAAGGATGGTGGCAAGGGAGCGTTAGTGGAAGGAAAGGGTTGTTTCCCGCAAACGTGAGTCTGCAATTCGTTCACTTGATCCAGCGTCTCCATGTAACACTAGACTCCTCTGCAGTATACTGAGCCAATGTAGATGACGATGACTGTATGTGGGCACATTTTGTTCCCTAGTATATAAGGACAAAATTAAAATAGAAATGGCATCGCTGTCGCCGTATTTTTGGTTTATTGAGTATGAAAGCTATCCTTTTGACTCTTGCTTTTTTGCGTCCTCATTTATATCAACGTCCTCCCAGTCATGTTCTTGAGATTCACCTGTAGCAATGTCTGGGGTCGTTCGACCGGTTGATGGCGGGCTGACGCTCCAGTCCTTTCTTTTCTGGTTCAGGAAACTACTGACGTTGGCGAATATTTGGGATGTTGTAGCTAATTGACAAAGTTAAACGAACTCAGGATGACTGTTTAATGGCCCTCCACCGTTACCTTGCAGTCGTTGCTGCTGAGCGGGATCTGTGACAGTGTCCATTGCTTTCGTGAGAGATGTTTCGACTGCCTTATTTATATTCTGCTGTATAGGCGATAGGTTTCTTCCAAGTTCAGAAAGTCGGGCAGCAAAAGACGTTTGAAGTATACCAAACGTTGATGCGCCTTGACAGGGATGAGCTGGGCTAATACTGGGAGAGGAGTTGGTACTTCTTAGGAGGCCATATACAAAGGAAAATGAACGCAACGCACTTTGGATTGTCTGGCAGTTCTCCTCCTATTATTGCCAACCATTTCGTGTAATGAATCGTGGATTGCCATGCCTTCACCCAGGCGGGATTGAAGTCTGCTAGGAAATCTTTTCCTAAAATGATGGACAATAAGCTCCCATTGCATTGTGGAAGGTCGATGAAGCACACCTCGTATCGCTGGGTCCACAGAGATTGCCGCAGTCTGAGCTGTCTTCACAGAAGCCAGCAAAGTAAGAAGGTACAGCTCAAACCTTGCTCGGATATCGTCGTCACTGCCCTCGAAGGACAATTGTTGATTCATGGACATGTCGTCTGAGAAAGACCATGGCATGAGCTACTCGCATGAAGGAATGGAGTGAATGAATCAAGTAAACCTTCTGGACTCCACGTTGCAACAACTGATTTCGTGATATCTGAAGATAGGTGTTTAGACATTGTTTGCATGTATGAAACAAGGTCAGGCATCAGCGCACCATCAATAAATTTCTTGTCTGGAGTAGTCAAGCTTATGAGGGGATTGAGAGCTGGATTCATGAGTTCTAAAGTACCGGTATCGACCTAAATCCCGCAGGATGTTAGCTAACGGCATGAAAGATCTCATGTACGAAACAGTGCAGGAACGTAGCCTACATTGGCAATGGCGTCGACTGCGCATCCTTTGTGGTGGAGGAAAATGGCATTACTGGTGCCCACCAAGTACGACTTTGTGTCGGAGGACATCAACACGTCCATTTGTTGCAAGGGGATATATGGTTGAAAGAAGGCCGACTGCATCAAGCATTGTTAGTAACCGGTTTCCCATGTATGACGGTCAACTGCTGCATACTTCTCCAAATATCGGTAATGGCATCCACTGCCGCAGTAGCCCTCCTTGCTGATCTGAGGAGACCCCATACATCTTTTTCGTCGGGTCATCCTTCCCCTCCGGCCCTCGACCCAGTGACGGAGCTCCAGCATCCCGAAGCCCTCGCAGCAGTTCTACAGATTGATCAAAATTTGTATTCCAGGTGGCGACAGATATCGCATTCGGTCTTCACTGACCTGGTATCAAAGAAACCAAGCTGTATTGGTAAGCGGACAGCCTCTCAACCTTGGAGCCAAAAAATAAAATCTGTGTCGAAGGCTCTGCGTCAGCACGATACGCCACGCTAGAACATCTATGTGCGTACCCTTTTTTCCAGAAATAATAATTTGAAGAGTTGAAGGGTTTTTTGCTTGAATTTATTCACTAACTCTCGCAAAGAGATGCCTAGAAAGTAAAACGCTTAAAACACGGCCGAACACGAAGGGAAGCATCCCCTTTATACCCATGTAAAGTGTGCTGTCGGGAATGTATCCTGAAACGGACACTGCCAAGCTGTTGTAGAGTGTCTATTTTTGAAAACGAAAAGGATGAGACAGCGCACCAGCTCGTGGTCGTTTCGCGGAAGCGGTTCAGACCTCTAATATTTCAAGCTTCGAAAAGTCCTTCTGCTCAAAGAATGCACGAGTCACTAAACCGAGCTTACTTCGGACCGATCCTAAGGTTTACATCAGCGAAAGCCAGGTGGGAGTGTTTAAAACGTGTACGGACCCAAAACGGGTTGGGTAGCGAGCACTACCACGGCTTTTTGCACTGTACTGCGAGTGACATCGACGGTTTTGTTGATGAGCTCCTGAAATGCCGGAACACAATGAGGTTCATGATGCAATTTCAACAGGAACGAATAGTACCCGCTTACACTTGCTGGCATCTGTCGGTAGCACGCCAGTCCAAACAATGTTGATTGCGGATAACTTTTCCACTCTGGGACTGGAGGAAGATGAAAATCTAAAGGAATGGAGCGCAGTTGCGGTGGAATGAACATTGTATGTTTCATATGAAGAAAAGGGGCAATACTTACAAATGAACTCTTCGTCCGTTGCTGTAATAAGCCATAATCTGTAAGTAATACTGTCTGACAGATTGATCCTGAAATCCACTCGGACTCACCGTGGGCTCCATCAGGCAAGCAAAGAAAGGGCTTAGGATCAAAAACATTCTATCAATGGTCATGGAACATATGACCAAAACCCAACTCCAACATACGAGAAAGGACCATTCCTCGGGCAAAGCTACAGAGGTATCCTCACGTAGCAGTTTATTATCCTCAGACGGGTTTGACCCTGGCAATGGTGGAAAGGGTGGAAAGGCAAACTCCACTTGCGGACCATTTCTATCTCCGTCCTTAGGTCGGTAAGAGCTCTCGACCGACGATAAAGGCTTATCATGCCAATTTGAAACTTATACCTGTGATGAAAAGCAACGCAGAGTACTGCATTTGACAAGTAGCCTGGTTAAGGGAAGCTTCGAAGACTTCTGAACAACTACTCGGGGCACACTACCATGCAAGATTATACGCGACTTTTGAGGTTGGGGTTCAGTAGATGATGCGGATTCTTGGCTCAAACTTGCATCGCCGTCCTTTGGTGCTTCCTCGTCTATGGTTGCATTTTCAGATTTGGTTTCAGGCTCCATAATGGGCCGTAAAATGTAAAGGATCGTCGAGCGCAAACGTTGGAGCAAACGCTGCTTCAGTCAGCGCTGCCCTCAGTTGATCACGTGACAAGCCATTCGGTTACCGATCAACTCGAGCGTTCCAAGCGTACCAAAGGTACCAGACGTTACGCGCTTGATTTGTTGGGCAACCGCCAACGGCTGAAGGCTTTACTAGCGATCAACTCCGATGGCAGACTTTATAGGTGCGTTCGTTAGACTTTGTGATATGGTGTTCAAGGTGGTAGATTACTGTATAGATGCACGGCTGATCTTTCTGCTTTTTTTGTAGACGAACTACTTGTGTTGCGAAACAGTTTTTACCTGGGCTCGTGGCAGCAGGTCATTGACGAGGCCTCGGATCCTTCGAAAGCCCCACGGACAGATGAAGCAAAGCTTCAACAGCGCGTGCTATTATATCGTGCATGCGTAGCTCAAGGCAAGCCGGAACGTGCCATTGCCGAGATTCGCGATAACGATGCACCCGAACTTCGAGGGGTCAAATGTCTTGCACGCTATGTTAAAGCCGCATCTTCCCAAAACACGTCCGAAAAAAGCAAGGCTGTGCAGGATATTACCACACTGGCTGCAGAGGGCACAAATGGGCTCAGCAGTACTGTACAAGTTCTGGTTGGGTCTGTCCTGTACGCTGAAGAGCGTTATCCTGAGGCATTAAAAGCCGCGGTACAAAGTCCCCGAAACTTGGAATGGTAAGAAGCCTGTGGCTGGCGCGAATATGGCAAGATCCTCTTTCTCATCCAATGTCCCCCAGTGTCGCACTCGCTATTCAAACATATCTTAAAATGGACCGCCCCGAACTTGCCCGCAAAGAAGTCGAGAAATTGAAGACCTGGGCCGATGATGCCACATTGGCGCAACTAGCTGAAGCCTGGGTTAACTGTTACATCGTAAGCCGGCATCCACGTTCAAATCTTGATATGCCTTTACCTGAGATTGCCAAACAAAACAGGGAGGAGACGAAAAGATACAAGAATCTCAATACATCTTTGAGGAACTGGCTTCATCGAAGCTTAGCACCGGTCGACTGGTTGCTGGACATGCTATCTGCAAGATGCAGGCTGGAAATTTTGCAGAAGCAGAACGACTACTACTAGAAGCTCTCAGCAGAGTAAGGCATGGTTTTCGGTCGCTGCGAACGGGGCAGCCCTGTCCGTAAACTGGTAACTGAAAACAAACTACGTTGCAGTACGCAAGCGACCCCGATGTTATAGCTAATCTGATTGTATGCGCAACTGCCACTGGGAAATCTGCGGAAATTCTCTCCCGATACACAAGGTACAAGCAGTATTGTACTGTTGTGTTTCATCGCGTCCATCTAATCGTGAACTACACTCTGCAGTCAACTTAGACAAGTCGCTCCGCAGCATCCCTTGCTGCAAGATCTCGTCCTCAAAGAATCGCTTTTTGATCGGGCTGTCCAACGATATGTATGAGCAAGGTGCCCGATATGATAGGGAGTACTGAACACAAGGACCGTTTATCGTCGTGCCTCTGTAATATAAATTTATCGAAATGAAGTCGAGCTATCTACGCGCGATATATATACACACTTTATATGAGAAATTCTGATGTGCTTCACTGCCAGCTCCCCTTGGATGTCCTCTGCTATTCAATTATCTCCCTGATCTAACCGTCCCAGCTTGCGAGAGCTCCTCTCCTGTACCCACGAGAATCCATGGCAGTACTGGTGACTACGAACACTGCTCCGCCCATTAAAATGCACTACCCTCATTGAACCATCTTTCGCACACCGTCCTCACGAACTGATTGTACCAAGCCAATTCTGCGCCAGAACGAGCAAACATAGCAAACGGATCGTTCCTGAGAGCGACATCCTCCTCCTCTTCGTCGCTATCCCTGGTAACTAGCCCATTTTCTCCGTATCGGTTCAACGCCTCGCGCGATTCCCGGCGTTTCATTCGGGAATCCCGCCATCTCAAGAAATTGTTCTCCACCAACTGCTCAACCAGTGCTAGTTGATGTCGTTCTAAATGATGCACTGCAAGGCACCCGTTTCGCAGTATCATTGACAAAATTATGTCCTTTAGATTTGTCTCGTCACCACTGGGTAGATTGGAGCGCAAGTACGCAAGATGCTCACTTTCGCGCTCGAGGATATATTCTGTGAAAGCAGAAAGATGAGCCATCTGTTTTGCCAGGAGAAGGCGGCTATCCCTTATCACCTTGTAACGGCTTGTCCTGGTTCGCAAATCGTCTCAGTTCTAGCATGTTTCCATTGAAATTATAGACAAAATGGTAGGCAGTCTCGTTGTCAAACTTCTGCTCATTCTTCAAACTTGGATTCAAAGTGTTCATTAAGTAGTCCGCGACCTTCTCATCTTCCACCGATTCAAGACAACGATAATCGAGTCGCCAATCAAAGCCTCTCACTGAATGGAAAGAACATTAACACAACAGATATACACCGAAGCCTGCGGGATCGCCACCTACATCGTCTGATGCCAGCAAGAACGGACTTTTCCGAGCTGCAAAAGACAACATCGAGAATCCCCTCTGATTCGCACTGAAGAAGCCACTGAAATGCATCTTCTATGCCGTTGTAGCGATCATCCAGGGGAAGATAATTGTGAAAAAGAAGCTGGATGTCATCAATCACCAAAAGCGGTGGTCCCGCGGCGGATGCCGGACGAAAAAGACGCAGCGCTTGGCTGATATCGCTAAAAAGGTGCCCTATTTCTAATCCATCGTCCGGAGATATCACATCTGAAGCGATATTCCAACAAGTCTCAGCAAGCGAAACGAATCAAAATGTGCGAGAACTTGGAAAATTACCTCCTTTCAATCCGAAAGCACGTGCCAGAGCGAGCTGCCAAGCATCCTCCAAAGCTTCTGACGATGTTGTGACATTGTCGTTCAACTCCTCTTGTTCAGCGTCATCAAGCTCTGTTGCACTTCCACCATGTCTCTTGTTGAGGACTTCGGCAAGCTTCATGTAGATGGCGGGCCTTGATGCGCACTCGGAAGTAGTCCAAGTTGCTAAGGCAGTGCCTTTCCCAAGACCTGGTGCCCCTTCAACTAGAAAACATTAAGCCATATAGCACAGTCAGTAGGGTCCGTCGGTGATCGTCCATGCGCCAGCGGCCCGGTGGGGTATGCGACATGCACGCCGAGAATAACAAAAGCAGTATTACCAAGCAAAGGAGTTCCTGCCTTTTTCGCCTCTTTGACCTCAGAGACAAGGTGCTCGGTTTGTGCGGGAAAGGGTGGAAGGGAATATTCTGACGTCTCCGCCGATGCCTCATTTTCGGCAGCTGATTCCAAGATCTTCACCAAGTGGTCAATAACGTCCTTCACACTTGGCTTATCTAGTCCTTGCAGATCCACTTTGACAGATGGCTTTCGGCGGCCTCCCTTTCCTCTCCCTTTGCCGCTGAACAGTGACGAATTCTTACGATTTTCGTCCCCGACGGCAACCTCATCACCTTCCCCAAGTGACCACAGTGCCCAGACAAGAATGACGGCAGCAGCACCTCCTATGAGGTAAGGTACAAGCTCGGAATCTAATCGAGGTCTTGGTGCTTTGAAGCGGGCCATGGGGATAGAAATTCCGTCGAGGTCCTGCAAGAAATCGCTCAAAGCAATGCTCATCGAAAGTGCAATTTACCGCATTTGGACAAATGATATGCACTGGCAGTGCGAAACTTGACCTTCCAGTACGAAACTCCCCAACCATCATGGCGTTCGCATTTTTTAACAGCGGTGGTGAAGATTTCATGGGAACTACCCCCAGTTGTCTCTCCTATTCAGAGGTTGGTTGATTTACCTCGATGTTAACAGTAAAGGATATCTTCGACGCATTGCCTTCTAGCCTCCTGAGCGAGGAAACCGAAGGTTACATCCGAGCGGTTCTTGGGGAGTCTGACGATACCCCTTTGGAGCTGGATGAGGTGAAGGAGGTTTTGGCGGACTTCCTTCAAGACGCTGGTTGGAGTCAAACGCAAGTGGATGGATTTATCGCTCAGTTTCGCCAAGCTACCCCCCAGGCTGAGCCCAACGCAGAGAGTGGGGAACACGAGCTTAAAAAGTTGGAAGAGTCAGTGAAACTCTCCGTGAACACCGAAGAATCTGCACCGAAATTAGTAGATTTGAGCCCCTCGAAAGCATCGTCACCGCCCCAATCGCCTCGACGGCCTCCTCCCAAAACTAAACGCGTAGCAAAAACTGTTGAAGTGGTGGCCACATCTCAGGTGTCGAGATTTCATGCGGAAACTTTGGACACACTCTCAAACGATGTTGATTTAAAAGGCGTCAATATCACTGTGGGGGATCATGCACTTCTTGTGGATGCGAATCTACGGTTGTTTAGAGGTGTGCACTATGGGTTAATCGGTCGTAATGGAGTCGGCAAGTCCACTCTTCTCAAGTGTATTGGGCACAAGCAGCTTATAGGCTTTCCCACCAACATCAAAGTCTTATATGTTGAGCAGCTGGAAGGGGTGGAAATGTCAAGACCTGTAGTTCAGGTGGTTATGGACGCTGACAAAGAGGCATCACGTCTGCGAAGAGAGACACTCTTGATTCAGTCTGTACTGGAAGCTCCCAATCCATGTGAGATTGCAAAAGCAATGCGTACCATTCGGCTTGCTCGGCTCGTCGAAGAGAAAGATGCAGCGAGTGAATTGGCCGTTAAACGGAGCGGAGCTCGAGGAGCTGAAGCCAGAAAGCAGCTGAAACAGTTGGAGAGCATGGTGGCAGAGATGGAAGAAGCGCATAAGGCTCCCATTTCGCAAGAGGAGATGGATAATGCCGCTTCAGAAGCGCAAGGAGTTCTAGCCGACCTGTACGCCATGATGGATCTACATGATAACGATGCAATGGAAGGCAAAGTGCGGAGCATATTGAAGGGTCTTGGCTTTCCGGTTGAATGGCATGATCGGCCGCTCGGAGAGTTGTCGGGTGGATGGAGGATCCGAGTCGCGTTGGCTGCGGCTTTGGCTCTGCGACCAGACGTACTGCTCCTTGATGAGCCCACAAATCATCTCGACCTTCCTGCCATTCTCTGGTTGCAATCTTATTTGGCGAGCTTAACAGATACCACCATTGTGACAGTCTCGCACGATCGAGCCTTTTTAAATGCGGTCGCACAGGAGATCATAGTTTTTAAAGATCAGTCACTAACGTACCACACCGGGAATTTCGACGAATACTTGCAGCATACTGAAGAGGATCGCAAGTACAAGGAGAAGATGGCAGATGCTATAGAAAAAAAGAGGACAACAGCAGCAAAGAGCGTGCAGACCGCAATGGTTCGTGCCCGTCAAAGCGGAGACGACAAAAAGATGGCGGCTATGGCATCAAAACAAAGGAAACTGGAACGATTGGGTATGGAAGTGAACGAAAAAGGCCATCGCTTCAAACTGAATCGCGATCGCGCTGGGTACCACAGCACTATGCGTGAAGAAGTAAAGGTGGAACGGGCTGAGCAAGCTTCAGCGTGGTCGATCGCGAATCCCACACCTTTGCGGCAAGGGCATGCCATTCTTGAGGTTGAAGGCGTATCCGTGGGATTCGATGCACGTCAACCAATTCTTTCGGACGTCACTATGAATGTGACCCAATCGTCTCGAATCGGGATCGTTGGAGCCAATGGAAGCGGGAAGACTACTCTTGTGAAAGTGCTTGTTGATGAGTTGTCCCCATTCAAAGGCCGTGTGAATCGACATCCTACAGCCAAAATAGGATATTTCACTCAGCATCATGTCGACGATCTTCATAAATATCCAGCCGACACATCCGCGATCTCGCTGCTACTCCAAAATCAACCTGGGATGCGGGAACAGGACGCACGCGCACATCTTGGAAAGTATGGCATCAAAGACGCGGTCGCGCTCCACCCTCTAAGACATTTGAGTGGAGGGCAAATGGTCCGAGTTGCATTTGCCTTGAGCACTTTTGGCTCGTCGCCACACCTGTTTGTTCTAGACGAGCCGACCAACCATTTAGACTATTTAACTACACAAGCGATGATAGAAGCTTTGAAGAACTTTGAGGGAGCAGTTGTTATTGTATCGCACGATCAATATTTCGTTTCTGAAGTTGCGAACGAGGTGTATTTGGTTATGGACGGACATGTAAACCGGTTGGAGGGTGGTATGCAGGAGTATGTAGCGCTATGTACCAGTCGAAAACGATTGAAATAATCGTGATCCTTGGATAAGGCATAACCAAAAGCACGCCCCATCTTGCCGTCCAAATCCCAACTTGCGCGCAAGTTCAGAAGCAATATGTCCTAAATGGGATGAGAGATGATGAGTCATTCTGCATCTCACCGGTGGGCCGATGCAGTCCGTCCGTGTCTTCCTCCTGCCGTCAGTCTCTTCTGTCCTTTCGTCCCAATCCAAGAGGAGCTTACACAACATGCCATCGACTGAAGGACTGTTGGTCGCCGGCTTTGCCGCCGTGATCGCCAGTTTCTCCCACTTTACAGGGTCCTACATTCCATCGCTTATCTCGGTGGCCCTCCTCGCCGTCTACCCATTGACGCGCCATATGACGAATGGTGGTTATGTTCAGCAGTTTCCAACCTTTGAGGACTGCTCTGATATCTTTTTGAATGTACGGTTGCAGCAGATACGCGAGTTCCTACGTTGAGTAAGACGGAATGGAAGGAGTTTCCACTGAAAGAGAAGATCATCATCTCGCACAACACCGCCATGTACGTTGCAGCCACTTGCGGCTTTTTGAACCCAAAGCGAAAGAGCTAAATTCTGCACTTTAGTTATCGGTTTGCTTTACCGAGTCCGGATGCGGTTCTTGGTCTACCAATTGGACAGGTAGGCACCTGCAACTGGCCAGCTGCGCAGGCGGTCGTATTGACGGTACGTTTGCAGCATATTTCCGTTTCGGCGGAGATCGATGGAAAAGAAATTGCCCGAAGCTATACGCCAACTAGCTCTGATGACGAAAAGGGTCACTTTGATCTTCTGATTAAGGTATAGTGCCGATGCTGGTGCTATCAACTCCAAGAGTCGCAGATTATTGAGGCTTCCCTGTGATAGTCCTATCCCACCGGCAACGTATCTAAATTCATTGGAGAGCTTAAAATTGGTCAAAAAGTCCGAATCAGGGGTCCGAAAGGCTTTTTCAGATACGAACCCAACTGCGTCCGCGCCTTGGGCATGGTAGGACGTCCCCTCCGTGCTATGACTCTGTCCCGGTCCACTAATTGGCCCATAGATTGCAGGCGGGACTGGTATCACCCCGATGCTGCAGATCATAAAGGCAGTTTTAAAGAACCCTGCTGACAAGACAAAATTAAACTTGATTTACGCCAATGTTACAGAGGAAGACATCTTACTCAGGGAGGAGCTTGAAACCTTGGCAGCAAAGCATCCTGATCAATTCAGTGTGTACCATGTTCTCAACAATGTAAGATATTTTGAATGTTGATACCCATCCAATACGTGCTGCTAACACCTCTGCTTTCACAGCCACCGGAGAACTGGAATGGCGGCGTAGGTTTCGTTAGCAAAGAAATGATTAAAGAGCACTGCCCTCCCCCGGCCGATGACATAAAGGTCCTCATCTGCGGTCCACCTCCTATGGTAAGACTGAAAGACTATTCGCTTCAGGGGCCATTGCTCATCAACTTCATGAACCCTCAGGTGAAAGCTATGTCTACCTACACCGAAGAGCTCGGATATCCTAAGGTTCGCTCGGAAATGCATGATCGTGAGCCTACGTCGTAACTAACCAGCTGTTAATCGTGTGCAGTCCAACGCAATTTCGAAAATGCATGACGTGGTGTTCAAGTTTTGAGCTACTAGAAAGAGAAGAATATATAAGCGTTATGTGTACGCAATGTTGTAGCGTAGATCGCGGGCTTAAACTTGTGCAGGGTTACAAGGGAATAGGGTATTTAGATATCTTTCGGACTACATAAGCGGAATAGATGCTTTTACATAAAAGATAGGCCGTCAACTATCCACTGTGAACTGCAGGTACATCCAAAGCCCATGCTAGAGCGGTCCTTGGGCTGGTCATGGTGAGTCAAGCATGTATGCAATCGCCGCTTCGACGTTGCCACCCTATCCAAAGATAAAAGTCAGGCTCAACTGAACTTATAAAATGACCCACTCTTGAAGACTCACGGCGGCAAGCAGGGCTCGAATACATCTATCTTTTTCCTGAAGCGATAAGACCACTGGAGCGTGAGTAGTTTTGCAATGGTAAGCAGGTATCTAAGATCTCACCTCAAAGCCCATATCGCGTAATGTATTCTTCACAAAAATGGTACAATGAGATCGCAGAAGAGATGCTATATGATAAACACATGCTTCATACCAATTGCTCGGCAAACCGCTCTTCGTGTGATTCAGTCAAGGACTGTGGCTCGACTTGTGGTTGAGCTGGCGCTGCCGTTGACGCTGTCAGCGGTTCAAATGGCTGAAATGCGCCCTGAAGTTGTTGGATTTGTTGCATCATGCTCCCAAAGTCGAAATGTGGTGCTGCAAGAGATGGGGCGGTAGTTGAGGACGGTGTATTCGGTGCGGCCGTCGACGGGGGCTATTGCAGCGAGGGTTAGTAATCAGACCGACCAAACTAAAGATGATTTAATAGATTAACCTGCAAGAAGTTAAGGGAGTTGAAAAGAGCAGGATTTCCAAATGGTGCCGTGAATGGTGACGAGGGCAAGGATGCAGAGTTGGAAGTAGGGGATGTGGTTGGCGGTGGCGCCCAGGGATTTGGAAGAGCCTGGTTGTTGATTCCCTCGCTTGATGATCGTTGTTGCGCACCCAGTAACTCTGCAAACCGACGATTTGCCTCGTCTATAGAATCCCTTCATTAGACGTTCAAACACGTCTATTTGACTGGTTGATTATTGGACGCACCTGTGCTCGTGTCCTCTTCCCGCATTTGACTTAAAGGTGCTTGTATATCGTGATATATGGAACTTAGAGCATTGAATCCACCAGGGATGTTTTCGATGTTCAGCAGCTGCCTGTCTGTCCTCACGTCATGTCACTTTTGGTTCAAATCCAGATTCCAGAAGTAAGGCATCCGAGGTAACATACCAACATTTCTCATCATTTCCTGGCTCTAAATTTTTCATACGATATTAGATGGTTAAAGCAATCACGACATGCAAAGCCCACAGGACGGCATACAAACCAATGCAGGGTTCCTCATAGTGTCGAGCATCTCTCTTAGGAACTACACCATCGATGACAAAAGTCAGCTACATTCGCCAGATCCAATTAATTTTCGCTTTGACGATTACCCGAGGATCATTCAGCGTTTGGCGAAGAGAGGGATTCGACTCAGCTAAGCGTGCAATCCTTGGGTCGTTCTCCAACATGGTACGCATAAATTCTGGATTCTCCAACATACTTCGGACAAAAGGATTTTCTAACAAGGCGCTCATATCTATTTGCAGACGGTTAATAGATTTCGGTGTTAAGGGCCAGGTTACATCTATCGCTGCAGCCACCTGGAAGTCCAAAAGCATTACGAGCCGCGCCTCCTGCTCCTGGAACGTTATGACCGGCTGCCGCCGCAGTACTTGCTTCTTCCGCAGCACGATTTCTGGCTAATTTTGTAGCATGAACTGTGATTCCATCTTTCAATCCGAGCGACGATACTGATTCTTCATCGTCCTTGAGCACGCGGCCAGCATAAACTAGGCGGATCTCGTCCAATGGTACATTGACGCGGGATGCCAGTTGAGCTTTCAGTTCTGCAAGTGTCTCTTTCTCAGGATCTGTAACTCTAAGTGTGATGTCGGTTCCAACATCGCCTAGCCCGGGTGCTAGACGGAACCGGATGTTGATGGGCGATGAACTGGCATCAGTGGAGCTAGACATAATCTCTGTGTAGGCTGTTTCTAGTGTAGAGGTGACAGAAACTGGCACTAGCTACTACACCAGGGAATAAACCGGCGACAACCGGTTCGGAAAAGCCAACTAAGCTACTACTAGGCAATTATACACGCAATACGTAACGGTTGTTTCTAACCGGATAATTGCCCACCACCACACGCGGTCCCTACTAGGCCTTGATCTGGAACTCTTGATGGCATTGAAGGCATCCAGGAGTGAATCGACTGGGCAGCATCACAAGCTGGGGGATTTTCAGTGACAAGGCTTGGAGACTAAAAACTGCATGTCAGTAACAGAATAACATGAAAAGAGATGATGCCATTGGTACATACCAACCAAGCTCAACTAATGTGGCAGTATAATAGCAGCTTTGTTGGTTCCGAGTGATTGTTGCTGGTTCCAGTTGGTTGTAGTCATCGGCAGGGCAAGGTGCAATGTGGGTCGTGATGAGTGTTGCGCAGATGGTTTGAGAGTTGAGGAACTGGTGAGGAAGGGAAGAGACAGGAAAGGCCCCCCTTTTATAGACCTTGAGTGTGGCAAATGGGGTCCAGCTGAAAAAAAAAAAAAAAAAAAAACATTACATTAGCATGCCACACCGCAGTTTGGAGAACATTAGCAGGACGTCTTTCAGCGATGGGGGTTCTGATTATGCAATATAATTAACCGGATTGATCCGGATGATAATGGGTACTAGTGCCATTTACTGTCAGCTCCACACTATGTACTGCAAACAGCGTTTCAAATTACGCGTCATTAGTCATTTGAATTTCTGGAACGTTTGGTTCTTGGTAACAATTGCAAGGGAAGATCCAAAGAGCTTTTGTTCGTTTTCAAGACTTGCCACGGATCTTGCTCCTGGGGTCGGAAATCTCAACGACGGTTGCAAAAGAGAGATGGCTCGTCCTCGCAAAGTTTTTGCAGAGCAACCACGCCCACCAACCAACATTGAAAGCAAGTTAGAGAACCTTGCTCGACTGGCCAAAACTGGACGAAGATCTCGTGCTCAAGCTCCGGATGAGGCACCTATCTCCCGCAATGGCCGACCAAAGAGATTTTCCGTGGACAGAGAAGACAGCGACGAAGCTGCAGGTGATAGTTTTCACAATGGAAATGAACTACCAGCAGCGACACTTGGGAAGCGATACAGACAGGATGACGCTGACTTGCAATCAATGGAACCAGCCACTCGCCGTCGCGTTGGTGTGAGGGCAGAAGAGAACTATTATGCATCTGCGAAATGTAAGTTGACATCCGCGTCAGTTGGTGTCAGACACGACATCTGTTGAGGGAAAGGGGCGCATGTTATTCAACTATGCTGTTATAGGGTCACAATTTCCGCAGCATGATGCTATGATGGCACAAAGATCTTCTCTAAGCCATACCATTACACAGGATTACAACCCAAAAGACTACAATATACCGCCATACTTTTTCCTCTCAAAGGATGGAATGATAGCTACTTTTACCTGGCATCCCCCGAAACGTGTGCGTTTTCGTTCTCAATATTCTTGGAAAGAACAAGGAAGGATACTTACGGTATAATTGGATAATATTCGGAACCCACACGCATAGTCATCTAAGTGGTGGATCCGCTTCCACGTACTTACAGATCTGCAGCGATATCCAGTCAGAAGAAAACACATACCAAGAATATGACTCCGTCAAAGCTCCCCGCCTTCTCTCATTTCTGAGGTCTCATTTGCAAAAATGCATACGAAGAACAAACGGACAGCTGGCCTATCGCACTGCATACCAACTGATCAAGCCAGATGCTGCTGAATTGATTCGACAGCTACCAATGATCGTGTTGGAGGACGCGATCCCAAATCCCCAGTATCCTGGTATGTAAAGGCTAAATTTGACGTGGCTTCATACTCAATAAGCTTCTGCAGGTCTAATATGGCTAGCATGTGCGACGGAGAAAGGGTTTCGGCCACCGATATCGATCATAGAGTGGCTGCTGGGATATGTTAGGGCTGTTGCTGACAGCCCATTTCGAGAAACCTTTGAGGCGTCTGCCTCGTCCGACCCGCTGCAACTGGTGTCCAGATCGGTTGCTGAGCTGCCGACATCGAAGCGCGACCTGCTCTATGCCCTTCAACTGACAAAAAGCCTACAGACATCGGCAGGTGAGCTCCAAATGCGGTGTTCAGACTGGTAGCGCTTTTGTTCATAGTGCTGTTCACTTTCTCAGGGAATAGATTTTTGATTGACAAAACCACGCGAGCTTGGTTTGAGCGCATGCGGTCAGACAGTAATGACAACCATTATTCTAAAACTCTGTATCAAGTCCATCATGTGCCAATCGATGGGGTGCCGAATCTTCAGCCAGATGAGCTGGAACTCTCAGCTGTGGATCCATGCTGCTCCGATATATTGGACATTTTGCGTCAAGAACTGGATGAAGAAGATCAGCAGCGATGGCCGGACGATGTAGTTCTTAAACATATGCTCAACGAGAAGAGTTGTGAGCTCCGTACAAAGATGTTAGTACCAGCAGTCTTTGGAGGGAGCGAATCAAAGAGTGCGGAAAAGCCACCTGGTGTAAATAGGATGGAGGTGGATTTGTTATGGAGAAAGTACAAAGAGAAGATTAGCCAGGCACAAAGGAGAATATTAAGGGGCGCCATCAGTAAGTGATATTGCTGACAGTAATCACTATATAGCTTGTCATCGCAAACATAATGCAGTATCTTTGGCTCCCTTGTCGTGTAATACCAGCGCGATGTTATTTTGCTGTCTATCTTTGCTGATTCACTATCGATCTGCAGTCTCCTTAATCACTTCATGGCCATCGAGTGTGAGAAATAATAGCAAGTCCTTGCCAACTATTGGGGAACCATCCTCACCTCCATGAGCCCGCTCATAGGTTAGACACACATCACGCAAGTCGCGCTCGATCACAGAAGACCAGCTCTGGATATCTCCCAGCTCCTGGGAACATAGGTTACAGCTTGTAGCGGTTCAAAAGGCACCCTTGACGGTAGTCCTGTCAGTTACCTTCAAAGCTGCGTTAAAGTCATTAACTAAGGTCAGCCACTGCCGAGATTGCCGGCCATGCTGAGCAGTCGCAGCAGATAGTTTCTTTGCCTCAACCTCAATATCCCGCTGATTTTTGAAAGCGGAGGCAACTCTAGTAATACACCCAGCAAATGTCACCAAGGGTTTTGAATTGTCTACGTCAAAATATAGAGTACTGGATACTACCGGACGTTCAATGTATCCGCCAGACAGTCTGTCAACGCCGTGACCCCCAGTGTGGCATCCCGCTGCAGATGCTCTGGAACCGCTCTCTGTTATTGACAATTGGGACATATTTCTCCAAGTTATCCTTTCCTCTTACCAGAAGATAGTTTATCGTTGACCTGTTTGACCTGATGGTCTTTGAGTGTTCTTGAAAGCATCAAAGACGAATTTGCCTCAACTTTTGGCCTCAAACGCGAGGGTTATGTCAGTCGACCACGTGAAACCAATTAACAAGCCTTGACCTCGCAGGACTGCCTCCCAGTTGACCTTGCGTCTTTGTGGGCGAGAGAACGTTTGAAGGTAACCATGATGTTTGGTTGCACCCGACGAAAATGTATAAGAACGGTAGGGGTACTACCTGTAGTGTTTGTGGTGTGTCTTGTAGGTATGTTGATATGCTAGGAACAAGCACATGTCGGGGCTTTCGCATTGTGTCATGGGCTGGCTTTTGGTAATGTTTCTGAGTGCAGCATGGTCCTACTATGCGTACATGTTTCGGTTTTATCGTAAGTGTAATTTCACGTTGCAAATGCAGAGTGTCATTCTCGTGGCTTACCTATTATCGCTTTTCCGTACATAGCAAAGTTAGTCTACCCGAACAGTCTAGTCCAGAGTGGTGCGTCAAGTCTTGTGTATCGTTATACCCGCGCTAACTGTACATATCTCAAATCCACTGTGTCGGCCTTTGAAAGGTCTCTATTTTGTACTTCTACACTTCCTCCTCGTCATGTTTGTCTGGAGCTATTACCGCGTAGTTAGCACGTCTCCGGGACACCCCATCAAGGTCCGGTTGCCATTGTACGCAGGAAAACAACGTGCCGATTCTTACGCACTTTGATCGGTTTTGCAGATAGTTGCCGTTCCCCCTTCCTCTACGCGGCTTGTGCCGCGAGGCATTGAGTTGAACGAAGGTGTGAGGCGAGCAGATTATCCACCACCTCTAATACCAATCAGCCATGTCGCTGACAGCAATATGGGATCTGGTGACTCGCTATTGGAGGAGGAATCTGATCGCGGGTACACCGCGGTATCACTACACCGGGAGGACGATGAAGATCTACGGGCATCTGCACGACCGTTGGAGACGAAGCGGGATGGTGGGCGGAGATTTTGCACAAAGTGCAACAATTGGAAACCAGACCGCACACACCATTGCTCTGTTTGTGAAAAGTGAGTTGCACTGTAAACATATCTATTAAGATTCTTGCGATGGCGATCTTAAGGACCGCTCGTTGTAATGCTCAGATGCGTGCTGAAACTTGATCATCACTGTAAGTCAGGGGCAAATCTCTACTCTGCAAATTATTCACTAATGCATCCCTTCAAATTATTGATACCAGGTCCCTGGGTGAATAATTGCGTTGTAAGTGATCCCAAGTCTTGTTAGCTATGTCATAAAATGCTGATGGGACTTTACTGTAGGGATTTGCGAACTACAAATATTTCTGTAAGTGTCGCTGTCTGCAGATTAAGAATCATCATGCAACTTATCATAGCATCTCTTTTTCAGATCTCTTTGTCACGTACACCATGCTATATTGTTTATTTATATTCTTTACAATGATGGGTACAATATTGTGGTATGGTGGAGATGACTTGATGAAGGTACAACCTGTTTGCTTTTTTAGCATGGCGATGTGTAATGGCTAATCACAGGGACCTCTCTATTAGGGTCTTTACGGCATCGATTTTCACACGATAATGCTTTTCATCGTGAGCGGCATCTTTGCTCTCTGCCTCCTCGTTTTCGTTGCTGTACATGCGGGTCTCATATCGAGCAACAAGACGACGATAGAGAGTATGGAAGGAGCCCGAAGGGTGAGACTTGAGGATAACAGTGTGCGGCTGGCTCGACATGTCAACATATACGATCTTGGCGCAAAGGAGAATTTCCTTCAAATCTTTGGGGCAAATTGGAGGTTATGGTTTGTGCCGTTACCAACAAGGTAATTGAACGTTCGTTCATTTCAAACCATGAATTGTGTTGTCCAACACTTCATCTTTGCAGTCTGGGCGACGGGCATTCATTCCCCTATAACCGGGAGACATATCGAAGCCTCCTCGAGGTGTGACGTATTTATCATTCTTTTCTCGGGGGGCAGAAGCAGCGTCTAGTCGCATGTTGTACCATATAGTTGGATAGAGGTTGGAGAGGTACCATTGCGCTTAAGGAAAATATTATAGATTATGGTTTCGCGAAAGGACCCTTATGATGCACATCAGTCCATCATGGTTGCCGTCATCGCTTTTGAATATTCAAGTCAAGCGGTTCCATCTGAAAACTCCAAGGAGATCACAACCTATACCGCGACGATACATTAACATGTCAGTCGTTGATGCCATCTTTACCTTACACTAAATTTTATTTGCAATCACAATCACTAATATGAGTATAACAACTAGAATAGCAATGATTGTTGTCCCTCGCGAGTTTCTCACAGAAGACTGTAGCACCTGCTCTAGTCTTCTACCCGCCCCTCTCAGTCGTCGACTTGTTGAATCGACTCTACCTTCGGTTTCTTCTAAAAGATCAACGTGTAGATCCAATTCTTCGTTGATCAGTAGACCTATATGTTTTTGCCGTGCTATTGTTTCACTGAGCTCGTCCAGCTGCGCATCTTGCTCTGCGGTGAATATTAGATTGTGGTCACGAGCCATCAATAGTTAAATAGGCTTGACACCCACCGTCCATTATTCTCTGTTGCAGATGAAGAGACTCTCCATTGCTCAATTCCTCATCCATGGTTGCCTCAACAGGATCCGTAAACCGAACTGCCTTGTTCCCCCCTTTATTTCGTGGACTGTTCCGCTGTGTGAACAGGTTCATTGTCTCCTCCCCGCGCGCCATCGCTTCTATCCGATCATACTGTTTACTGAGCTGCAGTATTGCCTCCTCCCACCGACGAAGTTCGCTCTTATCCCTGGAACATTATGTTGCTGAACATTCTGACCGATTTTGGCGTGTGGTACATGGACGAACCTTCCGGTCGACTCCTCTGCATCCGATAAGCTCTGCTCGAGCTTTCCAATACCGCTTTTCAATACCGAAAGGTTCTTCTGGATACGCTCATCCAGTTCTTCTGTGGACACACCGAATTTGGCTGCGTGCTTTCTCTCCAATATACACCCTATTGTGTCCTCCCCCAAGGATGTCAGTGTTGCTCGCTCTTTCTCCCTGAAAATGCCGATATGTGAGATAACACGTACAAGTAGGAATCAACAAATACGCGCTGACAGATACGCACCATGTTCCCTGCGTTCGTGCTGCTTCCAGGTCTGTCATTGTGGTCAGTTTTTGAGAATTTCGAGGAACCCGAGCCTTTGAGGCTGAACGTCAACCTCAACATCGTACACGTGATTCAGCTTACGTGGGCACCGATCATTGAGATTGTTAAGCGACATTTTATTCGCAAACAGCAAAAATTCTGATTTATACATTGAAGATTCTAAAGTCATTGTATGGTACATCCACTTGAAGCCTGCCGTGCCTGCAAACGTGCTGCAGCTTCTACAGCCTTGTCTCGCTGTATCTTCTTGAGCCTACGCTCCTCACGACGTTTCCGCCTTTCTTCTTTCGCCAATGAATGTTCAGCAGGACTTCGAGTATAGTTATGTGACGAACTTCCAGCAGTTAAGCCCTCGGCAACCTCTCCTTCTGGATCGACTCGTGGTCGTTTCGCTGCACGAGTTGTGTAATCGCGATATTGCTGCCGTCTAAGAGCCGTTGAATGCGGTGCACGTAGAGCTAGAAAACCATGCCTGTCTGTCAGCCACAAATGCAACACCTACATCCTCTCTTCCTTTAGTTTACCTCCAACACCACCACCTTCAGTAACATTCTGAGCAACTTGTCTAGCTGCATGGTCCGCAAACGTTTCGATTCGGTAAGAGAACATTCTCTCCCTCTCCTCACCGTTAGCGTTCTCCACTTCTCCAAATGTTGGTATAACATCTTTGACCATGTCACCGTTTCGAACCGTCAAGAAACAGCTGTTGTCGTCAATAAAATTAATTCCAACTGATCCCAGTGTCTTAAATTCACTTTGGACATCTGATAAAGTAACATCCGACGGAAAATCATAGACCTTGAATACATGTGAACGATCTGGGATATCTTTGCATTTGCGCGTGTCAGTATCAAATAGAGACCATTTCATGTAAGGTGTTAGCCCTTACCTTCATCCCCTACTATGTTCATGTAGGGTATGTCCGATCGCATAATGTGCAGCTTATTGAGCGCAGGCTGGAAAGCGGGGGAGTCGAATGATAGAGGCAGATTTCCTTCATTCTTTACGATTTGCCCCATCAACTTTACAAATACCACTCCCGTTGCATAAGCATCATAACCAGCTTCATGAAAATTATCAGCATCTTCATATCCGGTGAAGTCGGGATGCACAACTGTGGTCGTAGGATATTTAGGGCATTGTCCGCGATTTCACCAGGTATCACACCCACCGATTGTTGGATACGTGAACGGTTTGAGAGAAACTCTCCGAAGAACATCCGACAATGCGGACTGCATAATAAAAGGCTGCGCAAACTAACTTGAGTTGGGGCTCTTACACTGACATGTCGGATATTGCCCACCTGTACATCAGACTCTGAATGTGCGATGTACTTCGTGTCGTATATGCTGTTTAGGTGAGGCACAGTTAATCATTGCGTCTTTGAGAGGAATACAAAAGCACCATACACGCACACAGGAAATAGATTATGCAGCCCTTGCTTGAATTCCTGCACATTCTCGGGTAATGATCGGTGAAATTTCTCATAGGTTTGGCATAAGTCTATCACGCCATACATTAAAGACGCCGGAAAATGCAGAATGATGCGTGTGAAGACGTAAATCTTACCAAGCATCACGTTATGGCCGATAACAGGTTTTTTGGACCTGCTAATCACTTCGATCACTTTGCGGAAACCGATCAACTGTTCCAGCTCATTCTGACACTAAATGTTATTGTGGGTGCCTTAAAAAAGGCAGACAGTGCATATTCCCACCTCCAAGTACGCCACTCTATTATTGGACCCCGATTTTCGCTCCTCATTTGTAAGCTTACGGATAGTAACATAGCCGGCGGTCCCCTCAGTGCTTAATGCCGAATTATATCTAGCGAGACAGTTTAATCAGAAAGATGTTGCAGTAAGAAGCTCATAAGAAGCATGCATTAGTGTCACCTCTTCTTGATTTCTTGATGTATCAGTCTTCGATGGAAAGAGCTGGGAGCTGCCACCTCTAAAGTCTTCTCGGAAGAATTTTGCAACCAGTTCTGAACCGCCTGTCTGCCAGGCCCAAGGAGCACACACGTCAGTGTGCCACCCATGCAACACGGCACCGAAAAGCAGTTGGGTAAGTGGCATACCGTCCCGACATGCTTACATCGTGGAATCCATAAATTCTCGATTTGCACCCTCTATTGGGATGTCATTGCCCTGCGCAACTGCTCCAATCTTTTGGCGTGCTTCTGCTTCGTCATCAAGGTTAAGAAATGGAATACCTAGTCCGTGCATGTCCCACATTAGTACATCCACACGTCTCCCCGACAATATCGTTAAACACTGTCGGCATTTACCCTGTGATATCCATTTATTGAAGTCAAACTTGTTTCCTCTCAAAAATTCTAACGATCCTATTTGAAATGAGTATTGCCGATCGAGGCCCAGGGTACGGGAACCAGACTGCGGGAAAACGTAGCAGTTGAACGGCTTCGCTACATAAACTTTTCTTCCACTGTCCCAGGTAAAAGTACACAGTCCAAATTGAATCACTAGGAAGTTCTGTGCAGACCGTCGAATTTTTTCGTAGCGTTCCTGGACTGTATCAAGAAAAGCAATCTGATAAGGCCTTGCCGTTCCAATTCCTTCACAAAGCGCAGTATGCGGTCCAGTCAATAATTTATTAACACGTTAATAATATATGCCCGAATTTCACTCACCAGATAGTTCGGTATCTATAGCAATGAAGTCTGCTTCTTGAACGGCTTCTTGAATGTTGGGAAGCAAAGCCTCGAAACTGTTACGAAGAACCTCCATGCTCTTCGCTGGTTGATAATGTCCACCCAGTCTGTCACGTAAGCTCCAGAGAGAGCCAGATGGAAGACGAACGCAAAATCCGGGTTCTGTCGCTAAGTTTCTTTGTAGCGGATGGTCTGTTTTCCCACCTTGTGGGGAAGCCGGACGGCTGGCCGCAGCGCAGCGCGAGCGGCCTAATGTGTGGGTAAAACGATTGCACAGGCGAGATCGCACAGGATCAAGAGATACGCGAACAGTCGATATGTTTAGAGCTGCAATCTGCACATCAGATCCCGACTGGCTTTTCAAGGCAGAGAAGCGAAATCGCATGTTCAGTCCCCTACGAGCTCATCGTCACGTCCATGGGATTGCACGTCGTTTGGCGGCTCACGTGATGCATTCGGACGAATTCGGACAAGTCGTGCGCGACGTCCTTCTTCCCCTTTTCGCACCCACCCACTATTGAGCACACTCCTGCCGAGGCGCGACATGGATTGACATTCCATCAGCTCTCCACACTTTTCTACGCTCGTCACAGCAACCAACCGACTTATTTTCTGCGACGTACGCCAGAGTAGAGTACTCTCAAAGCTTACCTCCCCTGCCTATACTCTCCGTGTACTTCCCCGCGATAGACTATCACCTAGAGAGAAACCTGCCATTAACTGTATTGCAAGCTCTCTGAGTGCAAAGGCTGCGTCGTGTTTGCGATGATGCTTGCCTCTCAGCCACAATACCGTGAACCTGGCCGGCATCGCAACCTAGTCCCAAAAGCGAGCCCTACAGAGAGACCGGCGCCGCCACGAAATAATACACCCCGAACATTCCCAGAACCGCCGGTAGTGCTCGTTGATCGAAAGAAGGGGTACAGGTTCACCAGAGGAGGTATATTAGGCGAGGTAATCCTGAACGGAGATGTGGATAACGTGTCGCCCCGAACTGTACTGACGTTCACAGCGACTCAACAGGGTGGTTTTGCACGATGCTACGAAGCTTTTGACTCGAAGGGGGAGCAATTTGCTGTAAAGGTAATAGCTAAGGCGTCTCTTACAACCTCAAAACAGCGAGCAAAGGTACTTGAGCAGGTGTTGCAGTGCGGTTGGGCATGTTTGCGATTAACACTCACTTACAGGACTTGTGACTCATAGCTCGTTGCAGAAATAAGAATACACCAAATGCTATCACATCCAAATATCGTCGGCTTTAAGCACTGTTTTGAAGATGACGACTTTGTGTACATGATCTTGGAACTATGTGAAAACAAGGTGGGTTTCCTTACCAGAATGGTTCATTTGAATAGCAGTTAACGAAACCAATTACGTTAACGTTCATAGACATTTGTGGAAATGTTGCGAAAAAGACGACGCCTGACCGAGCCGGAAGTCTGCCATTACATGTGGCAATTGCTGGATGCTGTTCGCGAAGTTCATCGACGCGGCGTAATTCACCGCGACTTGAAACTCGGCAACTTGTTTTTGACTCGAGACATGCAGCTGAAACTTGGGGACTTTGGGCTAGCTGCTATGATAAAACATGACGGCGAGCGAAAGAAGTAGGTGGTGTCCGGACTTGAAAACCATCTGGGCAATTTTAACTCAGATATCACCTTTGCAGAACTATCTGTGGCACACCGAATTATATCGCACCCGAGGTGCTGTTTGATACCCAGACAGGCCACAGTTTTGAAGTCGACATTTGGTCTCTAGGAGTGGTCATGTAGGTCTTACTGAGGTTGACTATCGCAAGCTGACAATATTGACTGATGGCTTGCAAAGGTACACACTGTTGATAGGAAAACCGCCGTTCCAGACAAAAGACGTAAAGGCCATATACAAGTGAGTTTTGCATGCAACGGTAATCTTTTAAGCTCGATCTGATGGACCTCGCCTTGAAGGAAAATTCGTGACAACAGTTACGATTTCCCCCCTCAAATTGCAATATCTCGATCTGCAAAAGACATAATCACAGCTCTCCTGCAGTCCAGACCAGGTCCGCGTTAGTGTTTTGACAATCTTTGAGATTTGAGTTCACATAGTCCGCCATATTTGCAGAGCGCCGACCATCCGTGGATGACATCATGCAGCACGAATATTTTACCGGACAGCCCGTTATAAAATCCATCCCAATATCCGCATTAACCGTAATACCCGACTTTCTACAATTACCAGCGAAGGAGCCTTCATCTGCGGTTGGACGATCTGTTCTCACGGATGCATCAGGTATAGGACGTACATATTCCGGGAAATATGTGTCTTGATTAACATCGATCGTATAGCATCGAAGGCTCTACGGACATCAAACTCCCTTCCCGGTTCGTTGACAATGTTAATTCACCTCCCGCTGTTTCTATTGACATGGCCGGGTTTATTTCATAGGATCTGATAGACAGCCAAGCCCAAGTCATAACTCCAACGGTACTATGCAATAACTACCATTGTAAGTGTGTCTGTTTAATTAACTTTGAAAGTGTTGTTAGAATTGAATGGGCATACGGACGCTCTACTTGCCAAAGACTTCGATCGCCTCAAAATCGACAGCGAAAATAGGCCACCAATACCAAGCTCTTGGATGCGTCGCCAGCAATCGTCAGATTCTCAAAGGTAAAATATTGTCCTAGCTAGTCTTATCGCCGTCTATGCATGCATATCTGATCAGAGATCCCTTAGTGGAAAGGCGAAGTCTAGCACCTCCTCTGGTATTGCAGAAGGTGGGCAACTGATGCTTTTCGTCATGAGGCGATTCCTTTTGCAGCCTTAAACTGACGGCTGCAAAGGAGCACGTGTAGTTCCAATGCCAACACCAGATCCCGACTCATCAGATGCAGATGCCGCAAATGGACCAAACCGAAGCAGCTCCAGCAACTCCTCTGCATCCAAACACGAGGTCGAACCGCGTGCCCCACCCTCTCCCCAAAGCGATGGTGCATCTACCTTCAAAATAACAAGCCCTGAGACTGTACGAGCCCGTAATTCTTCTAGTTTTACTTCACCAAGATCTGCCGAGAGTACGTATAGTTTTTATTCAATGTGCGTGAACAAAGCACGCAAATTTTGCTAACTCGCCAGTAGATCCTCGTAAGAGCGTCAATGTTTTACAAACAATGTATCAGAATCTGCAAGACGGACTTCGAAGTGATCGTATTGGTACTCGGCGAATTGATGAGATGGAAGGTTAGTGCATAATGCATCCGCTGGCATTATTCGCCGGTCCGTGATATGTTGAGACCTGAGACTCCATTTGGCTCCTGGTTCAGAAGTCAGTGCTCCGCGCATATTTATCACAAAATGGATTGATTACTCGAATAAGTATGGACTGGGATATCAACTACGAGATGGCTCAGTTGGCGTGTATTTCAATGACTCCACGAGTATCATTCTCGCCGCGGACAATCAGTATGTGCATCATAGACTTGACACATGCTGACGTGGTACTAATCCTTTGTATCAGCCATTTCGAGTACCTGTTTTACGATAAGGGCTCAGACCGAACCGTAATGCACCGGAAAGCCTATACAATGACCCAACATCCAGAGGATCTTCTCAAGAAAGTGACACTGATGAAGCACTTTCGAGGATACATGCAGGACAATCTGTTCAAGGTAGATCTTACGCACCAATCTCAGCTGGTCGAGGGATAGAAATTCTTATTGATGATCTAGGCATGCAAGCACAGCACCGATGATGCGCCTAGGACACAAAACCTTGATTTCCTCACGAAGTATCTGCGTACGAAGCATGGCGTAATATTCCGGCTTAGCAATCACATTGTTCAGGTACTTATCTTCTGATTTAAAAGCCGTGGCGGCCCCGGTTCCATTGTGGAGGTAACTGATGGTTGCCCCCCTCCACTTTAGCTCAACCTATTTGATCATTCAAAAGTCATCCTATCAAACGATGGTCGCGTCGTCACTTACATCGATCAAAATCGGGAGTTTACAACCAAATCACTGAACTCCTTTGTGGGGACTGGAGACAAGGACATCATTGACCGGCTAAAATACATGCGGGAAGTCCTGTACCAAATGCTGGTTAAAAAGCAGCGAAAGAGCTCTGGGGAAGCATGTAATGTTGGAGAGAGTGGAGCATAGATTTCTCCTAATTCGAGATATTGGGAGGCTTGGCTTAACTAATAGGATACTTCGGACCAGAATGTGGAGGAGAAAACAACTGAAATGTGCCTGAAGTAGCGTGCTACAATTATGAGCCTTCCGATGAAAACGGCACCATGATGTGAAAATTTGGTATGGCACTTTTGGATGTTAGACTACCTGGGTCCGAGTAATTGTTATTTTCTGGTCGTTGTGGCCATTTAGATCGTTATTTGTTGCCTTGTGCTTTGGCGGACTGCCATTCATATATTGTGATTGAGAGGGATGCCGGCCTACAATATTTTGGTTCCAAGGCTGTACATAAGCTCCACACCCTTCAATTCCCTTACTCGATCTAGTGCGTCGGCTGGAAGAAAGAAAGTCATTTCTCTAACTTATAATGTACAAGTCCAGCGCGTGAATATCGATCGCACTTACAATTTTGGCATAGTCGAGCACAGGCTATTGCAAGGTTTCGTTGTACTGTAGGCATCTTGGCGCTACGGAGGAGGTACACGAGGGGTTCGGTTGCGTTAAGTTTATGCAACTTCTTGGCGTGGTTAGCTGGGGGATTCCAAAGTTATTACGATAAATCAACAGGAAAGGCACATTGGAGGACATCGGTTGTCCGTACTTTTGGTCGCACACTCGGCGATACACAGCGCAATATTGCCTGCGGTTTTTTCATCTTCTTTAAGTTCCTGTCCTTCTGACAATTCAAGGAGAACATCCACAAGTGCTTCAAAGCCATTTTGCTTCTCCCACTCTGCCACTCTCCGCTCTCCACCTTTCAGCCAGGCTGCTAGAACTTGGGCTGCTGCTGTCCTTGTACCCTCTCCAGCAGGGTCACGAATAAGGCTTATCATGGGAACAATATCCCACCACCCGTCCAGCGCCACTGTAACTTCTTCCAAGTGGAAGCGGAGAAGCTTTGCGAGACATGAGATGGAAGCTCGTGGGTGTGTTGTTAGAAGGTGTACGAGGGTCGTAATTATGCTGTGAGTGCTGAGGAGCGTTGGGTGTGCTGGTGTGTTGTGCAAAAGGTTGTGATATGTGGCAAGGAGGTGAAGGACGAGAGTGGAAGCCGTAGATGTCGGGTTGGTAGGTGAAAGCCGGTGTATCGTTTCCCATATGGAGTCGATGAGAGGTTCGTGGTACTGCTTGAGGGCCGCTGTAAATTTGGGATTCGAGGTGCCTGCGATTGCATCAATACAGCGACAAGCATGAACTGTCAGCGCCTCTGTTGTTTCGTCATTAGCCAGTTTGTACTCTTTGACATGAATGGGTAAGGTCGCTAAAAGCTTGTCGGGCGATACCCGCCATTTGACCATAACGATGTCAGGGCCTTTCGGAGTATATCGCATTATTCTCCCAAGCAGTTTAAGCATATGCCCGACAATAGTAGAGCTAGTGGCGACACCATCCGTTTCTCCACCTAAAAATGCCAGCACGAATCTTCCAAATGTTTCTCCAACCACGTTGGAGTGGCAGAGGGCTTCCGCGAAGGTGTCCTCAGCTACACCAGAAGAAAGTATTTCGGCAGCGGCGCTGATGGTTTTGAGAGGAGGTTTTTGGGTGGCAAGCATGGTCGTTATCATGTGGTTTAGGTATTGACAAAGTTCTCGTCGGTTGGCATCGACGCCAGAGGTGGCTCGCGCTATTACGGGAAGAATAAAGTTGACTGATGACGAAGTGAGAATGTCCGGGTTGAGGAGGCGATGGAAACCACCACATAGTCGAAAGGCGTCAGAAACGATAGTATCGGTGTCCAATAGCCTTACGAGCATGTCCGAGGCAGATACTATACGGTCATTGTACTTGTTCGATGGTGGTAATTCAATAGCATTTTTTATCTCCCGTACGAAACCGTCCAGTAATCCTTCCATGATCATGTTGGAACCATCATGTTCTAAATCTTCTTTCAGCGCTTCCTCAGCTTTCATATCTAAATGCTCCCTCTCTATACCATCTAGCAGTCTGTCAACTTCGGCTAGGGTAACCCCAGGGTTACATACAGTCTTTTTGCATCGATTGATTTTCTTCTTAGCTTCCTCATAGTCTGTGACCATCTGCTTGACTTTAAGAACATCTTTGATGGCTTCCTCATATTGTCGAAGACCACGGTGACCTTCTGCCCTTCTCCACAGTGCTTTTGCACAACTCGCATCAACTTTGAGGGCTTCGCTACAATCTTCGACAGCTTGCTTGAACTCCTTTAATCGGAGATATGCAAGTGCACGGTTGGTGAACAGAGTGGCGTCAACGATAGTCTTGGACGGAATCAGCCGGTCCAGTGTTAGCAGCAGTGGATCGCTTTCTTGAGGCGGGTTCAGATATATGTTGATGGCTGAAGTGTATTCTTCAATCGCTTCATGGTATTTACGATCCTTGAAATATTTATTACCAGTTTCACGATGCTGATTCGCTGATTGACGTATTTTTTCTGCAGCTGTCACTCGCTTCGTTGGCTCATGCTTCTGTTTTGTGGATCCTTTCTTTTCCGCTGCTAGCGCAATGTTTCTCTGTTCCTCTTCTGCATCTGGGTTAATAGCGTCCCACTTTGAGTAATCGAGCTTGGGGGACCCTAACGGTGCTCTGGTGTCTCGTTTTGGCAGTCGGATAGGAGCTCGATTACTGGCATCTGAACGTGACGTCGCCGCATCACTTTTATTATCCTGTGTCAACTCTCTCTGTGCCCAAGCTTTCTCTTCATCCGTGACCCTCCCCGATAATATCTCGTTCATTTTTGTAGCTAGATGGACAGATGATAGCTTTTAGCAAAAACAGGTCAGCCAGAGATGTTTACCCAGAGACATACTGTAGCTATCTACAAATTCGTCAAATTCAGCCAATTCAGCCTTGAGATCTGCTAGAATGTCAACCATATTTGCCACTGTTGTGCTCAATCGCCCAGGAAACGTCCATATACCACGGACACTTTGAGGAAACACGTAGGCGACGCGGCATCCAAGAACACGCCATTTGGTAAGCGGCTGCGCAAAATGCATACTATGATATTCCAAAAACAAGTGGTTGCATTACTACAAACAGGAAGAGGCCATATAATCTTTACGTAGAAACATAATACAATAAGATACAGGATGGTGGACAAGTGTCTATAGCCATGTCATACGGGAGGTGCTTCTGACGAGGCCAAAATCACGGTTTGCAACCTTCGGGCTTGAATGTAATCCCCAATCGAGCGCTGCAGAGAAAGGTAATATGTCAGTCCACTTTGGATTCTCCCTAAGTTTGAATACTCAGCATACCCGCTTTCATAATACATACCATTAGGATGAAGAAGCCAATAAACATTAAAAAGTACGAAAGCCAATAACTCTCAACAACGACGTTCTCATCGTCCTCTGGCTGTTTGTCAGGGTCATAGGGATCATAGTATTTTAAGTCATCCTGGGCGTCCCGTGTTCGCAAGTAAAAGGCGTAACGAATAAGGGTAATGCCGAAACCACTACGAGCACCAGCTCGTGCAGCGTGAGATGTAGCCAGGATCGCAGTCAAAAGGAATCCAATGAAGTCAAAGCTCATGGATACCAACATGTTGACAAAGTATGTGAAAAAGTCTCCAACAGGCATGCCTACGCACAGAGACACCAGAGTTAATTTCGCCCGAAGACCTGAAAGCGACGAGACATTGACTCGCTAGCCAGCAATACATACCTTCAATGAGCACTTCACCATCTTCTCCAATCCCATTTGTTATCACCGTGGTCTCATAGTATGATGGAGCTGGGTCTTGGACAACCTCAGCATACGACGGTGGTTCGAACTCTTCGTAGGTCTTGCCTTCTGGTGCCGCGGACACCTCTGGCTTTGCACTAAGGTTTGCAAACACCCCGTCGTTCCTTGTAGTCACCAGGGCAGACCGTGAAGGAGGCGGCGGTATTGGCGTCGTGGCGGCTTCTGAACTTTGCAAAGGTGCTTCCAATGCAACATTGGCCCCGTCATTGTCCAACAAGGGACGTGCCTCAAAGAGGACGGTGCCCTCTTCCCCACTGCGGGTATGATCTGCCTCTCCTTCCGGCAGACGGTCGTATGCTCTCATCATCTTTACTAGTTGTAATTTGGGTTGTTGGCAGAGTGATCAGTCGGTCGGCTAATGGTGACCCGAAGCTATGCGAATTTGTGCGTGACGTGGACAAAAGGGTTGGCGTTGCTTCAGACTTGCCGCCAGCCAGGATCGAACCCTCTGCTATTACCTAATTCCACGTGATCTCGTTCATGATGGGTTTGGAGCATCGTCCTTCCAGGTGCTCACAATTCGCAGCCGATTGTCCATCGTCATGGCAGCGGATGACTCGAGCGTTTTCTCCAGACTGTCTGCAACTGGAGAAGCTCGGGGGACTTCAGGTGCCAGGACGCGGTTTCGAGGGGCTGCCTCCGTCGGTGACCATGCGAGAGGCGCCAAAAGCGCATTTGCTTCTGTATTTTCGTCAACACCCAGCCGTGGGCGTGATGGGGGAGTTCGGGGTGGGCGAGGTGGTGGGGCAAAGATTGCCGCTTCTAAAACATGGGTGAAACCGACGGGAGACCACATAGGGGCGGTGACACCCAGAGGCAGTAGGCGAGGTGGGAGGGGAGCGTCGATGACTTGGGTGAGGCCAAGAAGTGGCACCACCCCGCAAGAGCTTAAGCTTCCGACACATCGAGACGAGAGCGTTGCGAGACAGGGTATGCTGACAGTCATGATCCAGTAGCTTGTATAAGAGCTGCCGACCCCAACCGTTCCGGACTGGAGAAGCCACCCAAGGCCCTTTTTGCTAACGATTACTCCACCTCACCAGCTCCATCGCGCGGTAACATCTCACAACAGACGAATTCAGTTGCTATTTCTCCAATGTCGTCGTTTACACAGAGGCAAACAGCACTGACACCCACGCCTGACCACTCCTCTGACGCAGATGACAGGTAAATTCAAATATACTGGTTTCCATAGGTTCAGACCCCAAACTGATAGCTAGTTCATATAAGCATTTTGAAAGTGTCTCGTGCCGAGCGATTCGCTTCACAGCCTGTTCATAACCGCTATATGGAGGTTTGCAAGATGATGCTATATTACGGAAAGTAGCGTCTTTAAGGCGGACAATGACTCCGTTCTCCTGCAGATGAAAAAGCTTCGACCTGCCCTGATGAAGAAGTATATTGCTGAGGGTAAAATGGATGATCCAAATAAGAAATATCGGCTTGAAGATGCGCGTGATTTTGTCGGAGAGTGTGAGGATATGTGTCCTGAGTACGAGCGTCACGAACGAGAGTATCAGAAAGGGTTGATGGAGTTTGAGAAGGTACAAAACCTTTTGTCAACTTGAGGATAGTCTGGGATAGGATATAAACATCAATGCAACTAGATTCCAGGCACAGACCGAGTTGATCACGCGAAAGCCGTTAAAAGATATCGACGTTCCGCCGCAGATGATGAAAAGCCGCTACCATGTGATGTGCGACCGCCATCTGTACTGGAGGTATGCACTAGTTTCTCACATGCTCTGGTCCGTCTCCGGTGTGACCAATTGACGGAGAACGTAATTATCATAGCGAACGTTGAACTACCTGGTGCACGAATTAATACCAGAATATGACTTGCAACGCACGTACGGTTTCATTCGTGATAGGACACGAGCTATCAGGAAGGATTTGACGCTCCAGAATTTACGCGGCCCTGAAGCCGTTGGTCTGTTTGAACGGATCGCTCGCTATCACCTTATGTGTTCTCAGCGGCTATGCGCAACGATAGATATAAAGCAGGAATATGAACAGCTGGGAAAAAGTAGGAAGCTTGTAACCTCTCTAACCTTTGAGGGTTAGTTCTGGGTACTGACGCATCTTACGTAGCGCTACAAAGTCTGATGGAATTCTACGACGATCTCAGGGAGGAGGGCAAAAGAATGCCTAACGAGGCCGAGTTCCGAGCGTACTATCTTTTGCATCATGCGTTCAACCAGGATGTTCAATCTAGCTTCGAGAGGAAATTTATCAATGATCCAATTTTGTTGGATCCGCACATGCAACTGGCGATCCGATTAAGAAGCCTGTTACCCCGACTAGATCTCCATCACGATGATGAAGATGAGGACTATACAGAAGAAGGGGATACCATAGGAGAAGGCGGTTTCGAAGCATACGGATTATTCTTCAAAATCATCAAGGAGCGAACTACCCCATATCTATTAGCATGCGCGGCGCACCCACACTTCCTAGTTGTCCGTCGACATGCATACAGACACATGGACAACGCCCTGTATGTTTTTCCTAATGCAGTGGACACACTGACGCCGGTGGCAACACTCGTGGAACAGCTGGGTTATGACAACGAAGAAGATGCTATCGTGGACCTAGAATACTATGATATTCCAATCAGGGACGTGGAAGGACGATGGTACGCAGAGATTGGAAAAGTAAAAATCACCGGAACTGATGGAAAGTCACAAATGGTCCCTGGGAAATTCAATGGTATGGAAGGGTGGAAGGGCAAAATCTAGGATCTGATTGTTGACCGAACCCTCTTGCTTATTAGATGCTAAGAGAGTTTCTCTTCAACCGCGGGTGGCAAATCGACTTCTCGAAGGGAAGTTGGGAGATGTCACGGACGCGGACGTTATAGACGGCAATGTACCTGAGATGACTCAAGAAGTGCCCGACTACCAAGGGCAATCATCGGAAGTCGTTGCAATGTCGTCCATTCCAGGCGGAGTTCCTACTTTTGGACAAGTTGCTGCTACGACAGCTCGGCTGCCTAGTTCATCCGTTGGAGGAGGTACTTTCTCAAATGCTTTCGGTTTTGTCAACCAGCAACAGTCCGTCTTGGCAGGCCCGTCAAGCGGATTTTTTGGACAAGGCGGTGCTTTCATGGGACAAGCGAGTATCGCTAGCGGTCAAGCGACTCGCAAGGTCGGACAAGGAGTCCTTCCCCTCCATCCCGTACAAGTGTCGCAGTTGCCGTTCCCGTCACTTTCATCTTCGATAACCATGTCACCCCAGTCACAAGCGGGTGCATGGTCGTCTTTTGGTCAGCAGGACCAACCACCGCAAGCGGCTCCCACATCTGGCGCACATCTCAACATACCCAATTTAGGCGTGCTACAACAACCTTCAGGTGGTGGCCCACCTACGCCGGCCGGATTGGTTACTCGAAAGCCTGACTTGGTCGAGCAACGAACGGACGTCGGCCTTATAGTTTCCCCCTCGTTGACGGTTATCCCCCTAGAAGCGCAAGCTGGTAAGTTGTACTCAGTGATGGCTCATCTACATAGGTAGTGCTTAACAGGGTCCACACAAGGTCCACAATTACCGCGTGCCGAATCCCAGCCCTCCGTCGTACCTTCCTTCACACCCCCTGCGGTTCCGACCCGACCCGAGACACCTCCAGAGCCCGTCATTCCAGGTTCGCCATTAATAATTCCGCGCTTCAAGTACAAAGAAACTGTACTTACGCGATTCCTACCCATCAGAGGACACTGAGCTGTTAGAAAGAGAACGTAAAGAGGCGGAGGCGCGCGCCCGGATCGCACGCCAGAAGTCTGAAGCTTCAAAATACCTAGCGGCTCGAATACTGGCGGAAACAATACACCAGTGCATGAAGGAATTGGCGGAAGAGGTTTCAATGCGCGAAGATATTCGTGCAAAGTGGAGACTCTTTGCGCATCGCCTACCAGCGCTTCATGCTAAAGAACAAGCGAAGCGAGAGGCTGTGCGAACTTTCCTAAATTTGGTGGGCTCGGAGGTTGCCCCACCCAGAGTCTCGTTCCGGGAGCAGGCTAAAGCCTTGATGGGGACAGCAGGAACTGCCTTTACTATGCTTGGGTCCGCAAATAGGGACGAGGAGATGGCGAGGGCAACGGATGAGGTTCGTCGTAAAGATGACACACCAGAATTCACTTGGAGCTGATCGTATGCCTTCTCTCAGGTGGCTGCCCTTGAACAGCAACTGATGGAGCGCATCGACCTCGCTGACCTCACGTATCCCATACTGCGCGAAAATCACAGCACTCGGGTTCATGGCCATACCCTTCACTACAAACTTTGTATCACAACCCCCACCTTTCACCTCCTTTCCACCGATAAGCAAAGGTTACCGATTCAATGGCTGAAAGCAAAGTTTGGCGGCGCGAACAATGCAATGCCGACTTTGGCCAACGAGGTTGGAACCGAGGAATTGCAGCGGACACGGGTACAAGATGGTGAATGGGATTGCTGGGCGGTTGTTCGGCATGTAACAGATGCCTTACCGGTGTGTATGCATCTTTTACCGCCTATTGTTCAATGCTAACGGAGCTGCCTCGCGCGGATAGGAGGAAGCTATGAAGACTCTTCATGGGATTAATGCGGCAATCTTCCAATTCGACCTTTTTGGAAGTGGTAAAGATAAAGGGTGAGTGGGTTTTATGTTTGAGCGCTGGCTCTGCCAACGTTTCTTAGATATGGTGCTTTCAGATTTTACTTCAACGAGGAGCGATCTCGGTTCGTGAACTTCATCAACGCTCTGCCGAAGCAAACTCTTAGAAACAAAATACCGCTCTTGTTTGTGTATTGGTCTGTTCCCGAATTGCCACGTGCCGAATTAGAGACCAGGGTAATTTTTATTCTGACGAAAATGCATGTATCCGAAGTGATCCTCATAAGATATGGGTGCAATAGGTTCGCCAAGCCTTTCAACTGAGCGATGTGCAAGTCCATGGGCCGATATCCGATATAGGGTGGCTGGAGATTCAGTACACCGACAAGTTGAACGATTTGATCAAAGCTAATGAATACCTGGTGGAGGCAGTGGAGATGTTGGTGGCAAGATCGCAAGCTGAACCGGAGATGAACTGGTTCGGAATGGATGGTGAGTGGGCATTGTGGCATTGTTCCTAAGGAAATCTTACTTATGATTGCGGTGTCTAGGGAAAGACGTACTAGGAGAGTCAATGCTTCGCATTCATTTCCGGGAACACTCGTACCTTTTGCAGTCCCGCTTTCCACACCGAATGGCGCACATCCCTGAACGTAATATACCTACCTTCAACACACTGATTCGAATGTACAATGCTGCGATGGAGGTATATGCTTACGTCCTGGCTGGACCAGACGTAGAGGGCCTCAACTATCCTCCATACGAGTTTGCCACACCGGGATGCCCGCCGGTGGAAGGAGGAACGAATGTTCCGTTGAATTGGAATTCGATGGGACGACTGAAAGAGATGAGGATGATGCTGGCACAGTTTGTGTTGCCACCTCTACGTCAGCATGGCCGTTTTGTCGTGGATGAGTACGTAGACCAGCTTGGGAAATCACTGGATACTAATTTGAGGTAAGCCGCTGGCTCGCTACCTTGATGCGAGTTTCATCTAATCTGAGCATTGTGCGGCTGACTGTTTAGAGGGTTATGGTTGATTTACTGCACATGGATATCTGATGTTTGTGATACGGTTCCTGCCATGCGGGACACAGAGCGACGCAGTCTCTTTGACGCATTCATTCAGCTTTTCGAGGGATATAGCCGAACGGCCGCTACAGGTGACAAAGAGACAACGTTGCTCAATAAACATCTCGGACTTCGCTAATGTGTGGGCCCATTTGCACAGTTGCTGTTCGATTTCCATTTGGCGAACTCGCCGAAGTCGTGACGCGGGCTATCTTTATTCATCTAGACACGCAGTTTACCGCAAAGTTCCGAATTGCACCCTACCCACGTCAGCTTGCTGTTTATGCCTTGGAGGGTTTCGGAATCGCGATGACAAAGGTCATTGACAATTGGTATCAAGAAGTCATGGAGTGGTTGAGAATAGAGGCGCCAGAATATGAGTCAGAAGATGAGACGTCTGTGCGCGAAGATGATGGTGTTTCTGGCGATGATGTGAAATTACCTTCCATGTAAGAGCGCACCTGTTTAAGTATGCGGTAAACACTCCTTACAAGCATCATTTCAGATCTGATGGAGAAGTCAGTCCGAAACTGAACAGCATGGATCTGCTGAAATCGTCTCACAAGCGAGTGCTGCCAAGCGGCCTTGCTAATGACGACGGTGAGATGTCACCTCCCTCGCCAGCAAAACGGAAGCGTGGCGACGTACTCTTAGGGGAAGGTGAAGCAAAGTACGTGCGACAGTTTTACGTTACCGTGAAGTGTACAGTAAGGAGTTATAACCTCTTCATTTTTAGAAAACAACGACAGGATGAGGTGGTCCTCGAGAATACCAGATCACAAACGCGCACCCCCTCACCTCGGCACTCCAATGGTGTCGACCTCACTACGCTTCAGCAACAGCTGTGTTCGGCTTTGGAGTCTTCGAAGAAAACCTTGGCTAGAACACGACTTTTGGAAGAGCTCGATTATTTGGATACGCTAACAGACAATCAACTTGATGAAGGCGACTTGCCGTCCTTGACTGAGGAGGATGAAAGGGAGTTGGAGGACCTTCTTGCGGCAGGAGAGAGCGACTATGGGCGAGCAGCAGATTGGGGCAATTTTTGTACATAGATTGACGCACTTTTTGTTTAATATTTTTTCATGTTGGACTTGGTGGATTGGTGATGATGGCTTTCCTGAATGATTTTTCTTTTATTTATCTTTTGGAAAGAGTGTTTGCACCAAAGTCTCAGCGTTGTCACGTGGACAAGAAACCCAGTCGCGCTGCCTTCAGGCGGGGAAAGTAAGGATCTTCAACCATCTTCACTTACGCACGCGGGCCCAACCGTCGTGCTACAGAGACGCCGTCTCCCTCAACCACAACCATACACAATGCCACAGGCTCAGGTTCTTCGCAACCGACCCGGTATCCGCCATGAAGTATTATCCATCCGTGCTACAATCCTGCTGTGTTTTCCCACTGACCGTTTGTGTTCTATTCACCACAAGCAGGATTGGTCGCAGTGGCCCACGATACCTCTTGAGCAAATGGAATCTACCTTCTCCGTTCAACAATATATCCAAAATATGGTCCGCCACGATGCGTCTGATGTCAAAAAGATCGTCGAGGTACCCGAAGGTCAGGACCGAGATTTATGGCGATACGAGCTTTTACGGTATTTGTTCCTGAGTTCTGTCAAAGTGTGTATTGTTGGTGAAGGAGGCGAGCTTATGATACATATATTGGAAGACAAGTATGTCAGGATCTGAACAATTTTGTTGTTCTGTTGGAACCCGAGTGTACTGCATCGTCGTGTCCAGAAATGAAAGCTTTAGAATGGTTGTATCTCTGTGCTGGACATCCGAATCCTCAGCAGGTATTTTGGAGTTTGATGGCTAGTATGTGACAATATTGGTGGTTGATAGTCTTTGCCAGTGTTCGGCACTCGATTATATTATACATACCCTGGACAGCGCGACAGCGCTGTTGAATAGTCAAAAGTATTTCCCTAGTAGGTGAGAGAAATGTTTATTTATCTTTACCGCTGCGATCGGCCAACCTCATGCTGATTGGGATGTGAATATCTAGGGTGTCGATACCGCCAACGTCATTAAAGCATTTTTCGAATGTTACCAGAAGATTGTACAGAATTTTTGCACATGCGTGGTTTCATCATCGGGAGGTATTTACTGAATTTGAGGTTGGTACTTGTGCGTTGGGTTTGTCTGCTTGGTATATGTCGCTAACTTTGTCAAGTAGATTGAGTCGCATTTGTATGCGAGAGTTTTATACATGATAAAGTACTTTGATGTAAGTTTTTCGTTAGCGGATTGTATTTTGCTTGGGCCGGCTTTGAAATCTTGCTTGCCATAGATTATGCCAGATGACGCATTGGTCGTGCCCGCCGATGCCTGTATGACTGATGTGGGTGACTTCTTATTATCCGTATGTGAGCGACATTCCAACTAATGATGGTTTTTTTGCTGTGTATTTTTTTTTTCAGTTGCCCGAGATTGATCGGTCCTCAATGGTCAGTGACGAGTAAAGTGGGCTGATGGGGACTGAATGGGGGATGGACGTAGGGAGATGCTCATATGCATCGCATCGTTATTTAATGCCTTCTTGTGAATATACTTCTGGTAGGACTGTATGGGTGCTGGATACCCAACAAGGATAGCAATAACCGTAATCTTAATATCAATAGTTCACTACCCATACCCATCTCAAGCATAGAACTACCTCACTCCTCCTTCCCCTTCTCCTTCTCTACAAACCCAAGGGAAATCCTCGCGATCTCTCCTTCTTCGTCTGTTGCAACAACAAAGACCTTGACTGGACTTTCCTCTTTCGAAATCTCCACCACTTTATTATCGTTCAATGAGCACTTTTCGTTCTTGCTTTCGTCTAGATGGACGCTGATGCATGTGAGATTTTGGCAGACTTTTGCCCGCACCAGGGATGAGTTTTCCCCTATTCCGCCTGTGAAGATGATCCCGTGGGCCGGGTTTAAGGCAATGTGATATGCGCCGATATATTTCTGGATTCGGTACTGAAACGAGTCAAAATTGGTAAGTTTATGCATTCTTGTGAGGTGATAAGAAACCGGAGGGCACAACCCACACAAAACATATCGAAAGCCAGCTCGGCTCTCCGTTTCTTCTCCCCCTCCCCGTTCCGCATCAAGTCGATAATCTTTCTGATGTCATTTTCGCCACAAACGCCTCTCAACCCACTCTCATGGTTGAGCACATCTTCCACTTTGGAGATCTTGGGACCGGCTGGAGCGGATTTTATCGCAGGTACTTTGTCCAGCGAGAACCCCGGCTGGGAGATGTGAAAAGGAGCGGAGGGGTCAATGTCCCCACTCCGTGTACCCATCATGAGTCCCTCCAGAGGCGTGTATCCCATAGATGTATCAACGGAAACTCCATTCTTGATGGCGCATGCGCTACACCCGTTGCCCAGGTGGAGAGAAATAAGGTTTATACCCGGATGACGACCCAATACCAGATGAGAAACGTAATTATGTGACGTTCCATGGAAGCCATACTTTCTCAACCCGCTCTCGTTGCATGCATCAAAAGGAAGCGGGTACCGCCATACCTTTTCTTCAAGGGTCGAGTGGAACGACGTATCAAACACCCCAACCTGCTTTGAGTCAGGAAAGAGTTTAAGCGTTGTTTTGATGAGTACGACGCTGGGGTGGTTGTGGAGAGGTGCAAGAGCAGAGAGAGAGTCAAGCGTTGAGATCGAGGAGGCTGTGATGAGAGTCGGTTGAGTGAAATCCTGGCCCCCATGAACGATGCGGTGTCCAACCGCTAGAACATCAGTCAAGAGTTTTTCATCATTGTCTTGTAACACTTGTATCATTTTTCTGAATACGGATTCATGATCCGTTCCGTCAGTCGCTTCGTCAGTGAGCGTCCTGGATGTGGTCTTTGCATCGTTGTCTTTGAGAATCTGGATTTGGATGGGTGAATTTGGGGCCCCGAGGGACGAGGCCGCGCCTTTTACGAGGATGGTCAAGTTTGACGCGGATGTGAGGTTGTAGAGACGGAATTTGATGGTGGAGCTGGACACAGGCTTAATATGTTTTGGAACTACCAGAATATGGTGGCAGAAGAGGACAGTGTCTCACCTTCCAGCGTTCACAACGAGAATGCGAGGCATAGCTACAGCAAGATAATATTGGAATGGGGCTCTTTTGCAATGTGCTTTACAGATCTAGCAAGACAAAAGAAGAGCACGTTGAACAAAGCAGAGCAACGGAGGGATAAGAGCGGAACGAGAAGCTGACGTCACATTGATCGAGAGGTTCCAACCGTGGATTCAAAGCCACATTGGCTCCAACGAACCCTTCTTTGGCAACTCAAGAATTCAACAAAACAAAAACAGTAGCCATTCGGTGCAATTTTATACAAAATGGAAACGAAAAGTCTCCTAAACTAGACCACCCATCACCCCTTTCAAAATTAAGCAGACTTGTCCCTTCCAGCAATGTAGATAATCAAGTCAACGACACGGTGAGAGTAACCGTACTCTGCAAATTACAAGGACGTTAAGTAAACGACACAACAACCACAGTGAACGTGCAAGTAATATCGGTATACACTTACCGTTATCGTACCACGACACCAACTTGACAAAGGAGTCATTGAGAGCGATACCAGCCTTAACATCAAAGATGCTAGAGCGGCTGTCACCGATAAAGTCAGAGGACACAACTTCGTCCTCAGTCACTCCGAGCACGCCCTTGAGAGGACCATCGGCGGCCTTCTTGACAGTGGCAACAATGTCGGCGTAGCTAGCGGGCTTTTCGAGCTTGACGGTCAAGTCGACAACGGACACATCCGCGGTACTGACACGGAAGGCCATACCGGTGAGCTTTCCGTTAAGCTCAGGGATAACCTTACCGACAGCCTTAGCAGCACCGGTGGAGGCGGGGATGATGTTCTAACCAATATAATATGAGATTTTCTCAAGACTTTTCCATTTGCGGTACGACAATCTGCCGCTTACCTGGCTAGCACCACGGCCGGCACGCCAGTCCTTGCCAGAAGGACCATCAACAGTCTTTTGAGTGGCAGTCACAGAGTGAACAGTGCTCATGAGGGCCTCCTTGATACCAAAGTTCTCGTGGATAACCTTGGCAAGGGGAGCGAGACAGTTGGTAGTGCAGGACGCGTTCGAGAGGACCTGGATGGAGGGATCATACTTCTCTTGGTTGACACCTACAATCAGAGAATGTGAGTAAATCTGCATAAATGCGCCAATGAGTCAAGCCGGAACGTACCAATGACGAACATTGGCGCATCGGCAGAGGGGGCGGAGATGATGACCTTCTTGGCACCACCCTTCAAGTGAAGCCCGGCCTTCTCCTTTGTGGTGAAAACACCAGTGGACTCGACAACGTACTCGGCACCATCCTTGCCCCAAGGAATTTCCTCGGGGTTCTTGGAGGCGTGAACATTGATGGCACGGCCATTAACAACGAGCTTGCCATCTTTAGCCTCAGCGGTACCCTTGAAACGCCCGTGAGTGGAGTCGTACTTGAGGAGGTAGACCTTGAAAACGCCAAAGGAAGATATTAACACATGTAGAGAGTGAGCGAATCGCGTAGAATGACGACGTCAGTAGCAAATATTGTGACCCTCATGTATGGAGAAGGTAAAGAATGCCGGAGATGCACAGACTGTGCAAACAAAAATCAACATGCCAACAAGACGCCACCAAAAGGCTCTCGACTGGGGAACACGATCATCTGGTAAACGATCGCGCTCATCTTGCAGCCCATCTCCAACCAAGTTTACACACATTCATAACACCGCGTATTTGAAACCTACCATGTAGTCAACATCAATGAAAGGGTCGTTGATGGAGACGACCTCAACCTCGGGCTTCTCAATGGAAGCACGGAACACAAGACGGCCGATACGACCGAAACCGTTGATACCGACTTTGACGGTCATGTTTGTGTGGATGGAGTTTAATGGGTATGCAAAAGATGCGGATACGATGGACAGATGTTGCAAGCGTGCAAAAACACAGGGAATAAACGGTGGAGAGTAACCTTTTATAGTCCCCTGCAGTAATTGCACGTCATGGGCAAACAATCGATTGGGCGCGGGCAGTTGTTTGTGTTGGTTCTAGTTGGTTTGAATTCACGCGATTACACCCGATAGTACAATGAGCCAAAAATGAGACGATTAGAGTGCACTCCATCCTTTGTCTATGAGCATGTTCGCAAGTGGAATGGGATCCATTCAATATAAACCACCCATAACAAAATTCCCTTTTGCATGGCCATCCTTTGGTCGAGAGTTTTGTCCGTTCCGCTCCGCTTCAGCAGTGCAAAAAAATGGAACGCCGAAAGAAGAAGAAGAAGAATGATCAGGTGGACATTTGCGGGCAAGGCCGCGAGGTCGTAAACAGTCTCTTCATGCCTACGCGATCTTGCTTGCTGTCCAAAACGTCTCGAGCAGATGGTCCAAAACTAGGAAAATGAGGTCCTTCCAGCACCAGCCATGAGGCTCTTTTTGTTGCTGCATGAATCATGCTACTAAGCAATGCCAGTGCAAGCCACGTTAGCTAATGAAGCTCCGTGAAATGTCTAAATGATGAAAATTCAAGATATATATGCTGCAATGTGTGCATTAGATGTGCATTAGATTGCACAGAAGAGCATGCGGCTTCACATACATTCTATAGTACCAAAAGTCGGACCTTGGCAGTCTCATCCATCCCTACATATCCATCACTAACAATAAGCAAGGTCAATTCGACCTCCCCAGGTTCATCAGGTGTGATAAATCTCAGTCCAGTAGACATCTTATCCGATCGATCGCCCGTCGCAGCAACACGTTTAATGGCAACTACTTCGTCTTCAACAGCATCGCCAAGAACCACCCACCAGCCTTCATATTGTGGTTTGGGAAACTTTGGAGCATATACTCGGTGTTGGTTGTTCATTCCGCGAGACGGCCGTGATCGTGTCAGTTCGACTCGAAGTTCATATTGTTGTCCACGTTGCACACCCCATAATCCCGGCAACTTCTCAACCGCATTTTCCACTCTAGATTTGACGCTCAATAATGGCAAGTTTCGGGTGATGCGTTTAATCTCTCCGATGTGGGCGGGGGCAAGGCCCACCCCGGCAAATGCTTCCTCCATATCCTGATCACTCAACCGTGCAACGTGCTTTAAATGAGTCACCACGTCCCCCCTCACTTTGAGCATTGATGCCATTTCATTCGTTACTCTCGGCAAAATTACCAACTCTGATCGTGTGGGCCACCATGCCTGCTTGATACACTGCATCAAGTGCATGACACCCAAACAGGTAGACAGGTACCCATCCTCGGCAGCGACATCCACCATGGCCTGCATGATACGGATTGATTGATCCAATACCGACGTCGTATCAGTAGCGAAATCAGCGCACGGCAATGTTCCCAAGCGGGTAAGATGGGCTTGGAGAAGCAAAAAAGCTTTCGCATGCGGGTCATCATAATCGTAGATCTTGCCTTCGTTCAAGGGTCCAATACCAAAGGAACTGCCTTGTTCGTTCAAGTTGACCGGAACAGGTAACAGTCTTTCGAGATCCTGATTCATCTTGTCCTCATTGTGCCGTACAGGGAGCTCATCATACTCTGCTACGTCACACAAGATCCTCAGCATCTTCGGAAAATCTCCCTCAGCGGCTCTAGCGGCGGACGGTGCACGGTAATGGGGTCCAAGGCGTTGCGTCAGTGTTCGGATGGTGGTATGGTGGAGATAATAGTACGACGCAATCTTTCCATACACAGTAGGGTGCACATAAAAGTCACCGTCAATCTCGATACACGCCGAGTCGACAAGAGCCTGCAGGGAATTTTCGATCAACGTGGACATGTAAATATTGATACCCTCTGGAGAAGCTTCTTGGACTCCATAGAACGTTGGGTTCTGTCAAAAAACTCAGTTAGCTCCACAACCATAGGCTTCTCCAAACGTAGCTACTCACCATCTGCAATCTCCGATAAAGGTACGTCCATGTCAAATAATCCATCGCATCCTGTTTGCTTGTCACCGTCCCCCCGACAATCTCAGCACACATATGATCATGTAGACATGTATGTAAACTGCTCTCAACAGGGAAGGGTTCGTGCAAAAACTTTTTGTAAAAGTTTTTCTTGATGTCATGTACAAAAATCCGTGCAACACCAGAATCATCAAACTGGGGACGTCCAGCTCGCCCCATCATTTGCAGGACATCAGTAATCTGGAAATCGACGTATCCCTTCACCTTGGCATCGTAAAACTCTGTTCCCTTGATGACGACGAGATGCGCGGGATAATTAACTCCCCACGCGAGCGTACTTGTAGCGATGAGAATCTGGATCTTGCCATTCACAAAGAGCTCTTCAGAGATTTTTCGGTCACTTTCTATCAAACCGGCGTGATGCAGACCGATCCCAAATCCAAGGGCAAGCTTGAGGGACTGGTCTTTGACCTGCGAGACCAAGATTTCCAAGTCTTCTTCGGGCATATGCAGGAAGCGTTTGGGGTTTTCGTCCAAACCGCATAGCGCAATCAAGTCTTGGGCAGTAAGCCGAGTTTGTCGCCGCGAAGATACGAAAACTATTACCGGTTTCCTAGGGGAATGCGTCAGTATGGCCGTATAGGTTGGTTTGTTCATCGACATCATTCGCGGACAGTCTGAAAATGGTCGAACAGAAATGGTCAGTCTCTGGACCACGTCGTCACTCAATACCAGTCGCCAACTCACAATGCTTGCCGGCGAATCCATCAATGTAAATCTCCAGAGGGACGGGCCGTACTGAATGCCTAAAGTTGAACAATCCAACATGCGTAATTCCAAGCCAATCCGCTAAATCATTTGCGTTCGCAAGCGCCGTGCTCAGTCCTACAATCCGAATCTTTTTTCCTGTTTGTGCAGAGATATAATTCATTCTGGAGACAATAACTTCCAAAATCGGGCCTCGATCTCCTCCTAGAAGGTGAATCTCGTCGATGATCACCAGTGAGACGTTTGTGACATATTTACGCGTTTGCCAGCTTCGACTGATTCCATCCCATTTTTCGGGAGTTGTAATGATGATATCTGCCTTTTGGATCGTACGCAGATCGGGAGTTACGTCCCCAGTCAACTCCACGAGCTCTCGGTTCATAGGGAATGTCAGTCGAGATCGCCAATCTTGGACTCGCTCGCGAACCAATGCTTTCAATGGAGCGATATAGACCACCTTCGACTTGGGGTGATCCCTGAAGGCCGCCCACATCGCCAATTCGGCCGCAACAGTTTTTCCGGAGCCCGTTGGTGCGCCCACGAGAACGTTATGCTCACTTCGGTACAACGTATGGAAGATCTGGGTCTGCACAGGATTGAAGTATTCAAACCTCTGCCTGCAGATATCCTCCAGAATTGGGTTGTCTAGTGCTGATACAGGGAGTGGCTGCAAATCTAACAAATCCGTGTGAGGTGCTCTATTCAGGGTGGGAAGAATTAGATGCTTAAACGACACGGGGATGATAATGTCGGACCCAATCCATTTATCTGAAACCGCACGGATGAAAATCTGGGGTGGGAGCTCGTCAACGGTTGAAGACGTTGTTGGGATCGGAATCGTGAACCCCAGTTTCTGCTCCTCGTCTTGTGCCCGTTTATGCAGCAGAAAGTATTCACTATACAGAATCTCCGTATTCTCTGAATCTTCCACCCAAATCCACCAGGGCTCAACCGATCCATGCACCCGGTCATTCCAGATAAAATCCGGTGTAATCGTTAAAGTCACTCTTAACACCTTCCGAGTAATCGGCGCGATCGTTGCATCCAGAATCAAGGACGGAAATTGTTGGGCACACCTAATGACCGTATAGGCCATCTTTTGATGTCGAATCAGCTGCCCTACTTCTCTCACATCCATATGCCGCACATCCTCAATGGTCAACTGTCTTGGAGCTCTCTCCAATTTCTGTACAATCTCTGGTGCGAGATCAAATTGTCCCAAAGGATGCTCGAATGACCACATGCGTTTATCCACCGCCTTGCAGAGTGATAGTATAACTGAGGAAGCTGGGCCCCAGTTTCGATTCAAAGCAATCTGGAACAATGCTCTCAAGATACGGGCGGCGTTTTGTGCCACATAGGCCGTGTCAGAGACCAGAGCAAAATCCTCGATATGAGCGCGAGAAATGTAGCTTTGCAGAAGAATATTGGTCTTGCCGTAATTGGTGTCAACGCCGCCCTAAATTGAAGAGATTTTAGATGCCTCCGATTTGACGATTGACAATGCCGCAAGCGTACCTTAACAGCACAAACACAATCATTCTCCTCCAGATCTTTTATTTCTTGCACCTCCTCCTCCCGAACCTTAACATTCTCAAATTCCGTGCTCATACTGAGCATACTCAATACATCCGCTTCTGTCATCCTTGGCCGCATCATCTCGTTGAAGATCTCCACACTTGCGGTCTGAATGTAAAAGCTACTTGCGGTCCTTCCCAAATCTTTTGGGTTGAGGTAACCCCTTTCTGCGTCAAAGGTGATCATTTGGGCTTTGGCCAAAGTCTTTGCTGCTGCGATAATCAATTCCCGTCGACGTTTGGCCAAGGTTGGGTCATCTTGAATATCGTTCCAGTTTAATCCATACTGGAAGGGGTTCTTCTTCATTCGCGCGTACAGGTATGTGTAGGATAACCACCTGACTCCTTCGTCGAGAGATGTTACTGTTCCAAGAGAAATTTCGGCGTTCAGATTATCCGTGAGGTGCTCTGCAAATCGAGACTCGATGGGATGCTGCTGCGTCATTGCGGAGACGTAATGGCTCAGCTTATCATGTGATGTCAGAATGTAACCGACACCACGATCTTCGTACTGGGGTCTACTCGAATTTCGGCAATCACATTATATCAATCTGAAAATACATGCATGGAACGACGGCCATAACGTACCGTCCAGCACGACCGAAAATCTGGAGCACATCCAAAATGGAAAGGTCCATAAAGCCACCTTTCTGTGCATTGTACACTTGCGTTCCCTTGATGACCACTGCATACGCAGGGAGGTTGACACCTAAACAGATTCACGTTGTCAAAACTGAGTAAAGAGGAAGCCAACAAGTTCTCTTGCGACACTAACCCCACGCAAGCGTCGCCGTACAACACAAGACCTAACACATGATTTAGTCAAATTTTGATGGGTTATGGGATATACGCAGAACTGAGACATACCCTGAGTAAACCCTTCTCAAATAGACGTTCCGTCAAGGTCCGATCGGACCGCAGCATCCCGGCATTATGTATACCGAAGCCGGAGGCAAAAAGTTCCCTCAATTCTTTATTCTTTGACCTTTGCACTTCCTTGACAGCCAGACCATACTGCGGATCCTGCGTCATATCAAACAGCCCTGCCACCGCAAAAAGTAAGTATCGAAGCGTCCTTCACTCGCAGGAGTACCCACCAAGCTCATTATGATTAAGCGCCTCATCTCGAAGCATTTGCGCCGTCCGAACAGTGTCTTTTCTCGAATGAACAAAAACCATCACTTGTGCCCCATCACGGACGAGTTCGGATACTTTATCATAGCAAACATCATTCATCTTCTTCTGCATGATAGTTGATCCGGCTTTCGCCTTGATGCCGATGAAGTGTTGTTCCAATGGGACAGGGCGGAAAGAGGAGTCGAAGAAGAATAGGCCTTGATATTTGTTTACGCTATATTTGTGACAAATATTAAAGACAGAAAGGAGAGCCTGTGATTCAGAATCACCCGTACCCAAGGAAGGCGGCCACATCGAGGTAGTTTGGTAATGTGGCTGACAGTCCGATAATGCGGATCATCGACTGGCTTGACTCCACCTTTTGATATCATTGTTACGACGCACTCCCTATCTGTGTGTGCCATTGCTATCAGAAATACCTGTCGTAACGTCCTCGCCACAATACTTTCAATAACAGCGCCTCGGTCTTCATGGAGAAGATGGACTTCATCTATGATTAACAGGCGAACCTTCTGCTCCGGAGATCATTGAACACGAAGCATCTCCAATCATAACGGCGTCGACAGACCTGCGCCAATTCAGTATCCCCAACACTTTTTCGTGTCACGACATCCCACTTTTCAGGAGTAGTCACAATCATTTGGGTAGCTGCAATCTCCGCTTTCGTCAACTGCATATCGCCTGTATACCCAAAAAGATGACGTTCAGTATATCTCCAGAACAAAAGGCGCGCGCCTGACTGACCAGTAAGCTCTCTAACAGAAATACCCAATCCCCCATCCTGTTCACGCCCGCCCAATCTAGCTGAAAACTTTCGTACAACCTCTGCAGCGAGAGCTTTCATTGGTGCCACATATACGATTTTGAAATCATTCTTTGCCAACCGCCCGTCATGGCGATGTTGCGACAAGGTCCGCATGACTGTAAGCATCGCGATATCCGTCTTCCCCTGATGGAGAGCATGGCGTCAGACAGGTGAACATGATTGCTAGTGAACATATATCGCCCAGCATACCGCTCCGGTTGGCGCGCACACCAGCATATTCTCATTCGTCCCATAAGCAATAGGGAATACAATGGACTGTACTCGGTTTAGCGACGTGTAGCCTTTGAAACCTTGCTGGGCAAACTCATCCAATTCTGCAATAGGAACCCGTCTTTCATGTGAACGAACAGCGGCTGGCTTCGAGATTGGAATTGATATCTCCTCATAGTCCTATGATTATAGACTAAATAGGCAGATACAAGTAGAAGGTTATCGTCAGAAAGCCCCGTACCTTGTAATCCTCCCTTTCAGTTCCGGCTGGTAATGTGAATCGTGATCCGAAAGTTGATAGAACTGAGCCACCAGAGCCAGATTGATAAACGTTCGGCAGTACTTCTTGCTGTGCAGAGCCAAAAGACTAGTCGGAACATTAGCATGGAACAGTAAGTGATCTGCTCAATTCACAATACTTACCGCATCGGCAACCATGGGTGCATTTGCCGCAGACCGTAATTGCTCCTCTCGCACTCGGCGCAAATGATCACCATCCAGACCAAGCATAGTGGCGCTGGTCATCATTTGACTCTCCTCTGTCGTCAAATTGCATCATAGGGTCAGTGTCTTCTCGGACCTGGTACTCAAATTCCGTTCACCAACCCTGTGATACTTTGCTCCGCTTCTTCCATTCCTTACGTTGCTGCTTCAATTGCAGCTTTTCAGCTTCTGACATAACGGTTACCTGGGCACCATATGCAGGGGCCCTGGACGGATATGGAGGTGGCTGTGTGGCCGCGTCGAGAGGTATCTGTTCCGGCTCTACCTCAACAGCCTAGACATGATGAGAGCAATATATTATGTCCTTGCTCCAAACCAAAAGGAGAAGCTACGAAGCAACCTGCTCTGTGATGGTTTGCACGATATCTCGACGATGGGAGAGGAGCGTCAATATCAAAGCAAAGTTGGAATACCCCATCAAATCCACCAAAGCGCTCTGTATGTCGTCATCTGAAGAGGTCTGCATTAGGGCATCACAGAATGGGTTTGCTTTCTCAGAAGATAAAATTAGGCTTACCGCCTTTATCAGATCGCAGAATGTCGAAAACATCTGTGCACAGCTGCACAGGTGTTAATGCTGCGTAGTCTGGGTCATTCGCAATATGGAGTTCACATTGACTGCAATTCATGTGGTTATAAAGATGTTTAGTTGATAGAAAGCATAACTGCCTTACCTCAGCAGCCAGTGTCTATCATATTGTGGAGCCTCCTCTGGCAGCGCAGGAGTGGGGCCGCGGCATTTAGTGACTAGAGAGTCGCGGTCCTTTGTCGGTTGCTGCAGCTGCGTCTCTTCCTCCGGAATCACAGTTTCACCGTCACTGTCACGATGCAATATCACGTCTGCCGCTTGCCTCCCGAAAGGGGTGACGAACGGAACATTTACGCCAAACGGCTCTCTACGCCGTATGCGATCGTCTGATCAACAAGAGACTCAGTGAAAGTGTACATGGTGCGTCATAGATAGACCACCAGGCTCACCTAGTAAAGTAGACCTAAGATGAGACAAAAGTTAGAAGAGCTAAAAGAAAACCCAAGCTGGACAGCATTCCCTTACTTATCAGTTTCTGCTAAAGTACTCTTTATATCGTCTAGCAACTTATCCCAATCTTGAAAGAAGTCTCCAGAGTTGCTGGCGTCCCCATTACTCGTGTTTGTCGGCAGCAATGAAGTAGAAGCGGTCCGACTCAAAGGGTCGAGAGGCTGCTCGTCGTCGTCAATATCACTTTGACCCGCTCTATTCCTCTTCAAGAGATAGTCCCGTAGGACATCTGTAAACCTTACGGAGCTCAACACCATACTGACCGAGGACTTTACAGGGGGAAGAAGCTCATGAAGAAGCTCACAGCGAGAAGGTGAGATTGGAGACCATGGTGGATGAGTCACACTCGCTGTGCCACCAACAAGTGCGTGATGGAAGAATGTCATTTTCAAACTCTGCCCATCTCGCAGCAAAACTCAATGTCAAATCCACAAACACCACCACCACTGCCACCAAATCCGGCAAAGTCTCAGTGGCAATCTTGCTGGGACGAAACCTCTCAACTCTATTATTGGTGGAATACTGCCACGAACGAAACAACATGGGAAGATCCTAATCAGATATCCTCCGTCGCAAAACCGAAACATGAAGCCGACCAAAACAACCATGTAGAAAACGTAGAGGCCATAGAAGATGAAATAGCTGTCAAACCTCCAGATTCACAGGAGCCAGTAGAAGGGACAAGTGCGGCCGAAGAGGAGGAGACGTCGACGGAGACAAGCAAGGACAAAAGCGTAGAAACTTCCGAGGAATCGCAGTCCCCAATCGATCAAGGAACTGCTTCTAACGATTACTATAATTCGGAGGAATACTATAATTGGTACTATTCGCAGTACCTCCCGCAATCTTCAATTTCATCAAGCAACTCCCCGGATAACACTTCGCCCCCCGATTCAAAGCTGCGTGCCGGTGGTGATTCGTCAAACACATCAACAGATCCTTCAGGAACTTCATACTTGATGCAGACAGAGCATGGCGCAAAGTCCAATGTGATAGGCAAAATTGACTATTCAGGTCGGTTTCTCGGCGGAATATTCCTTAGCTCTTTACAATGGCTGACAATTCACTTGGTTTCCAGACTATACGGTAACAGGAGCGTTCAACTCTCGAACCGGGCGATTTCAAAATATTGACCGAGACCCGCGATACGCTGCCCCCGACCAGTACTTTGACCAGTCATCAAAGGCCATTCGTCAGATGAACTTCTTCTTTGATTACGACAAATTTCAAGAAGAACGCGCCGCTAAGCGTCTTGCAGAAATGGATGGTGAGGGCCAAGTACGAAAACAGCAGAAGTTGACAAAGAAGGATATCGAATTTTATAAGCAACGGAAGAAGGAAAAGAAGTTGAAGTCTTTGAAAGCGAGATTTGGTGGTGACTGATGAAATAAAAAGTTTCGGTGCGGGAAGGCGTTTAGGCTGACGAAGTCTTATATTTGTGACGCATTATTGATTGGATGTGTAATGAGTTGTGCCTCTCCCCACTGCTGCCCGTCATCGACTACCCTCCTGTCCTTCCGAACTATCAACCGGCTCGGGCCGCACTTGTTCCTCAGCCACCATTTTCCGCGCGCTGACAATATAGTTCATTTGCAGATCTCCCAATCCTCGGCCGCTCAAAAGGCTCCACTGGTTTGATGCGGGATTGAATGACATTCCTTTGATATCCAATACCTCACATCCCGCGCCTGTCAAAAACCGCTGCATCTCCTCTGGGGTGACATATTTAGCGTGCTCATGGGTCCCTGGTGGTACCCATCTAAGTAGATGTTCCGCTAAGAGGATCGTGAACAGATAGGATGTAGGGGTGCGGTTGATAGTGGAACAGAAAATAAGGCCGTTGGGCTGAAAGGGCAATGTAAATACTTTGCACCAATTCCACTGTAGGTCAATTGATGGGAGGTCTTACCTTGACGAGCTGGCCGCAAACGCGGATGAACTCTTGCGGATCAACCACATGTTCAATAATTTCCAAAGCGCATACAGCGTCAAACTTTTCACCATCTTCCGCTAGCTGCTCTACGTGTCTGTATTAGAATGATATCAAGATACATGGAGGACATGTGGTAAAGGTCTATACCAGCCGTCGTGTGCCGATACTCGAATGACCCACGTCCGAATTGCAGCGTGGGGTCCTGTGCGGCGTGTATTCTAGCCATATGTATGTTTTCTTCAGCGGCATCTGCGCCTACTACTGTAGCCCCTAGTCTGACGAGCGCCTTGACGTAGGAACACATCAGCAAGAACTCTGGAATTGCAACTAGCAAGCCACGTTAGGTTACCTCGGACAGCAAACCGCCCCCACATCCAATATCCAAGAAGCGCAGGCCAGTAAATGGTTTCGCCGCGCTAGTCCCATCTCCTTTGCCAACATGCTCCAGCATATCCCGCACATAGCCAACGCGAACCGGATTCATTCTATGCAGCATCGCAAACTCGCCACCTGGATTCCACCAGTCATCTGCCGCCCGGGCAAACTTTGCAATTTCCGCCTGGTCAACCGTACTCGTAACAGAACGTATCGACCCATATTGCGGTGGTTTCCTGTGGGTTAATCGCCGTCCGAATAGCCGGGTAAGCGTTCGCTGGTGGTGCATGATGCTTAAGAGTGCTCTCGGATTGCTGCGCACCACCTTTATATACTAGTTGCCATGGTAACAAGCGTCATCACCAAACTTGATTTAGCTTTGAACGTTATTCATTATCTCGAAACTCCTCATTATGGCCAAGCTGGAACTTGTCGCTGAACTCACAGGTGGGAAAAAGGCGCAGACAGGACAATATATTCGCTGTAGTTGGTTTCTGTGAAAGTTTCTGACCACCCGTCTATAGGTCATTCTGACCGAGTCTGGTCGATTGCGTGGCATCCCACTCTTCCCCTGCTTGCTACATGCTCGGGGGACAAATCAGTTCGGATATGGAAGCGCGATGCGGGAAACGGGAGCTGGGGCTGTGTATCGGTTCTTGACGATGCTCACAAGCGGACGATTCGGTCGTGTGCATTTTCACCTGATGGGCGCCTGTTAGCAACTGCGAGCTTTGATGCAAGTACAGCGGTATGGGAGAGGGATGGAGACAGTGGTGGTGGGTAATAAATAAGTATTAGCTGATCAGAAGTCTTGGGGTACCAACCGAAATAAATGTTTGCACAGAGTGGGAATGTTTAGCGACCCTCGAAGGTCATGAGAACGAGGTCAAAAGTGTGTCGTGGTCTGCGTCCGGTGCACTGCTTGCGACATGTAGCAGGGACAAGAGTGTCTGGATTTGGGAAGGTAACTTTGATTAACGAAGCGATTACGGAGAACATGGATGGCTGCTGACCTGAGATTAGTTGTGGGTGAAAGTGATTTTGAATGCTTGAGTGTTCTCCAAGAACACGAACAGGATGTCAAGATGGTCCAGTGGCATCCAACCGAGGAGGTGTGTGTGTGGCCTTCTTGATAACTGTTCCGTGACGGACTGTATGTTTGACGTTGAATACCTCCCAGCTTCTTGCCAGTGCCTCTTACGACGATTCGATCAAAATCTGGCGAGAGGACGATGATGACTGGTATTGCTCGGATACCCTTACGGGACACACCGCGACAGTATGGGGCATAGACTTTAATGAAACCGGAGATATGCTGGGTAAGTGTGTGAGGTGCGCTCCATGGGTATGATGGCCACATATACTGATGCAGCCACAGCCTCCGTGAGCGACGACCGAACGCTAAGGTTCTGGCGACCAGACACGTCTCATAGCAACGCTGCATCACTTGGATATCGCCAGGATCCAAGATGGAAATGTGTTCATACAATACAGGATCTTCACGAGCGAACGATATATGCTGTGTCGTGGTCCAAAGTCAACGGGCGTATTGCGACTGCAGGCGCTGACAATTGCGTCAAAGTTATTGAAAAGGTGTGTGTATAGTAACTGTCTAAAGACCGCCGATGGGGAGTCATTTTCAAAACGAGAATTCTCAATATGTAACAGGAAGCAATGACCGACGAAAACGCGCCAAAGTTTGAAACGATAGTGTCATTGACAAATGCTCACGGACAGAGTGACGTGAACTCTGTGCGATGGTGTCCGTTGAACGAATTTGGGGATCTCTTGGCCACGGCTGGGGATGATTGTGTGGTCCGGCTGTGGCGATATGTGAATACTTAATCTGATGTTACATGTATTTAGTGTAGAGGTGACAGAAACTGGCACTAGCTACTACACCAGGGAATAAACCAGCGACAACTGGTTCGGAAAAGCCGAGTAATTCCCTCCTTACAACCAACCAACTACCACTAGGCCCAATTACACATGCAATACATTACGGTTGTTTCTAACCGGGTAACTAAGCCCACCACACGAGAGAAATCCTACTAAGCCCTTGATTCCGAAATTCTTTAGTCAGAGGATGTTCAGATACTAATTAAACCAGAATTAGACTCGGAATACACATGGGAAAATACAAAGATAATGCATACCTGCAATCATTGCAATATAGTAGTAGCAGCGTTTGCAAGGGGTTATGTTGTTTTTGTCGGGAGGGCAAGGTCCTCAACACCAGAGCGGCATTCTCATGATGGACTTGAGAGTGTTGCTTGAACGTTGCGCAGATGCTTTGAGTCGAGGATGGGTAAAGAGGAAAGAGGGAAGAGACAGTGAAGGCCCCCCTTTTATAGACCTTCCGCATGCACCTCACCGCAGTTTAAAAAAAGAAAAAAATACGTTAGCATGCCACACTGCAGTTTGGAGTTTGGAGAACATTAGCATGCCACACCAATCTGAGCGATAGATGGGGGTTCTGATTATGCGATATGATTAACTGGATTGATCCGGATAATAATGGGTCCTAGTGCCATTTTCAATCACCTACACACTATATATTGAACCCTCCGCATATTGTGTTTTGAACCAGACAGCTACAGGCACTGTAATAAACGTTACTTCTCACTTTTCCTCTGGCCGCAGCCACCTCCTCTGGGTTCAAAAGCAACTATGAGATTGTACCAGACAAGATTGCCTCCACCGCCTGTCCTTCATCGCCTTCAAATTGTCGTAAGGCTTTAACAACCAATCCTCGCTCAAACCCCATTTCACATACTCTTGAGATTGACCCTTGGTCCAGCCCCACCTCGTCTACGCCCACCGTTTTCCCAATCTGATCGACGGAAGAACCCCCAATAGCATGTATCTGGGTCCATTCCCTTGCAGTCTTCTCAAAGTCCGCTCGTGCCGACAGGTAGTGTTTCGCAACCTCCGCGTCCTACAACATCTATTTAGAATACGCCTTTCTTGAAGTAATAGGACTGACAAAAGGATAATCCACGCACCTGCGGATTGTCCGGTGCTGGATCGCAAAGCAGCGACTGCAGGGATATTAGCTGATCACAGCACCTTTCAGTGTTACAAGCCACAGGCACAGAATCACAAACCATGCATCTCCAAACATACCACAGTTTTCAAGGTCAGGACAGGACTCCATTCATCTTTCAAAATGTCCAAGCCTATTCACCAGCCGCCACGCGATAAGCGACCATCCCAATCATGCTGGGAGAAAGTTGGTTTGATGAGACTCACATATAGCGCCTGTTTGCGAAGAGATGTTTGGATGGTAGACTGGTGTCTCAAATCTCATTTTTGGGGGCTAGTTCACATGAGCATTGTCAACAATCTCCATTCCAGGCGAACGGCCAAACTACGGCGCGGCACACCTTGAAAGGATAGTCGTCTGGTAACTCTATGTCCACAAGAAACTGTCCACCTTCGTATGGGCTACCCTGCGGCCCTGCAATCATTCCTTTAAGGCGACCTAGCGTCGGCGATTCAGCTGCGTATAGTGGGATGATTGGGTGTATCCTGTGTGGTCTTACATAGATTGTCTCCGACAACTTGCACATATACATTGGCAGTTTTGTCCGACTGCACTTGACGGATTTCCCTCTCTATTCGTCGTGCGTCTGGCATTTTCGGAGTTGGTAAAATCTGTATATGGTCGCTGTAAAACTTGGAAAAGATGAATGATAATGCGCAGGGTAAAGTTGCACAATGTGTGGATCTTGGGTGCTGAGTGTTGGATGAGTCATTTGATTATGTAAGATGAAGCCGATCATGGGTGTTATTCAAAGAACCAAAGAACAAGAACTTTTATAGAGCAGGAGTTCTTCTGGGGGATCTTCCTTCGTCTTTGCAACCGCTTGAACCATCATCGCCATGGCCTGGGATTCGGCACCTGCTTAAGGCGTCAGTAGCCATTCAAAAGTCAACAATCTGTATTTTGGAACTTACAGGATAGGTCCACTTGGGTTTGTTAAGTGGCTTATTGCCCAATGTTTTGACAGCAGCATCTCGCGGCGCATAAAAGCTAGTTAAACTGAGGCCAAATATGCTGATATCTGCTTTGTACATCTCGGCTTTGTCATTTACAACAGATATCTGCTGTTTGCGACCCTCGGTGCGTGTTTCAGAATTATCCGGGTCATCATTGATCTCTCCCTCAGCGTCCTCCTTGTCGTTGGCGTCCCTTGTGCCATGGGTGACGGGTTTACTTTGTCGACGCGCAAGCATATCTGCTTGACTGCGACCTCGTGGCACTGCAAGACGATTCACCGACTCAGTCAAGGCTTTGGATAGCCGAGGCATTGAAAGCGTATTTGATGCGTTGCGGCGCGTGGCTTTTCGCTTCCGTCGTCGTGGTTTGACTGCGTCTCCTGCCTGCACATCTTCTAGAGAGACAAATTGCGGATTGTCCTCGGACACCTCTTCTGGAGTTGGTGGAGATTCTGGCGCCAGATGAAAGCTGGCAATAAAAATTCCGTTTCCAGTTGATTCAGTTGGAAGGATCTTGAAGCATTCCTCTGCAGGGAAAACGTATATCAGCATACCGACGCCATTTGTCGTGAAGAGCCAACAGCTCACGTACCTAATTCATATTCCTCTGTTCTCTCCACTGCAACATCGGGCAATACACATCCCAGCTCCCATTTATCACCAACGGCCTCCAGAGTTTCGCGAACAACTTGTTCATTTTCCTCCGCGTTTACAGATCGGGTTATATACAATATCACTTTGACATTAGGAACTTTGAAAGTGATCGTATTCTGTGTTACTCTTTGAGACCGTATAGGCGCTGTTCGCTGCGTACCCACATGAAAAGGCATGTTTCAACATTCCTAGCTGCTGGCTTCTGAGTGACCACAGATCCTTTTGGGTGTATTGGTCATTTGGAAATTCTTGAAATGGGAGAAATTAAAATGCGCTTTGGAAGAGGGTTACAATCGAACACAAGCTTACCTTCCTCCTGGAGAAGATAACCAAGTTTATCCAAAATTGCGGTTGCAGAATTAGGTGGCTCCACAACGACCACTGAGACCTACGTTGGAAGCACTTGAGTTTGCTTTACCATGCGGCCTCACCACAAATAACCACAAACCTTTTCATACTTCGAATCGAGGGGATCAAGATTTGTGAAATCAGACTCGATGATTTCCAAATCTGCGAGGCAGTATCAGATTCCGTTGATATCATAACAGCAGTCTCTTCAATTGTTATTTCACTTACTCTGACATCCCTGCAGTCCCCAATGTGCTTTGAACGATTCTAATCGACCAGCCCTGGCTTCACATGCAAAGACCTTTCCAATGACATCAACCTCTACCGCCAGATGCAGCGCCCTAGTACCTATATATCTGATTAGTGACCTTTGCTACAGGAAACGAGGGGGAGGGAGGAAGAAAAATGGTATCACACTCACCACAGCCTGCTCTAGCATCGAGTATCTGTACCTCCCCTTGCGACGCTAACTCTGGCAGTAACGAACGGATGTAGCGAGGGCACCAAAAACTCGCCTTTTCCTGATACGTCCACCGTTAGAACGATGGCCAGTCATTGCTAGTGGATCACGTCAACTACCTCAAAAATCAGCTTTCCATCATTAACAATCCTGCTTGCTTTAATCTCAGCGAATCGCTCTGGTGACACAACTAAAAGGTCCTCAAAGTCCGGATCAACCACTATATCGTTTGAAGCACTAAAAGAAGTTGAGATAAATTCACCAAATTGTAAGATTCATCGCGGCTTACTTAATACTGCTCCGTGATCGGGTGAGCTCTTCCAAGATCGCTCGCCGAGTCGTCTTGTACTTGTTTATCCGAAGGCATTTTGGCATGTCCACTATCAGTGAGTTGGAGGTTATATACAGTAAAATGCGATGCAATAGCCCTGTCACTCCTTGTACGCAAGATATTTCTCCCCGGTATTCTGACAGTCCGGGTCATCCCACATGGTCACCAGCAGCTTACCTGCAATATATTCTTTCTCCCGAACAGTCTCTGGCAGAACGTTTGCCATTTGCTCCTGTGGTGTGTCACCGCTAGCCCTTCGGTCAATCCTAATTCGCGCATACGCAGCGGCGAGCTTGATTTGGAAAGCGCGGAGTGCTGTATCAAGACTTTGCACAACTTCCACCCCCTCTTGATCGGATGAGGATGCATCTTTCGGAAGATCATAATTTATATCTGGGTATCGATGATGATTGAAATGGTATTTCATGAGGTCGTACATCATAACTTTGACTAGACCAAGGTGGTTGAGGAACTGAACTGGTAGGTGAGAGCCTCATACGTAGAATTACGGTCTAGAAGCGGCTTACCTCGTTATGATATACTAGAAACTGAGTTTTAACCAGTATTGTATCAATGTATGTCATATCTGAATTATGCAGCAGTGGGCAACATGAATCAATAAAAGCTAATGCAATAACTGACTTACATTTCATCGTTCCATACACCAATTTTAAAACCTTATCCCCCATGTTCTCTCTCCAGATAGCCGCATGATCCACTTGCCCTGATTTAGTCCGCTTCAGTGGGGCAGCTCCAACGAATACGCTCTCGTTCACGATATTCTCGAGAGTTTCGGCTGCAACTAAGAATTCCCCAAAATTATGTGATTGGTTATCGTCGAGGTCTTCCATGAGCGAGAGAGATTTGCGCAAATTATTTTCGGACGCTGCCATATTGCTTGATGTTCTTCGGGAGAGGTTGGAAGCGGATGCACCACCGGGCGCTAATGATATCTCCGAATGGTAAGCGCGAAGGCTGTGAGACCGTTGCTGACTATGTAGGCCTGCATGAGGAAGTGTTTGGAGGGAAGATTTATGCATTTTATCTTGATCTTTACTGAAGGAAACTTCAAAAAGTTCAAGCATTCGGGTTGGAACAACGATGCTGAATCAGCCGATAGGTAAGCGCTTGGGTAAGCATAATATGTTGCCATGGCAAATTCAAAGTGCGATGCTCTCAAGCCAGGGTTGCTCTGAACGAGCTCTCGTAGCAAGCACCACACCATGTCAACGAAAAAGCGAAAGGTTGTAGAAGGCGGTTCTATCAAGCCAGCGACCTTTGACAATGACACGAACGACACACCCCTTCTAGGTGGGTACTTGTGCCAACAAGAAACAAAACATTCTTGACTGACAAGTGGGCTTTCCAGTCACCCTCCCAGACTTCCCAACGAAACCCCATTCTGTCAAATTTCAAACATTTGTACGTGGTGAAAATGAGTCGGGGGCTGTACGGAAGAAGCGTCGTATTGTGGTGGGCCAAACCTCGAAACTTGAATATGTTGGAGATAATGCTGGGAACAAGCGCTATTGCCGGTATAGTAACGTTGTCACATAGAGGACGAGGTGCGAGAAGCTCAGCTACTGTATTATGCAGATATGTCATCGGTGTATTTGATAAGAACACCAAGCAGCTCACGCTGCGTGAATCCGATGCATTTCGCATGGCCACAACAGTCAAAACACTCAAGCGGCACGAATCTAAGCATATTGCGGAGAAGGTGGGTACTTGGCGGCACAGATGGCATTCTTCAATATGTTATGCTTACAATAGCCGCTACTCTCTGTAGAATATGCTCGCACGAAATGCCCTTGGTGAGGCCTTTGGAACAAAGAAGCGTCGTCAAGCCATCCGAGCACTGGAGAAGAACGTAGTTGATGTGCGGGGCATGGCGGAAGTTGAGGATGTAATAAAGGGCGCCATTGACGAAAAGGCGGCAACGCTTCCGAGCAGGGGTGAGTATCTGAAGGTTTGCTATATGCTCATGTTTCAGGAGATTGCTCACAGCTATCTGCTATGGCAGAGGAGATTCGGCAAGAGGCACAGCTCGACAGGTGTATACCGCCTTACAACCTTCAGGTACTGTGTATTGTACCGTGGACATGAATTGTCATTGACGTCCTCATTTGGCTCATACCTGTTCATTCGCCAGGCTCAATCCCCCGCCGATGTGTACAACGTGGAGGACATCATAACTCCCGCGGAACTCCAAGCGATTCCCTTCAAGCAGATATGGAGAGCCAGATCTGCATCTGACGTTAAGGAGCTTCTCGAGCCCATATCGTATGTTTCACCCAATTTGCAGTTTCTGATTCTGTTCTGGCCATGCTGACTTGTCCATTACAAGGCCTACATCATGGGTTTGGGACAAGATTCACGTTTGTCTACAGGTCAAGGATGATAGCGTCAGGATGCGGAGGGTGAATACTGTGTGCTTACGAGTGCCCTGTAGTAACTGCATTAACCACTGTGCACTTCCCTTTAGCTCATTTATCTTGCGTATCTGATGAAATTCCATGGTTTCAAAGACAAGGATTTGAACAGCCAGGCAGTTGGAAAGAGGCTCGGAGGAGCACCGCAGATTGTTGCGGAGAGGCTGATGAATGAATTCACAGAGTTTCAAGAAGATGAGGGAAGGAGACGGTGAGTTGAGCTCTCGCATTGTGCTGTACCCTGCTATGCAGTGCTTATCGAAGTTGTATGTCAGATATCGAATGTCGCCCAAGTTGCAAGATAAGCTGCGAGCTTACATATTGACTTTATGCCTGATTCTCAACGACTTCAAGGTGGACGCCAGTCAAATAGCACGGGACTTGGGTATAGCAGTCAACAAGTAAGTCCAGAATATGCCAACCCCGCCGCCAGAGGTTTAACTGACGGGCAACCGCTAGAATGAACGACATTGCAAAAGAATTGGGATGCAAACACCAACAAGTCAAGAACGCCGAAGGCAAATCGACGAAGAGGATGGCGCTCACTGTTCCTCTTGTCTTCCCACAAAGAACACGTTGAAGAGGCTTTCTCTATGGTGGGCCGGTGCTCATGACTATAGATTCAATGCATATATAATTAGCGCCGATGTGAAAATCAATAGACTTGGGTTCGAAGTCTTATTATTTTCCAGTTAGCCCATTCTGAGTCCCCCGGATGTTTTACATGGAATGATGCGCTATCCTGGGAAAAATATATACGGTTCACAATTTGCCGGGTAGCGTCTCCTGGTGCTTAACTAGTAGTCATGAGCAGTAGGGACCTGCTCCTCACATCCAAAGGTGTACTTTTGGAGTGGGTATGCTCTAGACCAAGCTGTAAAAGCTCAAATCTAATGCAATAAGTAGCACAGCGGTAGGGGATGCTGTAGTGGATGTTCTTGTTATTTGATTCAAATATGAATTATCCAGTCGCTTCTCTGCGATCCTATCATTTGAGTCCCAATCCACCTATTCTCTTCGTCAAAAAGGCCACATCCTCGTCATCATTTTCACAGCCCATGACCAGAGCATCACCAAATTCAGCGTCTGTTTTGTTCTGTTTACTGATCTCCGACACAACAGGTCTCGGGGACAGAGCGCGGTCTCCGTCCAGCGTGTGATCTAAAGAATAAACCATGTATTTGTTCTTCTGTTTGTTTTTAGATTTTGATGTGGATACCATCGGGTAATTGTTCACGGGAATTGGTTGGTGGCAATTTCTGTTTCGCAGACTTTGGGGCGGGGCGTTTTCTTTGACGGTGGACGGCAATTTAACCCCGTTTGATTTTTCACTTTGAGCAGTGGGCAAAAGAGATACCCAGGAAGCTTTTAAGGTCCCTCCGACGGATTTCGTGGAACTACAATGAGATGTGATCAGTGAATTCTGATTCGAATCTTGCAGCGGCATCACGGACAAGGTGGCTCCTATGGATGGTGGGATATGTTCCCCGTCTTCATGCGATCTCATATGTGCTCTCAAAGTCTTTCGTTTTCCAATGGCGTCACCGTGACCTGCATTCGAGCGGCATGGCGGATCCATGCTTCGTTGCAATTGCTCGGCAGTCAGCCCACTGTCGGTCTTCAGAGAAGTATCCTTCGCAATTCTGGTATCCTTCTGGTTCACGGAATGACCTTGTGATAACACTTCCACTGTCGCGGCTTTAACCAGATCTCGTGTGAGCATCTTCCTCAATCGCGGTTTTATTGTTGCCGTCTCCGTGCTATCTTTTCCCTTTAAATCGGCCCGCGTTGCCTTATTTACACTATTCTCATCGTTCTGCGATTCATCGGCCTGCATTTCCACCATTCCATGCGACGTAGCTGCAATGGTTATGTCATTCCTGCGAGCTTGACCTCCGGTCCGCATCACGTTCATCCGTCCATTCATCGCCATAATGAGATCTCCCCATCTCAAAGGCACACGACATAACGGACATGTTCCCATCACAGGTAATAGTTCAGAAGAATGATCTGACCCCAAGCGCTCGGCAGCCTCTTCTGAGAGAAACCATGAAGATAAACAAACGAGGTGAGCAATCATCGGACATTGATCTCTACTACAGCACAGCCAGTCGGATGGTTGTTCGATCTCAATGGATTCAAGGCACACAACGCAGTCGTGCTCTATGCTGGGCATGTCGAGTTTCGAAGCGACTAGGGCCCCTGCCGCAAAATGCACATCGTTAGTAACCCTCAGCGTAATTATAGTACGACATGTAATTAGAAGAATAACATTACCTTCCTCCTTTCTAATGTCTCTCCCTACTTCCACAAGTGTGCCATGGGCTATGCCAATATGTCTCGGCGGCGCACTTGGAAGCTGTCCAAACATGGATGCAGCAACCGTGGATGTGAAATGAATATTCAATGGCCACCTTGACCATTGCTCTAGATGGAGCATATCTGAAAGGACTCGTAGTTTGATTGGCAGCATCATTTCCTTTCTGGTACCTTTGTAGGCACCAGGATATGCGGCTGAAAAGTGCCGGGACAGGTGCGGTTTTTGCCAAGCCCACTCGAACTTCCAGTCAGTCAGAAAATGCTGTCTGTCAGCCTTACTCCTGAACTGAAAATAATGTGGGTTTTCATTTAGATATTTACCTGTAAAGCAGCATATTTATTTGGAAAACCGTAAACGACCACGACCATATCCCCTAGATAAAACACGTTAGGCTTCGCGAACAAGGCTCGCGGAGTGTGTCAATTCTAAACCTACAAGGGCGCTTCTTCTCAGTTTTTTTTGCCCCTCCCTTTATCTCTCCATTATGCTGCCTTAGTCGTCTGACGGGATCGGGAGTAGAGCCCACATATGCATGGTTGGTGCATCCTTCCTTCAGCGAGGACAGTAAGTAGCATCCGTAAAAGGTCGGCGAGAGCTGCGACAGGACGGGCTGAGGTACGGTTTCAGCAGCTTGGGACGAGATAGAGGCTGTTGTATCGTCCGTCATGGGCTGCCTTCAGTCAACCTTCAGTTTGTGCAGCATGACTATGTGGTCTCTGCGATCGTGAACGCGCGCGCGATCTACAACTTGCGATTGCAAAAAGTCCGGCACCATTGCAGGGTCGTGCGGTAACTCGCAAACGGAATGGTTTTACAGGGTTCCTTGTAGATTATATTCATATTGTAATATTGGGATTTTCACATCTCAACTGATTAAAATCTATGTGGTTTATGTTTCTCACTCAAACTGATAATTCAGTACGGTTTTGCCCATAAATCATAGTGTACCCTTGCAGCTTCTGGTGCGCTTCCAAGCGGCTCTCGCTGAAAAGAGGAACAGTATAAAAAGCACGATAACCCATATTATGTCAATAACATCTACTCTGCGCTTCTGCGCTTATGACCCCAGATACCGCCAGACGACTTCATTCGGAATCAGATATGTTTATGGAGCAGGCATGGGTTAATAACCGATGTTTTGAGCAAGCAAGAACGATGGGATGACGAGAAATGACGATACTAAAAAGTCGTAAATATCTTAAAATAAATTACATATATAAACATTCCTTATAATGTATATTTGCAAGTTCAGAACCGGATTCGTACGACTTCTCGCCGTACGGACTGTGTCTCAACCCACACCGTCCCAATTTCTCTTGCCCCCCGCTGTCGTACGAGATGCAGAAATGTGGGAAGTGATCCTGAACAACCGAAATACGTCGTCTTTGCGGCCACAAACCTAGTTTGATATGTTCAACAAAGAGGAAAGCGAAAGCGTAGTCTCGAAAGAATAGAACCTACAGAACCCCATCGGTCTTGAGAGTGGCTTGTATCAAGTCAAGTAGTCGAGCGTGTGACTCGGATGCGTAGATTGTCTCCGATGTGAGGACAATGTCGTACTTGTCATCTTCGGCAAGTGTTGCTAATGTTTCCTGTTCGACAGACACGTTAGGGGCATGTACATATGAACCACATAGCAAGGTTCCATAATCTACCTTCAGTGATCCCCAATCTCCAGCCCAAAAGCGCGAAGGAATATTTGACAGTGTTGAGAAGTCCAATTCAGCATCGAAGGTCACGGATGTATGTGTGGGTGGGTTGGATGGGCGCTGCGTCGTGTTGAGCAGTACGTTTGGGATGGTAACGAGGCGGAGCACGTCTTCGTTCTGATTGAATAGGAGGTCGACGTCAGATAAGAAATTAAGAGGGTGTGGTAGTGAATGAAATGGGAGAGACTCACGTAGTCTTGAAAATCAACCACGGCGTCCTGTGTCAGACAGAAGATGCCTGGTAATGAGGATCCACACCCCAGCTGTTAGACATATGTGAGAAGCAGTCGAACTTCAGCATCGCGAGGACGTGGGATCGCACCTCTATGACTCGCTTCCCATGTAGCTCTGCTGGGTCTAAGGATGCAAGATAGTTGACCAGGTCTACTGCACACTCCCAGGTTTTCAATCCTCCTGGATAAACACATTTATCACTTGGTATTCTCTGCGAGGAATTGAACCGAGTAATTTTACCTTCATATACTCCAGGAATCAAGTCCGTCTGTGACACAACAACGTTCGCCAATAAGTTACCATCCTCAAGATCATCCGTTTCCGCGATTTCGAACTTTATATCCGCAACATTTCTTTTGAGCAAGCTCCCTGCCATTGTTGGGACAACTTCCCCGATTACTTGTATGTGTTTTTCAAGCTTCATTTCGATACGATTAGTCTCCACTAACGTCGAGATAACGATTTTCATCCCTTACAAGATCTGCGTCCAGGGCAATGTGCCTACAGGGCGCCAATGGCGAGGAAACGGCATTGTCTTCGGCCGCCGGCGACGTTTCAGATTCCTAAAAAATACGACCCATATTAGACCACTGTTGTGCAGTGTAAATTCATCGGGCTCAAGGGGTCGCACCTGGCCGAAACTGAACAAGAACATCGTTGTTTGCTGGCTGTATCAGCACCGTCAACCTAATCCTTGAGGGCACTACGTTGCTATGCGCGGTCGTTAAGGAAGCTCGAAGTGTGGCTTCAACTGATTACGTGAAGCGCGTTTAATCGCGGCGTCCCTAACGTCGCTGAACCGTGGCTGAACCGTCGCTGAACCGTTCGACTAGGCGATCTTGTAATGGGAGAAGTAGCGCATAACTTGGCGACATTAAAATGGCTTGATGAGCTACTGGGTGGCGATGGGCTGACGCTAGATGATGTCAAGGAAGGATTCGCTTTATTGCAGGTGTGCCATGTCGGCCTGTGGATGGGTTTCTCAAGGTTCCTAACGACCATCTGTTCCAGCTATTGTCCCTCTTATCACCTACTTCCGTCAACCTTGCATGGTACTCTACTACTTCCGCATTTGAATGTGCAAACATTAAGGAACGGATTTACGATGACCTTCTTGCTGGTGTTAAGAAAATGGGGCTTCATGAAACAGCTTTGGGAGATGATGTTATCATACAGGCACGGAATGGAGAGGACGGTGCGTGCTTGGAGGTATTGAGAGTCTTGAAAAAGCAATATGAGGGAGAGGGGAGGGGAGTGGTCAATGACGACGATCGCGGTGATACGAGACCTGGCGAGGGTAGGATGCTGGAATCGGAATTGGCAGGTGTCGAGGGTGATGGGGATTACGAGGTTACGGAGGTACGCCTATTGAAAGGTTCAGGCAGACTCGTCCTAGCAAAGAATGACGTCGTTATCCAGCTATCGTTCAAACCCGCCGTAAGATGGCTTCTGCGTTTCGTTCAACATACGCAAGCGGACAATAAAACCGATTTTGATGCTCTTCTTCAAGACTTGACGGGCGCGGTATGCTGATGTATAGTTTTTCTGTGTTTTTTATATTCCTTTTCTTATGGCTTATTCTGGACCATATCACACCAGTCTAAAGTCATTCCGCGCGCTGGTATCATCCCAATCTTGTGCAAGGGCCACCTTTACCGCCTCGCAGCCACAGCCCTCTTTGGATGTACATGTGCTGACTACCTAGATGAACTGACAAAAAATGGATACCTTAAATTCAAAGCGAGCCTGAAAGAGTCTGTTAGGGGAATGATTGCGGACGATACACCTTTCTATGAGGTTAGCATCAGATTGCATTCCTTGTGGTGGCGAGTATTAACGAACTTGTAGAGCATACATTGTAATCTGATTGAAGCACTTATGGCTGCGAGCTGTGCCGACGTGTCTGTCGGGAACATTGTAGATCATATTGGGTGAGTTCTCTTTCACTACCTGCACAAAGGGACGACTATTTGACTTGTGTCTCGAAGAAAGCGTTTCACCACATTTGATGTCTCGTCTATCTATCCGTACGATCTCGAAGATGCACTACTGGTGTGGGCTAACCGATGCGTAATTGAAATGCGGGAAACAACTGGAATGGAGAGCGTACGGGAGCTTGAAGAGCTTGTAAAGGACTTGAGCGATGGGGTGATACTGTGCGGTATGGTGCGGTACTACTTTCCGGCCCTAGGCATATTGGGTATGTCGAAGTTTACTTAGTTAATCTTTGAGTTTGCATTTATGTCTCACGTTTTTCTTTCGAGCTGATAGAACCCCAACCGCCCCAGTGTGCTGATCGGGCAAACTACTGGAGGATTTTGGCAACGGCTTTCGATCAATTGAAAGGCGCTTACACAACCTGGGATGCTGAAGAACTAGCGACTGTCAGCGTTGATTTTGGAGCAGGAGCCGGTCCTATTCGGCGCTTGATTATGACGATCCTGTGTCAGCTTTTTAGACTCTGTAAGGAGCTGACGTACACAAATGATGGAGCTCCAGTTGCAACAACAGTGCTGATTGAGCTGACAGCAGCCGAGAAGGAGGTGCCACTGAGTACTTCAAAATCGATGCGAGAAGAACAGAAACAATGCAACAAGCCCTACACGTCCAAACCTAACCCATTAAAAAAAACATCGAAATCGACGCAGAAAAAAAAACTGGAAGCAGGCCAAACGGCCCCACATGAAATTAGAAGTTCCAATACTGCCTCGTCCGGTGATAGTGCAAAAGCAGAGAGGATGCCCGTAGCCGCTCTGTCAAAACCCATGGAAGACCCTGACAAGGTGGAGCAAATCGACGGTGCTACCTCGAAGGAAGACTGCGAAATCGCCATGCTAGGGGACGGAGAAGAACACCAATTAGTCGCACATCAAGCTGGTATTGCGAAAGTTAGCGACAAACCGTTCACCAAAAAAGCAACCTCTTCAAATAGCTCTGAAGAACCGGCACTAGACGCAGGCTACCACAATGGAACCATAATGAATGGTGGCACTATACTTACAGCTTCTTGCAGCCCAGCAAACTTGTCGATACTTGACGCACGACCCAACAGCTGTGCAAATGCCACTGTGTCGGCTGAACTTCAGCCGGCTGAAACAGGGCATGATATTGCCATCGGAGGGCAGGATATCGAGTATCAGAAAGCGCATGGATCAACCGACGACGTCGCCGAGACAATCAGCGACGAAGATACATCTCAACCTCCTGCCGTTAATGACACCAAGAAAATCGCGGAAATTTCGCCCTCCGGTTCGTACATTAAGCAACTAAAGCCAAACGGCATTTCCACTCCGGCACACACACGCAAACCTACTGCGATAATCAATGAATTCAAAGTCACATCTACCAGGGCAGATGCACCACTGAAAGTATTAAGTTCACATCAAGCAGGAAAGAAGTCTCGAACGCGCCGCCCCCGCGAAAGTGCTCCCCATTATGTAGAATGGGAAGATGAGTTCGGTTTGAGCCATATGCCTACCTTTCCTTCCCTACCTGTTCGCACCCAAGAGATCAGAGAGCAGGAACAGGTGGTTAGTTTACCACCAATACAAATATCGAAAGCGGAGACTGCCACCTTGCGATTTTCAACATCCGTGGATAAGTTACCGGACATCGCAAACAAGACTTCAGTCGTAGGAAGTGAATGTAGACGTGACGTTGAGGTTTCACAACTTCCTATTAACCTGAATCAAAAAGCGGGTGATCGAAAGATGCGGGACGAAAGTCAGTATAGACTACGCCTTCGTGATACATCCGTAGAGAATTTCATCGAACGCCATCCGACCAAACTAGCAACTGAAGCTTCGCAACAAGAGTCAGACAAAGATGATGAGCTAAGGGATAGTCGTTATGGCTCCCGCGAAGGTGTGGAAATCAAGACATGGACTGAGCAACTACCTGTACCACATCACCAGCTAGATACTGTTGCTGCGAGAGAAATTGAGCGCGGTGATGTTATATCTGAGTTGAGGGAAGACGGGAGGATTGTGGTGCATCAGCTTGCTCAGTCGCTTTTGGTAGATAGCGATGATGACACGACACAACATGAGGATACCAAGGGGGTGCGCACATGTGATCAACAGCAGCTGAGTGGATATCCAAAAGAAGAGAACCTGCCTATCGAAAAGATGGTGAAAGAATTCACCAACCGGCCGTCATCTACAAAATCCCTTCCTTCCACATCCACCTGGCTGCCAACGAAGGAGGATGACGAAGAATGGGTAACAGAAGATGAGGGGTCAGAAGAAGATAAAGATGCAGAATGGACGACGGACGATGAAGAGGAACATACGAGCAATAATCAGCAGACAACGTCTCCTGCCTTCGCACCTCAACAAACCTCTCCAAGAAGATGCTCGTTCATACCACGTCCCCCAGTCATAAATAAACCTAATCAAACCGTATCCCAACCTACGCGCCCTTTCGCACCGCCCACCATAAAGGCCAGTGAATTTAGCATTGCCCCTGCTGCCGAATCAAGCACGCAGGCATCCCCAGCGCCCGTTTCAAGGCAGCACCCACTTGACCTTGACGAACAGGAAAGCTCAGAACATCCCAAGTCCAATCTATATGCAGGCGCGTCGTCCAAGGGAACGCACCCTCCAACTGGACTGATGCATTACCCTCTTGATGACACATCATCATCAAGCGATGAAGAGTTGGATGCCCCGCCCGATGCAATGCAATCAAACCCTGCCATGTCAAATTCAGATGCTGGTGACCAGCTCTCCATAGGTGTCATGCCCCGTACACCTATCAACTCCAATGTGCAGTCCGGGCCCAGGAAATGTCCGCCAGCTGGGCTACTGCACTATCCCGTGCAGTCCCCAGTATCGTCGAATGATGATGAGGTTCCCCTTCCTGATGACGAAAAGCTCACTCAGTCAACACCCCGTGTTCAGAAACCTTCCGAGAGATTGGCACAGCTCAAGGTTCTTATAAAGTCTTTGCCCTCACAGACATCTACCGAGTTCATTAAATTTAGCTCTTATTGTTATTAGACAAAAAAGCTCGAATCATTCAAGCGGATGGAGGCTGCTAGGAAGGCTGAGCGAGAAAGGGCCAACAAAGCACGAGAAGAGGATCAGAAGGCCAAGGAGGAGATGAGACGGTTGGTTAATATTCTTTGGTTGACTCGTCGACAGAAATATCTGACTAGCCCTTCAACAGGCAAAGAGAAGCCGAACAGCGTCAACTACTTTTAAAAAAGAAAGCGCTCCGTGCGCAAAAGCCAATCAACGCATCACTTGCGCCATCAAAAACACCTCCACCAAAACCTTTGAAACAGCCTAAAGAACAATCTAATCGTCTTCTGATCCGAAATGCACTTATACATGTTTGTTTAGCTGGTGCAGTTAATGAACAGACGAAGCAGGAAGTTTTGGAGGTACGTGAGAGCCTCTTTTACCAGATCCGATTCAGAGAAATAGTGGCTTGAACTCTTATTTCCTCAGGACTTGAGCACAAGCCCATCAACTCACTTTATCATCCTCTTTCGGGACGTCAAAAATCATTCGTTCCGAGGTTTATACTCTTATGACCCTGAACTTGACCACGCGCTGAGGTTATATGGTGTAGGACCGGATGTCCTAGATACACATAGCGTGGCCGAGTTTTACAAGTACGACTCTGGGGCACGAACGTTCAAGTCCCTTCCGACGAAGAGCTTTGGGCGTAGTGTACATGGAGTTGCTATTGCACGGGAGATGGGGAAGAGGAAGCTTAGGGTTCGAGGTGCACCGTAGGACGGGAAGAAGGAACGTACGGATACTATCATTCGCGGATACTAACTGTGATGGCCACTAGCTTTGGACAATGGCGGGGATCCGATTAATTTTGGGCAATAGCACTCTTTACATGATGGCAATCCGTGCCCGATTCCACTTGTGCGAGCCTTTGAATAGTCTGCCACCATTCCCCCGCAGAAACCGCACAGGCCCCATGCAAAACGGAAAAGAACATCCTTCTGATATTATAAGCCACGCTGCTGATGGCGGGATTGCCGATCCGAGTCTCCGTGTGGATAGAAGAGACCTTGTATTTTTACATCAGGTCAAATAAAGAGCGAACAGGACCTCCTTTTCTTGAACACCTAAGGGGATTAACCTGAAAGAATTGTTAGAGGACCTTGAAGTAGAATGTGCGCTAAAAGGGATTGGTCTTGATAGGATTTCGCTGCACCCTCTGCTTGGGATGGAAAGGCGCGGATCGTTTATACGCCAAAAGAATCACAAACTTCATTATTCGGTGTTCCCCCCAAAAGGGTATGCTGCTGTCTAATGACAAATGTCCCCAGCGAGATTACGACCAAAGACCAGCTAGGCGTCATCACAATATGCAGATTTTTAGGATTTGAACAGTCACATAACTGTCTACGACGACTTCCTGAAAGCAGATTCTACTTTGTAAGCACCACAGTTTTGTAGCCTTCTGCATGTGGAGCACCAGGTTCTCAGCCCTATAGTCTAAAGGTATGTGTGTTGAATCATATTTAGAATGCCCTTTCTACGCTATTTCACGAAAAAACCTGGCAAATTGCCCCGACCGATCACATTTGCTGCAACCTAACTTATAGAAGACCTAGCGGGAAGATATCCTTTCGCAACTCATCTTAAAGTTTCCGTTTTTCCGTGCATGATGAATGAATAACTAAAATTAACTTTGATGCAACAAACTACACGGAATATACAGGTTTTTTGTTGATATTTACGTCTTGATTCTGTTATCATACGAGCTGTTTACAAAGTGCCCCCCTAACTCTTGGATGTGATTGTAAAAACAAATCCCCCAAATACCCTGAATCCGACCTTACCTAATCCTCAACCTGTGGAGCACCCAACCAGGAAAACACTGCTACCTTCCCCAAATGTCAAACTTCCCCCTCGTCCTCCCGCCAACGCCTTTCGCCATGCCTCCTACGACCACCAGCACCATCTCCGGCACAGATATCCGACCTACCCGCCGGTCTTCAACTCGCCCAACAACAGTAACAGTATACCTCCACCTTCCTACCAGCCCCGGTCCCAAAACCAGAATTGCATTACTGGAAGGCTACGACCGGACAACGTGTGCAGACTTGTGTCATTTGGTTAAAGCATGTCCGGTTTTCAAGCCTTTCTTGAGCGAGGATGTTCTGTTACGTGTATGCTGTGCGGGGAGTGTAGAGTGGGAGGGCGAGAAAAGTTTGAAGACGCTTGACAAGCTAGGGGTGGGACGAGAGGGGGAATGCGTAGTGTGCTTGATTTATGGTGAGAAGCAATGGGTTTCAGTTTTACGGTGCTGCTGTTGGGACCAGTAAGCTGACTTCGTTCTCATGCAGATCAGAAGCTGGATCCTGGTGGCATTACACCTAAAAAAGCAGTGGCAAAAGCTGCGGTGAGTACTTATTCCTCGTCGTGAACAGTTGAGCATTTGTAAGTGTTGCCCGTCTAATTGTACACCTCGCAGAACGCCTTGATATCAGACGTAAGCGACGCCTTCCGGCGAACCGACTTTCGGTTTGGCAAGTTTCTGAAATTTGGGAATGCTGGAAAGATTGGAATTGAATAAATAACCGAATGAAAGAAATACCTTCGTGTGCAGTCTGGCGGGTTTTCTATCGCAGGCTTTGTTTACCATCTTGGCGTAGTGAATGATAATTAAGATTATTATGGTGATGATACCATCCATATCAAATCCTTTGTCTGGCGTAAAAGTCAATGTCCTTGACAAGGAAGATCAGAAAGGCACAGCACAAGACCATGCTAGCTACGTTCCAAGTTGGTATTAGGCTAGAACAGCTGGGTCACATTTTCAGAAGACTCTGGGAAGACATTCTGGCCCTTTCGAGTAAACGATGCCGCGCTGAAAGCAGCTATGAAAAGTAGTAGAAGACCAGACGGTACAATTAGGGTTCATAAGCCATGTTCCATTCAAATTGTGCCAACATTCAGATGATATCCGAGGATCGAGCACCAGTGGTTATTTGACAGCTCTTATGGGCCAAAGTGTCATTCATATGAGATCTGGGAGGGCGCTCAGATTTGAAGTCTTACGCCCAGAGAAAGTATCTTATCTTACCGTATATTACGAAAAGGCGAAAGGATGTAGGCAGGAAGACCGCAACAGGAAGAAGCAAGTTGAGCCAACACATATTCTAGTAGCACACTTAAGCGGTTTTTTATTTTCTGATAATAGAGTATTTTTAATTTTCGTTTTGTTACAGTTCTGCCTAGAGTTTCTACTTTCTTAAATAGTTTCTACGGGTTTTCTATTGTTTTATTTCTATCATTACGCTTTTTGAAATGTTGGTGATTTTCTTTATGTTTTTGTTTAGGCGAACTGGTTGTTTAGGTTTTTAAGGCAGAAGGGCATTGTACATTCCATCGAAGAAGTCGCAATTGGCGTTAGCGTCTGTGATGATTTTGGTTTCTGCATCAAAGTTGATGACGCTGCCACCGGCCCCTGTATAAGCTGGCCAAACAACCTGGTCTTTGCGCTTTTTGTCCTCTTTGGGTTTCTTGGCGCCATTAGGGTCACCGGCAGTGACAAAGTTCAAGATCGCCTGGCTCATGCGGTAGGCAAGGAGGAACTCGTCTTTACGTTCTAGGGCAGGTAGGTGGTTGAAGAAGTAGGCCAATTCGGAAGCGTGAGGAGATCCGAGTAGGATGGTGTCGTTGGTGAAGTTGGTCTGCTCGGTGAATTTGTAGTACCAGACCTTGGGGTTGCTGCTGGCCCATTTACGAGCAAGGTAGCGATTGGGACAATTGAACAACAAGTCACCATACACTCCAACTTTCTGTTCCCGGAGTGTGAGAGTGGTGCTGGGATACACATTGTTGACGATCTGCTGACGGTAGCTGGCAGGAACCCAACCAAAGCGACCGGCTATGAAGGCGTCCAAAGTAGGGAATGGCTCATCCTCACGGAGGAAACCGGTTCCTTCATTGCCGTTACCTCCGATGAGAATTTTGACATCGTGGTCGTATTCACCTGCCAAGAACTTGGCCCATGCATTGACGGGAATTGCCGCACCGTCAACGGTCATGGCGAAGGGACCAGCGCCATTGGCGCGGTACAGAGTGGTCCAAAGGTCCCGTTGGTAGTTATTAATCTCGTCAGTGGTCTTGGAGCGGAGACATGCGATTGTGTCCGCCGCTGATGCTCCGGCGCAGTTGAAGGATGTGACCATGTTGTTGAAACGCATTTGAGCGGTGGCAAGAGCGTAGGGCTTCAATGGGGGGTTGGGAGAGTCCATAACGACTTGTTGGAAGAGCTTAGGCTTTCCGGCAGCCTCAGCCTTCTGGTTCGTGTAGATGAGATGCCATAGAACAGATTGGGCACCGGCTGATTGACCCCAGAGAGTCACACGCGTGGGGTCACCGCCAAAAGCGCTAATGTTGTCTTGGATCCACTGCAATGCGGCAGTCTGATCCAACCAACCGAAGTTACCGGTAGATCCGTCTGTGTTGTCGGCAGCAAGTTCAGAAGAGCCGAGGTATCCAAAGGCACCGAGGCGGTAGTTCGCCGTAACGATGATAGCGTCCTTGTTGGAGGCAGCCAAGAAGGAACCATCAAGAACTGGCTGGGCAGCACCACCGAAAATAAGACCACCACCGTGCAAGAACATGACAACGGGCTTATTCTTGGCTCCACCGCGGGGAACGTAAACATTCAGGTATAAACAGTCCTCACTGTTTGGAGCTTTGGAAGCATCAGGAGAAATGAGATCGCTCATGAACTCGTAAAGAGGGAAGTTGTTTGGGTATTGTGCGTTAGGATCAAATTGAACGCAACTTCCTCCCCATTTGGTTGCGTCACGGACACCGTTCCATTGGGACGGAGGCTGAGGGGACTTCCAACGAAGATTCCCAGTAGGGGGAGCAGCGAAGGGTACTCCGTGATACTCATCGAATCCGGGTCCCTAATGAAAACCACACAAAAATGAGGAAATGCAATACAATAAATATAGAAAAGCAGTTAGAATAACTGACCTTGCTACCCTTGAGTTTCCCTCCGTGCGGGAGGGTAACTATCTGAGCACCAGCAGCGGCCAGAGAGGCCACAAGCGCAGCAGCGACAGCGACTGATTTCATTCTTGAAAGAGGTATAAGGGTATGAAAAGATAGAAGAAGGTATCAAGTTTGGGCTTGATTGACTTGTTTGTTGGCAACGACTTTTGAGTTGAGCTGATGAAGGGGAAGTTGGAGAAAGTGCTCCTTTTTATCCTCAGGGATACGGGATGACGGTTCCAACATCCCAAATGTCTGTGTTTCTAGAGCAGTGGAGTTTGGAAATTCCTGCAGCCACCTACGGTCCGGGGCCGATTGTTCTACATGGATTCGGCCTTTGCAAGTGGATGCGACAGCTTCTAGAGTGTGTCCCAAATTCGTCCATCTGGCTATAAATTCTTATTTAGATGTCAGTTTGTGTAACATTCTGCACACTTGGACAATAACTTGAATCTGGCGATAATAATAGCTGAATGTTTACCATATGGATATTTGTTCGCCACCAGAGACTCCTTTACGCCCCAGTGGGTGATAGACGCTTACTTTTGATGCTGACCATTGGGATACAGATGTTTGGGTCCCACTGGCCGATGAATGGGGACATAAGAAACATGGGTGCCTCTGGTAAATACCACAAACACCTATTAGCATTAATCTTAATCCGAACGGATACCATAGTTTAGAACAATATTTGGAAGACTAAAAAAGGAGTCCGCCACAAACTTGCTATGACTGATAGAGATACATTTGTTAGGTTTAAATATTATAGCGGGAACTAAATCTGGGACTGAATCTCTTTAGAGGAGCTTGAAGGAAACTAAGGCTGTCTCAGATTCCGAGCAAGGACCGCTCCAGAATTGCTTACGTCCATTTGGCCGGATTCAACATTGAAATAGTGCAGAGCATTTGTATCAACCTGTAAGGCTCACATATCGAGTATCTTTATGGAATAGTGCCGAGCAGTTGGTATCAATTTGTAAGGCTCAAATATCCAGTATCTTGGTGGGCATTTAATGAGAACCAAGACCTGCTGCAGAATAACTTGCGCAGTAAGCCTGAGATTCATGAGGTCAATAGTGAAATAGTGGAGCAATCTGAATACTTTGTAATGTTCAATATTGAAAATCTTGGAGTGCTTGCCGCCATAACTCCTAGCCTAAAATCCATTTTGGTGAGGTTCGACATTGAAATGTGGAGCAAACTCTATCTGTTAGATTCCAATAGGAAACGCTAATTAGAATTGCCTGCTTTCACTCTAGAATTGTGCAGGGGTTGAAATGTGGAGCAAACTCTATCTGTCAGATTCCAATAGGAAACGCTAATTAGAATTGCCTGCTTTCACTCTAGAATTGTGCAGGGGTTGAAATGTGGAGCAAACTCTATCTGTCAGATTCCAATAGGAAACGCTAATTAGAATTGCCTGCTTTCACTCTAGAATTGTGCAGGGTATGTTCAGTCAGTCGTATGGCAGCGATGCCAATATAGTGCGTCAATGGAAATGGAGTGTTTCCATAAATTCTTTTGCCTACAAGGTATTTTTACGTAATGATGCAGTTGCATGATTGTGAAAAGGCAATTATATTGATATAGAGGGAAAGAAAACGCAGAGTAGTCCCTAGCCCAAAGGTATAACCACACATCCCACCTCGCAACTATTAAAATTTACTAGCACTAGTCTCGGTGCCCTCTACCACTGCATCCATGCCAGTTCGTCCACCAGTAAGCAGAGGTCTTTGATACTGGTTACTAACTGTGCCAGCCAAGCTTCCACTATTTGACGTAGTCGTTTGAGCGGGCCGTCCCGGGTCACTAGATTTCTCGGACAACTTCCTATTACCCAAGTTCTTGTTGTTTTGAATCGCAGTGGCAAATTTAGCCAACATGAGGGCAAAAGTCGATTGCATCTCGGCAATTTCCTTGAACGCCGATCGTCTCTGGAGGTATCCGTTACGGAGGGCGGAGAAGTCAAAGTTGAGTGCTTCACCCATAACGATATTGAGACGGCGGATGGGAAGAATGACGATGAGGGATGTGGCAATGGCGATGAGGAAGCCAGAGATTCCTAGACCAATGCAAGCATACACGATTTGTCGCTTGGCGGCGTCGACAGTTCCATAGAAGTCGGCGTAAGGAATGGTCATGATCATGAGCCATTTCAATCCCCATTGGTCGCCAACCCAGCGGCAGTCCAAAAGATATTTAACGCCGTCCACTTCAAACTGACCCGAAAAGTCTTCGAAATTAGATACCGCTTGGATATAGGCGGCGTCATCGGCGTATTGGGGAAACATGTATTTGGCTGTTGCAGCGACCATAGGGTTGGGACTATTCCATCCCTTGTAGCGGGCACCTGTAGCGGTGCTAGCGGCTGCTCCTGCTTGACTGGAAGCAACGAGGGTCCCGGTAGTATCCATAAAGGAGAGGATAGCGTTGGCTGTTGGGACGATTGTCGGAATGTAGGTTTCCAGGGATTTGAGTGTCATTGTGACAAATTGCGCACCAAAGAATGTCTGACCCGCGGTGGCTGTCCCTACTGGTTGGCCATACCTGCATTGCCAAAAATGAATGAATAAAAGGGCTATGACTGATAGGATGCGATTCTGAGATAACATACCAGATGGGTTGAATCAGAGGGACAAGGAATGTGCGCAATACAGGGTTGGTACTGTAGGTAATGGTACCCCACACCGGCTTTCCTGTAGAACTGTAAGGCTGCGACCACATTCGAGTCAAGTTCCAGTCACCGCGACTAATAACTGCGTGATCAAAGTCCAACGAATTGTCCGCTTTCACGCCGCGAACGAGCATTGAGTTCATGACACAAGAACCGCTCAAAGTCCGATTGCCACTAGCGTCAAACCAACGGACGGTGTCATTGCATCGGGTTTGCGTTTGATTCCAGTTTGCGCTAGATCCAAGCACCGCCCGAGTTGTGTCGTCGCTGTAGGCAATGAAATTCGCTCGAGAGTATGTAGCCATATAGTTTGAGTTCTGCTCCATGTACCACCCTGTAGCACCGATGAAAGGGTTCTGGTTCGCCATTTGCCAGTGGAGAGTAAGCAAGTCCATGTTGGACAGCATGTCGCGGCTAAGAATTTCGTCTTGCGTGCCGCTGTTGAAGTACTTGTACATCATAGTACTGTTCGTAAGGGTGAAGAGAAGAGAGCTGGCGGTCCCGAGCATGGTATTAACTCGGTCATAAGCGCGGTTCATGGTCATTGCACGGAGGTCTTGGGATGTGCTCGCAATGGATTGGTTCCCCTTGACGATCGAAATCACACCAATCGTAACGCTGAGTGCAGCACCGAGAGCCAATGTCACAACTATATTCCAAGAAGCAATGTCATTAATATTTTCAGAAAATACCCATCCTCTCCAATTTGACTACTCACCCATGAAAAGAATCGAAAGGGGGACACGGATCCGTCCAAGGAACTTGTTCCCGGTCTCCTCATCCACGACCGGCTTTGCCGGAGTGGTTTCTGTGACTAACACCATTGCAAGTTTTTTCTAAGTCAAGGTAGATCGACGGGATGATTCTAAGAACCAGACTGAGGGAGTGTGAAGGTTCGGAGGAGCGGATGGCCCAGGATGGATTTATATGTGAACTGAACAATCACCCGCCACAAGCGGGGCTTTGTTTATGTACACTATTCGTACCTTCTGCAGCCAACTCTTCCCATTGGAATTGAGCTCTTAGGTTCCACAGACTCTAGAAGCAACCATAGCCATTGGAGAGACAGGCATCTTCAAAATAGTATCCTTCTATTTCTCCACCCTAGAGGGGAGGCGCCAATCATTTACGACTTAGTGAAATGGCTTGGACGACATATTGCAAGCCCCATTCACCCGTGTCTAATGTAAACCAGGAATTACATGAATAGCAATTTGAGTCAAGTATCCCACCCGTACAGGGGCTATGTTCTTTGGATGTCCATATTCGTGGTCATATTTTGTTGCTACAATACCCTCTCTACATTTTTCTAGAACCGAAAACCACGGTAGGAAACTGTTTCCCATGGTGGACGACTCGAAGGTTTGATGCAGCCACTGTTTGTGAGCTCTAGAAACGTGCTGACGCGAGCTTCCTATTCATGATGGATGGGCCGGCGTGTTTATTGGGGGTCAGCCCAAGGGAGCGCATTACCCACACGGGATTCAAAATAAACCAAACCCTATGGGGCACTGAAGTCACACGATGTTCACAAAAGCTATTTTCGCGCTGTTTGTTTAAGAAGATTCTTCTGAAGTCGCATACTTGAAGCACATTGTGGAGATGGAGCATGCACGGACTTTCTCCGACGATTACGTCAGCATGGAAAGCGTTAAACAATGCAAGTGGTGGGTTGCCGTGTAGCGACTGCCATGCACCGCTGGATGATCCCCCATTCATAGTTAACATAATTCGAGAATCTTCAAACAGACGCAATCGCTGTCACTCTCCATGACTTTGCTCAGACCTTTAGAAACCTACCAGGGTTGGATTATGTGATGAATGCTCCTTGTCAGCAACTAGCATTGGAAATTTGGTGTAAATCTAGGATATTGTTTTGATAAGAAAATTCTTTTTCATCTTCTTAATCATGAATGTTGTGTGCAGTCAGTGAATAGACTAGTCAGACTTCTATTCAAAAACACAGATGAGGGGTTTACAATTGTCGTCTTAACCGAAGTAGTATTGCCTATAGGTACCCCAGATGCCAACAATAGCAGGTGTATACTGCTACTGATAAAGTCATGACAATTTAAGGTGTAACAGTCGATGCTACGAGGGCGAGAAAGTAGCTAGGGGAGACTGAACCCCTACCTAATCACCCGCAGCCATGCATGCGAAAGGCCACCCACAAAACATTCCGCCATTTAATGCTTTATAGCCGCCCCGTCAGCGCTCAATATCAGTATGATAAGGAAGACGCATCTATTTCTATCATTACCATTCCATAGTGTTTTGATAGACAGTTAACTCCTTTACATTGACATTTGACGGAGCGACTCGCGACTGAAGGCCATCAGCAACTCGGAAATCAGCTGCTATCTAGAGTGTTATGGAGACTTTGTGGAAGTATACTTGGCAATAATGGGATGAATATTCTTGTCCTCATAGTGGTACACGCCCATCGTGAATGACTTACTGTACTGATGCGATTGTCCATTAATCCATATATGCAACTTGAACGGGCATGTTAAGCATGGTTAACTATTGTATATATACAGAACCATTGCTGTTGATACATCTATTTGATGGGCACTAGAATATCGGTTTCTAAATCCTCCGTGTCCACCTTGCGACAGTCATTCAGATACCTCTCACAGAATACGCGCTCAGAGTCCACCTCCCTACCATCTTCCTTTACAAATTCCACTACTGTGTCAAAAGCACCAGCAATTCCTGCATACGACCCCTTGAGCTTTAAAGTTGCCCACTCTCCAGCCGGGAATGTCAACAGAGCAAGACCTTCGGCAGACGTGTCTCCAGACACGCGCGGAACAGAGGCCGGGATGTCCGACTCATTTGGAGCAATGAATCCCATTGCATAGAGAGATGGTCTGCCATCTATGAATTTGCGGGAGCACAGGCCGACTGAGGCGGGTGAAGAAGCCAAAAGTGGGCGAAGGTTGTGCTCTTCAATGAAGGGAAGGAGTCCTCCTATGCTTGCTTTCGCGGCCGTAGCAAAGTCCCAGTTTTGAACCTTGACCACATTAATCAGCGCCGAGTGGGCTGGAAGGTTGATAATGGAAACTGATGCCATTTCTACAGACCCCGAACAAGCTGACGACGAGGAACAGAACAAAAGCACGCGCTGCTTCAAGCGCGTTTGGCTTGGTTTGGCGATTCGAATTTCGGAGGAACCGTCTCAGCCCCGTCGGAGATTCGCTCTCTTCATTCTTCAACCATTCTCATCCTTTTCGCTTGTCATCTCAACATATGCCCGCCTTCCAATCCCTCCACATCTCCGAACCTATGGGAGCATCAAGTTCACGTCTCTCCACACCCTTCCTCTATTTCAGTGCATTCTTGGCAAGCATCTACACAGCATTCATGAGCTTTTTTTCCCGCTTCAAACCATCTCCAGTTCTGACACTTAACGCACGACGTCTTCGCACCGTCAAACCACTGGGCGAAGGAGGGTTTTCCTTTGTATACCTCGTTAAAGATGATGCTGGTAGCTTGTTTGCATTGAAGAGGGTTCGAGTCCAATTGCCAGAGCATGAGGAACGCTTGCGGAAGGAGATTGAGGCACATAAGCTTGTTAGGAGTGAGCATGTCGTCACGTTGGTGGATTCTATGATCCTTAAGGAGGGTGGAAGTGTGGTGGAGGGCCTCTTACTGCTACCGTTTTACGAGAAGGGAACGGTAGGTTTCTCACATACAGAATCAGATGTGAAGAGTGATCAGACTAAAAATGTGAAATATTGGGTCTCCAGGTACAGGATCTTATAGATCGGACACCTCTCAACGAATTCATTCCTCTAAAAACCATCCTGAACCTCGCAGTGGATGTGTGCGCCGGTCTCACTGCCTTCCAGTACGTTTATTCCCATAATTTGCAGTCATTTTACCCATTTGACGTGTCTTTGCCGTTTTAGCACACAAGATCCACCACTTGCCTTCCGCGACCTCAAGCCAGCGAATATTCTCATATCCGCGGAGGGACACGGTGTGTTGATGGATCTTGGATCCGTTAGCGAAGCGCGAGTCAAAATATCGTCTCGAAGGGAAGCTCTGGCATTGCAGGAATTATGTGCAGAAACGGCTACTGCACCATTCCGTGCGCCAGAGCTCTTTGATCCACCGTCGAATGGAGAGATTGACGAGAGGTCGGATGTGTGGTACGTGGTTGGCTTGCAACTGGAATTTGACGATTGTCATCACTCACATGGTGTCATCAGGGCATTGGGATGTACAATCTATGCAATGGCTTATCGCAACTCTCCGTGTATGTTCTCTTATTCATTATTTGTTCCCATGGGTGCAGAGCAAATAATAAACTTATGTTGTCTCTTTAGTCGATGGTAGCATGACAGCAGCCGTTAGTGGGCGACTGTCGTTCCCGGGACGAGACCCTTATGGTGCCACGTTCCGTGCATTGATTGAATCATGTACTGTTACGGATTGGCGGGTAAGACCGTCTATCTCTGAGGTTCAGGAAAGATGTAGGGTATTACTGGAGACTGAAAATGGGCAAGTTTAATGCTTATGTGGGATGTTTCTTTTATCCAATAGAATTGTTGTAGTGCTACGTGCTTCGTAGTGTGCAGACAAAAAGAAATGTCAGTCGAAATATTCAACTGAATTCTCAGCAAAAATGACAATATGAAAGTAATTGTATTCGTGTATATCATACATGCGCACTTGGGAAGCAATCAAGACCAAATTACTTCATCGATGATAATTCATGTTTTGTCATTGGCTGAAGGTACCTTTGCCCACACATGTCATAAAGTGCTATTTAACACTCTTCTTCTTCCCCAATAGGAAAGCGAGCAGTATGCTATCATAGCAAGTTGGGGGAAGATAAACAAACGCGGTTGCGATATCTGTGTAACCATTTACTCACGTGCTTCGGACATGCTGCTGCCGGACATGTCAAGATTCCGCCCAAACGTCCGCCCTCTCCGGCTCTCCGTCCCTCGTTCCCGTCTCGCTTCCATCTACCGATCAGGGTGCCAGGTACTTTCTATTCACCCCACCCATACCTGCCGGCACCATGAGTTTGGTCAATATTGTTAACGTGGAGGTTGGTTTCGCTCTTTACTAGTCAGTTTCGGAGGCTAGGGCTAACGGGAAGAGTTTCGTTAGATTTTGAACAACCCATGCTCTTTCTTTGACCCATTTCAAATCGAGATTACATTTGAGGTTATTGCAGAGTTACAGGAAGGTAAGATTTATTTGAATTGTTACGAGTCCGTATCATCCTTTATTCATATGCTTGCCCCCACTCCCGAAAAGATTTGGAGTTCAAGGTGGTTTACGTCGGATCCGCCGAAAGCGAGCAACACGACCAAACCCTCGAATCTGTCATGGTCGGCCCCGTCCCAGTTGGAACAAGTAAATTCATGCTAGAGGTAAGCATACAAGTCAGCACAATGTCCAGATTCTTGCTCACCACTATCTCGTACCAGGCGCCACACCCAGACCCCAGCCGCATTCCACCTGAAGACGTTGTAGGCGTCACCGTCATTCTTCTCATGTGTTCTTACCGAGACCGGGAGTTTGTTCGAGTGGGATATTATGTGAACAACGACTACACGGATGAATTAATGAGGGACGAACCACCCCCAAAGCCGTTGTTTGAGAAATTGCAGAGGAGTATTTTGGTAGATAAGCCAAGAGTGACCAGGTTTTCTATTCCTTGGTGAGTGTGGCAAATTGGCTTCGTCATAATGACGGGGTCGTTAACGAGGTTGTATGATTTAGGGACACTGAAGAGAAGCGAGAAAAGAATGAAGGGGGCAATGACATGGATATTTCTCAACCTGGGTCGCCGGAAAAAGGCATCGCAGCAGTGGGACCATCGGATAACATGGCGCAAGAAGCTGTATGAGGTGGCCGCATAATGTAGGGAATAGCTGGGGGATGGGCTTAGATTAGTTTGTTTGAATCGCGCTAGTATTTTTTTTTTTTTCTTGTAGGTAGTGTTTCTCTTTTATGTTCCTTTTTCCTTGCGCTTTGAATACCACTGGGTTCCTGATCATTTTGCATGTGGGCCACAATAGTATGCGATCAGCTTTGGTGACAAAAATGTATAAATGGAATAAAAGTGGTATTTACAGCAGTTATAATCGCACCCAACTGACTAAACTCACTCCCAATTTCCCCAATCATCATCCTCTTCCGCCTTTGGGTCGGGGGATGGACTGGACTGCCCTGCGGGTCCGTTGACGACTTCGAAGCTGTCTGTGGAGTCCATGCTCCGCTTTGCGGCGAGGTGCGTAGGGCGCGGGCTGGGAGACTGGGTTTCTGAGGTTTCTTGGGAAGATGCCGGATTCGGGGATGTTGACGATTCCTTTGATGGGGAGGTTTCGAGACGCGGGTTTGCTGTAAACTCTGTCGACGCAATCTCAGAGGCCGAATCATCTTGTAAAGCAGTGTCGATTTGTTCCGATGCTTCCTCAGACATAGTTTCGGACGTCCGAGTTGCATCCTTTTCTTCAGGTCCAGCTTTAGCATCTCCGCCAACCTCCTCCTCCTCTTCTTCATCTTCAGATCCCCACGAAAATGCCTCCTCGTCTTGCTCTGAAAGGTTCATCAGCTCTTTTCTAACCGCTTCTTCTCTATCTACCTCCGCAATTCGGAAAAAGTATCGCAGCCAAAATTCGTTGAAAGACATTTCGCTCGGTACAAACTGTGCCAGCATTCCTTTCACCACTGGGTCCTGTTCTAGCACAGCGATTTCCTGATTGGGGGTCGTGAACGTTTCTTGAAAGGTCTTGAATCGGGCGCAAAATTCTTCGTCTGTTGACTTTGAGGGATCCGTTTGGTAGGTAGATGGGTCGGCTTTGAGGGAGGCGAGCAGAGCAGCTTTGCGGTTGAAGATCACATCTCGCTTGACCGGTTTGCTTTTCGTTTTGCTGACATGCTCCTGCACTTCTTCACCGGGTACAATCGTTACAGCCGAACTCAAAAACTGCGTCAATCCCTCACTAAACTTTCCCAACAATTTATCTGCTTTGACCGTCAGTTCATCCAATGCGCTCAAGTCCAGCGTCTTGTCTGCTCTAGGGGTGACGGTCCCAGAGCCCGGACCAGCGAGGACCATATCACCAACCGCAATAGCAGAAAGATCCTCAGGAGTGGATTCATGTTTATTATCATGTTCGGTAGGGGCACTAATTTCTGCAAATGTGTCTTTGAGGGTATGTGAAATCTTGTCAAACTGCGTCGTGGATTCTGTCGTAACGACTGAAACAAGTTCCGAAAGGTCACGCTTATAAACGTCTACGACAGCTTCGCTTTGTTTCTTCACGGCGTCAACAAGTCCTCCCCAAGAAAACCCTTGCCATCCAAACGACGAGGGCTGCTTTGCTTGCTGTAGAGGTAGAGTTGGTTGCCTTTCTTCCAGCTCCGAGGGGGTGGGAGGCAACTGAATAGAGGCATCTAGTAGTTCTGCATTGGCAGCGCGCAGGTCGGCAGCTGTTGGGAGGTCTTCCACTGTTTCTAGCGCTTCGAGACTGGACATGGAGGGCAGTTATGTATGATAAAAGACCCAATTTCCACAGCGTCGTCTTGGGCGACTTTAACCGTGTTGGCGCTTGCCTCACCTGACGCGTACAATCTGACGCACATTATGCGATATTAAGCATTCAAAAACTTGTCAAAAAATAACGAAACGTTCATGCATTGCTATTATCAAACATCCGTCGATTCACCCCCACCATAGTAGCGAAAAAAGGAAAATTACATACAATCGAACACATGGTCTATAAAAATAAGTCTATTCTATCTATGCTCAAGAAAATGCTGAAAAAGGGAAAGTGTCAATATATAAACTGTGATATGTCTCCTTTGCCCGAATCACTCCGTTTTGATGCATTCTTCCGCTCGCGGTGCTTCAGGAAGAGATGAAAGGTGTTGCGATACAGAAGATCGAGGATTTCGTCGACCGCTGGATCAAAAACTGTGACGGATATCCCCGCAGGTGCAACGACGGCGGGTACGCCAGCCTCGTCACGCTGTTGAAGTTGTGTAATGATACCGCGGCGGATGGCGTGGGAGATGTTGACTTCATGTTGGGCGCCGGGCATGATGAAAGCAGAGTAAAAAAGGAGGACGTGGTCCATGATGGAGGCTGGAATCATGTGCGTGGTTGTGGTTGGATTGGCAACGGTGCTAGTGTTCTGTTCCAGGAAGCGCAGGAGGCAGCGGGTTAACCCTATTTCGGGTTTGGGAACTCCTGCGAATTCCGGTAGCGCTTCGGATATTTGGAGTTCCAGTCGGATATACGCTTCGTAAAACATGATATTTTCCAGGCAAAGTGTTTCCTACTCTCGCCGTTTAGAGTTTTCGTTCGACATTACGACCGGCGCATCCGGTACTCACCTTGGCAAACTCAACCAATTCCGCATACAGCTCCTGATGATACAGCACTCGGATGAAACAGTCCCGAGTGTACTGCAGCTCCAATTCTGGTTCCTCTCCATCAACTGAACTTGCTCTCGACTTGTTGGGATTGGGATTCCCGACAGGATTGCCGACACCTTTTCCAAGTCCAAGCCATTTTCGGCGCCCTTTAGACGCTGCCGAGGAGTCCGAGTCCTCACTACTCAGACTCGACACTCGTTTTCGGCCGCCGTCTTTCCGGGTCAAGGCTGCATCGAGACTTAGGCGGCCTACAGCTTCCTCCAAATCTGCTACAGGTGATTTTCCTCGCTTGGAAGCCAAAAATTCGGGGTAAAATCGCTTGTACAGCAGTTCGTGTACCTCATCTGCCGCAGCATCCAGGACAGACACTGGAACCCGGTTCTCGTCTAGTAGAGTCAATTTATCAGCAACAGACTGTCGCACAGCTTGGGATAGCCCCACGATCTCCTCGGGTCCGCCTGCTATTACAAAAGATCGGTAAAACCGGTTCAACAGCGTCGTCAACCAATCTGGAACGGTAATCACTTCGTCATTGCTGTTCGAAGATCCCGATGATTCTGTCTCGGCTCTGAGAAATCGTCTGATACATGGTGGCTCTCCCGGATCGGGAAGGGCGTGGCGGATATCTGCTCCAGCAGCGATCGCCAATAGAAGACTCTCAAGTCTTATATATCCGTCACGAAATAAGAGCAGTGGAGCACCTTCGGTTGAAGACTAGAGGACATTCATCATTTATTGCATAGCTTATCCTACGATTTAAAGTCAAGCACTTACAGAAAACTGTTGTCGGAATTCGGTATACAGTTGTGCATCACCCAACACCTTTGCAAATGAGTCCCTCGATCCATCCAGAGCATGGCTCACTCGACTTTTTTCGGTCGCAACTAACCCTCGTGGACGACGTACTGGCAGCAGCTTGGACAGTAATCCTTGTGACGGCCCTTTGTTCGCCGCCATTTCAAATTCACCTCGGCGTACACCACTTGCGATCGAGTGTTCAAACATTCAAACGGGGAAAGTTCGCTGTGTTCTTTCTTTAGGTCATTCCAATACACCACCGTCAGCCATTTTCTTTCTTCTTTGGTTTTTTTTATCAATGCAAATGTCAATTGCTCACTGGCCTTGCAAAAGGCCCGAAACTTGCCCCAATTGGTCGTCATCGTCTTTGGAGTGGGAGATTTGAAACTGGTGGCACAGTTTTGTTAGTGGAGGCACAGCAAGTGCAAGTGTGAAATTTTGGGCTTGGACTCCCTTTTCCTGCAGCGTTTCGCGGCATCGGCAAATTGACCCAGGGCATAGGCGCCGACGAGCGGACGGTTTGGCAGTTGCGAGCCGTCAGCCAAACGAATTTCCTTTTCTTGCTCATGATCGGAATTTCGAAGCGGCAATGGAAAACCGCTGGCCAATTTGACGGAGTGTGAAGGATTTCCACACACAAAAGTCACCCAAAGTGCGCAGAAAGATAAGCGTGGCTCAAGAGTTTTTCGAATAATTTCATGCCATGAATAACAAGCTTTTAGCTACATTCTTAAAGTTCCGAGGCTTGTCAATCTTGCGAGGGACCTCCTTCTTTTCCCCGCAATTTGGCAGTAACCATGTCCTTGAAATTTGCAATGATATCGGCCTCTTTTTTGAGATTTGCTTCTTGGTTGAACAACAAGAGCGCTCTCTTTTCTTCAGCACTGATAACCTATTGCAATTCAAGGGCATTAGTAGACAATTAATTAACGAATCAGATGCTTTAGCACTATACCTGGTTTTCCTTCCTAATACGGACAGCATTCATTCTTCTGTGTCTGCTACCTGACATGACATACCCAACATCTTCGAAGCTTTCAATCTCTTCTGACTGGAGACCAATTTCGCCACGACGTGGAATACGTTTTCCGCTTTGCAAGTAGGCAGCCATCGCAGATCCTTCTCCTGCCAACAAGGCACCACCATAAGCTCTTTCATCATGTTTGGCTTCCGCCATGTTAAGAGGCATGGGTCCCACAGGGGCATCTTCCACAGGCTCCACCGCTTTTTCGCGCCAGTAATCTTGCACAGTTGCATCAACGACCGGTTTTCCATCTACCGCCGGAGCGGGTGAACCAGACCTTCTGCGCTTAGCCAGCTGATTGTCCTCTTCGCTTTCTGACGCAGAGTCCGCAGATGACGAAGACGGAGTCGGAGAGCGACCACGCGTTCTCTTTTTGCTCCGCTTTTTATCTTTTCGACCTTTTCTGCTCTTGCTCTTATGTTTTCTAGAAGACGATGATCTCTTCTTCTTTTTTCGGGACCGCCGATCATCCTCACTGTCGCTCTCAGACTCTGATTCATCTACAGAGTCGTCACTCATATCGCGCTTCCGACTTCTGCGCTTTTTTGGTTCAGGAGATTCAGTGCCGTTCCGAGATTTTCGAGACTTTGGCTTGCGGTTGGGGGACGGTGATAGGTTTCGCTCGATTTCGGGTGAAGGCGGCCATATGGAAACAGTGCTTGCGTCCCTCATTTGTTTCCTTCTCTCAAGGAATTGCTGGAAAGACTCACCATCCCTCTTTCCATCCCTCGTATCATATCTCACACTATCTCGCCTGTATTCGTCCCTTTCATATCCATTTTCTCCCCTCCCAGACCTGTGATCGCCTCGCCGATAATCTCGATCTGCAGGACCATTTGTCATCATCCGCTGACGCTCAGGGTTCATGAACCTATCGGGCTCGGGAGAATCTGTTTCACGGGATCCTGGTCGCCTATCCCGTCCAAAGCTGTCTCGTCTCCCGGTATCCCTAGACCGACTCCGACTGATTCGTCGTCCTCTATTGGGGTCCCTTGATCGGCTCCTTCGTCGTGAGCTGTGCCAGTCTCGCGAGTCTGATCGATGTCGGGGAGGTGAGCCCGAGTTGCTATATCGTCCTCTTGGGACTGGTGAACGGCTCCCACTCAATGCCATGGTGCGTATTTGAATAGAGTAAAGTGTGGGAAGAGCTTAGAACATGTGCTATTGGACTTCTGCTGGAAACCAACTAGTCATTTGGAGCCAATGCATTGGAATGAATGGTTGTTCCTGGTTGAGATTGCATTTAAGCTAGTTGATCTTCCTCCAGCAACGTTCCCATCATGTCGCCTTCTTCAATATCAATGGCCAATATCCTGCGCCTAGCAACCTCCGTCAACGAACATTTATCATACATTCATATTCCCACTGCATCAAATATCGGCCTTGTTCTTGTCAATGGGTGGTATTCTACTCTAAATGGATCCCGCAAAAACAACTTTTTCGCCAATTACGCCCGTCGTCGTAAGCTAACGCTCACCGCTTACGACCACTATGCGCATGGTCTCTCTTCTGGCTCTATGGACAACTTTACAATTGGAACGGCCAAGAAGGATCTCTTACGGGTTTTAGATGAGGTTGTTGCACCAAGTCAGCGCCAGATATTGATTGGATCATCGATGGGGTATTGGTTGTCTCTTCTTGCTCAACGGCAACGGCCGGAAAAGGTTGCTGGGATTGTGGGCATAGGTGGTGCCCCTAATTTCACCGCTTTGCTTTTGGATGAACTAGCCCCAGGCCAGATTGATCATTTAAGCCATCTGGCTCGGACAGAGCAGAGGGCTTCGTATCAGCGTCCGTCGCAATACGATCCAGCTGGATATCAAGTGGGATGGAGCCTTCTTCAGGAGGGCCAACGGCATTATATTACAAAGGGGTGGAAGGTCAACTGTCCCATTAGACTCTTTCATGGCATGCATGATACGGACATGCCATGGACGGAGGCCATCAAATATGTAGGCTTCCTGGATTCCAGAGATGTGACCATAACCTTGATCAAGGACGGGAATCATAGATTAAGTAGAGAACAAGATTTGAAACGGGTTGCTAAAGAGTTAGATCTTTTGTCCGGGTATGAAATGGTGGGGGGCTGAAAGAGGTGTCATTGCAAGTCTGTCCTGCCAGCGACGATGACGAGAAATATGCTTAAGTATTATATTCACGTCGAGTCAACGGAAGTCGACCCTACGTCCTCCGGTCAACGATGTACTCTATATGTTATCAATCATGCCTCTTTAGCCCGCTGCTCTCCACAGATCCTCATCGACAGACACCTTTTTTTCACTGAAAGCGTCCAAGAGCGCCTTCCCCTCTTGAGGCTCATCTTGAGGCTCAGGGTCAATGGGTGCCAATTTCGTCAAATCGATGGTCTGTCCGGACGCCACTATCTGAAACCCCTTCAGTTGGTCCCCCTCCCCAATGATTTGCAGCACTCTGGTTATGCCATCGGTAGGATGCAACTTCCCTGGCGCTTCCTTCCTGGTTTGGACATATTCCCGCACGTAGTCTAGCGCCTGTTGGTTCAAGGGTTTGCCTGCGTCCCACACACTGTATATGAGTCCGTTGTAAGTATATTGGTCAGGTTCCAACCCAGCCTTTTTCATTCGGTCGAGATAATACGCTGCCTTTTCGGGATTTTTGTGTGGTGCTTTGGAAAAAGCGGAAATGACTGCATTGTAAGAGTAGAAATCTGCTCCACTTTCGGCCTGTGTGGATATTTCTTCAAAAGTCGATTCCGCATCTTCCCCTCGGCCCAGCTTCGAAAGGCATGAAAGTTCAAGTTTGAGGATATCAACGGTCATCGGCCATCGGTGGCTATTGCGCTTATGTTCCTTCCGATATTCGCGCAACAAAGCAATGGCCTGACGGTATTCTTTGTCCTCCAGAAAGCCTTCCAAAATACCCTTGTACAATGCAGGACTCGGGAATGCCCCAGCTCGCTCAATCAGGTTTCGAAGTCCCGCCGTATACATTCCTACCGATTTGGAAAGCGCTGCATGTGTGTTTCGATTGGGGCCAACGCGCTTAACTAGCATTGAAATATACATGCGCATCGCCGCTATTGGATCTCGTTGATGCCAATAAGCGGTCAGCATCAGATTGTATGTGACGGTGTTCGCGGGGACACCGTGAGTCTCCATTTCTCTCAAAATTTTGTCTGCTTCAAGGACACGGTTCGCTCGAAGAAAGCCGCGAAGGAGAGAATTATAGGAACGCGTGGTTCTTCCGTATCCATTCTCCAACTTCTTGTATACCAGCTTCCGAGCTTCTTCGATATCGCCTTTGCTGGAGGCAAAGTATTCTATCAAAATGTCATATGTCCGTCCATCTGGCAAAAACCCGTTATCCTTTCCAAATAACAATACTCGCTGAACAAGATCGTCCTGCTTCAACTGTACAGCGTGTTCAAGGAGTGCATTGTAAGGTCCGGACAATTGTGCAATTGGATACCGCCCCACGCTATCCTCGAGTTCCTTCAAGGCATCTGTAGGCCGGTCCCAAGCCTTCGCAGTAAGTAAGATAAAGGGAGCCACACGCGGAAGGTTCCATCCGCGTTCAGCCATGATCTTCCAGATCTTTTGCACCTTTTTGACCTGACCCGCATAGGCGTAGTATGAGGCCAGTGCAACATACGTAGGTGTATTTGGCTCAAGCCCATTCTTACGCATAGTAGCAATGATCCCTTCCGCAGTGCGGATACGACTTTCTTTCGTCAGCCTGGCACCCCAGGACAAGGTGTGTGACCTTATTAACCGCAAAAAACCATTGAATACGTCCAAGCCAATTTCCTTCAAGTTATCATTCCTTTCGAGATATTTGTAAGCATCCCAGGCCAATCTGTGGTCCTGCTGACGCACATATTTGACAAATTGGTCGGGAGTGAAGTGTGGTCGGGAATCATTTGGTGATTGCGGGATAGGCTTGTCAATATACTCCCGTAAAATACTCCGCACGCTTGCGACTGCGTCTTTCGACGACTCTGCGCCAGAGGACGCTGTGCTTTCTTTTATTACGCTCAGTTGTTGCTCAGGGGCAGAGTTCGTATGCTGCTTCCTAAGAAAGCAGGATGGTGTTGTAGCGGGGTGACGGACCGTCGGACATCGACGGGAAGCTTGAGCGACAGGCTGCGCTAACCGACGTGCTATTGTGTGGAACATGGCGAGTCTGGAATGGTATTTGGAGTTGGTCAAAAGCCCTGGCAAAGACCAACGCTGTTGTCGTGACAACGACGATGAGTCAATCCGTGGGTGACGCATCAAATGCCTGTGTTGGCAGTTGCGCATTAGCAGTCAGGCAAACGCATCCATTATTGCACAACTAGTATCGAATGCACTCTCCAGTAGGCCCTTGTTACCAGCATGGCTTGGAAGCACAATGCCTGGCAAAGCTTGAATATGACGATAAACCATAGAGTTAGTATCGCGATTGCAAGCTCGAAACGCTGTTTAGGACTGGTGTAGTGCACCGTTACGATTTTTACTTACCATACTACACCTCGCCTTTCTTGTCGATGACTCTCCTCCTAGCGCTCTCGACTGATAGACTGGAGACGCTTGCTGCGGTTTGGGTTTTATGCCCGTCCATAAAGCATGCTGCCTATGAAATTGCTTACCCAATCGTCTCGTAATGGCAATATCGTTCCGATCACATTGAAGAAGACACTCACCACCGCTTCAGCACATAAAGATGGAGCCCATATCAAATTCAAAAGCTGAGGGGCTCGACACCGTTCCAGAAGACGGCGGTCCACTCGTCACAGTGGGAGCCAACATCCCGCATCACCCACCAGAAGCTCGTCCGTCACGTATTACCCGTGGGTCACTCGCCAATTCCACACCCGCGTTTCAGCGGCGCATGACGATCGTGCAACAACGCCGACCGACATCTGTATTTGGTACTCCCAGCAATGCACGGGAAACTGATGATTTTGTCCCGGATCTTCCAATTCGTCTGGCGCCAATCACCCGCGACGATATCGATCTTGCATTCGAAACGTTGAGTCGAGATGGAAAAAGGATCAAGCGGGAAGATATCAAGGTTTTTGTGGATCTACTATTTAGTGCCAGTACAGGAGGTGGGGGTAGTGCCAATGTACCTTCCAGTGCCAATCCAGGCTTGGCGCGGACATATTCTCAGGCGGGAGGTATTGGATCGACGATTGGAGGAGGGGGAGGCATCGTGGGCGGAACGAGCGGTGGCATAAATGCGAACAAGGCTAAAGCGCTAAAGTTGGTTACAAATGGAAAAGAAGAGGTTACGAAGGAAGGCTTGATAAATCTCCTGCTAAATAGGGCATTGATATCCATGCCATTTGATGAAGCATTCCAGGTATTGCACTGAAAGTTGTTTCTGGTAGAAGCTTCCAAGAATAACCATTTCCTCCTCACCTACTTGTGCAAGTGGTTTGACCCACATACCGACACGGGATCCTCGCCAGCTCTGACTGAAGCAGATCTGCGGCGACTAGCAGCTGCGATGAGTCCATACGGGGTTGCACACCGTGGGGATGTCAAGGCATTACTCGCTCACTTTGATAGGGATGGCGACGGAGTTCTTGGCTTAGAAGACTTCAAGCGGATGATCTTATGATATGTGCATGAACATAACACCGTGATGCTGCTTCCGTAGATTACATAGCACTTCCGTGTCATTTAGATCATGATTCATGTAGCTCATTCAAAGCAGTCTCTGGGAACCACCAACGCTGAACGGTCATTGTTTTTAAACAGAAGACTAAAGCTCTTGATATACAGAAACACATTAGGAATGCAATCTTGAAGGCATTTCCAGGATCACCCTTATCCACGGCCCCGTCCAGGAGCACCAGGACCGCCTCTGCCAGCACCCATACCAGGAGGTCCAGCCCTACCCCTGCCTCTTCGACTAGCTTGTGCCCTGGCCACGGTCGCTTTACCCCTTCCCAAGCCTATACCTCTTCCTTTATTTGCCCCTGGCCCTATCCTCTTGAACATTGGAGCATTTTTGAGCATATCCGGTACAATGAAGAATCGAACTTGAGATCCGCGGACGTATACTTGTTCCAATTGACTTTGACGACCGTCCCGTTGCGTTACAATGATGTCTTTCAATTGAACGTTCATGCTGTCCTCAGCATCCAGAAGTTTGCCACGGTAGATAGCGCCAGACTTAAGCTCTAAGGTGATTATGTGACCTTCGGCTTCGTGCAGAAGCTAGATAGGAGTTAAAAGAGATGTAAGGTCAGGCAATTCATGAGGTGGCTATACAAGAAAAAGAGATCTGCGCTCCCACGATCCCATAGCCGAACGTCCGTATCGATGCAAACCACACAGAAGATCGGTCTCAGGCTTACCTTGATAGGAACACCGATAGACATGGCTTTATATCAAGTTTGCAAGGGGAAATCGGCGTGTCGACGGTGGGTAAGAAAGATTCCGTAGACAAGTGCTGGTAGATTGCAAGCGATGTCTTGCCCCTCACATTGTTGCTATGGTAACGCTTTCCAGTGGCACAGCTCCTAGTGGACCAAGATCTGCACTGCACGACCGATCGAGCTTTGTCATTACATCGTGTAAGATGGAGAGCATGGCCGTAGTTCCCTGGCGCTACCAGAACCCTCATGCTAATGAGAAATATAGCGCCTCACGAATTTTCTCGGTTGCTGGACATACCAGTACGTATTCTTAAGAGGGCGGATGCGTGGAGCACCAGACCAAATTGACGTATCCATCGTTAATGGCTTCAGTTGAGCTGCACCAAGACCCCAATGCAAGTATTGATCTGCATTCGCATACTGGCAATGTTGTCTGGGACAGTGCATACATTCTAGCCAAATTCATCTCCGAACATCTCTCTCTTGAAGGTAATGGTATTATTCTAGGTTTAGAGACTCCGTTGATGACCGTCTCCTGAAGTGACCTGAAAAAGTTCCGTAATGATGTTTTCTCAGGGAAAACAGTTCTTGAATTGGGCAGTGGTACAGGTCTTATTGGCATATCTGCTTGGATCGCGGGTAATGGAACGCTGTGTATCCCGTTGTTTTCCAAGGTGTTAATAGGAAGTTTACTATTGCCCCAGCCGCTAAATTAGTCATTCTCACCGATATATCGGATACCTTGGAATTAACAAAGAGAAATGTTGAAACCAACAGTCAGCGGATCTGTGCCTCTGCTCCTGCGACGGGACATGCCAAGAACTCCATCCAGGTCATGTCGTTGACATGGTAAGTGGGTCCATCATGCGTAATCGAATCCGATTACGGATCTAATCTCCGGTCGTCAGGGGAGAAACGGACCGGTCCCAGTACAAGTTTACTTCTGATTATCCTGACTACATTTTTGGAAGCGATATTGTGTATCTCAAAGACACTTTCAATGCTTTATGTCAAACACTGCATGCATTCAGTGGCCCAAACACACGGATTTTCTTGGCGTACAAAAAACGAGGATTGATGGAGAGCGATTTTTTCGCTATTGCTCGGGATATGGGGTTTGACGTGCAGAAGGTACATGGTGAGAAGGTCCGCAGAAATAGCATCACTTACATTTAATTTGCTAAACTTTAGGTCGCGAGAAATAAAATATATGTAGAATTCCGATCTTCTCTCGAATACATCATCGTGGAGATGAGAAAGACTCAATGATATAATTCAATACGTGGACTCCGATGAATATATACATATTATATACAACGCAAGTCTTGCTACTGGATGGGATTACGTCGGTGATGTCAACGATCAATTTGTTTCTTCTACTACGATGGGTATGGATTGAACCATTCCGTTCGTGAAAATGATTCGGAGCTCGCCTTCAGCTATTATATGCAGGCGAGATTGTCCAGCTGTGGAGGTCGGTTTATCAGGCTGTGGTGAAATACTGGGAATTGAAGCGCTACCGTCAATGAAATCGCCCTTCGCCAACGCAGTAATCGAGTTGCGCTCTATTGAGGACGCGGTGGAAAGAGGACGCTCCACATCAGCCGCTGTAGGGGGACGTGCAGACATGACGGCAGACGCATTCACTTCATTGGTCGTATCAACATTAGCCGTCGAATCTCGTCCAATAATGGGTAGCATCATGGGCGACGTCATACTTCCACTTGCTGATTCGCCGACTACGGGTTTAGATTCGTCCCAGACTGAGCCAATCTTGGTGGCTTCACCTGCATCCTCAGGTGCACCGGGGAGTTGGATCATGTTCTCCTCAGATGGATCATCCTGCATATTGGGAGATTCGGATACCGTCCCTGCCGTTTCGGTATTACTTGAGGCTGAGTCAGCGGATGGATTCTCCGCATTTGGCTCCTCGGTAACTGCATCGGATGATGCAAGGAATTCTTGTGCATCTGGCTCCTGTATGGTCTGTCCGTCAGAAACTGCAGGCTTGGTGAGTGTTTCCTCTCGATCATCGTTCATAGATTCCGTCGCTCGACCTTGAGGCACCGATAGTCTTTGTTCCGTGTGTAGTACAATAGATGGGCGGGGAGAGGTCGACGTTCGCTTTACTAGTGACGGCTTTGCAACATTCGATGTACTGCAACGCTGTTCACTCGCCTGTGTTGAAGAGGGGATATATTGAACAGAAATTAAAAGTTGTTCCGTTGGCTTCAGCTCGAGCAGATTTTCGTTTAAGTCATCTATCCAATTATCGCTGATGTCAGTGCGGCCGCGCCGTCCAGTTTTGCTGATCTGAGGTGTTTTCTTGTCTCCCTTCAGTTCTCTTCGTACGAGGTTTGGTCTTACCGATGGTGACCCTTCAGCGGCCGTTACCATAAACACGCCTTTTGGTAATGCCTCCATTTTGAATGAACAAACGGCATCACTATGGTTCTGCAAGAACACGTTTACCGTCCTGCCTAGTACACCTGGCGCTGTGCTCATTTGCCGTACGTGCCATAAAGATTGTTTGATACGGATGCGGTCACCTTGGTCGAGGCTCAAACGCGGCTCAATTGCACCGCCTTGTATATGGAGACGTGCTAAAGTCAAAAGATGGGCTACGGATATTGGTGGGGTGACTGCAGGTTTTGATTTATCGGAGGATGCGTTTGGTCTTCCTTGGCCGTATAATACTTTGCCGTTGGGTTGGATGTATCCAACATCCGCAACGACAATCGCGTCGAATGCCCCCACTTTGGCACTTCTGAAAAACAATCGTATCGACGTAGTTTTGAAGGCATGTATTAGCAGAGACTCTGGAGACACTCCAAATATTCCTGCTGCATCTTTCTCCAACAAGTTTTCTGGCACTAAGATTTCTTCTGGGTTCGGCGTCGGGCTCCCCAACGGCGTGTGTTTAATGTAGACGGCCCAGTTCAGGACAATATCTCTTGGAGACTGGTTTTCAATCTGGATAATTTTGCTGTAAGCCTCTCCTTCAATTGAACGCTGTTCGCTCTGGTTCTCTCGGGGATAGACTCGGACGCCGTCTGGGCTAGTCCAGGTGAGATTCGTGATTCTGGTACCAAAATTGACTCTATCCATTGAATCCGGGGTGTCCCGCTTGCTCGCCACCAATTGAGCCCCGGAAAAGCGAACAGGCAAGCCGACAACTCCCAATCGGATAGGAAAGACCTGTCGAGCCCATCCGCTGACCTCGCATGTCAAATTGTCTTCATATGTGCCCACCAGATTGTTATAGGAGGTCACTTGTACGCGTACTGTTCCCCACGGGTCAATGATCCCACTACTCGGTGATGCATGGAAGGCTACTCCACGTCCCTCACGCAGGAGCAAGTGCATACGACGAATTAGTCGGCGAACCTCTTTGATCTTTGAGATGTATTCCATGCCAGTTTTGGAACTGAAGCCTAATTTTGCCGGCTTGCTTGCCCGAAGCAAGCCTCTGGCGGAACTGCTGTCAACCGTGGACACGGATAGCCTGCGCTCGGTCGGTCCTGAAATAGGTTGCTCATTTGCAGCCTGTTCTGCGACCTCGGTCTCCTCCTCTTCCTTCAAGGCAGTTGCGGCGTACTTTTCCATCCAAACGCGGTAAGGGCTGGAGATGGCTGACCGGTTCCGAATAACCAATGTACCAGTCCTATTCGCAAATATAGGACATTCCGTCCCGAAATCGAAAAGCATGCTGCTACCGTCTATCGCTCTATCTATCATATGTTGGCTTCCATTCTGCACATCAAACACAACCTCTATTCCCCTGACAGTCAGGTCGAGCTTCGCTCCTAGTAGACCTCCATGCTCAACCATTCCCTCCACAGTGCAGGCGAGCAGTAAGTCGCTCAACATTCCAATCCGGTGGCCAATCACCTCGACCGTAATCTCCAAGTCCTCACCTCCCAGAATCTCTCCAGCCAATGGACGAAAGGTCACATGGTAATCGTTTGTTTTAATATTCTGCCATTTGAACTTAGCCGAGAGCATCGTCAGGTTTTCCATTACGAGCACATAGCGGAAGGGAACGTCTACGTAACAGGTAATCGAGTTAAGTGGGTTCATGATGGTCGCTCGAGGAGTCAGTACTTCCGCCCGCATTTCCACCACAGTGGCTGTGACGGTCCGCCTCACAGCTTGTGCTGCATTCGATGCATCGGTAGGCTCACTGTCTCGTTTGTCCATCACCGTAGATGCTTTTGCAAGAGGGTCAGCATCGACAATCTGACACTCGAGAATACCGCGGAAGCGTTGGCACCACACTGGCACATAGGTAATGGTTATATTTTGCATGGAACCTGGCTCAAGGATACCTTCAGAAGGGTGATACATTAGATAGCAATCTTTTTCGAGATCCCCGCAATTTCGTTTATATCCTGTTATACGCCAACTTAGTGGTACTGGCGCACGGCTGACAAGCGGTACCTGAACTGTTTTGTTGGATCCCAAGGCCAGTAATCCAAAATCAACAAGATCCGTATCAAATTGTAGGGATCCAGGTGGCAGGACCACTTTAGCCGCCAACGGTACTCTTAGCGTTGGACCGTGCGCAATTTTACATACTAGAGCACCAGCAATATCGTCCGGAAATCCGCCGGTGCACTGAACAGTGATTGCACAACATGCTAATGCCCCAAGGTTCCCCGAGGGACGGGTCAATGCGATTTGCAAGGAACTGCTTTTAACATTCTCAATCTCCCACTCATATGCAATATTGGACACACTCAGGTTCGACAACTGAAAGCTAGTTGTGTACGAGGTTCCGGTATAAAGCGTATCCGGGATTAACAGGATCGGTGGATCCAGGTGGGCATTAAAGGGAACGCCTTGGCCGATACATCTGATCGATAATGCGCAGTCTTCAGTTTCACTGCAATATTTCCGCCTGCTATCACATACAGTCTTTTCCGTAAGGCGTTTACTATTGTGAAGGAGTAAGAGGTTGCCGATGACGTCGTAATGAACAATACCGTCTGGCTTGAATATGACCTCGAAAGTCATATCTCCATTAGGAGGAAGCCATCCTCTTGGAGGCACTATTTGGAAGGCAGTCTTGGATTGTGATGTAGATACCCCTTTGGGCTTCGTATGAGCGGGAATATCGAAGAGGTTCCAAGTAAAGGGCAGACGGAGCAATGTTCGGTTCCTGAGTGTCAAGAGATAGGTGGTTTTCGCATGTGGGTTTTGCGCTTCAAAATCGAGTGATACATCACAATCAGTCGACTGTGAGAGCGCATCTCCCTCAACCTTCCCGTAGTCGGGTAGCTGAATCCCAGCGACCTGAATTGCAGGATTCTGCGCCAAGCCAACGATGGGCAACTCTGACACTTGGCAGTTGTCGCAAATAAGTTTGAAAACGACTTTATCATGGCGTCCCATTTCGTTTTTATCTTCCTCCTCAATATCGGGGGGAGAGTAGCGAACAATAATTTGGCCAGTATCTCCGTTCTTTACCTCAAAAAAAGACGGGAAGATGGCAAATGGGCCATGGGACGCCATTGCGTACATCTGCGACTCTTTCAGATTGTCAAATGCTTTAAATGGATCTACCTCAGCGTGATCGGGGACGATAAGAAACCGCCCCGGCCCTCCTTCGTTCTTGAAATCCCACACTCGAATATTCTCGTAGCTCGCACGACTGGGTCCGCAATTAAGCGTCTTCGGTAACGTTAATAGAGGTGCCTCTCGCTTTGCGATCACCGGAACGTCGAATATCGCTCCCATTTCCGTTGAAACAATGAATCTTTGCGAAAAATTCGCCAATGAGTTGGGCTTGAATATCACTTTGTACCGGAGACTCATGCCAGGAGCTACAAGGCCGTTTGTACCGTGGTCTGCTGGAGCTTCAATAAGCGTAACTGAAAAGAACGGGGAGTGTGTGTATGGTGGAGGTGCACTGAGCCGAAAACGACGTGAGTTTTGGGTAGTATTCTTGATGATTACCTCCTTCTCATAAGTGTGATGTGGTTGGTAATCGGTGAAAAAAACGGAACCGGGAATCGCTATGATTCCAACATTCTTCTCTGAAGCCTCGGCAGCAGGGTTTACGACTGAGAGAGCATCCGCAGGTGCCGTTAGATGCTTGGGCGCTCCTGGTGGTATGAATTGTGGAACTTTGTGGCCTTCCGAGAGTATTCTCTTCATCACCTCCTTCTTAGCGGGAAATCTAGGATTGTTCAGATATTTTACCCGCGATTCCATGCACTCTAGTATCTTTAATTCCTCATCTGTATAGGGACGCATGGGATTCACGGGGGCAGATTGCATCTCCTTCACCGGTTCAAGGGCTCCAGCTGGTCCATCGATAAATTCAGAGTTGATCTCTAGTACTCCAGGTTTCTCTAATTCGGTAGCTACGGGCTTGCGCGCGATCCATGTGTGATTGAACCCGTTGTCTGTTCTCCGGATATGGACTGCTTTTAGCTTGGGGGGATGCAGCTCACTGTGAAGACCCTCTTTTGTTGAGGTTAATTGCCGTTCGCTATCTGGTCTTCCACTTTCCCACCCTGGTCGACTCCCACTGTCCTCTTCCTGAATGTCATCATGAAGAGACAACTCAAATTTCCTACCGTCAGACTGCGCCGGCGTCTCCTCCGGATATTGCCGCGCTTCCGCAACCCGCAAGGAAGGACGCGAATCTCCACTCGTGTTCTCCTCGAATGCAGCAGGCTCGTCCTCTTTACCTTTCCGACGGAATCCAAGTAATTCCCTGCTAAAGCCCTTCAAGATCTCCGCTCCTCGCTCCTGCCCGGGTTTCTTCTCTAGCGCTACAGATCTGGTGCGTACGAGTAAATTCTGTCCGGAGATGGCACCGCGAAGGGCCGGCAGAGACTTTGCTTTTATTCCAACGTTGAATGTTTTGGATTTTAGTTGAGGAAGTTGCGGGAGTTCGGCGGCTTGGAGCGATGGACTAGGCGTGTCTCTTTTTAATGCGAGATAATCCGTCAATTGGTCCTGTATCGTATCTAATTGAGGTTCTGACATCCTTGTGGTTCCTCTGGCTGCAGGCACCAATCAACTTCCAAGGCTTGACAGATAACCAGTGGTAGCTAGTAAAACATGGCTTAAGAAGTCATATGCATTCAGTTGAAAGCTTTCGAATAGATTCCGATGAAAATTGATGGACCTTGAACGAGATTTGCTTATGTAATCGGTTAGGAAGATTTCCGCTCTATGATTGCGTTTCCTTTTACCTCAATAGGACATCACCCGAAGTCTGCTTCCATTAGGGAATTGATGATGGGGCAATGTTCAGATTATGCTCCCAAATCAAATCAGCAGCACGTATCACCGATGCATGGCAAGATCAGAGTTCCATATGACATAAGGAACTAGCCCGCACAGTACTGTCAAACAGTGATATCTCTTTTGTTACCCTCAGCTCTAACTCTCAACAGCTTATATCCTTGCACACGTAGTTTATCTTACTGGACCTACCTTGACATCAGCTAATATATGTACTTGCGGAAGCTGTTCTCAACCGTTATTGCAAAGCCATGATGCAAAACATATTAGGCCAGTCCATTCTGCATCCACTCTAAACCAGAAGAAGAAATGCGGACGTATCTATTTTGCACCGGATCTTTGTGACAAAGCGTTTGGGGCAATCTGCCAGTCTGTTGGTGAGCTTTACTGCACATACTGTATTACTGACGCGAACCTAAGCCACATTGTCGCGCTTGGTAAGCTCGAACCAGTGAAGGCGGCCTCATCCAATAGTTTCTTGCAAAGTAACCATGTCCGATACTCACTACGTGCCTAATCCTGCTTTGAGTGCCTCCCTCGCTAACGCCCTAGAAGCAGCTGCCGAAGCAGACAAACGCGATGCTCGGGAAAGTCCACCACCTTCCCGTCCACCACCGAAACCAGCTGGCCGGAGGAAAAAGGCGTACAAAAGCACCGAGAATCTGTCTCGAACGCTCGGAAACGATGGTGACAATGTTATAGACGCAACACCCGAAGAGACTATCCACATTGCGGAGCCATCGGCAGGAATTAGGAGCGGCGGGGAAGCGTTTTCAAATATGCCGGATAAGTTGCAGCCAGAAACGGAGAAACGCGCTCGCAAATCACGGCGGCATAGAGACGCTAAACAAAACGATGAGGGACCTATGATGGCAAGCTCGAGCCGTAGCCGTAGTGGATGGGAACTTGGCGGTCGTGAGGCTTCCATTGACCACGAGCCAGAGAATGGAGGGTTTATGATGAGGAAGAGTGGTAAACAGCGGGGAGGATTTGTTGACGATGCGGATGATGGTGATAATAAGGCGGCAAATCTTGAGAACCTCAAGTAAGTCCAGTTTGTTTCAGCTATTTGTTACTGATAACCGCAACCGCATGTCAACTGTCAACTTGTAGAAAACACACCACCGTCGGAAATGGAGGCACCGAGGAAGCTGGTGGGAGATGCGTATGTCGTTTTTTATTGGGAATATCCTGCTCATCGTTAGCACTCAATTGTTAGTTATTATGATCATCCCTGACCTTGATGACGTCCAAGATGACGAGATGCTCACAACCGTCGCTGCGGCACCTGCAGTGAAGGTCAATCGCTTCAAAACTATCAAAGAGCTAGACGGAGATTTGATGGCTAGCACTGGGCAGTTGGTGGAGGTAAGTATTATTGATGCCCCAATTTGACGGAGGGTAATTGTGACGAAGATGCTTTCTTCTTCATTGCAGCCCCCTACGTCGATCGGAGGAATCGATGTATCACTTTTGGTATCCATAGCTCTCGTGCCTCCGGACCAAGTGATAGAACCGGATATACACTGGGACTGGGAAGTGATTTTTACAGAGGTGATGAACTGATGCATTCATCGTCTTATCATGAAAGTTCTAATAATCAACCACCTATCCCTGTAGGTAACGTCCGACCTTCAACCACCACTGACAAATACGGACCCATGACATATTTTACGCAATCTTACGCAAGGAATTACGGAGATTCTTTTCATGTACATTATATGTATCATCGTGGTTATGTCCTGTTCAATAGGGCCAGTTGCATAATTTCACCCAACAATGCCGAGGACACTGTGGTTGTTGCAGCAAGGGTAGCAGCAAAATCAAGTACGGCATCATGTTGCCTCACTATGGCCAAAAGCATTACGAATGACACTATAAATCTTAAACGAAATGTAGAAGAAACAATTATGATGTGGGAACGCCCTTCATCCCTCTTACTGTTCCTGACAGATTCTCCCTTCGTCTCGGGGCCGCGGGGTCTGGCTTCTTGCTCTTATCCTTCTCGTCCATAAACACCAAGGTTCCCTCCCCACCGCCTTTACCAGGTCCTTTGTTGCCTTGTTCAGGAGGAGGGAGCGAGTCCCGCCCTCGGCGCTGCCGGCCGCCGGGCCCGGCATCATTGGACCCGAATGCTTTCCCTGTTCGTATCGCTGATATAAGGTCATCCAAACCGCCTTGATCTTGATGTTCCCCGCCCGCTTTGGTGCCTTCTTTGGACCCGGGGACGGCTTCACGTTTCTTTCGGCGTCGATCTTCTCGATCCTGAAGGAGTGACAAATTGGTAAATAACAGTCACAGACTGATATTCTTTTTTTAACACATAAAAGACTGCTATCCGTACCCTCTTCTCTTTCTCCTTCTTCTCCTCTTCAATCGCCTTCTGTATGGCCATTTCGTTGTCCAATTTCGCCTGAGTAAATCCTTGGCAGAACTGCCAAAAGATTCCGAAGAACTCTTCGGGGGTAATGGTTTTTGGATCCTCGCCGTAGAGCGTTACCGCGCTCTCATACTTTTTTTCCGTAACTTTGAAACGCTCATCCAAGCTTACATACGCCTTATCGGCTTCTTCGTAGAACTGACCCATGACCTCTCGGAATTTGCTGCTGGAAGAGTTGGACAGTTCAGAACCGCTAGACAAGCGTTTGTCCTTCTGCTCATCTTTATCCATGGCTTCTAGGAGCTGCTTCAACTGCTGTATGTTTTGGCGGAGGGTCATGAGCGTTTGGCGGATCTGTGGGATCGTGACTGTCGAGGACCATATGAGCACCGGAAAACTAATCTATAGCGATCGCGATACCATGAGCGTGACCCACCTTTTGCTCCTAGTTCAACATGGGCCAGGTCCTCCTGGAATCCAACAACATCCGGGAACTTCTTCTCCAATAGCTCTGTTAGATAGTGAAGCAATGTGTGCTTACGTCCCTGGACACCGGATCGAGTATCACCCATCTTGTAGAAGCGGAAGGATTAAATTCATAAGATACACTGGTTGTAGCAACGTCCGCAACATGGTTTGCAATCGTACCTTAAGGATACTGTTCAGTTTGAATCCATACGCACCGCCACGCTGTCCAGTATTCATGTAATTACCCAGAGCTAAGATGATCTATCCCAAATAGCGACGTTAATATGCGGAGAAAATTGCCCACGCCCCACCAGATGTCATGTAACACCCTCAACCTACTTGCAACAATTCCTTGAACTTCTTGCTGCTAACCACTTCCTCACTGGCAGACGTCAACCAGGCAATCAGCGCCTCGGCATCATCTTGCAGCTCCGAGAAGCTCGTCTTGAAGTGCAAGGCTTTGAGCTTTGACTCATACAACGTAATCTCCGAGACCTCGTACAAAAATCTTTCCGCGCTCGCTAGGCTGTCTTTCTGGTCCGCATACTCTTGCATCATGCGCAGTTCTTCATCTTGCGGAATGAACTTCATCAGCTCATTGAGAGCGTCGCGGTTCAGGGTTTTGGTATCGACTGTGTTTATGGCTCGCTTGATAGTTTGGGCATCAAGTTTAATGGCCTTTAGCACGATATTGCAACCCTGAGAGCGCTTTCCATCCAAGAACGAGATTTCCTTAGCTGCCACACTTTCATGACTTCCAGCCATCCCAGCCTCCTTATCAGACTTGCCAAGTTTGCTTTCTTTTGCGGCAAAAAGATCTTCAAACTCCTTATATACGTCATCTTTGAGTTTTTTGTGGACACCTGCATCATCAAGGTCGCTCCATACGGTCTCCTTGACTTTTGTATTTGGCATCTTGGTCCAATTAAAAGATTTGAGAGGCTTGGAGGACAGATTTGTCGGCTTGGCAGGTGGACCGGTTGGTACAGGTGCAAAGCCAAATGCTCCTCCTGGTGGTGGAGGAGGGCCCGGCGGTCTCGGGCCACCTCCCGGCGGTGGTGGGGGTGGGGGTGGACCACCCATTCCAGGAGGTGGAGGTGGTGGTGGGGGGCCCCCCATGCCGGGCGGAGGCGGAGGTGGAGGTGGACCTCCCATGCCGGGTGGAGGCGGGGGCGGTGGTGGACCTCCTGGTGGTGGTGGAGGTGGTGGAGGCCCACCTCCAATACCAGGGGGTGGAGGAGGCGGTGGTGGACCACCCATGCCGGGTGGTGGTGGCGGGGGTGGTGGAGCACCACCAGTTGCCATTGCGGTAGTTGCGGGAGGCTATAATATGGAATGTTTAAGTAGTCTATCAAGAAGCCGTAAACCAAGAACAGCCCACGACGGACCATTCCCGCATCCCAGTTTTTCGGGCCGAGAGCTTTCTCTATTCGGGCAATGAATTCCGGACCTCCATCCAAGTTTGATATTCGCTGCTTCAACAAGTTTTCCAACTCAGCAATTTCCTTCTTGGCTGCAGCAAGCTGCAGGGTTGCCTGTTTTGCATCTTCGTCCTTTCCTTCTGCCGATTTGCCTTGACCATCCTCTGATAGATTTTTTAATAGAAAACGAAAACAATAAGTAAATGCTCTGACACACAGCCGGTTGCAAAAGATAGCGAGCATGACGCACTATGTCCAGTTTCTGCCTTCAGAGTTTCCAGCTCTTTTTCCAACCGTTTGCTTTTTTCAATTTGCTTCCTATACTTATCCTCCTGTTCACGGATCTTGTCAGTGTCCAGCAATTCTGCAACCATCGCCCGAACATCAAGATCCGCAAGCATGGCAGCAGGGTCGGGGTCTTCAGAATCGCGCTGGAGCACAATCTGTTGAACGACTTTGTCGATGATAAACATAAATTTCATCCTGGGAAGCAAGGGTTAGCCAATGTATCGTTTCTAATCATATACGGTGAGGAACGGCACCTTTGATATGACGGCTTTTGAACCAGAATCGGTGCTTCAGAACAGACATATACGGCGCGTAGCACGTTGAGAATTTCATCGTTTCCGACAGTGCTATGGCTACTTCTTCTGCATTATCCCAGTCCAATTGCCCCTCCACATCCATTTTCATGAAGACCTCCTCCTCATCAGCCTCGAGTCCCGCAACCCAGACATCGATTTGCGTCTGAAGCAACTCGTTTTCCAGTGACCCTATGCTCTGTGTAGATGGGGTCAGACTAGTCTCTTGACCGGTAAGCATAGCAGTTACTAACGTCAATCAAGCGATTCAGGCCCAACTGTATGAACTCATAGCGCATGTGCATTCGGAAATCCAAGTTGTATCCGGCCCCTCCGCAAATAACAGCATTTATAAAGGACATGCTAGCAACCTACAGAATAGGAAAGCGATAAGAAATTATGACCGTTTTAGGAGACAGTGTGATGCTTACCTGCAAATCCTTATCATGGGCAGTCATGCCTTGACAGCTTTGCCAAAGGGTATAGACAACAGCTTCAAACCGAAAACGGGTCTTCGCCTGCGTACACAAGTTGTCCATGCCTTCCAGAACACATTGGTGGCCACCGGGTATCAGACAGACTGCACCCAAAATTTCCAAAACCAATGCTTTCGTTTTTGGGGACGGCGATTGTAAAGAAAGCGCTATGATGTTGAGGGCACCTTCGCTGTCAAGAACAGCCGACAAACCAATCTAGATTCTATCCAATTAGTTCTCTGCCCAGTAACCCGTTCGATGATACTGTTACCTTGTTGTTCATCAAAGATTTCAGGCACTTGATATACAGCTCTTCAAATTCATCATGTCTAACAAGCAGTTTTTGGTATAGATAGATGCATGCATCAGGGACCTCTCAAATGTACCTGTTTTGTCGGCCTAGTGCTCCGAGATTCTCCAGAAGAATATTGAGTCCACCATTCTCAATGAAGTTACTAATCCATCTAATTGGCCGAGAACGCAAGGAAACAACGAGATCTGTCAATAGCTGCTTATCAGGATTGTTTCGTAACCGTTGCAGCTCTTGGTCTTGCTGCATATCACGCGCCGCGCCATCTCGATATCGTTCTCCCAGGTGTTGTTGCAGCATGATCCATTTTCGATCATTAGGCAATAAGCGGAGGACCTGCTTTTTGTCCTCGGTCAAGTTCAAATCTTCCTATAGTGTCAAACCACCCAAAAAGTGAATAAGACACATTTTATCCATATAAGAAGGAAAGTCCTGGGTACCATTAGGAGCTCCAGCATGGTTTCGATTTCTTCAATTGGAGGTGTAGGAAGATCAGAAGGTGATGTGGTGGTCGGGGCAGAAAAGCCCAAAGCCGCCGATGCGGACACGTCCCCTCCCTCCGATGCACGACCCATCGGCACTGATATAGGACTGGACGTTCGCTCAATAGTAAGATTATCTGTCGAAACCTGACGCAAATGGCTCGAGCGGATAGTTGTGGAGGTTTGCCGTTTGAGCTCCGCTTGCGAGCCGCTCTTATTCAAGTCGCGCTTCATACCCGCCGCGTTCTGGCTCGGGGGGTCTTCCTGCGGGGCGGCGAGCTTTATCTGGCCCTTGCCGCCGCCCATCAGGTTCCCGATACTGATTTTGTTCTTCAGCTTGAATCAGTTCGCTAGGGAGTTCCTTCCCAAGAGCGAGTGGACGTTGGTGTCCTCGCCGATCTGTAACTAGGGTCAACTTCAAAGTGCTCTACTGTAACCTTGTACGGAGGGGCAGAAGAGACTCTGAAAACTTCCGGAAATATTTCGTTTATAGTTAGGCACCGGGTTTGCTGCAAACGCCGTGCGGAAGTTGTTGGATGATGTGAAAAGTGTTCAAACCCTTGTTGACAGTGCTAGAACCCATGCTTACATACGTCGCGCCACGTGACTGCTTGAGGATTTGGCTCGGTTGCATTCTGGATTGGATTTGAGGTTACTCTTCTTTTGGACATGAGCCATGACGAGGATGGCTCTGCAGAACATGATTGGCTTACTATCATAGCCGTACAATACTTTCAAACGGTTCCACTGAGATCTTTTGATTGGCCCCAAAATATCCTGCATAAGCTGGATGTCTCTACACAAGATGCTATCCTGCGTGAAACCGTGCAATCTGAACTGGGGAAAAGCTACCCACCAGAGGCTTCGTACTCACTGCGTTTTCTCAAAGCAATCCTTGAAAAGGTCGATGCGACTGGAGAGGAGCACTCTGAGGCTTTACTGCAAGCTTATTTAGAGCTACTGTCTAATGCCAGTGGCGACAAACTTACTGGTGATCTGTCGCGTGCGTGCTACAAGTCGTACCCTCTGCCCACTAAGACCTCCTCGACTGTCTACTTAACTCTCCACGAAGAGCCATTGAAAATATCGCAGGGTACCACTGGCTTGTGTACCTGGGAAGCGGCCCTTCGTTTTGCAGAGTATCTGCTAAATGCAGCACCAGAGGTTATTCAGGGACGTAGAATCCTAGAATTAGGCGCGGGAGCAGGTCTCCTGGGACTAGTTTGCCTGTATATGGGTGCTTCCAGCGTTGAACTAACTGATGTAGACGAGGGTGTACTGGAACGATTGAAGGAGAATGTGGACCTTAACAGCCAAATGATCATAGATCGAATGGCGAGGGATTTTGGAGGTCATCAGAGCAATCCGCCAAATATTCGAGTGTCCAAACTGGATTGGGAATCAGTTGACTTTGATGATATCGCCTCCCGAAATGCAGAGATCATTGTTTGCGCGGATGTTGTCTACGATCCTATTTTGATTCCACCTTTGACGAGCGTGCTCGGCTCGTTACTGCGCACTCCACATCATGGTCATCCCACTGGATTCAGAGAAGGTTGGGTTGCGTTGACGATGCGACAAGAGCAAACGTACAAGGAATTCCTTAGTGCACTGACGAGGAATAGAATACGCTATGAGCGCATCCGGCTTGACCGCGTACCAAGATTATTTTATCATGAAGACAATGTTGGGGAGGTAGCCCTGCTGCACTTGACTGTTGCTGATAGTTGATAGAGCTGTACTTTAATCTGGAATATTGTCCACTTTCATTTGTTTATTTCCATAAAAGTCACGTGAGTTTAAGTATGACACAACAACAACTGTTCTTGTCATCAGGCATCCCAACACCGACTGCAACAGAGTACATGTCGCTGAACGACGTTTGCGGACCTCTGGGGAGTCTACATAAGCTGCAGTTTTTGCGATTTTGAATATGCTTTGCCTGCGGCCCTTTTCACGCCTTTCTGGTCATCACAACGCACGCCATCTGTTCGAGGTCCAAACGAGGGTGTCGGTTTTCCGATACCCATTACTAACCCAGAGAGCAACACGGGGATTGCGGACAAGAACTCGTGCTGCGACAATATCTGGTCGCAGACTACTGCAACGTCTCGTACCAGGATGGTTTCTTGCAGGGTCGATATTTGGAGGCACCGCTGTCCTATCTTTTAAGCTGGGAGAAATACGGGCTTGGGGTCCCTGGCCGATACCAACAATATCCGTAGGGTCTATGGAAGAAGATTCTCTTTCTATCAATGAGACAACGCCAGCAACAAAACCACACTTATTTCCAAAGATACGTGACAGAGGAAAGAGGTCAAACTGCGCTTGCAATCACGCTTTTGTTGCGGACGCTGTCGAGAAAGCAATAGGGTCCGTTGTTAACATATCAGTTGAAACCGGTGAGTTTTAGAAGATGATTTTTTTCAGGGAGCTGTCGTAAGGCGTATGTAGCACAGCTGGCGCGATTTCGAGAGGAATGAGCATCGAAGGGTGCTCGATGAGAATAAAATCTAGACTTGTCATTTTCTAAATAACTCTTCTCTCATGGCATGTCTCAGATGCATCCACCCTTCTGCACAAAAAGTCTCTTATCTCGTCGGGATCCGGATTTTTCATCGATGAGAAGGGATCGATCCTGACGAATGCAGTATGTATTTCTTCCGACGGCTATTCAGCGTGTGACGACCTTACAAAATTAAACACCTTTCTGGCAGCATGTAGTTACCGATATGGCGACTGGTAGTACGGTGAGTGCTGCAAGTGAGTCCGGTCTGGCGCGAATGCTCATTTATGTCACTGCTGGCTAGCTTACAGTGACCACATGTGACGGAACTCAATATGAAGGGTTCATTCACAGCCTTGATACTCCTAGTGACTTGGCTGTTGTAAAGATCAAACCCCGACCTACCGATACTCCAGTCAAATGGCCCGTGTTACAGATGAGTAAGATTTCATTCCTATCATGCCATGTGTTTCAGTAATGGATCCTAAGATCACTGGCCATTCCTTAAGGCTCTAACCTAAACTTGAGACCGGGAGATTGGGTGGTGGCAATCGGTTCCCCATTTGGGCTGCACAACACGGTGACAGCGGGAGTGGTCTCATCAGGACGGCGAAGAAATGAGGAGATAGGAACCGGAAGCGATGTGCGCGTGGAATACATACAAACTGATTGTGTAGTACATGAGGGAAGTTCTGGCGGTCCTTTGATAAATCTTGATGGCGAAGTCGTCGGTACGCAACACAGTTATCTAAGTGGACGGTCCATCTGCACTACTTCCTCATGCCAGTCATTCCGCGCTAAGGCATCAACACCACGCGAGCCGAAAGCGAGGGAATAAGTTTTGCCATCAGGGTAGATAATGCGATGGATATCATTCATCAGCTTCATACACAAGGAAGAGTTGTACGGCCGTGGCTTGGTAATTGTGTTTTTTCGGTGCTGAAGTACGTCGGTCGGAATCTAAACCAGATTGTACACTAGGATGTCGTATGGTCACCTTAACGTCGCAAGTGCGTCAACAATTGAGAAAGCAAGGTCCTATGACGTCGATTCCGCCCACATCTGGGGGTGTTATTGTGACATCTGTATGATCCTTCTGTGCGCTTTGTCGCTATATGGGCCACTTACGAAATATGGTCATAGGTTTTCCCAGACTCACCGTGCGCCAAAGCCAATCTTGGAGAGGGCGACGTGATCGTGGCGGTAAATGATACACCTGTCCACAGCAGTCAGGAGGCAAGTTCCCCAAGCACCGTTCTGTAACATCCTCATGATTACCCCTAACTCTCTCATTTCCAGGTATTCAAAGCTATGGGTCTTAAGATTCAGCAGCCAGTGCGCTTTACAGTCAAGCGCAGCATACCGTTAGACATAGATTGGGATGGGCGGACTCGCCGGTGGGAGACGCAGGACGTTGAGGTTGAAGTCACACCAGAAGAGTTTGATGTTGAGTTGCATGGTGATGGAGCATGACATGGAGTGCAGTTAGGATCAAGTTGATGTTTCCTGGGTGTAAGGGTGATCACGTACGGTGATCCTAGCCATATGACCGACCTTTCTCGTTGGTCATCGGAGATGACGAGCATAACCCTCGTACATACATGTATCATTTTGCTACTTCTTAATTTACAACATCACATTGAGCACGTATGTATTCAAATCATCCATATATTATATATTTCTTTTGAATAGTTCAAACTACACTACTTACAATTCGATTATCCTTTGGTTTAGTCTAAAGTACAACTTAGTTTTGATACAGCAATGTATACAAGCAAATAATCTTCCTCGTTAATTGGTTGGGTTGACAGGTACACCGCTTGAGGTCGGGTGAGGGATAGCACTCCATGTACTGTTCCGTTCTTCTGTCTTTGTAGCGTCCGAACCGGAACCCATAGTACTCCGGGTCCCAGCCTGGCTCACAGTTTGGTTGGAGTCTGACCCTCTTTGGCTCTTCGGTGGCGTGAAGTCCGTCATCACAGATAGGTTAATAGACCCATTGGAGACGTCAGGCGGAGCGGGAATGCTATATACGCTGTTACCCCATCCGTTTTGCCGTCCACTTCTCTCCTGCTGCCCGTGGTGAGGATGGTCACCGACAATTGTGCTCGCTCGTGACAATGCAGGTCCAGGTGCAGCTACACCATATGGTCCAGAGGGCATGCGGACGTTGGGAACGCCTCCCGCTCCCGAGGCATTTTCCTCGTCTTTATCAGTCCACCGCGGCCTAAAGATATCCAGTTCATCCTCTGCCCCCTTCCCATCATCGGCTCCATCCCGCGTTCCCCAATCCGTAACATGCAACGTAAATAAACAGTAGATCTTCATGATGGCAAAATAGATATTGAAGATCAGCCAAATTGGAATCGCAAACACATCTTGGGGTCTTCGTACAAAATGCGGCATGTATTTGATGAGTCGCGTCACGAAGAGCCAGACCAGATAACTTGTGAGGACAACCCAGAGAGGCAGTGATCCCGGCTCGTCAGAGCAGGTTGCTAAATAGGCCACTGTCGCGGGGCCGGCGAGGAGAGTGATCGGGTTGAAGAATTTGTCTAGCATTGTAAAGGCAACAAAAGGGTGGCGAACCCATACATAGCGCTCCGTGAACAGGCTTCGAGAGTCGCTTCTCCAAGTATTACGCGTCCATCGAAGAAGTTGTTTGAGAAAACGCCAGTTGTCTTTGAATGTTGACGAAAGTTCGGCTTCCGGACAAGCTTGTATATAGGTTCTCCAGTTATGGGAGTGAATCCAGCGGGTTAGAAACTTGTCGTCTCCTGAGTGCTGGTGGTATTTTCCAAGCCAGAACTCGTGAGTAAAGGACCACTGGAAATCGGGATCCCGGAGGATGCATGTGCGGTACGCGGCCGTTCGTCCTGAGAGGCAACAGACGCCACCATCGATATACGTCGTCGAAGTAATCTCGATATTGCGCATCTGGATGCAGCGTTCCTTCAGCAAAACGGTTAATTCAGAGCCACACCCCTCATACATACCGAAATCCGAAATGCTGCCAGGATCTCCCAAATAGTCATATATTTATGCTGCGGCAGGACTCTTTGCGACGTTCCTTATACAAGCAAATGAGATCAGCCAGTGAAACTCTACAGTTTGATCTTGCTCAAACTTACCAACACCTCCCATCATCTTATTTTCAAAAGGCGCCAACATCCATCGTAACATCGTCTCAGGCCAAAGCACGTCGTCATCGCAAAACACAGTGATCGGCGTTCGGACTCGATTAGCACCAGCAACCATCTGATTTCGCTTGTTGGGTTTTGAAATGGTGATTACTCTGACCTTTGTGCCAGAAGGATCAACTTCACGAGCCAGTGCATTGAGGGCATCCCGTGCAGACGGTACAGTAACGAAAATAACTTCATAGGGATCACATCTGAGCCATGTTCGAATGGCGACTTTAATTTCTTCCCCAGAGTCAATTGTAGGAACTACCACAGTTACGTCGCGGGCAGGAATGTAGCGTGGATGCTGCCGCGGCTTGAGCGGCTTGTAGAGGCAATATGCTAGGATCTGTTACGCAATGAGAATTGTTTTTGCTATCGCTTTCACGCGGATTCATTGAAACTCATTTATGGACCATACAAACCTTTATGAGAAACCAAAACCATCGATAAATCCCGATAAATCCAAGCGGTAAGAAGACCGGTAGAGCTTCTTTCGTCAAGTAGAACATGATCGTATAGGCTGCCGAACACCTGCCGCCGCAAACGCTCTGATAAGTCCCAAAGATATCCGGACACCGACGGCTACCTTCTGCGTTGATTTCAATGAGAGGTGCACCTTCGGCCGCTTCGCTATTTAAACAAATCGCGGGCACACGGAAGACGTGTTGCGCGTTCTGATTATATAATATGCTTAGTCAGCAATATGGAAGCCAATTCTTCTTTCATGACGTGATATTAAACCAAATCTTTTAACGTAATACCACATCGTCACCCCCATTCTTGCCCATATATAAGGAGCTTTAAAGTGTTTTGACCATCAACTCTGCATACGATTTTCGATTGCTCAATCATTGAGATGGCAATGGCTGCTCCAAAAGACGAGACCTATCAGTCTGAGCCAGGGGTGGTCAAGGATGATCTGGTACGACATGCTTGGTGCCTTTATTTGGCTGCCAGTCTTTAACTAATGCTTATATTCCAGTACAGCGAGCTCGTTGAGCATGGCGATGAAGAGTTCAAGCCGCCGGAAGGAGAAGACCAACCGGCACCTGGTCATAAATACAATCTGCGTCATGCAAAGCCTCGCGGAAGTTACGACGAAGCTCTAGATCAGGAATCCTTTGAGAGCGTGGACGACCGTATGTAGTCCCGTCCTTTCAGTTGCAGGCTCTTAGTATTGGCGGATGTCTCAAAACTCTTTTAGAACTATCCAAGGGCGGAACCACAGACATTGACAGACGTGTTGCATCATATGTCGCCCGTAGCCATGATCCCCGCCCACCCGAAGATCACTTGAAGAGTGCACTGAAAGCTAGCGAGATTTACGAGAGTGTGACAGGTCACCCGCTGGAGATCAACGAGAAAGGAGAGGTCGTGACAGAATAACCCATTATACCAGGCATCATACCATGCATCATACAAGTCATTTCTATTTGCTACTTTGTGGTACCGTCAATAGTGCTTTTTGCTGGCATCTTCCATCAGCAAGACGTAAATATGTACATATTGTATCATAAAATCTAGGAATACCAGTTCTATAACATGAATGAATGTGCTCCCAACTTGCCGTGCCTTTCGTACCAAGTCGGTCTAGGGCATTATAGTAAGATCCGAAGTAAATGGGTTGATCGGTCAGCCACGAAGCGTGATTGGTTGATTCTTTTTTGCACGTGTTCTGCTGACGCACAAGCTGGGAGTTCAAATCGTCGGATTTTGAGCAGCTGTGTTCCTCCCATTGGCTACGGGTACCTGTGCCCAAAGCGACTATGCCTGTCGCCGTGGAGGCTGCGCTCACGCACCAGGAGCTCGTTGCGGCCTTGAATTCCGATAACGTTGAGACACTGTTTTCAGGTGCAGCTGAATCTCGTTCGCAAAACATCAACATTTGGGCATTCAATTTTAACTTGTGGTTTTCTGTTTGAAGGTCTATCAAGGTTCAACCGCTCTCTCAGCCGATTGATAAACGAAGATGCGGATCCGCAAGTGTCAGTGGAAGCTGACTTGCTCAAGTCATACATTAAGGGATCTCCAGAATGTGCCGAGCTATTTCGACTATGGGAATTCCAGCAAGCAGTATGTATTTAGTTGACCTCGCGAGACGATTGGTGCACTCTAACACACGATCGCGAGTAGAATCAAATAGATCGGATCGCTCCTGTTCTATTGGACGTGATTGCCCACATGATACTGTCGTCTAAGCTAATAGAGATGTGGTCAACGGGCTCTGCGGCTTCTCGGTCTATCATTCGTGACTGGATGAAGCCGATATACAGGAATTTGTCATCTGGAAAACGTCCCTTGATACAGTCTACTCTGAGATTGTTGATTGCAGTCGCCGGGTTCAACTCAGCGACGGCCAAGGAACTTCATGAGACATTCAATTTCACCATGCAGGTACGGAAAAGTGCCCATATCCAATACAGCGTAAAATTGACTCTAGTGAAACTATAGGCCCTGCCCAAACTCCTACATACCCGCCAAAAGTCCCCGAGAGAGGACGTAAAACCACGCCGAAATGAAGGTATGGTGTAAGGCTCGAAGGGCGCCTCTCATGGTTATAGCCTCATAGATTCTATTGGCAGACGTTCGGACGTTATATATCCGCTTTCTGTTTGCGTTCCTTGAACAGGGTGACATTTCGGTCAAGAGGTTTATGTTGGAGGCAAAAGATATTCTAAGCAGTGTATTCAAAGGACTGGCTGATGATTCATATGAAGTACGTTGCTGCTATCTTCATCTGACCGAAGGTTCATCAGGGCTGACATTTTGCCTTTGGGCTGTTAGACTGTGGACTATGTTCTTTCGACTCTGCGACGCACTGTCATCGATGATACCAATCTCGCCAGGACGCTGAAGGTTGCTTTCTTCAACAACTACATATTGGACCAGGTATAGTACTCAACTAAGTCTCATCTTTCGCACCAGGATTATTGCTCACGCAACTGCCGCTAGTTGGTAAAATTGTACGCTCGGAAGGAGGTGGATCCGGACAATGCGTTAGCGATTGCCGATGTAGGACATGAATTTCTGCTCTATATATGTACCACTCCAGGAGTAGGTGTCTGTTTTCAAGACGCCGGTTGGTATCCAGCCAAGTCCACCGGGGAGGGCAAAGCAATCACTGTATATAATAAGGTCCTGCTGAGGTTGCTGTTGTCTCTCAAGCCGACAGAAGATCCTCGACAGGAGGCTTTAGTCCTAATGGGTCTCCGAAATTGCCCAGAGTTAGTGCAGCCGTAAGTACCGCTGTTCTATCAATCACCTCAAGGGATCTCTTGCAAACGCCAACCCCATGAGTTATAGATATTGGAATGAGCTGAGTAGCCTATCCTTCGAACCTCGGGTCTCTTCAAAATGGATTGCCAACATGGCATTAGCAGCCAAAATCATTCAACTTCCGATACCGTCGAGGTTGGGTGCAACAATTATTGCAATGTCTCCACCACCCCTCATGACTATGGTCGACAATGTCCTCCCCCCGCCTCTTGATCGAGCGCTCAATATCCGAGGGCTATTACATCCTAACGCACTTGTTAAACATACCTCCGCGTTTGTGCAAGCATTGGCATTGGAGAAGCTGGCTCGCATACAAGCAACAATAGAGAGCATTGCCGAAGATATAGTGGCTTCGTCTGCCCAGTTAGCAGTTGCGGTCGGGAGTGTGGATGGACTGTTGCAGAAATGGCGCAAAGCCCGGGACGATCTAACAGACGAGATCAAGAGGCGACTACCGGACTTTCAGACGGTACTTGCTTTACAATCACAACAACGCAAACAAGTCGGAGAGAAGGGCAAGTCGGACGAGGCAGGCGCCACGGACATGGAAATAGATGGAGAAGCAGCTGAAGTTGAGGAGATCTCCCAAGAAGTACTACACTGCATATCACTCAAGCTTGTCAGACACTATCAGCGCCAGTTCCCTGATGCAATCCTTGAGGCTCGATTCAATTGCGGAAAGCTCTTACCGGCCGATCTGACGGCTCTATCCGAGGAGCTGCAAATTCATATACTGGAGCTGATTGGTGAAGTTCCGGAATTCAACTGGAAAGAGAGAGCAGGTGGATATCAGTCTAAATGTTTTCCGCTAAATAGTTACTGGATTCTCAACCTAAACCGTGCATACAATAGCGCATGCGCCGACTTCGCATCTTGGTTCAATATGGAAACTATACCTTACCACTACGTCTAATAATGTCGCTTCTGTCGCGAATGGAGTGCTGCATCGTTTACTTGCGGAATCGTTCCTCTTTGAGAATCACATCGATGAGATACCTATTTGGCTTCTCACGCTCCAAAACTTACCCAAAGATGAGCAGATGTCGGCATTGGCGTGGTTGGACGAAGCCCTTTGTACGGGAGCTAGAACCTTGTACCGAACCGTAGATAGGTTGAGTAAGCTTGTCCATGCCTGCCACGGTCGATTGAGCGATTACCAGAAACGAGTTGCCGACCATGTATTGGAAACTCGTCGCCGCACCATTGCAGCCGGTGATGAACAATTGGTGGACATACCACCTTACCCTATCAGCCCAGCATTGATAAGTATCGCCGATGGGTTGCAGGCTCTCTTGCGGCGATCAGCAGAGAAAGGAGATAGGTCGGCGGCGATCGGCCCAGCGCAATTTTTCTTTCACCTGGTGGTACGGTTACTGCAATCAACGCAGGGAATTGCAGAATACCTTGTGGAGGTCGTCGACGGAGTATGCGAGGGTGTCATAGTAGGCGGAGGCGTACAGTTTGGATATTTGGCTTGCTGGGAGGCGGATCATTACCTTCATGCAGCTAAGGGCTATTTCACCGGATTAGCTGGACAAACGAACGACGTTGTTCATCATGGAAAGGATGCGGCAAAGAGATGGCGGAAGACGTTAAAAGGTAAGATTTGGAACGACAAGCAATACTGGATGAAGTTCTGATATGCTGTCTCGGCTCCGGCAGCTATGGACGCCGATCTTGCGGCCTCCGGCGAGGTGTTGACTATGTTTCTCAAGAATACATGTCCCGTCGATCTCAGCACGGTCTTCTTCGAAATGATTGAGCGATGCCAGAACAGTCCACCACTTCTTGCCTGTATCGCCGATTATTTAACTTGGAGACATCCTATATCACAGTCAATGTTTGATGTGTACCAGGTTTTACGCGAGTTTGCCATCGGAGGCAGCCCGAACGAGAGCAACGAGGCTGTCGTTCGTCTCTTTCATCAAGTTCCTTTTTGTTCGCTACTCACGAGCACGTTCAGTTCGTCATTGGACTTCGGCCCCACTTACGAAGAGTTATTGATATCTCGCATCAATTCTTGTGAACATCCGCCAGAGTGCGTGTGGTGGACTCGACAGGTGCTGCTTGAGCTTGGGCGATCTATACATTTGGGTTGGGACCAGCACCGGCGTTTTGCCTTCGCGCTTTTGAAAGCTCTTGTGACAAAGGTGCACTCTTGGAGCCTTGGAAAAGCAGGGGCGCTGGTATCAACTTCCCGACTAAAAGAGAATGCTTATGATACTGTGCGTGACATCATTTTTGGACACCCTCTTCTCCTTGATAGATTCGTTTCCCGTCAAAGTGGGGATAAGGAAATTAGCACTGGTAGGTGTCGCTGTCGTACATCCTAATTGAGCTGTGCTTCCTGCTGTGGTATTCAAATCGTTTTGTCACCTACAGAAATCATGGCATTGGTGCATGAGACGCTGGAAATGGAGACACGAGATATGAATACGGTCAACTCGTCCTTGTCTCCTATGTCTCCTACCTGGCGACTTTATACGGATCGTGTCCGCGATCGCCTGCTCGCAGAGTTGGCCTTCCAATCGCCGCACAATGACACGGTGCGGGCATTCGAACTCTTTAGATCTTTCATGACTTACGAGGATGTGAATCAAATTCTCCAGCCACTGCTCAACGGATCTGAGAATATGAACGATCTCCTCTTTCTGGCTTTGACCGCCAGGACCCTTGGAAGAGATGGCGAGCCGCACGTGATCAAGTCAAGCTTTTTCCGCAGGCTCCTGAAACTTCTGAAAGGACGTCACCATGCGGAAATAGAGAACATTATCGCGAATATTGTCAAGAGGGCAGTTGTGCCACAGGCTTTGATGATCAGAGCCGATCAGGATGGGGTTGCTGCTTTTCGTGTTATTGCGTCCGATGGGGATGGGGATAAGCAATATGTTCGTCTCTATGCCGACGTCCCATCATTGTTCGATGAGAATACTGTTCGACTTCTGCTGAATGGGGAGGAGAAGGACGGAAAGTGCATTCGCGCACATATACTAAGATCACTCATCGTTACCAGCCCTGTGATACGCCGGTGCGTGGTTGACGTCCTCAACAAGGAAAATCGAACTTCTTCGCTGCAGCTTGGCATTGTCCACGCTGTGCTGGCAGGCTTAGTTGTCACCTTGTCCGCGAAAGAACGTTTTTCCATGTCGATTGCGATAAAAGTGGTCTGGGAAGTTGGCGTAACCGAGGATGAACGTGATTTGATAACCCTCCTGCATCGCCGAATCCAGAAGGAATTGCAGGAGCAATTGGTCAGCAGTATTCTCGGTATTGATGGGAGGACAATACTAGAATGCGATGCGGTGCTTCGATTGCTTGGTTTATTTGCGCATGAATACGGAGGATTGCTTGATGAGTTAGTAAGAAGAGCATCAGCGCAATCCAAGTCTCCAAATTACCTCCTCTCAATATCATCGATGAAAGAGCATTTGCTAGCATTGCTGGCACTTGCCTCTGATCCCCATGGCCTTACCAATGTGATTGCCGTAGCACTGTGCGTTTTACGTTGGTTCTTCGTCGGAAAAAAGAAAGGAATACTCAATGGGTCAGAGCAGCCAGGGGAGCGAGATTTGAAAGAGGTCATAGAAGTTTTGGAGTCGGTCCTTGTCCGCCTAGAAGGCGACGAAAATGCCATCCGCGGGTTGTTAGATCAAGGAGAGATTTTCAAAAATTTCTTAGTCGCTGCATTGAAGTATCGCATCACCGACCCACATGTCTTAAATTTTCTCACCCACTTGGTTACGTTTGTGTATGGGCATGTGAGTACAAAAGATCGAACGTATTATTACTGCAAGCCCCTAATATTTGATTGCTAGCGGCGGCTTAAATCATCCACTCGCCGTAAACTTCCATTCACCGTGGATGCTCTCGTAGAAATGATTCTATCTCATTCGCAGTTCACAGTGGTGGCACATGCGGGAACGAACGACTTTCTGTCAACAAATTCGAAGATCAGCCCCATTCCTCCGATCCACATTGCTAAGCCTTGTCTTTTGCATTTTCTGCATTTGCTGATGTCGCTTGACCCTGTCCATTGCTGTAAGACGGAGCATTTACCTCTGTTGGCACAGGCGTACCAGGGCACGGTAGCAAGTGCTGATCAGGTGATACTCGCTATCTGGGAGTTATATGAAAAGCAAGCCGGAATCAGCGTTGAGGCACATGCGATGCGGTGGGGCCTGACGTCCACCGCCGCGCTGTCGAGTGTGAGTGCCGCACAAAGCTTGGCGAGAATAGACGCGGTGTGGATGGCGCATACATGTCAGTGGTTCCCCACTGCATTGGAATTGGAGGCTGTTCAACCCAGTACGGGACACTTTGCGGAAGCTCTGGCTGCCGGTGAGGTGTATTCGTCCCGCTTAACACCATTATACGACCCAAAATTCTTTCTCCCCCTTGTTGCTGGATCTTTAATCCACGGGAGCATGCATGTTGATTCACGACGACTGGTCGAGTCCAATGCACTAGGATTGGCCATTATGGCGCTTTCGAGTGATAGAGATTCGATGCGAAAAGCTGGTTATTTTGTTCTGGATCTCTCGTATAATTTATTGTACGAATCAACGATGAAGGAGAGAAATCAGATCATATTATTGTTGGAAGGGCTGAAGAACGCGGTCGTCAAAAGAGAAGAAGGAAATCAGGGAACGCAACGGGTTCCTGCCGTGGTGGCATTGTTTATTGCGCAGGGGTTGATGATATTATTGAAACCGGAGAATGAAATGTATCCGCTTGTAAATCGGTTCTTCTTACAGAGACCCATCGTCGACCTTGAGGTCTGGAATACCCTTCAGTCTGTTTGTTTGGTTTGACACTAATTTCTGATGCTCTTTTTTTTGCAGGATGTCCCGATGTTCTATGGCCTTTTCTACTCAGCATCAGATAACTCTCGAAGGGAGCGAGTATGGATGCTGCGATTGCTCTCCTGCGGGTTGAAAACTGCTGGGGTACGTTGACTGCCAAAGGGCGTTCGTCTTTTTCTCGATGTGCTCATTATTTACATGGATAGGATTATCGACTATATAAACGGCGTCATGTCGTTGACATCCTGATGGGCTTTTTCTCTTCGTCAATGTCGGACACAATGACACGGAAACTTGTTCTTGAGGTAAAGCAAAGAAATCCCTCCATTGTACAGTGACTGGGCAGCAGCTCACATGTGCCATGATAGGTTATTGTCAAGGCTACCGCGATTCCTTCGGTGATCTCAGATATGATCACTCAAAGTGGTCTGCTGACTTTCATGCACACAGTCGTTACCGCACTCGATTTCCGCTCCGGAAATGACATCGTACTCTGCATACCGCGCGTGATGCGAGCCATACTCAGCGGATTTGTTCGCTCCGATCCCGAGTGGCATGGAAGCAGACGGATTGTGTGGCTAGAAAGCATTGCGACTGTGGTCGCAGCTGTAGTGCAAGGCATTGCAAGCGCCGCACGTCTTGATGGGTGCATAAAGGCGGAGACGGCCACGTGGTGGTGTAATGTCGCTGTGGACGTAAGTCGATTACTATATGATACGTTGGCAGCCTTTGGGGATGAGGAGAAGCTAGCTACCAATGGGTCGGCTGTATCTCCGTTCGGCATTGGCCACGTATTGGATCTGGCAGCAGTTTTGGAACAATGCGAACGTGTATTACCTCCAGATTTCAACCAGAATGGCACGAACGACCAAGGCCTCAATGAAGCGTCCAACGTCTCCCTGGACACTTTGGATTTGGACGGGCTGTATAGTCTGGATTACGACCTGAGAAGGCTTCTGAAACGAGCACGACTATATCTCTTTGATGTCACCTCTGTCCTTTCTATACCTCGCCTACCGTCCCTTCTTGGTGATGTCCGGGTTAGCTGGCGTGAGATGCTGGCGCGCCTGTTGGACTATACATTAGAGTGCACGGATATGTATCCGGAGATCTGGCGCTCAGCTCTTCCCGACCGCGTAACGCCGTTAGACCGCTACACGGAGTTCTTGCTGCGTCTACAAATGACACATCCCGATGCCATAGCTGCATGTGTATTAACAGACGAGAGTACAAGGCGAAGAAACATTCTCGGGCGGCTGGTAGCCATGTGGGGACTGATTGGAACCCAATTCAGCAAGAAGGCAAGATTGCAAGCTAGTGTAAGTATGGTTATTTTAGCGCAGCAATTGACGGGTCACGGCCGAAAGCGGAAACGGGATGATGATGGGGAGATAACCGGGGACCGTCCTATATCAGCAATGGAGCAACTTGCAGGTAACGGCCGCACCTGGTATATACGACACCCAACTTGGTACATAATTGTGAATTGTTTGTTTACAGACAAGTACGTCCCGCGGTTCGCTCCTGATCTCCCGCGAACACCGTTTTCGCGAAAGCTCTTGTATGAAGTGGTGCCCATCTTGCTTGGGAAGATCCCTAAACCAGATCAGCTACTGAAGTCCAATGAGGTGGGCAATGTGGTAGACATTCTCCAGGCTACCATAAGGCGTATTTGGGGTGGTGACGATTGTGATGGTATCAGCCGGGAGGAACGTATATGGACCAAAGCGTTATCGGAAATAACGGGCAAAAGTCAATCTTTGTAAGTATATTATATGGGTTTCATTGTATCATAGCGTAGCAAATAGTTTTTAGCTAGACTTATTTAAAATATCTTATTGAGGTGATTGAAAATGGCACTAGGACCCATTATTATCCGGACTAATCCGGTTAATCATATCGCATAATCAGAACCCCCATCTATCGCTCAGATTGGTGTGGCATGCATGTAATGTTTTTTTTTAAATTGCGGTGAGGTACATGCAGAAGGTCTATAAAAGGGGGGCCTTCACTGTCTCTTCCCTCTTTCCTCTTTACCCATCCTCGACTCAAAGCATCTGCCCAACAAGTCTCAGTCCATCATCATGAGAATGCCGCTCTGGTGCCGAGGACCTCGCCCTCCCGACAAAAACAACATAATGCCTTGCAAATGCTGCTACGATCGCAGGTATGTATTATCTTTGTATTTTCCCACGCCCGTATTCCGAGTCTAATTCTGATCCACCTTACTATCTGAAACATCCTCCGACTAAGAATTTCAGAATCAAGGGCTTAGTAGGATTTCTCTTGTGTGGTGGGCTTAGTTACCCGGTTAGAACAACCGTAATGTATTGCATGTGTCATTGGGCCTAACCACCCTATTAGCGATTCATGTGTAAGGTAAATGTACTTGTGCATAGTGTGCAGGTGGTAGAAAATGTCACTAGGGACAAATTCTCCCTCCAACCCACTACAGCCGGTTCTAATTTACAATTAGCCAGCCTGTCCAACCCTTCATAACCTATCCTGCAAACGAGTCCCACCCCTATCCTAACTCGCTACAGGTTCCAGCCTGGGTTGAACTGGGGTATGTGAAAAGCTAACTACCACTAGGCCAGCGTAATTTGCCTTTTTGGGAGCTGCCTTTGGTGTTGGCTCCGCGATCCCGAATCGCTTGCAAATCTGTCCCACGCCATTGGCTGCTTCTAGTTTGAGTACACAAAGCATGTGGCAGCCACCGCCATCGGATGAAGAGCTATTCGGGTCTGACGTCGATGCCGAAGGGTCAGAAGATGGAGAGTATGAGGTCGAGGATGATGACCAGGCGGATGGACAGGAGCCACCTCTTAGCGCTTCAGTAGAGGAGTCAATGGAAGTAGAGGAAGAAGGTACAGTGAGGAGTTAGATGCTCAGCCGTTTCCTGCTGATAGAGTTGCGAAGTATTGTGTTCTCAGTATTAGTCAACGGCGAGTATGACAGTGGTGAGATCAATGTGCAGGAACACGTTGGGGAATGTGCTGGATATGAAATAGACCCGTTTGTAAGCGACCCAGCTTTGATCACATTCATCATATTGGATTTCAAGTTCTGATCAGATTGTGTTGTGATATGTGAATAGGCGTCGCTCGTTCACCCGGCGAGCGTGAATTGTATGGCGGCGACACGGAACATGGTACAGACAGTTTTTCAGTGTAATTTCGGTCTGCATCGATGTTTAACTCATATGCCTTGAATAATTTATAGCGCTGGCTATTCACGGGAGGGGATGATGGATTCATTCGCAAGTTTGACTTTGCTGCAACGGTCCGGGGAGAGCAGTTGTTGACGCAGACGCAACGACATGGACTTGTGGATTCTATCGAGAAGGTTGGTCCATGCTTCGTTAGATGGCAAGGGGAGAAGTTAGCGAAATGGATTGGGTCACCGAATACTGACGTTGACCGGTGCGTACAGGCAGGTGTTCTGGTTTCAGCCTGGGAGAACGAGGAATTCCCGTCAACATGTGAGTGATCACGTTGTACCTGTAGTTGAAATAACGTGCACCTGTTAACCATGCCGTACAATAGACACAGCAGACGGGCTACCTGCCCTGGACCCCGATAATCCACCTCCTCTAGCAGCGGATTGGTCACCGGTATACAGCATAGATGTTCACTCGGAAGCTCATTGGTGCTTGACCGGGTGTAAGGTTCGACCTTATCCTTATGCGTAGTCTATCTGTGGGGATTGTTGCTCATCACCTCGCTTATTGACATATAGAGTGGGAATATAAATCTGTGGTCCATACGACACGACGAAGGGCACGTAGGTACTTTTTCGTAACGAATAAGCCTTTGCGGCTTTATTACTGACCATACCGTTCTTCACTGCATTTCTTCAACAGTGTCAGCACATTCTGCGCGGTCACAATAATGCTGTGTCTGTGCTTCGTATTACACCGGGGGAGCGGGGAGTAATTAGCGGGTCATGGGACAGGACACTGCTGGTATGCGTGTTTTTCAGGGAGGGCAAAAAGGCATCATATGTGATTCCGCTCTTTCACACAGCGATGGGATCTGAACACCGGAGAAATAATTCGGTCTTTTCAAGGTGTAACGTCCCAAGTAACGTCCGTAAGCTTTAGTCCTTCCCCCGCATCATGCTATCCAGATTTGATAAATACGGAGGTTGTGAACGGCATGGATGCTTTAATGGCCCCATCAGCTGCTGAGGATTCCTTGTTGATGGCGACCAGCTACGATGGAGCTGTGCTCTTGTTTGACCAGCGGCATCCAAGTGGGATTGGCAGAAAGCTCGTGGCATCGATGAGTGGCGCCCCTCCATGGACTGTTTCGGTACGTGGTCCTGTACAAATGGCGCTGCACATCGTTGAGCGATCTAACACAATTCTACGCCAGGCTACATGGAGTGCCGATGGCCGTCGAATATATTGCGGACGAAGGAACGCTACAGGTGTGTATGCCTCGACCCAGTGATTCTTTTCGGAAGTATGAGCTGACAGGGTTTGCGTGATGTTTAGTCGATGAATTTGATGTAGCCGAAGGTCGTCTGATACGAACGATCCGCTTGCCAAGAGATTCAGGCCCTGTATCCTATGTTAGCGCCATGCCGAACAACAGACATTTATTATGGTATCTTATTTCATGTGGGTGGGCAGTTTCCTACAACAGTATTGCTTACTGACATCCAATTGAAGTGCATCGCAGGACATTATACGTTTATGGGACCTTGATCTGACCACAGACTCACAAACCCAACGGGATTTACCGGCGCCCGTCCAATCTGTGACAGACGGGCCTGAGACAGGTCAATCATCGACCTCTAGCTCGCCGCCAGCCAGCGCGATTAGCACGCCTAAACTCCCCACCGCCGGTCTTACTCTGTTCCTTGATGAGGAAATGGGCACTGACTCGGTACTGGGCGCATCATTGTCGGGTGGAATGGACTCGGATACGGCGCTAGCTCCCGCCACTGGTGGGATGCTTGGAATGTCAGAAGAACCTGAAAAGGCTGAGGTGAACGGAAAAGGCGGCTTCCAAGAAGAAGATTTTGATACAGCACCCGTTGTGCCATTTACCATCGTGCCGGGGCATAATAGTGGAGTTGTATCAAGCATATGTGAGTAAGAGGTCCCCAAGCTCACATCGCGGATTCTGATCATTGACGTCGTCACCTGCCCTGACTAGTGATCGATCCTGCCAAGCGCTATATGATCAGCGCATCGGGAACTCGCGGATGGGATGGTGTCGCATCTAACTTGTGCTTAGTGTATTATGTGAAACCGACTTTGCGGGCAGAGGAATGAAAGGGCTACGAGCTTTGTAAATTCTAATTTAAGGGAGGGTTGCGCGAAGTCCTATGTGATAGACTATAAAATCTCCGTGAGGCAGTTTGTTTTTGGTCAATTGTATATATGGGGTATGAATACTAATGAGTATAATAGTATGGGTTGGACATGGTGAGCATATGGCATGCCCATCCATTACGAAGAATTTGAAAACTTAGAATTCAGTTAGCCGCGTGACGCCCGCGCGAGAGGTATATTCATATCGTCATGACGTGTCGCAAACTCCTAAATATGGGATCTCTTTCTGGTTTTTTTCGAGGCGGCTCGCTCCCCTCCTCGCTCTGAGTGCTATCACTGCGTCCAAATAGTCCTCGGATATCGGCACTTTTAGTCTGACGATCTTCGTCATCTCCAGGCCTAAAGTGTCTGGTGTTATTAAATTGCAGCCAGCCGAAATGCAGAGGTTTACCCACCATCGTACGCAGACTCCCTTATCTTCCAGCAGTTTGGCACATGTTGACCAGCTAAATCGGATGACTCTCGGGTAACCGAAAACGCGGTCGATGTGCTCATTCAGCCACTTAATAGTGTTTGGATCTATATGCTCAGATATCAGTAATGGTACAGTTGCAATAAGCGGAACGTGGACAAGCACCAGAAGGATAACCCGATCCAAATTCCCGAGAGAAAACGTCGTCCAGTCCCGTTTCGGCAAACACCCACCCACGAAGGATGGCATCTCGAGTCACCTGCATTTCAAGTTAACCAGAGTTTTCATTGTTCCCTGTTATCTGGCACCTACCAACCTTTGCACATATACTAGCAGCACTCACGCATGGAAATAACGAATCTGCTTTCTTTGTGACGGTGAAGTCGATCCGCGGAAAATGCGCCTCTAGTTTCTTTTTGTAGGAATCTGGCGGTCCAACTGTGTCGACAAAGACCTAAACATGTCTAAGTCGCATGCCCAGCAGTGACGGGAAGTTGTATTTACCTCTGTCACCTGCACCCCATTCTTCAATACGCGCGCAATGAGATCTATCGTCGTGTCATGAGCGAGCTCATTGAGATTATGTTTAGCTCTGTATAATGCGTACCTTCAGTACATGATATTCCCATACGTTAGAACTGTATATCGGAAAGATTACCGTCGCAACATGCATTCAGAGATGTCCTGAGGACTGCAAACATGGACAGCCCAGCCAATCCAATCGGGATGCTTCGAAAGTGTTTGGAAGAGTTGATCCCGCTGCTCTTCTTTTAGCTGTTTGGAATCTAGGGGAGATCGGCGTCGTTAGACATCTAGGAATCCAAACTTGGACGCCAAAGGGCATAGCATACCTGCAAATCCGACTTGCGCCAAATCGTCCTTCCTAGTGACAGGGACATAGCTTACTGCATATACCATTGGTCCTACCAAGACGCAAAGTCAGCTAGATACATTTTCGACTTCCTCCGCCTGATCGCCGAGGTTCTTCCAGATAATGCTTGCCTACCTAACACGGGTCCACGACCAGCCTCGTCCACTCCCAGACAAACCGCCTCCGTCTCCGCGCACTCCTTAGGAACAGTGGAATAATAGGACCAGGATGTTGTGCATGGGCCGTCCGGAATGTGGTCCAACTTAACAAAGGCCTCGGATGTCGAAGTAGTTGGGTCAGAAACTGGTGTTGGAGGAGGTGAGGGCGAGGGAGACAGGGAAGTCATGGAGGTTGTTGACACGGTAGATATTGAAGACGACGTCCGCTTCAGGGAACGTCGTGTTTTTGGTGGCATTGTAAGTGAACTAATCTGGTTGTCTCTTTTTGCAATGAACAGAGGCTGGTCGTTCGAAAACCAGCGACAAACCATGTCGCCTTGTTCCAATTGCTGATCGGTATGTCCGAAGGCACGGACACTATTCACGTGACTTACATTAATTCGCCAGATCGAATGCCCAAAGATCTGATTGTCGCTATGGCGAAGGTGGCACAGCTGATCCCCGAAACGTGGACTGTGGGCGATCTTCGCCAGAGACCATCCCAATTAGCCATTGAATCGCGGCCCTTTGCCTTGGATAAGCGCTCGTCCTAACCATGACGGCGTCGCAGGAGCAGCAGGAGGGCGAGGCCTTCACCAAGGTGTCGATTTTGGGACAGGAGACTATCATCGTAGGAATGAACATGACCAACTACCTTGTCAACGACGTAATAGCAACTGTCCCTGCTAGTAGCTACATTGTCGTTACAGACCGCAACATTGCCCGCTTCCACCTCAATCCACTAGTTGAGACCCTCAACGCTGCCCTAGATGCTAAGCACAAAGGTGAAGGTACAAGACCGCGAGTATTATCGTACGTTATGCCACCGGGCGAGTCTGCGAAAACTCGCGAAATTAAGGCACAAATCGAGGACTGGGTGCTGTTCAACAAGTGTACCCGCGACTCGTGCTTCTTGGCTTTGGGTGGCGGAGTTATAGGGGATCTTATCGGTATGTTTTCTTGTGCGGTTGAACCCGACGAGGAGCGACCATGATGCGGATTTACACCATGCGTTGGGTTTCACGCATTTTGATATTTCTGGTTTCTAGGATATGTTGCCGCAACGTTTATGCGTGGAGTTCCAGTCATTCAAATTCCGACAACGCTGTTGGCAATGGTGGATTCGTCAATAGGAGGCAAAACAGCAGTGGACACACCGCATGGAAAGAACCTGATTGGTGCATTCCATCAACCCAAACGGATTTTCATCGATCTACACTACCTTACAACGCTACCTAAACGTGAATTTGTAAATGGACTTGGCGAGGTCATTAAAACTGCTGCAATCTGGGTTGAAGAAGACTTTGATTTACTGGAAAACTACCCGGAAAAGATATTAGCACTAAGTAACGGTGTAGCTGGTGCGTAATTCCTTCGTATGTTGAAAGAACAAGAGGAGCGCAGATTCACAGTTTCCCAATAGGCGACCCCAACTCGGAGGAAGTCCAACTGCTCAAGCGAGTTATTCTTGGATCTGCACGAGTAAAAGCCCACGTGGTCACAGAAGATGAGAAAGAGGGCGGACTACGTGGACTGCTCAATTTTGGTCACTCCATTGGTCATGCAATTGAAGCCATTCTTTCCCCAGAAATGCTTCATGGCGAATGTGTATCAATCGGGATGGTGCGCGAAGCCGAGATTGCGCGTCATCTGGGATACTTGAATGAGGTTGCCGTGGGGCGCTTAACGAGATGCCTTCAATCTTACGGGTTACCTGTATCTCTTGACGATAGGATTGTACTGCAGCGTGCACCGCATAAGCACTGTCCCGTGGATCAGCTTTTAGATATCATGCGGGTGGATAAGAAGAACCAGGGTGACAAGAAGAGGATTGTCATGCTTGCCGGCATTGGTAGAACCTATGAACCACGAGCCAGTGTCGTACCAGACGATGTCATAAGAAAGATACTGTCTCCAGCCGTCCAGATCGCGCCGCCAACCTCCCCCACGACAGTCAATCTAAAGGTACCAGGATCAAAGTCCATCTCGAACCGCGCATTGATTCTTGCTGCATTGGGAGAAGGTACATGCCGGATACACGGACTGCTTCACTCTGACGACGTCCAAGTTATGCTTGACGCTCTTCAGAAGCTCGTCGGAATAACCTTCTCCTGGGAAAATAATGGAGAAACTTTGGTGATCAATGGAGGCGGTGGACGCTTGAAGGTACCCTCAAAGGAAATATACTTGGGCAACGCTGGGACTGCATCACGGTTTTTGACAACAGTTTGCGCGCTGATTCCTAAACCTGGAGCGGAGCGGAAGGGTGCGATCTTAACAGGCAATCCTCGGATGAAACAGCGACCCATAAAACCTCTGGTTGACGCTCTTCGAGAAAATGGCGTGGACGTTAAATATCTTGAAAACACAGGATCACTTCCCCTAGAAATCACGCCGAAAGGCACTGGACTTCCCGGAGGAACTATCAAGCTATCGGCGTCGATTAGCTCGCAATATGTCTCCTCCATCCTCATTTCTGCACCATACGCCGCACAACCCGTAACGCTCGATCTCAGCGGAGATCACGTTATATCACAACCGTACATTGATATGACAATTGCTATGATGGCCTCCTTTGGCATTAAAGTCACCCGTATCCCCGGTACCAACACCTATCAGATACCACAGGGCGTTTATCGAAACCCTCAAAACTACAATGTGGAAGCAGATGCATCTTCTGCCACCTACCCACTCGCTTTCGCTGCTATCACTGGCTCTACCGTAACTGTCACCAACATTGGAAGTGATTCTCTTCAAGGGGACGCGCACTTTGCAGTGAAAGTGATTGAAGCAATGGGTGGAACTGTGAAACAGACCGAGACGACCACAACGGTGCAAGGGCCAGCTCAACTTCGACCTATTCCTCAAATTGACATGGAATCGATGACGGACGCCTTTTTGACCGCTTCCGTACTTGCCGCTGTGGCCGTTGACAAGAATGGTAGTGGCACAACTCAGATTACCGGAATTGCAAACCAAAGGGTCAAAGAGTGCAATCGCATTGCTGTCATGGTCGAACAATTGGCCAAATTTGGTGTTTCTGCATCTGAGCTACCGGATGGCATCGAGATTCGCGGGGTTGACCGTTGCCAGTTACATGCTCCTGAGGGTGGGGTCAAGTGTTACGATGATCATCGTGTTGCGATGAGCTTCAGCATTCTTGCCTGCGCTATGCCAGCAGAACAGTGTGCCATCATCAAAGAGAAAAAGTGTGTGGAGAAGACATGGCCTGGATGGTGGGACACTCTTCAAAACTCGCTGCAAGTGAACATTATTGGCGTTGACTTGGAGGATAAAGTAGAAGAGAAAGGGCATGAAACTCCGGTGCCGGATGCTGGCGCACACGTGAGTTCCCATGGCGCGCAGACGTCATGCGACGACGCAACCATCGTTCTCATTGGTATGCGTGGAGCCGGCAAAACACATGCTGGCAAGGCAGCCGCTAAGGCATTCGGACGAAGGTTCATCGATATGGACACATACTTGGAAGAGTCACTTCAAACGACCATTCCTAAGTTCATTGCAGAGAAAGGATGGGAAGAGTTCCGGAGACAGGAGACTCTATATTTGGACGAAGCTCTGACAAAGGTACCACGTGGTGCCGTGATTGCATGTGGTGGCGGCATAGTGGAAACGGAAGCTGCCAGAGCAACCCTTAGAAAGTGGTCCGGGGCGGATGGTTCAACGCGGAAGGGATATGTTGTGCATATCAAACGTGATATTTCCGAAGTATCTGCTTACCTTGATCAGGACAAGACTCGTCCAATGTACGGGGAGGATATGTTGAAGGTCTGGAACCGAAGGAAGGACTGGTACAAGGAGTGCTCTGCACATGAGTTCACCATTGTCCATCCGTCTCCTGATCCTAACTGGTCAGATGTTGAAGGTGACTTGGTGAGGTTCCTTACATTTATTACAACCGTGAACGGACCACATAACAGCCGGCTACCCGGTGCTGTACCACCCCCACACACGTCAAGCTTCTTCTTGTCCCTCACCTACCCTGACGTTAGTGAAGCTCTGCCCGTCCTTGATAGAATCTCGGAAGGTGCTGACGCGCTGGAACTACGTGTGGACCTCTTGGCTTCGCAAGATGAAGAGTATGTCGGAAAGCAGGTGTCTCTTTTGAGAAGACACTCGGAGCTACCTATTGTGTTCACTGTCCGAACAGCTGGTCAAGCTGGCAAATTCCCCGATGACGACCATGATAGGCGCCTCTGTCTGCTTGAAGCCGGTGTACGATGGGGTTGCGAGTATGTGGATTTGGAGGTCGATGGTCCGCTGGAGCGTGTTGAACGGCTGGTACAGAATAAGGGAAACAGTTGGATCGTTGCATCGTACCATGATACTACCGGAACAGGCTTGTGGGAGGAGGAGGGCCATGGTTCAAGTCTGCTCGGTAATCAGAAGGGCCAGCAAGCTGTCGCTGTTCGGTTTCGTGACCAGTATGCAAAGCTCCACCCATACGCAGATGTAATTAAGCTCATCGGACGTGCAAATCGACTGGAAGATAACTTTGCTCTCTACAAATTTGTCAACTCTGTTGTTCCAAGTCTCGGATTATCACCAAAGCCGTTAATTGCAATGAACATGGGCGGTATCGGGCAGGTATCACGGGCGTTGAACACGTTTTTGACTCCTGTTACGCACCCTCTCCTTCCGAATGCAGCTGCACCCGGGCAGCTTTCTATTTCGCAAATCTACCAGTTACGTAGCCTGTTGGGACTGGTGCCTGCCAAAAAGTTTTACTTGTTTGGGGCTCCGATCTCGCAATCTGTATCGCCGGCGTTGCATAACGCGGGATTTAACGCTCTGGGGCTACCTTACGTCTACGAGTTATCCGAGAGCCCTGATTGGCAGCATGTACGAGATGTTGTGAAGCAGGGTGTTGCAAACGGAAGCTTTGGGGGCGCAAGTGTGACGATTCCTTTGAAGGAGGATGTCATCACGCATGGGATTGTGGAAGAGATGACGGACGGAGCCAAGGCCATTGGTGCCGTCAACACGCTCTGGGTTGGCGCCAACAAGAAAATCATTGGCGATAATACCGATTGGTTGGGCATCAAGGCATCTATCAGAAAGCGATTGGCACTCGTTAATGCTGCTAGTGCGACACGAACGATTGGTGTCGTAATTGGCGCCGGTGGAACTGCCCGGGCGGCCATCTACGCACTAAAGAGTTTGAATGTAGATGAAGTGAGGGTGTGGAATCGGACCACGGCGAAGGCGGCAGCCCTTGTTGAAGAGTTTGGTGGTGCGGTTGTCACATCCTTGAACCAGCTTTTCACGGTTGCAGATGCATCCACACTCTTCATTATTGTTGGTACGGTGCCTTCATCCGCCCAGTCAGAGATGGACCTTTCCGCAGCGCTGGCATCATCACCAAAGGGGATACTTGTGGAAATGGCGTACCGCCCACGGCGCACACCCTTGATTCAGAATGTGGAAAAACTTGGATGGCCCGTTGTGGAGGGTGTGGAGATTTTGAGGGAGCAAGGGTATGAGCAGTTTATTAGATGGACTGGACGGAGAGCTCCTTGGAGAGTGATGGAGGAGGCGGTTGAAAAGGCATATGTATGAATCTGACGCTGCGGGATAAAAGTACATTGGGCATATTGTGTATTTAGTTTGAGAGTTCAAAAGTACAATAGGATCAACTTTTCTTTACATATAATTACTTGCTTGTTGAGATGCGAGGTCCGTCCTCATTATAGAAACAATCATCATGGGAAATTACTTTAATCCTCGCTTCCATGGGGGACATACGGGTCGCAGTGCCCTTCGGCTATCGGACATATCCGAACTGACTAGAATAGCACTGGTCGAGTGGCACAGTCATATTGCCCGGTTAAGATCAAACGTAAGCATTGTGACATCCGTGCTCTCTCATCAGGGCTCTCCCGAACAACTGACACAAAAGGCCTAACTCATTGCGGAGTAATTTCATTCCAAATATTCACTGAATGTGGTTTCATTCACAAAAGCAAGCCCACTGGTTGCAAGAATTGTAAATCCAAATCCTTTCTTCCTTTAATAGTAAAATTACAGGAGCGGACCGCGCGAACGCAATCCCTCCCACCACCAAAAAATGTCCACTCACGCTGACTCCGAAGAGCCAGGTGACCCCGGGCCTTCGAACTGTTGTGCAATGTCGAGAACCCGAGATAGCCACCGCCTTGTTGATCACGGTAAGCTCGTAGCAGGTAAGTATGCAAGAACAGGGAGGGGCGTGGGGACGCGCTGCTTTTATAGACGAGAGGAACTGCGCCACGACTGCGCTGAAAAAATGAAAAAACGCGTTGATTGGCCAGATGAATTGAATGATTCCCATTGGTTGAATTCACATGTGAGAATCACATGCTCAAGACAGGTGCGTTACTGAATAAAGGCAGTCAAGATATAAGTGCCCCAGATCATTGTCTCGTTCATGTTTTGAGTAAACTCGGATTGCTCAGTATAACTATTGCTCATTATGCGATCCAGGTTCATTTCTAGCATACAGTGCTGAGCGCACACGACACATGACAATGGATCGCCTGTCCAGGACGGATTTCTGCGTGATGTGACCATGTCAGCCAACCGAAAGATCCGGACACTCACAAGCTCTGAATCTGTAATGTGTTTCGAGAGTTGAGCTGCCGCACATATGGCACTGCGTAGGGGCAACCCAGAGGCTTTCTATCCCGGATTACATAATACAGATCACATGATTTTAGCATTAAACCTCACTTTGGCAAGTTCGATCGGCGTTGGATTTGCCTGCCTGGCCTTTGAGAACTGTGCGAGCCTCGCCGAACTGGCAAACCAAAACAGCAAAGGATTCTAGCTAGCGCAACGATTCGCTTCAGAGATTTTACTTGTCCAACCGGTTTCTGACATCTCCTGGGCTTTAAGGATATTTCCAAACCATTTCCTCCAATTTTTTTTAATCGGTGCTGCTCTGGTCAGTCGTTTTGCCAACTGTCCCATGAACCAATCGGGACAGAAGTCCAAACACTTTGATACAGAAGTGGAAGACATTCTGGACTCGGAGGACGAGGGAAAAAGTGGAATAGTAGGTGGATTTCTGTGTGAAGAGCGACATTGTTCGAAAGGCATTGATAAACTTTGCTGTGACTAGAATGGGACGCAGCGTCGCATGCAAAATATTAGTGGGAAGACAAGTCAAGGGACAAAACGGTAAATAAAATTGAAAAAGCACGGGATCGAGTTTATATGGGAGTCCACTGAAATTTCTCTATAGGACGGGCATCCCTATAGTCGTCCCAAGCAATGAAGTGAGTTCGTAGGGATTATTTTTGCTACTGATCAACGTCCATTGATGAGCGAGGCACTCTAGAAGCGAAGAAAAAACGCGGGTGACATAACCGACTCCTCATCTAGGCCCAAGTCGTCCAACTTCTTTGGCAGTTATTTTTCTTACGCTTCGTCACCAGTGTCGTCACCAGCACCGCACTCTCCCTGTATGCATGTCTTTGTTCAATGACCTTCTTAGCGAATGACCCTTACTTAGTGTCACCTTTGTTTCATCCTAGTCCCATTGTTAGAACGGTTAGTGACAAGCAGAGATACAAAAGATAAAAAAGATACAAAGAACAGATTAAACGTCAACCACATCCGTGGGGTGAGATAGTTGCGATTCATTTTTTTCATCTCAATGATTAACCGAACTTTTGGTCATCAGTCTCAGAATCTTGGTGCCCGAAAGCGCATCACTTCATCGGAAAACGCTCCGCGATTACTTTTCCACAATCGCCCTACGTCTGAACGTGAAACAGAGACCGAGTTTGTTGATGTAGATGACAGCGGCGTCGCCCTAGTCGAAGAGGATCTTGTTCAATGTGCGTTGAATGGTCATTACAAGTCTACCAGGTTCCGAATGTAGTACTGATATAACATTCCACAGCCCTGTTCGACCGCTCGTTTGAGACTATCAAACCTACAATCACTCCTCACAAAGAGCAGGCTGTCGCAAAACAAGAGCGTCCTAAAACCTCCCGTGGCCGACCATCACCAGCAACTTTAGTTCCTCCTGCAGATTCTACGTTTGAGGAGTCACCGCAAAAGCCTGTCCGAACTCCAAAGATCACAGAACGAATGAAACCACATGTAAGTCAATTTAGGTCGTCGAGTCAAGTACCAATAGCTAATCGCATTCTAGGCTATTGTGAGAGTTCCAAGTAATTTATCACAGCGAATTGGCGACTTCCCCCGCCTTCCGTTGGAATATGTAATTCAAGATGGAAATCTCGTGGCGAGTAATGAGACGGAGCCAGTCCTAAAAGTTCACACCGATGTGAAGATTCGCTGGGCATCACAGACTCAAATCGACATTAAGGGGAGTTCAGTTCGACGGTTTGGGGTGCGTATGCCTCGTTCGGTTGCAAGTAGCTATAAACAGTAACTAACCCAAATGTTGTTTAGTACGTACAGGGCGTCGAGATATCTGGAGTGCTGATCGATTCAACGGAACATGAACGCATCTACTGCTTTGCGCGCAAGGAAGATCTGGATACGTTTCTTCCCTTGTTCTCGCGATGCCCTATGGGCGGAGTTGCCCGGCAATTGAGGTACGCTTCATGCACTATCGGGATCGAATTACGGTAGCTCATTACATGGGCTCTAGTGGTCGTGACGTAATTCAAATGGTCGACTTTTACAACAATGCAATGGCATTGGCGAATCCGCGAAAGAAGAGGCGTATGGAGGCCGCTATATCTGACAATGCTAAAGCAGATGGCCCGATGGCAACTCGCCGAAGCACCCGGACGCGATCGCAGACATCGTGGAACGAAGAGTAAGGGGTTTGAAACATTGAATCTATTCTTTTTGCATCAATATGAAGTATGTATGATTACAGGCTTTTCCGGTATCCACCACAAGGCAAAAATTCGGTATCTGTACGGCAGGAAGATTATGATCGCCTCGATGACGGGGAGTTTCTAAATGATGTGGTAATAGAATTCTATCTCAAGTGAGTATAGTCTATCCTTAGATGTCGCCCTTGGGACATGCATCAACTAACTTATCCCGCTTTAAGACACTTGATGGCAAGCTTGGGCGATGAGGTACTAAGAGATCAAGTGCATATTTTCAATTCCTTTTTTTACGAGCAATTGGCGCACAAGGATGAGGCGTCAAAGTAAGTTGATGCATTTGTACTTCTTTGGGCCTTTGATGCTAAGTCATTCCACGACCAGAAAAGGGGGCGGCGACCGGTCTGGATACGATCGAGTAAAGAAATGGACCTCAAAAATTGACATCTTCAAGAAGCGTTACATCTTCATACCTATTAATGAAAAGTAAGTGGACGAACCCTGGGGCTATGAAGGGTGGGGGCTGTGCGATTGTACTGGGCCTGACTCCATGCGGTTCGATCTAGTATGCATTGGTATCTTGCCTTGATCTACAACCCTGGCGCACTGTTGCAGCCTCAGTTAGTAGATGAGGAACTAGACGACATTATTAGACCATCCCCTGGCACCCTATCTCCTGAGGACTCGGACGTGTTTGCTCCGGACCTACCAGCAGAGGCCGACGTAGAGCTCGATGGGAACCCAGATTCGACCATAGAGGTACTCAGTAGCGGTCCAGCAAGCGACGAAATACCTGAGGAGAATGAAGTCGTTGTGGTTCATAGCCAAGACCCTCAAGAACACAAATTGGTTGTGCTCAAAGACTCGCACGAGCCTGTGCATGTCATATCAAGTGGGGAGTCGCCCAAGCGCAAACCAAAACGAACATATAAAGGCAAAAAGGCGTTGTCGGAGAACGAGTTGCGTGAGAAGGAACAGCGGGACATCGAAAAGAGGAAGCTTCGGACGACTGCAAGTTTGAGGCAGTAAGAATCGTTGCCTGGGTGGTGCATGTGTAATTCTTGGGACTAAACCAACTTGGCACAGATGTAATGTCATCATTTTGGATTCCCTACATGGCAAGCACCCTGCCGCCATAAGTCGACTAAAAGGGTACGAATGAAACACAGTTTAGTCCATTGGGGGACTACCTGAATTAACAAACATTCACAGATACCTTGCAAAAGAGGCCGAAGCAAAGCTGAACGTACAGATCGATCCGAAAGCTGCGCAAGGAATTCATGCAAAGGTGCGTGTATGTCCGAAGATTGTCCCACTGGTTAGTGACCTTACAAGGCCTTCGCGCATTGCAGGTCCCGTTACAAACCAACCACTGTGACTGTGGCATATATCTCCTGTACTATGTGGAAGTGTTCCTGCGCGATCCAAGAAAATACCTCCATCTCATTTTTGTAAGTACCTCAGTCCATTAACTGAACTTCCTGTATTCAATGGGCACCCTGCTCATTGGTTCCGCATAGAACCGGGTAGCAAACGAAGACGCCTGGTTTGCACTCCGTGACGTTAAACAAAAACGCTCGGAGATCAAGAAGGTCATGGATGCGCTGAGACATGAGTTTCACCTTTCAAAAACCCAAGAATGTATACCCGAAAAATCTTCTACGTCAGCGAATGCGTCGAGCAGAAGTTCTTCTTCTTCAGGTGGATCAGCGAAAGGGTCATCACGTTAGTGAATCGCTGGTGCCTTCCTCGTCGAGCTGGGAATGAATCTAATCTTGTCAGAACATGCGATGGGAGCCTGGAGTGTGTTGGGTTGGAAATTTAGGGCATTGTACATATAAGCAATTTAGGTGGGCACTTGAAAGTTGGTCGCCTGGGGGGCGCCGTTATACAATATTGTAATAGATTATGGGTTTAGGATGACGGGACAACAGCAATTGAGCATGTTTCCTGCTGGTATGGCAGTGACCATGCCACGACACGATGTATATCAGGAGAGATGCTCAAGAGGCGTCTGCAATCCAAGACTGTCGTCGGCAATACGTGGTGTCGATCATATCTGCACGCTTCCATGACGGCTGGGTCTTGGAAACCACCACTTCATTTACAAAACTACGTAGCATTTCGATATCAGTACACAGAGTGCCAACAGGTTCAAAGTCAGTTCCCTTACCTTATCACTCTTTAGTTTTGACCGGCGGTCCAACAGTGTTTCGTTCAAATTTCCTTCCTTTTTCGCCTTCCTCAATACTGTTGTGTCCTCTTGTGATAGGACCAACCGCCCGCCGCCCCAACTGTGGAATTTTTTACTGGTAACCAAGATCGGATGTGAGGAATGATAGCCTGGATGATGCATCTATGAAGCAGAACTCACATGTGATCCACTTCCAACTCCTCAGCATTAATGCTAACATCGACCTTCTTTTTCTTCGCCCGCGCCTTGTTGGCAGCCTGACAACGCATTTGGAACACTTCTTTGAATCCAACATTTTCTGAGTCCGCCCTGGCCCGACCATCAGCATCACATTTGAGGAATTTCTCGAAACTACTCTGCAAAGCCAGGCCATCCTCTCTCAGCACAACCTCCCATTCTTCTGATGGTCCCATTGCCTCCCGTTCGCACTGTACTACCCCGAATTTATCGGAACCAAGGTACCGATCATATGCAGACCGAAAGCAAAGCTTGGAAGAATCTGGAAGACGTTTTGCGACAAATACTTGCGATACTGTTGTGGGTTCGTAGGATGCGAGTGGGGTAGCGGGATCAATGGGTGTGAATTGAACTTTGGAGGAGGAATCAGAGCAGTTGAGAACGGATGCTGGGTCTGTTGAGGTTGTGAGAAGTAAAATAGGACCCTTAATATCATCAATATGGTCTACAGCGACCCAGCCATCTTCCGGTAACGTTTCTTCAGCTTCCGTTTCCGCCTTTCGCTTCTTTTTCTTTTTCCTACATGTGAAAGCCACTCAGTAAATCAACCATAACCACATGACAAAAAGGCGTAAACTGACTTTTCAATTGTGTTATCGCCCTTGAAGCTCAGTTTTGTCTTCCTCATCTTTGGTGATCTTGACTGATCAGCAGGGTTGCAAAAGAATTGTCCAAAAGGGTTGATCAGAACTGAACGTTGTTGCGTGACTCATCGATTACGTCATCCATGGCGCCAGCAGTGGTAGCAGCCATGCAAGGACCGGCTTTCGCACTCTGCCATGTTGAAATAATCTACTAAATTCATTTGTATATTATAGTCTGTCCTTTAGAATGTCACTTGACAGACGACATATTCTGTCTCTTCCTTCGGAATTGGCTGCTAGAATAGTGAGCACCCTCACTCTCGACCATTTCTTTCCATTTGCTTGCACTTGCAAAACGCTCTACGGCTTTGTGATGGAGGAAGCGCAGCTCGCTATCTTATATATGGAGAGATTCGGAAAAGATAAAGTGTTGGAAGCAATGCTTGCTTTTGATGAGGAGGAGGATGAGCTAGTCGTACCGGAATCTTGGCGAGTGCCACGCATTGCTAAAGGTAAGGCGTCGACATAGCAGTGCCAGGAACTCGTATCCCTGGTTTATAGGTATTTTTACAAGCGCTCATTGATCGTGTATACTGTAGTTCTCCTCATCAATCGACCATCACTTTTGAAGCGGCTGCTTTTGACATCCAATCACAGCTTGGCGCTGGTGCGGTTCGCTCTTGACCGTCTTCTTACAACGTGCATGGACTACCCAAAGACTTCACGCAAAGTACCATTCGCGCTCAGCATGATAATCGATTCACCACGTAGTCAAGAGTTGGCAGAAACGGACAACTTGTTGGACATTGACGAAGGAGAATGTTTGGAGGAGGAACCAGAGCTTTTCATTTTCTGTTTTGATACTTATCTGAGTTCTGGACCGAGCGCCAGAATTCTGGAGAAAGACCCAAGTGATCGCATTTTGATGGGTTTTATGGAGATGGAGTGGAATGTTGCGAATGGCTGGGACAAGTATGCGCGGTTACTAGAGCTGCTTAAACAACGCGAAGATCGAATATCCCCCAAGTGGCTACGGTCATGTCTCTCACAGCATGCGTCGAAATTCAAGTTTGCTGGCAGATCCGAGGGAATATCCGTAATTCAAGAAGCGTTCACAGATTGCCGAGGGGAAGAGTTCGCGCTGGACGCACTCGTGTATGCTTCGCGCTTCCTTCGCGAAAACCGAAATTTATCATATCTCCGACAATGCATTGAAGAGGGAAAGCTTACCCTCGACTACCTATTGCAACCAAATCCTCCCTTTGCTATTCCATACGGTCAGCAGGCCAGTGTATTCCTTTGGGATTTGTTGACAGTGAACGATATGACGATGAATCTAGGAGAAACAAGTGCTGAACAGGAAGAGAATATTAAGTTCTGGCTGATATCAGTGTACCCAGTGCTTCTTCCTCTCCTGTCTGAGCCGCTTCCCCAAAGTGCTTTCGGTCAATATGGGCGTACAACGTTGCGCCGCACACAGAACGCCAGCAAATTCAATTTGGATAATCTACTCCGCGAACTCGTCCACCCCTTGCGACCAGCCAACCGTTCCGAACGTGTTGCCAATATTCTGAAGGAAATCATACGTGACAACCGTGATATCACCGGTGCTAAAGGCAAAAACATATACAGAATCACACCCACTTTTATGACATGGCTAGTTAAGAACGCGGGCAGCCCTAGCTCCCACGATCTGTTGAAGACCTGGTTTGAGGTGTACCAAGATCCAAGTGGCAACAATGGTACCGTCACTCAGGGAATTCACAAGTCTCTCGCGGCTCGAGCTGGTCTATATGAATTTGTACAGAGCTGCATCCTTTCTCCTTCGCCAGCCATGGGAACGCGCTCTGCTCGCAAGGGCAAAGGCAAAGAAGTTGTGCACATGGAAGCCTCAGACGACGAAGATGATATCAACGATGAGAGCCTACCCGAATACCCAATACCAAGCGAAGGTCCTAGCGGGACCGGCCGACGTCGAAGTAAACGATTGCTGGCGCAAGTGGAACACGAGGAAGGCGACCCGTATGAAGGGGGATCATCATCGACCAGGAGAACGCGGAAGAGGTTTAGCTCTGGCGCGTAACACGGTGAACAGGTACAAATATATTGATGTTTGTAGGGTTGCACGTAGTGGTGGTTACATATTTTGTACATAACATAAGGACATGCAAATGATTGCTTTTTTCTGGGACAATCGTATATGGCTGTTTTGGAGTAAGTAGAGATAATCCAAGCGCAGACATTTCCAGAAAGGTTGTACTGTACTGCGCGGATACGCGTGTCCGCCTGAGGATCGCAAAGGATCTCATCCGTTTCCAATACCGGATGAGGGTGGTGGTCGATCCAAACCGCGGTATTTTTGTACGCGGCGGAGGGTCTTTTTCAGGGGACTCTCGGAGCAATCCCGAATTGGCGGGAAAAAGAAGCTTAAAGTTCAAAGCGCAGCGACACATGTGAATTCGAACACTACGCCCGTGGCTTAAAAACTCCGACGCGCGTTTTCAGTCTGGGATTATAATCGACTGGAGCCTTTTGGACGGGATCTCAGCGACACCTCATAACATGAGCCTGGAGAGTCAACACTGCCAGCGGGAGACTTCCTGCAAATACTCACCTCTTCATCAAAGTTGCAACAATGCTCCATCCGGCGGCGCACCGCTCAAATACCATTGGGCGCCTTCTTCTCACCATTCTCTCACTATCAAGCGTCGCTTTGGTCGTCATCATCTGGCAAATAGCTGACGTGCGGGATTTAGGAAGAAGTGCGACAGAACGACTGCGAAGTACCGGTTTCCGGTGGATTTGGAGCAATGCTGTTGAGCAGATAGGGGATGCGAGAATCCCGCTCTGTTTGGTGGCTACGTGGGGTGGAGGTGATTTACCAGAGTATAGTCAGCTATTTTTGGATTCGGTGGTAAGTCTGGTAGAATTCTCAGAATACTACCACTTGCTGATATCGTTCATCTCCTAGGTACGAAATCAACCCTATGCGCATTTATCACTATTCTACCATAATGCGTCTGCCGCTCCCATGCGGCCGCTCCTCCACTCCCACCAAAACATTGAATTCATTGATATTTCTACCATCAATAAGAAATACGGGGAGCAAGGATGGCCGGGTTTTGCTGCCGATGCATTATGTCGCATTTATGAGGCAGAACCTGTCCCACCTGGGGACGATGCGTTTTTCAATAGCAGCAGTTGGACGCGGGAGTCGGCGCGCCCTTTGAATTGTCAGCAGCTACTGCAGGGTTTTGAACCGCATGGTCCTGGAGTCATGATGCAGGTACGTGCATTGTAATTGGCCATATATATGTCAATTATTAGGCGTCTAAATTGGTCCTTGGCTTGAAAATCCAGCTAAGAGGAGCATACGGGCAGATGTTTCAAGAATGGATTGCACCAACCCGGTGCAAAGCATGGGCTTACACAGACCTGGACACAGTGCTGGGTGATCTCTCGCATTTTCTCGCCTCCCAAACCACCTCTCTACCATGGCAGACCGATGTGTTCACGTTTTCTGCAGGAGATTTATGGAGGCATTACGTCCATGGACAATTTACTGCGCATGTTCAAAACCTGGACGCACCTTCTCGAGCGTTTGCTGTCAATCGACTATGGCGTCGATGCCCTCTCTTCCGCACGATGGAAGACATGGATCGCGAGTTTCGACGACAAGGATATCGGGCCCTGGATGAAGGATGCTATGCTCATGCTGTGTTGACTATGCCAGGGATACGGTCGTTGGTTCTGCCCTGGCAGTTTGCCAGCTGGGGCCATATGTATATGGGTTCGTCAAATTCGATGTTGGTGCTCGGGAAAGCAACGATTGTGTGCACATTCCAGAATCAGGAGGAGTGTTGGAAGGGACCTCAAGGGTTTTATTCCTTGGTCAGAGCACTGTGGGAGCGGGGCGTGGAAGATGGACACAGGTTCGATGATACCCTGGCAAAGGACCAAGACAGCGCGGGTTTCCCCGAAACAGCCGACTTTACAATGTCATCGATGCGATCACACCAGAAACTTGCAATCAATGCAACTATAGGACAATGCGGATTGTGGACCCCACCAGAAGAAACCCTTTGCTTGGGTCACTCGTGGGAGTCTCTCAATATCAGCAATGATAAACCATCAAACTCAATTCTTGCCGTTCATAGCACGGGACCGAACGACGTTGAGCTAAGGTTATACGATCCGCCAAGCGTAAGCCCGAGCGTTCAGGCCGCTATGGGTGGGATGGGGAAGAATGGGGGCAATATCAAGGCGCTATTAAGGCCCGACTCGACGGGGGGACTCATTGAGGTTGCACAGCTTCATTTTCAGAGCTGGAAGGAAGATTTGGCACGGCAGTGCCGGTCATGGCAAGATGTGTTTGGGAGTGACCTGGCTGTTCCAGAAGGTGCAAACACGATGCTGGGAATAGTCATGTACGGAGACAAAGTCCTTGACGGAACTCAATGGTGTCAACCATAAGGCAATGTTGAAAAAGAAACAAAGAATAACCTTGTATATAAAATGTCTTTTAAGTGACACTTTTGATTATCCAATCTCGCACGGTCTGTGACTCATCGTGTACACAGCACCAACACAAACCAGGAGATCGGCGTCCTTCAAGACGACCTTCCAGCATCTCATACTTCCAGCATACTATCCGACATGTTCCCTCGTAACTCTTCTTCAGCGGGGCCGGATTCTGGGGCAAGCTTGTTTGTCAAATTGGAGAGGATAGGTAGGTAGAATGTGACTTTTAATAGGAGCTTGGTCAATTGTTATCAAAGCGACGAAACAGCTATGAAGAAGCCATCATATATTAAATAATATCTCTGTATTAACTGACTGTTGCACACTTCTGGGTCTCTATCACAGGCAAGGGCTCCTTTGGCGAAGTTTTTAAAGGGTATGTACAAGGACGCTGATAAAAGGAGTGACTTTTGTTTTCGCGCACGCCGGTGTTGCGCCAACAGAAATCATGTATGCGATCGATATGGGAATTGGGCGGCGGGCCAACGCTGTTGCTAACAAATCCCCTTGCACCTAATATCCGTATGTTCCTCTGATTTCAGGTTAAATCGGCAAACCGGCGAGCTTGTCGCAATCAAAGTCCTCGACCTCGATACAGAAGACGATGAAATAATCGATGTACAGAAAGAAATTACCATGCTCTCTCACTGTGATTCAGAATACATTACACGGTACCATGGATCGTATTTGAATGAAACGAAACTGTGGGTCATTATGGACTATGCGGCGGGAGGGTCGATAAGAGCAATTGTAAGCATATCTTGATATCGGGTTCATGATCTGATGGATTCGTCTTTTAACACGGACGATTATCTTCTCCGTAGTTGAGATCCGGTCCAATCGATGAGAAGTATATTGCCGTCATCGCTCGGGAAGTCCTGTATGCACTGGTATACCTGCACCAATCTGCAGCAATTATCCATCGGGATATTAAGGGTGAGGCACCCTAACGGTGCTTCAAACGTCGAACGTACAAGTTCAACTAAACTAGACCTGATTACTCAATAGCCGCCAACATTCTCCTCACGGACGAGGGCAAGGTCAAGTTGTGTGACTTTGGAGTGGCCGGTCAAATTACCATGTCATGTCTACGACGCAATTCATTTGTCGGAACGCCTTACTGGATGGCGCCGGAGATCATCAAACGGGCGCAATATGATTTCAAGGTCAGTCAGTGCAAGGTGATTATCAGAGCCGAAATTGACGGCTGACACTGTTTGGGTTTGACAGGCAGATATATGGTCTTTGGGTATAACAATTATCGAATTGGCAACTGGGAATCCACCATTCGCCGATCAGGATCCGCGAAAGGCAATTTTCTTGATCCCAAGAACAAGACCGGCCAAGTTGGAGGGTAAATTCTCTGCTGCGTTAAAAGAGTTTATTGCACTCTGTTTGAAGGAAGAGCCTGAAGAGGTTGGTACTTTCCTCGTTCTCGGATAGCGTTACAACGTTGGCGCTGTGAACTGTAATTGATGTTTATTGGTCATTTGGTAGAGACCTTCTGCCGAAGATCTCCTTCGCACAAAGTTCATACGAGGTGCTCACAGGGGCACAGCGGTTCTGCAGGACCTGATTGCGCGACAGGAGCATTGGCGACGTGAGCATCCTGGGGATCAGGAGGAAGGAAACGCATTGGATCGGTATGTCATTGTCACATAATTCTTGAGGTGTGACGTGGCTGAAACTTGGATATTTACGTGCTCTATCGATAGGGACCGGGATGGAGAGGCAAATCTCGCAGACGATGATGATGAATGGATCTTTGAAACCTACAAATCCAGCCAAGTCTCTCTCAGAGTTGAGAACGGCATGAATACCATTCGGCCAGCGTCGCTTTCCAGATCTCAAAACGAAACTGAAAGCTTGGGAAGTGGGGTCGTCTCGTATCACTCTTCAGAAATCCAGTCCACAGAAGTCGTTCCATCGACGTCCCATGCCCCTACGTCTGGGCAAGTGCAAACGTCACCATCACTTCCGTCAATATCAACATCAGTCGATCACCCCAAACTAGACGAATCAACGCTTTCCCCAGTATTCCCTATTTCACCCACATCCGTCCCCCCACCATCCGTCACACAAACCACCACAGATCAGCCACCAGCAAAGGGTGTTGCGGGAGGTCCTCGCGCGCCCTGGAATGCGCAACCGGCTCTGAGAAGCTTTTCATTACCCAGCGAGATTTCCGGAATGGTCACCAAAACCCGCGGAGAAGCGACTTCAGTCGTATCCGCCAACACACAACACGCACTTGACGAACACCAGCCACCGCCCCTTCCGGCTTCTTCCACAGTATCGGGCCACTCAGGATCCAGCACACCGCCGTCCCTCGCGAATTCTTCAGCATCTTCCACACCCTCACGCGCCAGCGTAGGCCGCCATACACCGTCTTCTTCAGTGGACGAAAAGCTCCTCCGAAGACATAACACCAGCAGCGGCGCCATCAGTAGAAGCAACAGCACCACAACACCGCCACCATCAGCACCCTTGCCATCCGGCAATCTCACACGCCGACACGAACGATCGGTCTCGTATTCGGGTGTTCCGACCGCCAAACGTCCCGGGGCCATTGCACAATCCTATATCTCACCCGTAGGGGCAGCTTCACTCTCTGCTTCATCTCCATCACTGGGAATGCTTTCCCCCCGATCTCCTGCTAGAAAGTTTACCACATCGGCGATGGGGGCTGGCGGGTTCAGACGACATAAGGGCATTGTGGGAGTTGGAGCTGCAAGCCCGTGGTTTCGACAACGAAGTGCGAGTATGGGTGCTATGATGGGTAAAGGGTTCCCGGTGCGTGTATGAGCTAAAAAGGAATGTTTTTCAACATGCATTGTATCTAACCTTTCATACTTTCCCGTTACAGTTCCGCGACCCGTACGCCTACTTGGCTCGCCGATCCTCCCGCGATACCACGTCCTCCACGACCAGCCTCACGACGCCTTCATCCCTCTTTTCACTCCGCCCTCTCGACCTACCACCTCTCAAAGACACTGAATCCCTTACAAATGAGTTTATCAGTAGAATTGGCGATACAATGCGGCTATTAGAGGGTGTGGAAAAGGTGTTAAGCCTATGGTAATGGTAATCCATGATGCATAGCCTATATTTACTCCTTTTGTACAATGCCCCCCTTTCTCCCCAAAAATAAAAAATTACAATTTACTACAGTATAGAAATTCTGTTATCCATTCCGACACGCTTCGACCCCTTTAACGACCGTCTCCACGCCTTGTATGTTGGTTTCCAGGGATCGGACCCATGGTTCTAGGTCTTTTATACAGGTTTGAGCGGTTTCGAAAGCGGAGTGGAGTGTTTTCTTGTTTTTTGGGTGGGATTCGAGGGAGTTTAAGAGGGCTCCCATGAGGGATTTGAGTTCTCTGGTGTGAGATGCATGTGAGGGTTGGAATGGACATTTTTTCTATTTCGTGTCAGTATTGTAAAAGAGAGCTTACCCATGCACCCGATAATCCACCTCGACACCCTCTCCACCTAATTCCTTTTCAGCAACCTGCCGCAACAGAGTCCAATTCCCAAGAACGGATTCCACATGCTGCTGCATGTCTTGCAAGGACGTCAGGTCGGGGTTGGGATGGGGTGGGGGTGGAGGGGGTTGAGCGAGACGGGCTTTTTGGAGGGTTGTGAGGTGGGATAGGGTTTTGATTATAGGGGGTGGGCTGGACATTTGGGTGGGTGGGTTGCAGTAAATTCTAGATGGGAGTGATGGTTGGCATACGGGCAAGGTGATTGGCAAGTGTGAACACGTAATTGTCCGAAAGAGTGGACATGGAACCAATAGGTGAGGCAAACAATGACACAATCGTGGGATATGTATGAAAAAATGGGAGAAAACACAAGACAAAAAACAAAAATAACAAAAAGAAAAAAAAATGCCTACACAAGAAAATAAACAACATGAAAAAAAGGTAGTAAGATATACCTTCTTTGTCATCCCAAACCACCAACTCTTCTACATCTTCCCTTCTTCAGAACCAAATACCCACACCACACAGGCTATCTGCCCGCTCATTCACACCATGGTCCACACACCCCAAACCTCAATTAGCCCCCACAACAACAGCCACGTTCGGCAACGACATCCAAGCTGGTACAAACCGCTCAATCGTCTCGACAACCCGCGGGGAAGGCTTGGCAAAATCGGGTGATTGTTCCAGATCCAGTAGCAAGACGTCGGATTTTTCATTGAGGACCGCCCGGGAGGCAACGATTTTGAGGAGTTCGGGTGATAACTGATACAAAAACAAAATCCAAATAAGCAACCCATTGATAAACGAGAGCCCATAAAAAAGACTTACCGGTGAATCAAAATCCGCTGCATAATATAGGGACAAAAGTTTCTTGATTTGCGTAGGATTCAGTAAGAAACAGACATCAAAAATGGTTTCAATGTCTTGCGGTGAGGTCTTGTTGAGGGTCAAGAGTTTGGCGGCTTGCAAGAGTTGTTGGAGATGTAATGTCGCTACAAAGAACGCGCAAGCAAAGAAAAACAAACGTAAGCTACACAGTACCCCCCAAAAAAGATACCCGTACTGCATCTGGGGGGAACACCTACCTTCTGCAATCCCATGACTTGTACACCACTCCTCTAACCGGCTAACATTATATTGAATCTGCACTCCCCGCTTCCACGTGCAAAAGTTCTTCCTCATCAACAAATGATTAAAGGCAGAAACACCAATAACCCTCAACAACTCTGTCAAGATTTGTCTCGTCATAGAGTCCTCCATGTAATAGCACCGCATCGTTTTAGACAACTTGCTCAAAAAGTTGAGTAATTGCTCAATGGTGAATTGGGAAGAGGAAGACGATTTGCCCCATTTTCCCCAGAGTCCACCAGATTGTTTGCAAATGTATCCAGGGAGCGACTGGTTCTCAATCACGGCGGGGACAATCATGTTTGCAAGGCGCTTTTTCAGTTCCTTGATCCAACCGTGATAGATTTCAATAAGCAGGTAGTCGAGGTCATTGCGAACTTTTTCGAGAGAACGTTCAGCCTCGCCCGCGTCAGGCCCACCCGTTCGACGTGCAGCACGTTCCTTCTCCTGAGTGGTGCGAACAACACAGAGAAGCTCGTAGCAATTGGACAACCAAAACGCTGACACGTAATCGTCTTCAAACTTCATTGTCAGACTCTGAATGGCTTTCATGACGTTGGTCATCAGGCCTAGCATGCGTCCAGCCAGATCGTGCCGGAGCAATTGCACCATGGTAGACCCGATGAGATGCGCAGGGAAAAAGATTTCTTTGCGGGTTGCGACGGTTTGAGTACTTGGAAGTGGTATGCGGAGATTGGTGACGAGGGCGTCAATGATTTCCTCTTCGAGAGCCTTGTCCTCCAACACACGGACAGAACGCTCAGTCTGCAGCACCAGACCAGCTCCGGCAGAGGGAGGTCCAGCAATGCCGTTGGCACCCAGAGAGGTATCAATCATGATACTGGTACGGTTCTTGCGAGCAGCGACAGGTGCCGCCCGTTCAGCCCCGGGCGACGTCGGTGGAGGCGCCCCTTCCACAAAGCTATGCCGTCTGGGTCTTGCTTTGGCAGCAGCAGCGGCCATGTCCATTTCAATCTGAGCGGTAACGGATGTTCGGCTTGTCTCCGTTGAGAGTGCAAAGGGTGGAGAAATAGCACCATTGACTCTGGGTGTTGGATGATCAGAGGTAGGGGATGTCACAGACGCCAACATGGCATCCGCAACGCGATCAGCACGATACTTGCCAGCCAACAACCTTGCCATCTGATCCCTCAATGTCGCAACCTCCTTCTTCAAAGCACTAACAACCTCAGGGTCCTCATGCTTGGCTGCGTTCCGAGCCCCTTCTTTCAACTTGTTTACTTCTTCCTTGTGCGCAGAAAGTGACTCCTCCAACTTTGCAATCTGATCATCTCGCTTCTTCAACATGCCAGTCAATTTTTCATTCTCTTTTGACACGCCCTGATTTTCTTGTTTAAGCGCCTGCAGCTCCTGTTTCAACTCGGCGGATCCTTCGTTCAGTTGAGCAGCCGCCGATTTGCCCGTTGTCTCAGCCTTCTCGTATTTCTCCCTCCAACTCTTGACTTGCTCCTCCAATGACGCAATCTTTTCCAATATCCGAGCATTTTCCTCATTCTTGGCTGCCAAAGCCTGCGATAGCTCTACAACCTTGCCTTCCAACTTGTAATTGGTCTCCTTGAGCTTGCCAACCGACCGCGCCTCGGCTTTGAGCACCTTGAGCTCTTTGATCGCCTGGCGTCGGCGCACACACGCCTGTACAAGGACCAGTCGCTTCTTGGTTTGCTTGTACCACTTGCGGGTACGGTACCCGCGGTAAGTCTTTTGTATCTTGATGGCGGCATTCAATCTACGCAGCGCCTGCGCCTGAGCCTTTGCAACCGCCATACGGTATGTACTCTGTATCTTGACAACAGCATCCCGGAGACGCTGGTAGCGTTTGCGAGACAGCCAGGTGCGGACATTGCGTTGGATGATGATCGCGGCATGGGTTTCGCGAAGGCCTTTGTAGAGTTTTCGTGCGAGCCACCCGCGAACGGCGGTTTGAATGGTGATGGCGGCCGCACGCATGCGGAGGTAACGTCGCCGATAGACCGCTCTTCGGACATTCTTTTGGATGAGAATGACACAGGCACGTTGTCGTTCTGATCTGAGCTTTTCCAGATAGGCAAGCTGACCAGCACGGAAAAAGACTTTGGTGAGACCCATCTGGTACTTGTCTTCCTCAGAAATGACCTTGTTGACAATGGATACAGTCAAGTTCTTGGGGTCAGGAACCCACGATTTGGATGGAACGAGGAGATAGTACCGATCCGCAAAGTCTGCAAAGGTAGCTCGACTTGGATATCCAGCACAACTGATTCGAATTGTCTCCAAAACACCACAAGCCCTCAACTGCTGCAAAACCATTTGCGGTTCAAACTGGAAGGCTGCTTTAGCCATATTGGGCTTGATACAACGGATATAGTGAACTTCGGTTTGACGAATCGTGTCCATAAGTTTGACCAAAGACGCTTTGAAGATGGTTCCAAGGGTAGGCTTCTTGAGAGATGATCCTCCAGCACGACCCGGCCGTGGCTAATCATTTCATAATTTACAAAAAAAACTATTAGCGAGACTTGATTGTATGATATTGAGCAGGATCACTACCACTCACCGGCGACGTAACTTCAAGTTTGGGTTCCTCCTCAATCTTGATCACTTCCTTCAAAAATTCAAATTCACTAGCATTCAACACAGCCATCTGCTCATCCGAGACTGTATCCTTATTCTTCTCAATGAAACCATCGATATCGTACGTTACATCCGTAGCGTAGTGCTTGATGGTGAACGCACTCTGACCAAACCGTGGCTTTTCGAAAAACTTTTGCTGAGCAGTGCCAAAGCGTTGGTAGAGTTTGGTGATGAGGGATGCATCGGCTCCGGATGGAAGACGCGATTCTTCATCCAACAGGTCCAAGATACCCAGTTTGCCTTCAATGAGGTCAATACAAGGTTGATTGTCGTTAAAGTCGATAAATGACCAGTTGATCTTTTCCGCAATGTACTCTTCTTGCTCCAACTTGAAGACGTGGGCATTGAACTCTTGCTGCAATTTCTCGTTGGCATAGTTCTACGGAATCGGCAAGATTAGAATCAAGACATTGTCCAATAAAGCCATCAATACCCAAAAAGCACTCACAATACAAAACTGTTCAAACGAATTCTTCTTGAAATGCTCAAACCCATAAATATCGAGCACACCAATGAACCTCTGCGTTGCCAAGACTTCCTCTCTCGACAAATTGGTGTTGATGACTTTAACCAACCAATCAAACAGCATGCTGTATATGAATTTAGCAACAGAGTCACGACCGATGGTGGCTTGGTATTGGTTGAGGTTAGTGACAATCTTTTCCGAGCGGGTGGTGATTTGCTTTTTGGTAATCCATTTTTTGAATTCCTTTTCATCTACACCGAGGAGTTGGGTAGCCATGGCAAAGGCTGCGTCATTGTCTGGTATTTGAGCCTCGTCGCGCTTGGCTTCAATCTTGATGTTACCAATGTGGAGAAGGGCCGCACAAATTTTGAAAATGGACCTAACAATCAAAATTCCCACGGTCAGTTACCCATACAAGACGGAAAATAAGAAACCTTTGTCGGCAGAACCTTACCATTGTGTCTGCAAGGAGATCCCCACATCGGACAGCGCCTTTGATGTCTCGACAAAATCGGCGGCATCGTCTACACCGGGAATCGTACCAGTTCCTCCCTGGTTGAGGTAAAAGAAGCTGTCCCACGATCCCAGACCAAGGTCTTTTCGCTCGGCAGCGGGTGCACCAGCACAGAGTTGGTAAAAGATGTGGTAATTTCGCTCTACACAACAAAAGATCAGATGAACATGCGTTCGTCACCAATCGTATGCCGATAGTATTCTCGTACCTGTAGCGGGCTGGAAGATCAAACGTGATCGCTCCAACAGGTATGTCCGGATTTTGGCACCAGTGATACGAACGGAGGGGTTCTGTGGGGTAGGAGTCGAGAATAGAATTTCCATGTACTTTCCGAAACGTGAACTGTTGTCGTTTCGGGTTGTCTTGGAATTACCAAAAGCCTAAACCGCAGTAATGATCAGATCCAAGACAAGTACAAAGTACAAAAAGTCAAAAAACGGCGTTTACCTCCATGATCGGGTTGGTTGCCAAAACAGCCTGTTCAACCTCACTAACACCCGCCGTAGTCGCATTCCCGCTCTCGACAGTCGCAAAATACCGCATGATATATCTCGCACTCTGCGTCTTTCCAGCACCACTCTCTCCACTAACAATAATGGATTGATTCTTTTTATCCTCAATCATACTCCGATAGGCTTCCTCGGCGACCGCAAACAAGTGCGGTTCGAGCTCGTCCCGTCGTTTACCAGAGTACTCTCGCATAATGTCTGATCCGTAGATAGGGACCTTTGCGAACGGGTTCATGGCAATGAGGACGATACCAGAGTATGTGTAAATGTTTTCTTGAGCGTATCGGAGTCGGATGTTGTGTAGTACAGCAGGCCTGCATACAAAAATCCAGTATAAGAGTAAGTCGCATATGGAAATTAGAAAAAAAAAAAGGGAATACGTTACTCGTGAAGGTAGGAAAGCATGGCCAAATCATCAATCCCATCCAATGCCGGCGGATTTTGGAGTGGAGGCAGATCAGCAAACTTGTTTGCAGCCAGTTTCGGTAACGTTGATTCATACGTGACATCCTAATATACACATACCCAAAAAACAAACATTCAACAAAAAAGTCCTTGTTGACAAGGGAAAACCCCACAACAACATTTTATACCTTTCCATTGGCATCAATATGAAAGCTCATTTTGACATTATCCCCTTCAACGCTTTTGGACACCAGCTTCCCCATAATCCACCCTTCCTGCTCATCAGGAAACCATGCCTCCGTTCCCCGCGTATACACCTCCAACGCCTTCTCCGCCATTTGTTTATTCCTATACCAAAAAGTTTAGCATGAGAATAAACCTATATAAGCTGGTACGCCTACTTACTATATTATCTAGTGACAAAACCCAGTCTAACAGTTGATTCCCCTTTTCTCAAACCAATGTACGTGCAGGTGAAAATAATTATAAAAAAAAGAAAAAGATAACCCGTCGAGAATCAAAAAACCCGCCGCCTGTAGGGAAAGCTCGCGAGTCCAAAAGCACCCACCAAGCTGCGGCCTTGAGCTCATGTGACTTTCGAGCTTTCATTGCCTTTGGAGGCGACTGCAACCCTCTCTCGATTAGGCAAACAGCCCTGCGGTTTCAATGAGTCATTCTTTCCTTTTTCGTCTTTTGCGGTAAATCACATGAAATCACATGCGTTACTGCGCATTGCTGCGCATTGGAGTGCATTCCAGTCCAGTCTTTAAAGGTTGGGTAGTGTTGTGTATTGTTTATTTATTTACATACAGTGTATAAATTACATATATAAAAGATGTAGCATGAATTGCAGTGTGCCGTCCTTTAGCGTGTACTTTGCAGCAGGTCAAATCAAGACCCATACGCACACACACACACACACACACACACACGCAAAAAAAACCAGTCTAATAAACAAAACGGGAACGATCAGGGTATCACTTTAGGCTCTTGAACCCTCCACTCACGATCCCCCACCTCCACCACCCACGCATCCCCAACAAAACTCACAAAAACACCAAAAGGTCTCACCCCCTTGGCAAGTTCCTCTCTCCACACTCCACGCTCAATCATTTCCCTCACAATGACACCCACCATCTCTGGATCCTTTTTGGCGTCCTGGAGAAGGATGCGCCACATGTGGGGTGTGGGTGTGAGGTGGTAGGTTTCTTGCATTTCTTTTAAGATGCGTTGTAGGGAGAGTGTGTCGCGGCGGATGGAAAAGGCGCGGGCGAGGGAGGTAAAGAGGAGGTGGTCAGGGCGGATACGAGTGGATTTGAACATGTCGTAGAGGTGCAAAAGTGCGGGATGGGCATGGGAACGGTGTTGAATGTACATTTGAATCAACATGGTCAGCGTTTCAACGGTGGGAGGTATCCCTTGTTCCAGCATGGAAATGTAAACTCGGATCCCGCTTTCCACTAATCCAAATCGGGCATGGCCCGACAAGAGTGTATTGTAGGCTACGGCATCAGGCTCGATGCCACGTTGGACCATTTCCTCAAATAGGGTATGGGCAATGGGAACCGTCTCAAAGGTTTGGCAATAACCACCCATGAGAACAGTATACGCGATACGATCCGGTTGAGGAAGACAAGACGACGCTGTGAGCGTTCGAAAGAGCGCGACGGCACGCTCCAACCCATCCGGCCCCATTTTGACCAGCGCATTCAGCACGACTGTATACGCAGCAATATCCGCACCCTCCCACCGCCGCAATACCTCTAACGCAGCCTCAACGGACTCGTATCGAACCATTCCTGTTACATATACATTCATGGTCACGGTGTTGGGTCTCACATTCTTGTTCACCATCTCTTGTATGACCATTCGTGCCGCATTCATGTCCTTGATCACATGCACGTACATCCACACAAGGACTGTGTAGACATGCACATCCGGTACGGACCCCTCAACATGCATGTCTTTCAAGATCTGCTCAACACGTCCCGTATCTCCCCGCTTGGCATACGTATCCATCAACAAGGACGATAACACAATGCTCTTGATTCCTCGCTCTCGCATCACCGTCAAAACCTCGTCAGCTTCCTCTAGTCGTCCCATCTTGATCAACCCACTCAAAACTTTGCCAAAAACATGCACATGGGTCTCACCCCTCAACACCTCTTTAGCTCCTTCAAAATCTCCATCCGCCATCAAAGCCTCCACAACAACACTCTTCATAACCGCATCAGGAACAACCCCCCACTCCACCACTTTTTGAAACACACTCAACGCAGCCCGTGGATCCCCCGCACGTACACACCCCTTGATCACCCCCGTCAAGATCTTGATATCCATATCCGGATGCAACATATTCACAACCCATTCCAGTCCCTCCATGTCCCCAGCCGAGGCGTACATGTCCACCAATACATTGACGACAACACCATCTGGTTTGATCTTGTTTGCAAGCATGCGGTGGTACCACCCCCATGCTCCACGTAAGTCACCGACCCGTCCATGCAGCGCCATGAGCGTAGTATACATTTTGAGATCCATTGACAGCCCTTTGGATCGCATCGTTTCCACCACCCTCTGGGCATCCGACACGAGATTGTGTTTGGCAGCGACATTTAATTGGGATGCATACAAGGCGATATGCTCCCGTGAGGAATCTGCTCTGAGGGTGCGTGGATCGCGACACCATTTCGTTCGTGGGGGGACGGTTGAGGGGATGCGTACATGTTTGACCACCCTTGGAATGTGGGCACATGGTATGGGCGTCAGCATTGGCCGACGGGTCTGTGATTGTTTTGTGAATGTTGCATGGAGTTGCTATCGTTGCGGCATAAAATGGGATCGTTTGAGAGATTTGGAATATCGGGCCCCCCACACGTTTCCGTTTTCGTTTTCCCCTTGAAGCCCGTCAAATGCCCCGTTATTCCTACAGAGATCTCTAAAAAGCCCAAACTTGTCACCACAGTAAACAATTGGAAAGTCGACTGTGCCGCTGAACTTTGTTGCCATGACAATAGCATCCCTCACACCTCTCGACCTGTTCGATGTGCTTTCAACAATACATGCAACAAGGTACACAGCATCGTTCTCGTCGCCGTCACAACCATTTACAACCGCCCAAGAACAACAGCAACCCAACAGCACATCAACGAACACGCTCAAGGCATGCAACATTGCCTAATACCTCGAGGGATTTTGGCAAGCACACCGATTACACACGTGACACTAAACCCAAAACAACGCTCTTGGTGTCATCAACAGTG